TTCGTCTTCTTCTTCTTCCTTTCTACTCTCTTTGGTTTCTAATAGACGGTCGGTGTTACATGAACAAGTGCCCAGTTAAGCATATGAATTTGTATATCTGTTTAGTTGGGGAGATCATAAGAGATTGTATCTCTAGCAAAGTCATATGACGCTTATACTGGATATAAAATACATCCTACTGACAACTACTTAGTTTCTTCCTCTTTCGTTTATACTTCCTCTCCGAAAACACACGCACCTCGCCTGAACAGTCCAAGCAAGGGAGCTACACTCCTTTCACGGGTGCGACTTTACCTTGCTGTTAGTCAATTTATTCCTTTTGAAGTTGCCCCAGGATTATCATGATGTTTTTCCTGTCCAGAACGGTTTCACAATCTAAACGAAATATATCACAATGGACCCGGAATGGTACCAAGGTCAGACGATCAGACGATCAGACGATGTTCTTAACAGGCGCTACTGGCACTTTGGGAGGCTGTCTCCTGTACAAGCTGGCTCTCCAACTTCCAACTTCTAAAATCTTTGTACTGGTCCGAGGTTCTGCCCAACGAGCCATTGAGGAACAGGAGCACTCTATGTCTTTATGGAATCCGCTAGATGAATCATTTGTTGCTTACCTAGGAAGACTGCCAGGGATTCCAACTAGTTGTTAAAGCGCATTCGAGCTAGTCAAATAAATATAGACAGAGATCTGAGAAAACCCTAGATATCATTTCAAAATTAACAAAAGGAGCGAAACACATATCGTTTACCTGTCAAATAAGTGTCAGGATTATTCGTTAGGATATAGTTCGACGTGTCGATGTACCGACACTATCGATGCCAAGACATGGAAAAAGCCGCCAGCACACTGATAACACCTCCACACATCTCCAACCACCAACTCAGATATCTCCAGGGCATTGACTCACGAGATCAACCTGCGATCCTTAACTGAACTTGTCTCTCCGCCCGCAATATCGAGGAAGCATTCACCACCTTACCACACGGCATCCCACCACACACCTCTTCACCAAACCCCGGGCGAGACAGACGCTCACCACAACCACAAAATGCCCTACCTCCCTACCTCCCAGGCTTACCTGGAACAATCTGCGCAGTTATTACAAGCGTACCCAGAAACGGTAAGCTGATTCCAAGCCCAATGCCCGATCCCCGATCCAGCCCGCCGTCGATTCGATTCTCCCCGCGGGAGCAGGCAAGCACACCGACCCGCAACCGCAACCCGCATTCCCAGCACCACTCAATAAACCCTCAAGACTCTATAAAAGAAAATGACAAAAGAGGGGAAAAAAAGCAAAAGAACCCAAGCTAATCCCCCAATCCACAACAGACCCGGATAACAACGAAATACAACTTCCCAACCACACGACCAGGAAACGCAAAGCGAATCCAAAAATCGCAAGCCAAAAAGAACAGCAAAGACAATGCCACAACACAAGCAACCACAACTCCCGCCGCCCCTATCGCCTCCCTCACCCTGAAAACATTCAACCCCGGCACAGGAATCTGTCTCCAATACCGCACGAACAAGGCGCAGGAGGTTTCTCGGCTAATTACGAGCTTGGGGAAGTTGGCTGCTGGTGCTGATGTTGCTGGGCTTGGGTTAGGAAATGCTGCTCCTGTTGGGGATGTGGAGATGGTTGATGCGCCTGCGGCTGTGGCTGCGCCTGTTGAGGAGGCTGGGGCTGGGAAGGGTCAGGCTCAAGGCCAGAGTCAGGCTGGTGGGAAGGGGAAGAAGAAGGGTGGGAAGGGGAAGCGATAAATTAATGTTGCTTTGTTCTTCTACATATTATGGTATGCTTGCATAGATGTGTGTTTTATGAGTGTGCTTGGTTGATATCCTGAATGATATTATTGGGTCCTTCTCTGGTTTTCTGCATACCATGGATCTAAGTGGGACAAGTGGTCCATTAACAGCTGAGGCTAAGGCGAAGTCGGTAGGTAGCACGCCAATAGATATCTACATCTACCAAGGAATACAAGATTCAGGTACACATTATAACAAGTGATTCGAAAATCTAAATACACAGAATCCGCCATCCATCCACAGACACCCAGGAATCCAGGATGGACAAGAAAGAAGAAACAAGTGAAACGCCATTCCCATGCCAAACCGTCAATCAATGAAAACAAGAAAAAAAACAGCGTGATATCATGTGGGGAGAGGGTATAAAACAAGAGGAGAGTGGGGTGGAAGGATATCGCTCAGAAGTCCTCATCGAAGTTAAGGCCGTCGCTGACGACCTTCTCACCCTCGGCGTTGGTCTCCTTCTTGGTGCTGGCCATGACACCAGCCTTCTGATAGTCACCGACACGCTTCTCGAAGAAGTTGGTCTTGCCAGCCAGGGAGATGGACTCCATGAAGTCGAAGGGGTTCGCAGAGTTATAGTACTTCTTGTTGCCAAGCGCGACGAGGAGACGGTCAGCGACAAACTCGATGTACTGGCACATGAGCTTGGCGTTCATGCCAAGCAGGCCACAGGGAAGAGCGTCAGTGAGGAACTCCTGCTCGATACCAACGGCCTCGACAATGATGTCCTCAACAACCTTGGGGTCAGGGCGGTGGTTCAGGTGAGAGAAGAGGAGACAAGCGAAATCCGTGTGGAGACCCTCGTCACGAGAGATGAGTTCGTTGGAGAAGGTGAGACCGGGCATCAGACCACGCTTCTTGAGCCAGAAGATGGAGGCGAAGGAGCCAGAGAAGAAGATACCCTCGACAGCAGCGAAGGCAACCAGACGCGAAGCGAAGGTCGACTCAGTGTCATTGATCCAGCGGATGGCCCACTCAGCCTTCTTGGCAATGCAGGGAACTGGATGATGGGTCAGTCAAAAGTACATGTGGGAGCAAGTGGGTGAAGCTTACTGGTGTCAATGGCATCGAAGAGGTAGGTGCGCTGCTTGGGCTCCTTGATATAGGTATCAATGAGTAGAGAGTAGGTCTCGGAGTGGATGTTCTCCATCATGATCTGGAAACCGTAGAAGCAACGAGCCTCGGGAATCTGGACCTCTCCGCTGAAACGCTCGACCAGGTTCTCGTTGACGATACCGTCGGAGGCAGCGAAGAAGGCAAGGACGTGGGAGACGAAGTAACGCTCATCATCGTTGAGGCGGTTGTGCCAGTCGTGGAGATCCTTGGATAGGTCAATCTCCTCAGCGGTCCAGAAAGAGGCCTCGGCCTTCTTGTACATTTGCCAGATCTATCCAGAGAGACACGGTTAGCCTTGATATTCTTCGTCTGAAAGCATCCCCCGCTAATCCACTTTACGCGTTGGACGCGTCGGCGACGTGACTTACCTCGTGGTACTTGATAGGGAACATAACGAAACGGTGGGGGTTCTCCTGGAGGAGGGGCTCAGTTGCCTCGAGCTCCTTGATAGTAGGAGCAGCCTTGGGGGCCTCGAGGGCCTTCTCGGTAGGCTTCTCGAAGGACGCGTCGACGGGCTTGACAGACGTGGGCGCGTTCTCCTTGCCCACCGACTGGAAGTCGAGCTTCTTAACGGGGGAGTCGCTCATCTTGAGGTTCTCGAGGGAGGAAGCAGCCTAAGGAAGCATATGTGTTAGTATAATCGAGGTTTGCGACGCGTCTGGCGCGAGAGGCGATAGCGTGACATCACGAACCTGCTTGGAGGGAGTGACTTGAGCGGCCATTGGGACGAGTATGTGAGCAATCAAGTATCACAGGACAATTCTCGATGGCAAAGACAGCAAGTAAGAATGGACAAGAGCTTGCAAAGTGGGATGGGAAGGAGATCGGGATTCAGCGAGGGAAAATAATCTCAATTAAGTACTGGAGAGAAATCGCGCTAGAGACGTGCTAAGTCACGTCGCACGTGACCTCGCGCCCGGCTTAGTCACCGGAAAAAGCGCGTCGCTCCAGCCCTTCTTTCCCGTTTGGGCCCAACTTCTCATGCCACTTGGTTCCCAGCAACATCCGACGGGATTTACTCCATTCCAAGCCCCTGCATGCCCCATCTTACATGTCCGATCTTATCTAAACTTAATGCCTTTTCTCGAAGGCCAGTATTGGAGACTGGCTAGCACAAATACACATATTGTTGCTGTATTTAAAACGCCAATATAATACCAGCGTACAGCATAAAGAAACCGAAACCGACGCGTCCTCCAGGCGCCTGGGCAACCTTTCAGCTCGACGTAATAGTCTCCACTCTTGATCAGATAACTTGAAATCCACAAAAAACGCGACGCGACGCAAGAAACAAGGCGGCTTTACGGATGTAATTGGTGGTCTAGAGCCAGACATCAGACCTCATTCGTCGATTTTAGCCAATTTGTCTTTTGTCAGGTCTCCAAGGGGATCGTGTAAGGATGTGTCAGCTCTAGCTAAGCTCCCCACGCGTCCGGTTACCTAGGGTAGCCACATGCACGCTTTTTCTTACCTATGTATCGTTCTATACAGATCTCTTTTCTGTCCATATAGGAGAATAGAATGTCTCCCTTAACATGTGGCAGTCCCTATCAAGTAACAAGAATGCATGAGTTTTTACCCCATACAGAACAGAAGTTTCTGGGAGTGGAACCTCACGCGCCTCGGAAAAAGCACTGATCATCTTAGCTCGCGTGTCCAAGGCAGCTGTCTCAAGTTATATCTGGCTAGCTAGTCTTGGGACTGGCCATTAACTATATTTTCAGCCGTGTTTCGATTGCGTGCTACACGAAGATACCGATCTACAAACTCTCGGTCCCTTTATAGATGCAATGTGGCAAGTGATCCCTTGCGAGTCGCCAGGGCGCGTCTAGGTCCACCAGCCAGCCGAGTTTGAGGTTCGGTGCACCGGCAACCTCCACATACTTGTATGTCACGTGTTGATCTGCATATGTTGACAATCCTTGATAAGATATGTACAGACTCCTCTAAAATCAGAGTCGAGATACCTGACGCCAAGTCTATGGAACAAAAACGTGCAAAATCCAAGATCGACCCAAACAATGTACTCCGTAGATGGCATTGGATCTAGGAACCATTATGTTTCCTATGTTTAGATCTTCTCACGGTAGGAGTCGGGTAGCACCCGGTCTTCGACGCGGCGCATTAGCTTGTTGGTCTGCTCCGCGAGACTGAGAGTCAAGATCTAGAGGTGCGGTTAGCGTGTGTTTAACAATGCGAGTCTAGACTCGGCACTTACGGTGTGGGGCAGGATGCGGGCCAGGTGAGCGAAGAAGCCCTTGTAGATAGCAAGGACACCCTCGGTGCGGATCGTCTTGAACAAGCAGTCGAAAACACCACCATACAAGTTACCAGTCTGGTTGTACATACGAGCCATGATAGTGTCTAAAAGTGTCAGCATGGGACGGATACAGCTCAGCTCAATCTTGAGGGCACGTACCAGGAGGGTGCATGAAGCAGCACACAACGAAACCGGAAGCCGCAGAACTGGCCAGGTGCAGAGCAGGGCCTTCCTCCATACCCAGATGGTGGGTCAAGCGGCGCTTGGCAAAGAAGTATGTTGGTAGCTGGACGGAACTACCGAAGCTAGTACGGATCATGGCTGCGCCAACACCACGATAGATGCCCTTAACACCTTCGCTCTTATAAATCTTGCTCAGACCATCGAATGAGTTCTTGTAGTTGTGCTGGGTACCGACGGGGAGGAAGGGCGAGTAGGATTGGAGACGGGTCTTCACGAGGAAGAAGGGCGATCCTGCGGCAGCACCAATAACACCTGAAGCGGCTCCGGCGAAGACATTGGCACCGAGAGATTGGATCTTGGGGTCGTTATAGATAGCGGATGTGAGATTTGAGCGGATGGGCTCGTAGAAGCCCAGACGGCAGCCGTTAAGCAACACCTGGTAGACATACTAAATGGTCTCGAGATTAGCGGGGTACTGCGCAAATGCATGTCACTTGGAGATCACATAGATCACATACAGCAGACCCAATACCACGGAACAAGCCCCGAGGCCCTTCATTCTGAAGAATGACCTTCACACCGTGCAGCACACCCCTGTACTTCTTCACGGCCTCGTTTTTTGTCTGCAATTCACCCTGCAGTTGTAACCTTTGACCCAATTATCCATGTCAGTATAATTACGCATCCATACTGGGGGTTTTCGGAACCCACCGAATCTTCACCGTTTCGAAACTGTGAGTAACGGTGACTGCACCGCAGGCTGCGATACCGCCTGCGAGGAACGCTCTATTCAATTATATCTGTTAGCGCAAGTCCCACAGGTAATCTGAAAGCACATAGATATCCCATACCCTGTAGTGGTAGACATAGCGCTTGGTTGAGAGTATGTGGAGGAGGATCGGGTTGCTGAGGCTTGTATCGGCTATCGGAGGGATATCGGACCTGCGATGACACGAACGTGGCGAGAGAAGGCTTCGAGGCGGGAAACGTGCAGATATCCTGCCTGTATGATCAAGCCAACGCCGTCTATGGATATTATGAGGTCTTTCGTCAGATGTTGGAGAAGTTAAATGCATAAAAGCTTACATGCGGCGAATTGAAGTCTGCCACACGGTGATTGGTCAATGGTGCCTGGCAGGGCCGACCTCGGGCCAGCCCCGGGTTTTTATATAAGCAGGGCGGTGAGGCTCGCCGCAAAAAAGCAGGCGCGTTTGGAGCTTGGGGAAGAAGCTATCAATGATAATGTTTTGAGCCCAAATTTTTTGTTTTGTTTTTGTTTACAGACTTCGTCCTTCACTTCTCCTCCTCTTGACCTCCCCTTGTCATCTTCCATCATGGCTGAAGGTCAAGCGTCAACACCCCAGCAGGGCCCGCCCTCTGCCCAAGCTCCCCTCCAGTCCCAGAAACTCTCGGATACCATTCGGGCCTTCCACCCTATGAAGGTACGTCTATCTGGACACTTGCGTGGACGGGGATCATGTTGACAGTGCTCTCGTGCAGGGTTTCAACACCACTAAAAAAGAAGTCGGGACTAAATACGTGACATCTCTGGATTTTGACGACCAGGGCGAGCATCTAGTCAGCGCAGGTGACGATGAGGCCATGCATCTCTTTGATATCAAGGAAGGCAAGCATAGCAAGACAGTTGCTAGCAAGAAGTATGGTGTTCATCTCGCGAGATTTACCCACCACTCTCGCCAGGTCCTGCATGCGAGTACCAAGGTTGACCGTGTGTAACTCGATGGTCCTGCTTTGATTTATGTAGCTTACCATTCACAGACTCTCTGCGATTGCTTGATACACACAATGAGGGATATATTCGCTATTTCACTGGGCATACTGACAATGTTACCTCCCTCAGCCTTTGCCCTGGCAGTGACGCTTTCATATCCTGCTCCAAAGATGATACTGTGGTGATTTGGGACCTCAACTCTCGGAATCCTCAGGGCAAACTCAAACTTGCGACTCCATACCTATCTACCTTCGATCCTTCGGCTTCAGTGATCGCAATTGCCTCTCAGTCTACGTCTTCAGTGCTTCTTTACGATTTCCGTAACTTCGACAAAGCCCCCTTTGCGACCTTCGACCTTGCGCCCTTTGAAGAGGGATTCACACCGTCGACTCGGGGACGAGCCTGGACTCGATTGGAGTTTTCTAATGATGGAAAATACCTGATGCTCGGAACGGACTACCATGGCCACTATATCCTCGATGCCTTTACCGGTGAGATCAAGTCTTTCCTGGTTGGCAAGAGTGGATCATCCGGCCGTGCTGCACCAGTTTCCACGTCTGGAAAGCCCCTTGGACAAGGAGATGCATGCTTCACCCCTGACGGCCGATACGTCGTTGGTTGCAATGGCGAACAGGGTGATCTGCTTGTGTGGGACATGCAGCAGCAGGTCGAGGCCAATGGAACACTGCAGCCGACTACTAAGCTGCATTACCGACACCGGGCTAGTCTTGTTGAATTCAACCCGCGATACAATATGCTTGCTTCAGCTGATAAAGAAGTCGTTTTCTGGGCACCCACCGAAGCGGAGAAGTAAAGCACAATCTAGCCCACTAAGCAAGGCCCAAATTCCAATAACCACCCCTAACACCAATCACTGAAACGCCTATCACGGAGAAGCCCATCAATGCAATACTCACAACGGAAATAACACAGAACAACATCAGTGGATTAATGGATTGACGAGTTTCTCAAAGGTCTATGGTGTTTCTATCATGACTTCTATGGTCCGAAAACCGGATTTCTATGACTATGCTTTTCGATCTTTGTCTTTGCCCACCAAACTCCGTGCCGTGTCACAGATCCATACTTTGGGGCCTTCCAGAGAAGGATCCCCATTCCTGTGCTTTTCGACCGTGGATTCGATTTGTTTGTTGATGGTCCGATTGCTGGAAATTGTCGTCAAATTGTTGAACCAGCCATACATGAACACACTGTAATTGATATCCGACAGCTCGTTTGCAAGTTCCTGATCCACTGGAGGAATGTTGCCATGTTTGTGAGTTGAATCAAAAGTTGATTGGACGTCAACTAGACTGATGGGAAGTTTCCACCCTGTGGGAACCTCATAATCTGAAAGTTCCTGGAACTTTTGAAGCATAGCAGTGTGATCAAGTTGCCCATATGGAGGATCTCCCATCATGATCTGGGTGCGGGTTTTCTCTGTTTCAGTGCCGATGGTTTCAACGATTTCTCGCATCCGCCCAGCAGCTTCTTTTGTGCAAACAAGCTTGTGATCCCCCATAGCGGGCCAGAGCTCTGTTGGAAGCAGTGGCTTTTGCTTTTCAACCTCAATTTGTCGAAGGATGGCTCGGTGAAAATGGGGCTCCGGCGGAATGTCTTTGAAGTGCGACAAGTCAGACACCATGGCAAGGAGGAGAGTGCAATCGACATTCAGGGTAGAAGTAAACTTCTTGAACGGATGAGGAAGAAGATGCTCCAACCCAGAGTGAGTCGTTAGCTTCAGACTTTTCTTGCAATCAACATCCATACCCCAACTCCGCATCTCCTCAATAATATCATCAATCTCATCAATATTTCCCTGTTCTATCCTGGGCAAAACAACGCGAATGCGAGGATGTTTATACCCAACCAGTGTAGCATCAGCCGCCTTCCGTAGATCCACCGCCAACCGAATAAGTTCCAACTTATCATCTCCGTCATCTCCATACATGTTGCGCGTTCTCCGAGTCATCGGAAGCATCCGACCCTCGACCTTCACATGCTCCATAGTATCCTCCCCCTCCATCTCATCCTCCGAATCATTCTCCCACTCCCAACAATTCTTCGCCATCTCAAACAAAAGCCGGTCCTGCGTGACCGTAGACACTTTCACCCATTCGGCCCCATCATCAGAAACAATATCCACAAACACACTATTGCGCTTATCCTTATTGGGCTGCTTCTCGCCTTGCCCGACACCATCATTCTTCTCTGCAGCCTTCTCCCCAGCTTTAGAATGCTCCTTCTCATCCCAATAAAACCGCTTCCCAAGCGCTGTCAACCCAGAACACGTCCCCTTGGCTATATCCCAAACAGATTGATAAAACGGTAGATTTGATGAGCGCAGCGCATGCAATAACCGCTTCTCTACTTCCAAATCGAGCTCGGCTCCTTCCTCTCCTTGCGTATCACCGCTAGCACTAGTAATGGTAGCACTTTTCATCTGTCTCTCCAATTTCTCCAGCATCTTCAATTCGGAATTGACATTTGATCTGAACTGACGCGCTTCCACGAGCTGTGGGTTGCGTAGTGTTGATGCCAGGAGGGATTGGTAGGTGTCTATTTCAGAGAGGAGATTGAAACAGCTTGCTTTTAGTTCGGCTGAGAGGGTTGCGCTTGTTTCTTCGTTCGCCTTGCATTCGGGGTGGTCGTCGATGTGTGTGTCTGGTGGCATTGTTGTTGATATAGGTGTTATAGATGTCGGGTTGGGATATAGTTTGACTGGGTGCGTTGGTAGATTGCTCTGTAAGGACTGTGGAGGTATGATATGGTTTGTAGGATGGTTTGTAGGTATAGGGTTTGGGAGGCTTGAGTTATGTTTTGCGGTTTGTGGCGGTGCGGGGTAGCTCTGGTAGGGATTTCTTTTTCTTATCAGATGAGCTGAGGTGTATACGTGATCTGGTAAGTGAGTGGTGCCAGAGAGATTATGTGGGACACGTCGAGTCGTGTGCGACTTCTTTGATCAGGGAGCCTTGAAGAGTCAGAGCGGAGGATGGAGTGCGGCTCCGCAGCTGCCGCATGAGATATGGATGAGGCTCCCGATGACTCAATCTAAACTGGCAGCCCTAGAGAGTTCCACGGGCTTCTTTACACTCGCAGTTGATTCTTAGATTCAATTGTGTCAGACAAGTATTGCTATTTATTTCATAGTAACACCCATCGTATGGATGACTAGGGGTTATAATCGGGAAACCGCTGTCATTGGACAAACTGCTAACTACCCACAATATAATAAAGACAAGCCAGGAGAAACAAGTATTCGACATAAGTGGGAAAAAGAAACCAACGCCCTGAAATGCTTGCATTCTCATCCCGGAAGTCGGTTGAACATTGCCTAAGCCGAAGAAAAAAGACAATCCAATCTGCCAGATGCCTGACCCCAGGTGATGGTTCTTGCGCCCACCAGAAACAGCATCCACATAGAAAACATTAACAGTATTTAGTTTAGTCTTTTTTACCTGTGAGTCTTTCCCTCTCGTTGGAGTTGCGAGGGGACTCGTCGTCGGACCACTTGTCACCATCCTCTTCACCTACGGCGAATATAGTCTCCTCGTCGAGAGACTCGCGTTGCCGGGGCGCCGACGAAAAGGGCTTGGGAGGGACGGGTGACAAGTCACGGCGGCCCTCTGCAGCTGAGCTGCCGGGGTAGTCTGGAGGAGCGTCATAGGCATCCTCCTCATCCAGGCCGCTGCCAAATGACCGGATCTCAAATCCATCATCGTCTTGAGCGAGCTATAATAACAGTTAGCAATACATTTCAAAGTTTCAACACACGAGTCCATACCTCATCAGACATGGCAAAGCGACGGTTGTTGGCAGTTGGCCGCCACAGATAAGCGACGAAACCGATATCGAACAGATAGACCAAGTTGAGCCAGCCGTCCAGGACGAACCATCTGGCCTTCCAGTGCTGAGGCACAAAGTCGGCATCGCTACTTCCAGCCATTGCGAACGAATTGATAAAGAAGAAACCGAAGATCACAATGATGCTGCCCAGGATGCACCACCAAAGCTTCTTGTACATCATAGCCTTGGTCTTCTGCTTTCTGTCGATGAGATCCTTCATTGTGGCGTTGAGGGAGTTCAAGGTCCACACGTAGAACGCTGTCAAAGTTCCAGCAAGCGGCAGGACAATAAGAAGCACGAGGGGACCGGCGCTATCAGGAGTAATTGTCAAACTGGCAATAGAGTAAACGACCGCAAAGACGAAGTGAGCAATGGCCAAAATGCGGACGTAGATCATTGTCCGGCCCAGCGAATGCTTGACAACACCATAACCCATGCAGACGATGAGCAAGAGGAAGAAGGAGAAGGCGTTTCTGCCTGCATTGAGGATCGCGACTATGATCATGAATGCCTTTGCGCCACCATTCAAGCCATGTCGGTTTTGGAATTCTGAAAGATGTTAGATGTGGTAAAAATATGGAGATACTGTTTTCTTACCGTAGAATCCCCAAGTCATCAGCTGCTCAACGATCAAGAACACAAGTATCGCGGTGATATAGTTTTGAACAGGCACTGTCAATTCTTAGCATGGTGATTCTCAGCAGCGATAAAGTCAACATACGAATATCGTAACGGTTTTGGACATAGAGGAAAGCCCAGAAACTAAAATTTGGTGTAAGCAGCTGTTCGAAGACCGGTCAAACGTATGAAGTATCACATACATTCCAATAACAGCGTACACAATAGTCAAAGCTCCGTAGAAGGGAAGCTTTGCGATCTGTGCAGCGGGAAGCTCGCCGTATGAATTTCGGAAGGTGACCACGGCCCCGTAGTCTTCTCCGGAGTAGGCGTACGTGCTCACGCAGTAGAATCCAGTCTTTCGGACAGGGTATTTCACGGCATCGGGGTTGTTCAGGTGGATGGCTTTTGACATGATGGGGTTTTGTGAGACGTCGGTAGCATTGCTGGTGAGGACAAAGGAGCCGAGCTGGTCTTCGGTACAGATTTTCGCTTCTACATTCGAAGCATCGCAGATTGTTTCCTTGATCTAAGCTCAGTTACTAAGTGCGTCCCTTCTTTAGATGCATTTGGGATACGTACCTCAGCGTCATCGGACCGGTACCTTCCAATGAGATTCTCATCGTTCCATTCAAAAATCACCAAACTGGCCAGCGGATCGCTCTCTGCAGAGTCGGACTTGGTAAATTTCACCAAAATGAAAGGGTCGACACTTCCTCCCCATGCTTTGCGACTGTACATCCCTGAGCATCGTTGCCGGTGCGCATCGTCGGATTTCTGTTCACGACACCATTAGCGACTGTGATATACCAATTGGCTGAAGCTTCATCGAGGGCTTACTTACCAGTTCAACATCATTAGCAAGCGCTTGGCCTGCTAATAGGGCCGTCAGGCCCAAGGTCTGGAGCCAGCCTTTCATCGAGACCGCAGGTTGAAGCTAGACTAAGCTCCGGGATTCGGAAGGGTTCCAAGATCAAAGAGCACCAACTGAATACAGACGAGAAGGAAGACAAAGACCCAGGCTGATTGTAGGTGTATATCCAGCACAGGCAAACGGGAGGTTAAGGAGACGGGATCGTCGAGGTTCAATGGCCCCAAACGGCCTCAGGAAGCCGCGCGTGGCCATTATCTAAGCCGCCCGCACCGCCACCTTTCTATTTCCCAACTAAAGTCGACATTTTTTTTTTTGATCCCCAGTCCAGAATCAACAATTGTTTATACTACAGACACAGGTCATTATGCCAGCCAAGGAGCTGAACCACCCATGCACGGAATGCAAGGATGCAGAATCCGAGCTTACTGTTCGCCAGAAGCAGCTTTGTCGGTATGCGGCAATCTACTATCTACAAACCCCTCCAAGTCATGCTAACAAATTCTTGACAGCCACTGCTTTAAGCGCTTCATTACACACAAAGTCCATATGCACATCAACACAGTCTACAAATTTCGAAAAGAGAACAATGGTGCCCGCCACCAGTTGCTCCTCCCAATGTCTTTCGGCGTCTCCTCGTCGGTCTTGCTGCACATGCTGAATACCGATTTCCAGCGCCGCCTGGATAATGAGCTACCTATGGGCTACGACCTTCATATCCTTGTCGTTGAGCCTTCTACCATGACAGCTGCAAGCGCTCCCTGTGATCAAAACTATGAAGCACTTCAAACGAACAACTCTATGCGCACTGTCAGCCGGATACCATTCCACAGCATCTTCGAGTATGTGCCAGAAATGGAGGAGATTATGCGGGAATATGCAGGACCCCAGTTCGTGGACGATACCTCGAGGTCGAATGAAGAGCGCCTGGCTGCCTTCCGTGCATCAATTTCCACAGCCACTTCCAAAACTGATGTGGACACCGCTTTGCTAACTAGACTCGTCGTTGAGTTCGCGAAGAAGTCTGGTTGCACATCAGTGCTTTGGGGTGATTCGGACAGCCGTCTTGCCGCAAAAGCGCTTGCTGGTGTTGCCAAGGGACGCGGAGCTTCCCTCACTTGGCAGGTATCAGACGGCATGTCTCCTTGGGGGTTGAAGTTCCAATATCCGCTGCGAGATCTGTACAAGACCGAGTTGCTGGAGTATGCGGGTTTCACACCAGAGCTTTCTGAGATCATCATTCCCGACGAACCGCCCTCAGATAATGTTCTTACCAAGAACCTTTCCATTGACGAATTAATGATGCGGTACGTCCAGAATCAGGGGGCAAAGTACCCAGGTGTCATGGCGAATGTGGCCAGAACAGCCAACAAACTCGATCCATCTGACACTAAGACTGCACCCTCGTGTACCCTTTGTGGTGGCCTTTTAGGAAACGTCAAGGGTAATGTCGGGGTTACTGTCGCTGGCCAGGCAGAAGATTGCCAAAGTTCTCAATTCTGCTACGGGTGTATGCGATCTCGCCCTGGGGCACTCTGCTGAAGGAAATCTCGATTCATGACTAAATGGGACTATTAAAACGGCACGAAAGGGGGAAATACAAAAGAGGAACGCTCCACCCAAACCACTGGTCAACATTCATGGGGTATCTGAAATCGTCATCTCAATATTTTCACGAATTAGGCACGGCCTCGCTCCAAATCCTCATCTGGATGGCTTGCTCCGCCAAACCACCTGCCAAAGGAACGGTTCCGGGACTGCTTAGCAGGCTGAGGCCTGGTTGGACCCTGGGCGTCATGACTCGACGGGTGGGCATATTCATAGTCCGGGGGGCTTTCGCCCACCACACCACTTTCTTGTCTGTCAAATGCATCGGGGAGGCTAAGATCAACCGCGCCGGCTTGCTCTTGTCGTCTGGTTTGCTTCGAGAGCGTCTTGGCACCCTTTTCGCGTAGGTGGGTTTCGAGAATCACGGCGTTTCTGGTGTTGGCTTTGTACACTGCATCCGCAAGATCACCAATGAAAGGAACCAGGCCAATAAAGAAATCGATTATCACATTGATCATCATCTTCATGCGAAGAGCAGGAGGAAGTCCACCGTCGACTCCTTCGCAGGACTTCACAACCATCATTGCGAGCGCGGCATCTCCAGCGTCACCGATACTATACATCATCCATTATCAGCATTGGTTCATGTTTGGGACGGGTCACGAGTTTGCTGGAACTTACAATGGGACAAGTCCGATCACACTTCCCCAGCCGAAGCGAATTCCACACAGGTTGAAGAGAGCATAGTCCAGCTGGTAAGCTCTACGCTTGACCTTGGTTAGGACTTTGACGTCATTCTCTGAAAGGCCTGGCGGGATGGCTTTGCGACGCTTCTGGGTCTTCTTTCCGAATGTACGGGCGAGACGTGAAGCTGGTACTTCTTCGAAGTAGGGGTCCTAGATAGAATGGCTCGGTTAGTTTGGTCTTCATTGACAAAATTGAACATTCCTATGAGAGGAAATAAACTCACCTCGGTTCCAAAGTGGTTTCTCGCAGTTTCACCAAGGACCTTCTTCCCAACCATAGACATTAGCAGTTTCGACATGTTTGGTATTGATCACGGATTTCTCAGGTGGGTATTGAAGGGTTGTCGAAGTAGGAGATCTCCCAGGAGAATGTTCGAAGAAATAGAGGGATATCGAGCAAGGGTAACAAAAATAGACTATGCGTATAGTCTTTGATCCAGACCCTAAACCCTTCTTGGCTCAAGGAGGGGGAAAGGAGTTTCGGTAGGCGCTCGTTTCACTTATTATCAGTAAGGACACAAAGGGCGCGTGCAAGTGGTTGGAGAAAGTTGTCCCTGAGACTGGAAGGGATTAATATAGGAATGACGAAGACCCAGGACGATCAACTGTTTATGCACAACCCAAGTCACACGTCATTGTCCCAAATCTTGGAATCCGGTCAGCCACATGTGGCGCTCAGATTAAGCACCGCCACATCTTAGTCACCCGATCATCACTTGGGCAGCTCCGCGCAGCGCAGCGCTGTTTCCCAACGCCTCGTTTTACCTTCCTTTTCTCTGATTCGATCGGAACACTGAAGCACTCCCTCTCAACAAACCTTCCTCTGCTATCACCTTGACCCCGCTAGTCAACTCGCCACAGCAACACAGCCCTGGGTTGGTCCACCCTTCCTGGAAGCTGTCAACGGTATTGCTTGCTTGTTTCGGCCGTTTGCGCAGTCGGACAGAGTGAGCAGCTGATTCTCGGTCATTTGTGTGCTGAAATGCCAAAGTCTATTCATCACTATGACAGAATCAAAGATGCAATTAGAAGATTGTAAGTGATTCCTGATCAATTGAAATGACGACAGGCCACTGACTGAGGCCCGCGGGGCTATTGTTAACAGGGCTGGATGACCTGTGTGTCCGGTTCATCATCAACCTCCCGCGCGAAGAGCTTGAGTCAGTTGAACGGATATGTTTCCAAGTCGAGGAGGCACAATGGTTCTACGAAGACTTTATCCGGCCGCTCGACCCAGCTCTGCCGTCGCTAAACTTGAAGACATTTGCCATGCGCATTTTCCAGCATTGCCCGCTCATGTCACAATGGTCTCACTATCACCACACGGCTGCCTTCTCAGAGTTCCTCCATTACAAAACCCGCGTGCCTGTCCGCGGTGCGATCATGTTGAATGAAGACATGGATGAGGTTGTTTTGGTCAAAGGCTGGAAGAAGGGCGCCAACTGGAGTTTCCCTCGCGGCAAAATCAACAAAGGCGAGAAGGATCTGGACTGCGCCATTCGCGAAGTCTACGAAGAGACTGGGTTTGATGTTCGGGATGCTAAGTTGGTCAAGGACGAAGATGATGTCAAGTTCATCGAGATCACAATGCGAGAACAGCACATGCGACTCTATGTCTTCCGAGGCGTGCCCCGTGATACGCACTTCGAGCCCCGCACTCGAAAGGAAATCAGCAAGATCGAATGGTACAAGCTTTCGGAGTTGCCGACATTGAAGAAGAGCAAGAACCACGATGAAGGGTTCGCGGTCGCGAATGCAAACAAGTTCTATATGGTTGCACCTTTCCTACACCCGCTCAAGAAATGGATTGCCCAACAGAAGAAGATTGGCGCCAAGGCTCAGGCTGGCACAAAGCAGAATGCACAGGCTGAAGGCTATACTTCTATGGATGAAAATGGCCACACTAATGGAACCCCAGGGTTGTCTCTTGCAGAGATGGCTATCTCAAATAATCTTCCTGAGGTTGCCTCTGCCGAAGATGCCTCATTCCACTTGAAACGTTTGTTGAAAATTGGTGCAGCGCCGGCGCAAGTTGAAGAAGCAGGTTTTGAGCCAGTTCAAAACCCTGCTGTCGACCCATCCAAGTCGAATGCGCTCCTTGCCTTGTTGAAAGGTGGCTCTCAAGGGAATTTCTCACAAGCCCCTCGCAATGATGCAATGCCACCATCTAATGGAACCCATCCTCACCTTCCACCTGCGGACCAACGGCCTCACATGGGTCCAAATTTCTTCCCCGGATTTCCTCAGCAACAGCCTAATATGGGGCCCTCTCCTTTTGTGCAGCAGACTTCTGCACCATTCCACACTCACCCATCTCAGCATAATACCCAACCACATCTTTCCCGGGGCAATGCATTTCCCGCAGTTCCGCAGCCTGGATATCCTGATACTCATGCAGTGTCTCAATTTCCCCAGCCTGCTTCTTTGCCGCTACATCAGCACCAAACACAGCAGCTACCTACTCGGGATATTCATCCACCGAGTCATATGCCTGCACCGTTTCAGCGCACTGGGGATCCTCAATTTTCCGAATCTGCTCAGCCATCTCAAAGCCAGGGTCCGGTGGTTCCTCCCGCCAGCAAATTGCCTCCACCTAAGCTCACAAGTCATTCGCTGGCGCTTTTGAACGTCTTCAAGGATGAGGCTTCCAAGACTCCCAAAGGATCGGGTGCAGCAACACTAGCCGTGTCTGCACACACCTCTTCCCACGTGCGCAAGACGTCCCAACATCAGGATAGTCTGTTGAATCTGCTCAAAGGCCCTCGGCCTGTTTCTGCTGCTGAACCAGTTGAATTGCTAGGCAATCCTGTTATACCTTCCGCTGGCCCCCGAGACAAGCAGATTCTCCAACGTCCGCAATATCAGCATTCTCACCTTACTCATCCAGCGATTGGTCCGAGTAAGGGTCAGGCAGGGGCAGGACAAACATCTGCCACCGTGTCTGGACCTTTGAACATGCCGCAATTCGAGGCAATTCCTAAGTCGACACATAAGAAGTTGAACGACGGACCGAATCGCAAGAACCATGCAAACAGACGAGAGCAGTCTCAATCACAGCAACTTTCTTCCCCCATTACTATTCTCCCGCGACCACAGTCCGTTAAACGAGAGACATCTTCCTCGGGACCTGTTGCACAAGCACCACAGGTTCCTAGCCAACCCCAGGCAACCCCTATTGAGGCACCCGAGCCTATCAAAGCCTTCCAGCCACAGATTCTACGTCGATCCGACAAGACGGGCTACGAGAGTCTGATGGCGGCAGCTCCGCAGCCCTCTGCTGAGCGCAAATCGAGCTTAGCAGATGTCCAGACCAATGCACAGGGCCTGGCGCCACAGGGCAAATTTGACCGACGCCCAAGCCAAACGGCCGAACAGAAGGAAGCCCTTTTGTCTCTGTTTAGCAGAGCACCGGCTTCTCCCTCGCCCGTTTCTTTGTCCCAGCTCGAATCCCGGGCTGTGAGTGGGCATCAGCCTGGGTTCTCAGGCCTGGTCAGCCCGATGTCGTCTCGCCATCGCCCTAGTAGCGGGGATTCCATTTCTCGGCGTGGCACACCTTCTGACAGCGGTGTGCATGCTAAGACGAACCGCATTTCATCTCCCAGTAACAAGGCGTTCTTGCTTGGGTTCTTGGAGGGAGTGGCCAAGGGGAACAAATGATTCCGCGGTCGACGCGTCTTGCATTGGGCCTCGCCCATCGAACTTGACATACATAGCTACAGTGTAATATTGGATCAAGATACGTTCAGAGCATTGCAACCTTCTATTGTACATTTCAGATATTTTTATCATTATAAACGCGTTTAGATAGTTAATTATGGTTGTAGTTCACCAGTCAATATCATTTTCAATTTTGCTGCGCCTCACCGCCCAACGTCATCGGCCGATTTGCCGATTTGTAAAGAAATAGATCAACTCACATTGGCTCTTCTCTACAAAATCAACCATGATGCGCCCACGTCCTTCGGTTTGCAGCCGCTGTTTGGCTCGCAGTAAGCAGTTCTCGACAACAGCAAACCGCAGCAACCAATCCCAAAATGCATCATCGTTCCCGCCGCAGACGGGCTATAGCCGGCTCACCAACCGCGGACTCATTTCCATTACCGGCACCGACAGCACGACTTTCCTCCAGGGCCTAATTACCCAGAACATGCTAGTCTCCAACGATCCAAGCCGAAACATTCGACGTACAGGCGCATACACCGCATTCCTCAATTCGCAAGGCCGAGTCTTGAACGACGCCTTCATCTACCCGATCCCCGGAGCCGAAAGCAATGATGCCGAGCAGGGCTGGCTCGTGGAAGTGGACAAGAACCAGGTGCCAGTCCTGATGAAACATCTCAAAAAACACAAACTCCGCGCTAAGCTCAAGCTCCGCGCTCTCGAAGAAGGCGAACGCACTGTCTGGTCCACATGGAAGAACCACTCGGAACCACGGTGGGCCGCATACAGCCTGGAGTCAGAATCGGCATCACCTTTCTCGCCCACCTCCCAAATCGCGGCATGCCTTGACTCGCGCGCTCCGGCCTTCGGTTCCCGAATCATCACTCCCGGCTCCGATGGGCTCCGCACCCATCTCCCGGATGAAGCACAAGTCGCCGGGTCCGAGGTCGAGCTGGACTCATATACCGTCCGTCGATTCTTGCATGGTGTTGCGGAGGGCCAGTCGGAGATCATTAGTGGATCTGCTCTGCCGCTGCAATGTAATATGGACATGGCTCGGGGTATCGATTTTCGCAAGGGCTGTTATGTTGGTCAGGAATTGACCATTCGCACACACCACCGCGGTGTCACTCGCAAGCGTATTCTCCCCGTGCAACTCTATGACATGAATCAGGATGTGCAAAGTTTGCCAGAGACCCTGACGTACGATCCTTCTGTTCAGTTGACCTTACCGACTGGCGAATCGGATATCGTCAAGGCCGGCACCACCACCCGACGGAACCGCAGTGCCGGAACTTTCCTGAATGGTATTGGAAATATCGGCCTTGCGCTCTGCCGTCTTGAAGTTATGACCGATGTCGCTCTCATGGGCGAGACTCCTGCTCGTCCTCATGAACAACAGTTCAAGTTGACCTGGGCTCCAGATGTCGAGCAGCCTAATGAGATCGGTGTGCGTGCTTTTGTGCCGCCTTGGTTGAGGGATTTCATTTCGGGTGCGAAGGAGGAGAAACCTGCTCCGCGCAATCCTGAGGCTGAGGGTGAGCGGGCGAGGGAGCTTGTCGAGCAACTCGAACAAGAGGAAGACGAAGCCGAGGAGGAGATCGAAGCTTATGCTGAGTCTCACCGACGGTAAGATGTCTCGGTGCATACCGCTTTAGACTTGTATAATATGACGCTGCTCAAAAGATCACGATGTAAATAGCTCACGTATCTCTATTCATATAAAACTGTGCACAACTTCATGCATTGGGGTATCTCTTCTATGTATGCAATTGTAAATCCATGGGCCTTTGTAACACGGAAACTCGCTTCAAATCAGAATCGCAAAATCTAGGTAGCATTCGCTGCCGCTTCTTCTGCATCTGCGGCTTCATCTTCGCGCGCTAATTGTTCCTCGAGGGCTTTGCGCTCCTTCTCTCGTTGCGCATTCTTCAATCGCATCAGGGTCACTTCCTCCATGTTAGGCGTGCTTGAAGACTTTCCAGACGGATTGAATGATGATGCTTTGGGGGCACTCGCAGCAGATGCAGAGGCAAAGGATCCGAATGACGGGGCTTTCCCAGAAGGAGGAGCTGAATTCAAGCCTGGGAAATTGAAGGAGGGTTTGGCAGATCCGTTGGAAGGATTGGTGGAAGGCATTGAAGGCGTAGCCGCAGGTTCGGGTGCTTTAGGCTTGGATGGCGCATCAGCAGTAGCCTGCCCATTCGTACCCATCCCCAGATCAGGCTGGCTGCCCGATGCCCAGAAGACAGACTCAATAAGAGCCCACTCGCCGTCCCGTCCAGTTTGCTGGCGGAGCTTCTTCTCGCTATCAAGCACAGCAGTATGAGCACTGACAATAGAAGTGAAGACCACCACACCAGTCGCAACAGTCTTCTTCTCCTTCTTATCCCCAATCCGCTGACGTTTATCCTTAAGCATAAACGTATTCTCAATATTCCCAAACGGCGCAAACAGCACCGCGAGCCTCTCAATATCAACCTCAAGCCCACGTCCCTCGCGCACCCAGCGCACCTTAACCGCACGCTCAAGCTCAGGAACCTCAGCACCACCCCCCTCCTTCGACCGATCCACCCGCTGGCTACTCCGATCAGCAGCCTTGCGCGCCTCCTCTTCCTCCTCCTGAACCTTTTTTTGCTCCTCGTCCAACTCCTTCTTAAGTTTATCCTCCGCCTCGCGACGTCTCCGCCTCCCATCCTCCGCAATGCGCTCAATCTCCCGCTGAAGCTTTTCCTCGGCATCATCATCCCCACCCGCCATCCAAGTCCTCTTAACACCCTGCTTCACCCCAGCACCACCCATCTCCGCGGCGCCTGCTCGTTCCCGTGCTTCGAGGTCCTCTCGCATCTTGCGCTTTGCCGCGCCCATCATGTCCCGCTCGCGCTGCTTGCGCTGTCGCGCTTCCCGTGCATTGTCGTATAGCTGTCGGACTGAGGGGTCGGAGAGGACATCGTAGGCGATCTGGAGGAAGTGGAACTTGTCGATGTCGGCCGGTGTGGGGTTGGCGATCTTGTCTGGGTGGTATTTTAGGGCGGTGCGACGGTATGCGCGTCGGATTTCGGATTCGTTGGCTGCTGCGGGGACATCAAGGAGGGCGTAGAAGTCTTGGTTGGAGGCGGCGTGCGCCCTGAGGTCTTCGTTGGGCATTTTGGGCTGGTTTGCGACTGGTTGTCGCTTTGGTGATGCGCCGAGTAGTAGTTTTTAAGATTTGGTCCTTAGGCCCAGGTCTGCGATGCTAGATTTTGGCGTAGGAGAGTCTATGTAGAATGCTGCAATGATTCAAAATGCGCGATACTTGAATCAAAGCTCTGGCGCGGAGAGAGATGTAGATGGAAAATTATTTGGAGGTTCACGTTCGGAGCTTCGGGCGGTGGGGGGATCTTCAACCGTTTCAGTGAAGTGGATGGTACTAGATGCACTCTTATGGCAGCTTGATACAATATAAGGTCTAGAAAATAAAGGAAGTTTACTTAAGAGATTATTTCAAGCTCACTTGTCTTTTTGTCTTGCAAAATAACCAGAAATTTAATATGATGAATTGTGCTCGTTAACAATATATATTGGGCATGTGACTGTAATGAGCTCAGTATTTTGTTTGTATCTCAACCCATTTCATCCTGAATCATCAATTATTGAGCCTTCGGCCAATATGGCGCTCCTTTCACCATCTAACCCCACTACATCCCCTCCAACCAGCTTCCAATTAGCTCTAGCATTGGCCATTGTCAAGCATAAGCCACCAGATCAAGGCGTCCAAGGCAAGCCAATGACTGACTCTTTTCAGGCCAAATGAAGTTGATTTAATTGTGACCCATGCTAGAACATATCTTACACATCCGAGAGTTTATCAAGAAGTCCAAAGACATGGGACGTGATGTTGCAACAGACAAGTTCTTCGACAGTGTTTCGTTCTGGCAACAAGCATACGAACAGTCCGAAGCAGGCCAGAGCAAGTTGCATGACCAGGTCTACGAGCTGCAGCAACGCAATTCCAATCTGTTGGCAAAATTGCGAGCCAAAAACCCGGTAAATGAGAACGAAGTCTCACAGACGAGCAAGCGCAAAGCACCCGCTGGGACGAATGCGAAGAGCTCAAACGGGGCGAAGAAAAGGGCTAAGATACCAGATCAGATGCAAAAGAGTATTCCATTGATGAATGATGATTCAAGTGGAGGGGAAGACGGTATGAAACATTATTTGTTGTCTTTCTACTGATGGCGATGGCTAATCACACACCAGGCCTGTGTCTCAGCAGACAACTATATACCCTTCAAAAGGCCCTCCAAAAAAAGCCTATGAAGGCCAGCTCTTTGGCCACCGCTGCTGTGATCCTTTGCAAGTCTGCAGAGCAGGAACTCATCCGTGCTGTTCAAGAGCAAAACAAATTGACCCAATCCAACCCTCCCAATACCAACCAAGTCGCAGACATCAACGATGTTTTCAACGGCGCTACAATTGCTTTTCACCTTGTGCATCGAGGATTGTATAAATTATCAAGAAACGAAGATGAAAGGCAGCATCAAGGCCAGATTATCTACTATCTGGTCGGGCTGTTCGAATCAACCATGACTGCCCTCACTCAGCATTGCACTGCCATCTCCAAACAGAAGCCCACCCCAGAAAATACAGGTAATTCAAGCGTGGCTTCAGGCTCAGCTTGTAATCTAGGCAACCTACGAAACAATACAAAAGAGAAAAGCTTAGATACTGAGGACGGTACAGCCTCACACCTCGCAGACTTGCTCTGCACAATGGCGCTATCTCTCGACATATCCCGTACAGGAGACCAAAAAGTAATGGAAGGATTCGTATCCCTCGTTCTTGATCGCGTGGGCAAAATGCTAGCTCTATATGCCTTCCATGATCTCCGACTACCAATGAGCATCAGTCCGAGAATGACATTCCCAGGAGGATTGGAAGCAATAGCAGACGAGAATCTCATGCCGGACGATGCGCAACTCGAAGCAAAGTATTTGGTTCGGCTTTTGGGGAGAATGATGGATACCGGATCTACAAAATCAGTTGCCGAAGCAAATGCTACGCGCAGCTTTGTCAAAAATGCCAGGAATCGTATTCAGAAGACTCTTCTTCAAGCTGTCTTCGGACCTGATGATAAGTTGTTCTGGGATGGTCTACAACGCCCGAAGACTCCGCCTTCCCAGGTTATTGATGCCAAAGAAACGAACCAGGAGGGTTTTGCGGATTGGTTTACCCAGGAATTGTGGCGGTTGGTGGGTTGGGATATGCTGAGGAGTGTCTTTGCTCCAAAGTAGACCAGCCTAACTGTGCTGATGGTGATTTTGTTTTGTTTCATGGGGACAGATGTCCCATTATACCTCTTTGCGAGGTTTATACACCAGGATATTGATAGAATCATATTCACAGAATTGGTATGATATAAAGCTGAGAAGTTACTGTATGTACTTATTCAAGTTTGAGAATACGAGCAGCATTGCCCCCCAGAACAGCAGCCACAGCCTCTTTTTCGTCCCCGAAATTCTCATCAATAGCTTTGTAATTGGTCGTCACACTTAGCCATTCCTTGTCGCCCTCATTTAAAGGCGGGAAGAACGGATGATCAGTACCTGCAACAAGAAGTCAGCTTAATTCGACACCCATATCTCACCATCCAAAAACCTGAATGGAACACATACCAAACATAAGACGATCAGTACCCCCACCAACAGTAGCTGCCGCCTTCAACCCAGCAACCCCATAAACAACTGCATCAAGGAAGATATTCGTCTTCAAAACCTCCCAAATACTCCTTTGCGGCCCAGGGACAACACCACCATTCTCAACAAAATTCCGCTCATGCATGATGCAGCTCTCGATCCGACCAGCCAGGAACGGCAGCGTGCCCCCAGAATGAGCGAGCAAGAGTTGCAATCGCGGGAACTTATCAAAAACACGCGACAGCAGCATGCGAGTAACAGCGATAGTAGTCTCAAGCGGGAAACCTAGTGCCAGAGGAAGCACATGACCGTACCGGCTAGTCACTTCAGCACCACCAAAAGCCTCATTAGGAAGACCGTAATGGGGATGCAAAAAGAGGAGGAGCTGAGTTTCCTCCAGAGCAGCCCAAATGGGCCCCAATTTCTCATCGTCGAGACCATTTCCCAAGCCCGAAGTCCCCATAATGACACCACGGATATGAGGCAAGCTCTTCAATCTCTTAATCTCATCAACGATTATATCAGGACCCGGCGCACTCAACGGCAAAACCGCAAACGCAAACAAAGACGACCGACCCTTAAGAGGGAGGTTCTTATCCGGGTTGTTGGACTGATTAATGCTCGCACAGGTTTCTTCCAAATCATCATTGATGCGCCGGGCCCATTCCTGGGCTTCGGAGGGATCGAGGAAATCCAGCCATGGGTTCGCGAGCGAGATCACGCTGCTGTCAATGCCGTGCTGTTGCATGAAGGTTAGCTTGACGTTGATGTCGGAGTAGGATGAGTCGACTGGACGGCCGCGCTGGTCGATTGGGATTGCTGGGTCGTCGTCTGAGGAGAGAATTATCAGGCGTGGTTCGCCGTTGGCTGGATCGTGGATGTACGGGACTGTTTTGCGTGCGCGGAGCATCGCCATGTATGAGGGTGGGTATACATGGGTGTGAACGTCTACGACGAGGGGTTTGGACATGGTGAGTAGTGTCAAAGGTGGTATTAAAGGAGGGAACTGGGAATGATTGGGAATGATTGGGAGTTTGGAGTTGGGAGTTGGGAGTTTGTTATGTAGAGGCCAAGTGAGGGGAGAGAGATAAGAACTCATGTGGGGATGCCCCTCGATGCTACATCTTTATCCCTGCATTTCTGACATTTACTGACATCTGAACTGGCGTTTTGTTTCTTGTATGACTATTGCATCACGCTAGATCCACAGATCTTTCAAGTGTCAGCGTGTGCATCGTGTGGTATGTACATAGCTTCCTGTGAAGTACCCAGTCTGACCCGCTATAGATCCTCATATACCACCAATCTCAAGTGCCAGAAGGTAATAAAGTGAATTGGTGATTCAAATATACGCCAAATGCAGACATTTATCTCATTGATTCATGAATTACTTCTCTGCTCGCCGCTAAAAGTACTATCAGTATCACCACCCAAACAGACGCCAAGAAAACTAGATATCCACATACTCTCCGCAATAAAAGACAGATGTACCTTAAAGGTTCGATCCAGCCAAAGTGATAGGTTTCTTGTTGGTGAAGTTAGGGATATCACCGAAGACTTGGGCACTGCCCGAGTCCTTCAGAGCAGCCTGCAGGGCCTCTTCGCTCTCCCACTGAAGAGTGGCCATAATCAAATACTCAGAGCGCGAGCCATCAAGCGCTGTGGGGAACTTGGTGACCTGCCAGCTGTTGAGGCCGTATTTCTTCCAGGTAGCCTCAACGAGGGGCATGTGGGTCTTCATGTAGTAAGATTCGTCGAACTGGATATCCGACTCGTTGGGGTACATGACGATGGCGGTGTAAGGCATTTTGAAAGAAAACCAAGATGTTGGAAATATAGAGAGGGGAGTTGAGGAGAGGAGAAGATGAAATGTATGTTGATTGACCGAGGTTGCTCCAGCTGTGCAGGCAGCTTATTAATGTCTTAGTGGGGGGATCTGGGGCGATCCCGAGTCATCGCCGAGGTTCCGTCCCACTCTCTCTTTACATGTAGATCCATGATGTCTGCCTCCCTTGGAATGTTGAGATGCTGAGATTAATGGAAGGTTGAAAGGAACAACCTCACTGCAACTCATTGCAGGAATCTCACATCAGCACTGTACAAAAGTGGGTCGCAGGATCAACCTGGACCCAATTCCAACACCCAACACTTTCCCACTTCTCACTCTTTACATCTCAACATGGTTGGCATTCTAGGTCCCCGGGCTCTATCCTGGGCTTTGGTCGTGCTCGCAACTGGCGTGGTCTACACAACATACATACACAATATCATCTTCCTCACCATCGGCATTGGCCGGGAAATCCAACCAATCGAGGACTTTCCATGGATTTGCACTCGCGTCCAGCACTCTCTCCTTGAAGGCTGCGAGGACTTGTGGCTTGATGACCAGGAACGAAAGCTGTACGCAGCATGCACCAGCCTGGACTCTCGTCAGGCTTGGTCCCCTGCAGGCGACAAATACAACATCTCCGCGAGATCCCGCACGGATCACATCGCTGTTCTTGATATTGATCAACCTGGCTTGGATGGGCTGTACGGTCTACGGCAGCTCCAAATTGGCGGATATCACGATGATCTTGATTTGCATGGATTCGACGTTCGCAACATTGAAGGTCGGCTTCGATTCTGGTTGATTAACCACAGACCTCCTGTTGACCCTGTGACTGGGGAGTTCCTTGATGCCAGCACCGTTGGGGCAAATTCAACTGTTGAGATCTTTGATCTGGACGAGACTTCGGAGACGCTTGAGCATGTTAAGACCGTGGCCAGCGAGGCGATTATTACGCCCAATGGTGTGGCCGTGGAAGAAGATGGTCTGGGCTTCGTGATTACGAATGACCACAATACCAAAACTGGCGCTTCTCGCGGCCTAGAAATTCTGATTGGAGGTGGAAGTCTCGCTTATTGTCGATCTGACACGGGGAAATGCCATATCGCCGCTGACAAGGGATTCTCCATGGCCAATGGAATAGCCCACGACAAGAATGGTCACTTCTACGTCGCTCACTCTGTGACTGGTCTCATTACTGTCCACAAACTCGTCAATAACCAATTGATCCAGGTTGATTCAATCCATACCGGGTACCCAATGGATAACCTGTGGCTAGATGCAGATGGCAACCTCATTGCAGCTGCGTTCCCTGACTTCATCGCATTTGCGAAATCTACCATGGACCCGTACAATGTAGTAGCACCTGCTACTGTCCTTTCAATCAATGGAATTGCCAATCAACTGAAGACGCTCGGAAAGAATTTTAAAGTGTCGAAATTGGTGGAGGATAGAGATGCCAAGAGCCTTCCCAGCTCGACAGTTGCAGTGCATGATGTGAAGGGCCATAAATTGTTTTTGGCGGGTGTTTTCTCTCCATTTATTACAATTTGTGAGCAGCGTATCTAGATTTCTACGTCTGATACGTTGACTCAAGATAGGTCGATACATTTGACAATCTTGTTTATTACTTGAAAGATAAATTATAATTCTGGCTACTCCGCTCTGATAATTCCACTACCACATTGTACTTGGATATCGAATCCTTATGCCATCGCGAACAGCATATCCGCCCATAATTTGGGGCCGGGCGTTGGAGTCGGACCCGGAAGTCACATTGAAGTCCCCAGATGCTGATTTCCGCGACTTGTCTCCCAATTCCTGAATTGATCGTTAGTTCAGATCAATCTTTCCGTCCGAGTCATCAGATTGGTCGAGTTTCTCGCTCTCATCATATTCGAAGCTGGTGGAATCGAGCAGCGACTGCTCGCGAGAGAACTGCTTGGGTTTGGTGCGTGGATCGACATCGAGGTTGTCGAGCCAGGTACCCAACGGGGGCGCTTAGTGAGGTTCTGACTTTCCAGGAGAGCCTGTTCTTTGCCCAGTAAGTGCCTTATTGTTTCGATCTTAGCAAGCACGCGGTCGAGGACGTCGGTTGGGCTTGTGATGACTGTCTCGTCGGTTTTGGCATTGGCGAGACTAAAGGAGAGCATCAGTGGATTTGTGCATGCAGACACTAAGTTCTTCATGCAGTTCTGGGTCGATTTCTAGGACTATGAGAGGCTGCAGGCCTTTGGGCTCACCCACGGGCCCATTGGCAGAAACCATGCGCTGGATTCTTACCGGCCGAACACGTTGAGGCACTTGTTTCGGTTGGCATTTGTCTGGTCCAGCATCCTCCCAGACCCGCGCTAGAGAATTGATGCCCGGGACTTTATTGAAGTGTGGCCTAACTAAGGCATCTCCTGTCTCTTTGTGCACCTAAAAGGTGCCTAGTGAAGCTTTCAATTGAATACAGATGTGAGGATTACAGTTTTTGTCTACCTGTAGTTTCAGGTTATCCTTACTTTTATACTTGTAGAAGTAAACGATTGAAAGCTTGTAAGCATAGGAATTTTAGAGGATCTAATAAGATTGGGCTTTAGTAAGGCTTTCAACCTGAAGCCAAACTTATTTAGAAATTAAGCATTAACCTTCTTAGAAAATGAAAGAGACTTCATCTTAAGGTCATTTCATAGTGAGCATAACCTACAACCCGTTTTTTCTTAACTTGAGGCTTACTTTGATAACTGCATCTCGTTAAAGAAAGTAAAAGGCACTAGCAAGCAGTCCCTCACGGCCTCCGCCTCTCTGGTGAGCTAGCCTACATCGCAACCAAGCACCTTACCAACAAAGCCCTCGCTAAAGCAAACCCATATGCTTTCGACCAGAGCGGTCGCATCAAGTCGGCCGCAACGCGCATTCCCGAAGACCCAGCTCCTCTTGCAAGAGCCCACGGGCTGCCTCTCATTATCGTCAACAAGGACTCCGTCCCATTGACCCGTCGCCCGTTCGCACTGCACTCTGCCGCGCTCAAGAGCAAATCGGATAAGAACCTTAAGGGGGCAGCAAGTGCATTTACAATCGGCACTATACTCCACCCTGGCGGAATGCCATTGATCATCGCCATGTCGCCGGATACGAACCCGTTCCGGGCGGCTGGTGTGAGTGGACAGCAGGGCATCGACACTGGGGAGTTGCGAAGAAGAGGATGGAGGCAGCCATTGCTGAGAGGGACCCCCCGGGTTGCAAGACTTAGCCCACTCGAGGAAGGCTCCCATTTGGTACCATATCATCTTCTTCTGCGGCTGAGTACAGCTGGGACATGCTAAAAAGACTTGGACCAGTAGCCTTCGATATCATCTAACTTGAAGATGAGACCATCGTTGGGATGGTCTATGTTGAAGGTCCCGTTTCCCACAGCATTCTTGAGGTCCCAGAAGAGGAAAAACCGCAGCGTGGTTTGCAGCAGTCGTTGGTCCCCCCCAATAGTTTTGGGGCCCAAGGTCAACGGGAATCAAAGGGATGTCTTTGGGTCGTGTGTCAAGGCTGAAGTTCATGGAGGGACTCGGACTCTCGTCTGGTTTGAGTTGTCTCAGCGGCAAAGCCATGCAGCGAGTCACGCAGTCATGGAAGCAACCGTGCGAGACTTGTTGAGCCAGAGAAGACAATGACAGAATTTGGTAGACGACAATGAGTGGAATAGAGTTATGAAGAGGCTGGAAGGCAAAAAATTGCCGTATGGTAGAATATGGATTTTCAATAGAGGAAAATGACAAGGCGGCCATCGAAAAGGTATTTTTTGCCAGAGCAGGAATGACATCGTGGTAGTTAACAGGCAGTGGGTTGTGAAGATGGGGACCTGATATCTGGTGCCAGGAAATCAAAGCAAACAATCGGAGTAGGAGTTCACTCTCTGGGTGAAGCCCTCCTTCAGCGACTGGACGGTTGATGCTGTTCTCGATGAGCTGGGCAAGGTTGGGAACATGAGACAGAATGATATTCTTGGCACTTTTGCTTACTTCAAGCAAACGGAAGATTGAGGGTAGGTCAGGAAGGTTGGAAATCACGATCTTCAGGGCTTTCCAGGGAAGATGACTGAGGTAGTTTCTTGGGGCTGCCATGGTCACGTGGTCGATATAGATCTACGTGGCGGTGTGGCGGTGCAGAGAAGAGATGTGGCGCAGCAGTGGAGTGGCGGTGAGAGGGAGAGATATAAAAGCGGTGGGAATAGCACCAGCAGAACCCGTTATCTCTGATCGTCTCGATGGCTTATCATGCAGATGACCCGACCACCTTTCCCCTCCTTTTCCCTTTCCAAGGCGATTTTGGGGGATTCTGCTAACTGTACGCATTTCTACCTATTTTAATCTCTAGCTACACCCACTATGGCCTCCAGTACAATGCAAGAAATCCACCCAGCATCTACTGCTGTGAACAAGGATGATCTAATGATTCCAGTAAGCACTGCATCGGACATATTGTTCGAGCTACAGTTAACCGACGTCATTTCAGCTGATCGACTTCAGTCCATTCTTTACGGGAACACCTTCCGACAAGCATGCTGTGGCCCTTTCTATTACCAACGCTTTCAAAACATCCGGGTTTGTCTACCTCAAATCCCATGGCATTCCACCTTCCGTGGTGTCCCGGGTGTTTGCTTCATCAGCTCGTTTCTTTGCACGACCTCAGAGACAGAAAGATGAACTGGGTTGGACGACCCCACAATCGAACCGTGGTTACGTCGCCATCGGGCGGGAGAAGTTAACCACAGTCGATCAAACCAATGGCGTGGATGATCTGCGTGCATCCGCCCCAGATATTAAAGAGACTATGGAACTTGGCCGTGAGGGAGTGGAAGGGCTTCCCAATCGCTGGCCAGATCATTTGGATGATGAAGGGAAAGATTTCAAAGAGACTATGCAGACCTTCTTTGAAATGTGCAAGACCCTGCATACACAAATTATGCGTGCCATTGCATTGGGAATGAGCCTGCCGGAACATTTCTTCGACGATTATGTCAATGAGGGCGATAATAACCTCCGCCTACTCCACTATCCTGCCGTTAGCAAGGAGGTCTTCAACAAGAATCCTGACCAGGTTCGTGCTGGCGAGCACAGCGACTATGGTTCAGTTACCCTCCTTTTCCAGGACAAACATGGTGGATTACAAGTACGAAGTCCTAAGGGGACCTTTGTGGATGCAATTCCTATTGCCGATACCATTGTTGTGAATGCTGGTGATCTACTAGCTCGGTGGTCCAATGATACTATTAAGAGCACCCGTCATCGGGTAATTCAGCCGCCCGCACCAGTCAATGAAGAACCCGGAGAGGACAACTCGGGGGATTACCCTGCTCGATATAGCATCGCCTATTTCTGCAATCCCAATAGCACCAAACTCATCGAAGCGCTGCCAGGGACTTTCGGCGAAGATATTGATGTAGCCAAGAAGTATGCAGATATAACTGCAGGCGACTACTTGGTCCAACGATTGACAGCGACCTATTAATCAGTGGTGCCTTACGATCTTTACATACCCTGCCACGATCTTTATCTACCTACATAGCCGTCAATATCTTTCTGTCACTGCTTCATCTCATCAATTTGCCGAGAAATGAATGTATCTAAGCCGAGAATTCTAACAATCCATTCCTATGCTATAAAAACTCAGGATATGTACAGCGACCTATGCATCCTCGTCCAATATCAAACCCTCAGTAAGAAGCCGGCACAACCGAAATCCGGCCACCATCTGTAACCAAGATATTACCATTGATATAGCCACCAGAGTTACTGGCCAACCACACAATCAAACCAGCCATATCCTCCTCACTCCCACCTCTCGTAGCAGGAATCATCTCACGCGGGAACGAGCCATCCTCAATAGCCTGACCAGTGATACCGGCAGCCTGGAAAATATGATTCGCCATATCAGAGTAATAAAGACCCGGCGAGATACCATTCACCCGAATGCCGTAATAAGCAAACGACGTCGAAAGCATCTTCACCAACTGGGTCGTCGCAGACTTAGACGCATTATAGGCAAAGCTGAACGGTACCTTGCGGGCATAGCCCGCAATCGAGCTGGTGATGATCACCTGGGCAGTCGGCGCTGCCAAAACGCCAGGCTGCGGAGCAGGTCGTCGCTTGTTGGCTGCTTCGAGGAGGGGCAGGAATGCTAGCACGGTGTAGTACGAGCCAGTCACATTCACGTTTAACACTTTATTGAATTCATCCATTGGAACGTTAAAGAGTTCGTCGCGGACTTGGGAGAGAGGAGGGAGGGAGCCGTCTGCTGCGGGCTGTGGGGGTTTCATTAGGGGACCCATGATGCCGCTGTTTGCGATTAGGAGATCGACGTGGGTGGTTTGCGCTGCAATGGCCTCGTAGGCTGCCTCGAGGGATTCTTTGGAGGTGATGTCGCATTTGATTGGGATTACGGTGCCATTGATGGTTTGTGAGATCGTTTCTTGGAGGGCATCTTCGCGCCGGCCGAGGATGAAGATCTTGGAGACTTCATTGGCGTCGAGGGCTTTTGTCATGATGCGACCGAGGCCTTGATTAGATGTGTGAGCTTCGTTTTCTTTGTAATGCAGCTTGAATATGCGGTCAAGGGTGATACTTACCACTGCCGCCTCCGGTGACCACGACAACCCGGTCCTTGACCGAGAAGAGATTTGATGCTTGTAGATGAGACATGACGGGTGTTTGAAAATGAAGGATAGTATGTACGCGGCGAAATGATTGAGAAGAGAAGAGAGAGGGGGACCTGTTGCTAAATATTGGAGATTACAACTCCCCGCGATAGCGTCATTCCCCACTTAGATCGGCGGTCCGCCGAGCTGCCGAGGAGATGAGCTATACTTGATCGCGGAACAACGCGGACTTATTTGTTATAAATTGACTTAACCGATGTGTGTATATTGCTCTTGCATGAATTGGTAAGTTATTCCGAGGCGAAACATGTCAATTTACTTCACTCGCACAGATGTCCGACTACAAGATCGCTATCGGATCAATCTAGGCAGGTGTTTGTTTCCCTTCTATATAGTACATGTACGCATGTCGATGAATCATAAGAATCCAAAGAATCTACCTGAGACATTGACATTGTTAGTAACATTCCTGGTCTAATATGAGGCCCGTAGATGTTGGCCTAGTGCCCAGTCTCAACCAACCCAATTTAAGTGTCATATCATATTTCATCGTATAAGCGGCTCAATCCCATTTTGCTATAGGCCTTTCCCCAAGCTTCAAGCACATTTTTAAGTGAATGTAGAGTTTCTCATTTTATGGAGGCCGCTGCTAGTATTGTGTGCATAGAGTGAGCATCACTGAATCATCGTCGTCCTAGTAGAACTGTCTATAATGGACAAAGGCATGAAATACGGTGAAGAGTAGTGAAACAGATGTGATTGTCACTATCACTATAGCAGCGGGCAAACATCTAGTTTCTTGGTTATTAGAATGCTTCGAGAGCTTTCTTTCATGATTCCTATTCTCCAAATATGCCCGCTGCTTGGTTCTTTAGTTGGCATACACAGATATTTTCAACTCCTAGACTCTCTTTGCATCTCTTATGAAATGTTAGCATTATTATCCTGGTCATCATTCTGTAGAGAGATCACCTTAAACAAGACTGGAACGGGCTCAAATCCCAGAAGTATTTTTAATCCCCAGTATGAATATAGTGATGCAAGATAACAACTTATCTCTTACATTAATACCATTGCGCAGACTCCGAGCTTGGTAAATAATTTACATATCAATTATGGTAGGTCCGAGCTATACGATTTTCACACTCATCTTTGTCGCCTCGACCGAAAATGATTCAATCTAAGTTTTATGATTACTGGGACAAATGTCATTATTTGATGCTATCGGGGGTTCTCCGGGGGTGTTTACCGAACCGCCTAGTTGATACCTGGGAGGAAAGGCTTTGGTCCACGTCATTTGTTGCCATTCCGAGCCATGTTTCAGTGGATTCCACCATTTCATTACCGTGAGGCAACCAATTGTGTTGAGGGCGACTACTCCCCAATTAAACCCAATGGAAACATGCGTGGGGCATCAACATTTCATTCGACCGGAATACAGGCCGGTTGGATACATAATCTTCGTGTGCCTTAAACCCGATCCAGTGTTGACCTCGATATCGCACAGCTTTGCAGTGCCTTCGGCTGTAGAACCGAATGATGATGCCATATCGGAATGACCTGATGAATAGCGCATTGCGTCAATTGACCCTACATTTTCAATGCTGACGATTATCGGTTTATCGAAACCTATATGTACTACATGCCGCCTCCGTGCGTATCCGGGAGATTTTGTGGAATGCAAATACTCTATATCTCACACTCAATCGTCTCAAGTCTCATCAAGCAAGCCTTAAAATAAGCTGAGATGATTTGCAGAAGTGTGCTTGTACTAGCCCTAATGGGGTCGCTCCCGTTTGTGGCTGCATCTCCAAAGAAACACCCTAAAGGAGGTAGCGAACACTCAAAGACTTCTTCTACTTCTTCCTCCGAGTCGTCAGATTCATCTTCCATTTCAGCACCGCCGCTTCGAAGTTACCACACTTCGCAGCCGCATACGCCTTTCACTGGAACACCGAGTACCACTGGTGCGCTGACTGCTTTTTCAATTGGAACTGGAATATCGAGTGGTGGTGTAATTCCTGAGGCAACAAGCTATCCCGGTGACGGACAGCTGCACCATGCCGAGCCAGCTCCATATGACCCGGCAGGTGGCGTGGGCACAAACGGAAGCACGCCTGTCTATAACGCGAAGAGCGATTTTGACTACGAGTCCTTGGTAACCAGGCCCCTTTCACCAATACATAGTTACTGAAACTAACTTCCAATAGGCCCTGGCTTTGTATCAGGAATGGATTGAACTCGATTTGTTCCAAGATGCTCTCCGCCGCTTCTCCACGGAAGAATTCAGATCAGCTGGTCTGACCGAAGCAGATCGCGAGTTGATTGCATTCATGGCGCAGCAAGAAATCGGTCACGCAACTATGCTGAGCAACATTTTGGGAGCCCATGCACCGCAGCAATGTTCCTATGTCTACCCGTACACCAACGTCATAGAATTCATCGACTTCGCTCAAAAGATCACGCGCTTTGGGGAATCTGGCGTCTACGGGTTCTTGGCTCATCTCGACTCGCGCGAGGCTGCAACATTGCTTACCCAATCTATCACCACTGAAGCACGACAGCAGTTGATATTCCGTCAGTTTGAGGGTCTGTTTCCTATGGTTGAATGGTTTGAGGTTGGCATACCGCAATCTTGGGCTTGGACGTTGTTGGCGCCTTTCATCAGCTCTTGTCCCGAGAACCAGACCCGGTTGATATGGGAGAACTTTCCGGCGTTGACGATCGTTAATCAACCCAATCCATATAGCACGGGCAATCCTTCCTCTGGGTTGAATGAGACTGCCGGGTTTAATTATACCTCTGGTACCGGCCAACACAATCCAGGCTTGAATACCACATCTGGCCTGGATAACGCCCGCGGGTCAGAAAGCAGTCTTACAAAGCCCCACAAAGGTTCTGGAAAGACCAAATTTTCTAATTCAGGCAACTCATCTCGCTCCAATACAAGCTGTGGCGTCTCTGTCAGCAAGCTTAGGCCAACACCGCTCTCTTTTCCTGGTCGCAAGGTGCTGTTGCAGTGGGATGCCCCTGGAAAGCTTATCGGTCCTAATAATAGCTACGTGACAACTAAGCAAGCTGGTTTGGCAAAGTACGTTGTCTGGGTTTCCCAGCTTAACGTCACTTATACGCCTTTGCATACCGACGATACTTCCAACAGTTCTGGAGGATGGACTACGCAACCCGGTTTGGAGACGTACCAGGCTGATCCTGCTTTCAACGGGACCATATTCATTGCTATTACCGATAGTGATCCTTACCTGAGTGCGTTCAACTTGAGTTTGATTAACAGTCATGTCGTTGCCGGTCCTGCTCTGTACCAGGCTGGTTAAAAGTGACATAACTTTACCTTTTGTGTAATTTAGTGGATGTGAGTGAACTTTCCCGGGGAAATGGGAGAGGCACGGATGGATGTCAGTTTTTGGAGACTTTCAAACTTCCGAATTAGATTTCTCGAGTATTTCACGTAAATATAGAGATTAGAAATGGTTCTACCTAGGCAATTTACTACGTACACCTTGATTTGCTGAGTCTTGGAGATAGCCAAGTTGACACTGGAGGAATACCTTCACTCTGGGCCTCCTATAAATAATACATTTCAAATATAGTTAAGAGAAAATTCTTGCGTGCAAAAGAAAAGAAGAATATTTGTTGGGTTAGTTATAAGTTAGTTGTAGTCGTCAACTAGGGACCCACCTTAACTCCGGACTATCGCCGAGGCCACTTCTTTTTCTCCACGTCAATGTTTACGAGCTTTTCGCAACCCACCAGCTACAGCTCCCCCCACCACCTATCACAATGGAAGCAAGGAATCGCAAACAACGTCGTGCAGCTGCCTCATCCTCCAATAAAGATGAGCCCGAAATCACCTACGCCCAACCCCCACGCAACGGTCCAACCAAAAACAAAGCGACCGTCGAGAAAACCCTATATGACATCATTGCAGAGAGACAAAATGGTCTCAATCAATCGAACCCCTCATCAACAATACCGGAAGGATCCAAAATCATACCTGAGTCAGTGGGAACCCGCTTCGTGACAGTCGATGACGCCGGAAACCTGGTCGACACAGACGGCGACATCAGCAACCATCTATCCGCCCATGGTCCCCCAAAGAAAGGCCCCAAATCCGCAGGCGGCACCGCGAAGACCACCAAAGATGATGAATCCGAAATTATTATCGACAAGCCGCTCCCTCCATTCCTCGACACAATCCTCCTCTCCCTCCCGCTGACAACACTCCACCTCACGCTCGGCTACATAGCAGCCCACCAATACGCTGAAAGCATAGATCTACCCAAACTCTTCAAGGATTCTGTGACAACTGCGTTTCCACTCCTCACTCTGTTCGTTCACCTCGCCCACGGCCATATCATCTCTTTCAAATCAAAGCCAAGCTCCAAGACACTGGCCGAGCCATCTCTCTTCCCATTGACAAGTGACAAACTTACCTTTTCATTCTTCCGAAAATTGGTTTTCCCGCCAGCGCTACGGACTTTTGTTTTCCTTCCCGTGGCTGTCGTGCTGGGCGCCCATCTTATCGCGATCACGAATGGGGAGCCGTATTATGCTGTTATGAAGAAAGCACCTGCTGTTGGCACTATTTGGATATGGTCAATCCTGGAGTTATCATTTGGTGCTGCTGTTATTGGCGCGTTAGGGCCTTTGGCTTGGGGGCTCTGGTGGATGGGGTATGGGATTTTTTAAAATTGATGCTTCGGGGATACTGTTTCACTAAGTGGGGATGAATGGATATCTGTGGTGAATCCAAGATACAAAGAGACATAAAAGAACAATCGATATATGCCAGTTGTAAAGGAAACAATGAATTGGCCCGAGACATATAATACAGTTCAGGCAAAAATGCCGAAACATTATGAAAGTAGGCTTTAAAAAAAAGAGAAATATCAGACCGTTTCTGCACCCATAGAGGCATTCATTATCAGAAAACGACAAAATTTTACAAATTTCCCTTAAAAGAGAAGAAAGACCCAACCTACAACTTCCACCTCAAACACTCCAAAATGGCACCCATATCAACCTCACGGATGGAGTCCTTTATTCGAAGAGCCCGAGAAGCAATAGCAGAGAACCACCGAATCAGACTGATAGCGGTAATCCCGGTCGGCAGACGCAGGTCAGATAACGGCCTCTACATTGCCTCAAGCTTCATCCAACCATTCCTGGATGACTGGGAAATACATGGTATTAGAGAATGGGGTCTTTTTGTCCGTGTACACCCCGATGCAGCAAATGCCTACATACGAATTGATTTCCGCGATCGGGACCGTAGTTTCCCTAGATTTCCTGGAGCAGAGTTTATGTTTCCCACATATGTTCTTCAGTGGACGGAAACGAGTGGAATGTGGGATTTCTTTCCGTATGACCGGTCTATTAGTGATCGACTTGCTTATAATTTGGATGCAGCGTTTGAAGGGTTGGATAATTGAGGATTGGTGGATAGGAGACGTGGCTACTAATTCTATGTATGATTTCAGGTTTTGCCACTTGCTAGTGCGTGATGAAGTCGAATAGCAATATAGACTTCACCGATACGTTCACATTACAGGTGGAATCTTCAATCTATACCCAATTTTCAGAACAAAAACCTGATCAAGTGACATCCATATCAAAAAGTACCAAAGTACGTAAAGAATGACAGCGATTCATTTCTTCCCAACTCAAAACCCGAAGCCCAAAAAAGTATAAAAAAAACAAAGAATGAAAAAAAGGAAGAAAAAAGAAAAAAGAAAAAGGAAAAAAAGAAAAAAAAGAAAAAGAAAAAACCAGTGTCTCAATTCTTCAACTCCTGACGTTGACGTTCACAGAATATCCAAATCCCGACAGAACGGTCAACCCGTCATTCCCTCCCTACAACCAAAGTCAAACTCCTTCTAAAAAGCAAACTAAGACAAAACCATTCGGCCCGATGTAACCACTGACCAGAACCCGAAGTAACGACGGGCCGGAGTATCAAATCAAAACCATGGAAACACTCAGCCAAGATGCGCTTAAGAGCACGAGCAAGCTAAAGTTCCCAGGACATGCAAGATCCAAATTTGGGATGCGCCATCAAAGAAGAAGAATTAAACTCTGCCCTAGTCGTCGATCGTTAGACCCAAGCGCGGAACACGGGATATGGATTGAACACGGGACACCGGGGACGCGGGTAGCGGGTCGCGGGTCATGGATCCAAGGAACGATTGACACGTAGATTGCACATTTGACATTGAACGTGTAAGTTGACTATAGCCCCACCCCTTGCAGCACTATAACTGCTACACCAAAAACAACCCGGCAAAACCAAACTCCGTAAAGGGGACACAGATCAATAGTTGTTTCAGCCACAATTGTGCAGTCTACAGCCTAGATGTCCGTGTATGGCCTGAATATTTGCCACGATTTCCTTTTTTTTATATTTATTTATATTTGGCTGGGCGTGCAGCTGTACTTCGGATATCAGCCGAACCGAGATCGGGCATCGTGGATCGGGCATCGCGAATCGGAGCTAGGCTTAGCTTGGCTGGTCACACGATCTATAACGGGCGGGGTTTGCTTGAGAGATAAGTCGGGTGATGACACTGTACTCTGTAGGAGGCGGAGACTATTGATGATGTTCGACTCCACTGCGAGAGTAAGAGTAAGGTAAGGCCTGGTTCGGGTTCCATGGTTTACTTAGTACTTTTGTTCAGTGTTGATAGTCTGATCTAGGTGATGCGGGTGAACTAAGTACTATCAATGAATCATGTTGATTGGAAAGAATTGAAAAGATAATTGTAGGGTTCTCGTTTGAAAACGCTAATACTAGAAATCAATAGAACGTCATACATGATAAAAGTGTTAACTTAGTCGTGAGAAAAACCACCCGAAAATGAAAACCCTTTCGTGAAATGCAACAAAAATCAAATGGCCAATTTGTGAAAACGCCAGTGCGGGAGACAAACGCCTGCTTCCTCCTCCCGATAGATAGCCCGTATACCCCATAGATATTGCAAATGTTATTTTTGCTTGTTAGACAGCGACTCGTCCTTCAGGTGCCATACCGATGGGCGACATATCGACCCTAGCGTGGGGTCCGCGCACACCATCGCCCTCAAACCGAGATAACAGTGATGCGACCATTTCACGGTAGGAGTTCATCTGGGAAAGCTTGAAGCGCTGGATCTTGCCGCTGGCGGTACGGGGGATCTCCTCGACGAAGATAACACCACCGTCAAGGGCCTTGTATCTTGCCAGGTGACGACGTGCATGGTTGTAAACTTCTTCGCTAGTGAGGCGGCTCACGGCTGGGTCCCGGGAGCGAACCACAAATGCGCGTGGGACTTCGCCCATGCCCTCCTTGTTCACTCCGATCACGGCTGCATCGGTGATACCAGGGAGTTGGAGAAGGACTGCCTCGAGTTCTGCTGGTGCAACTTGCCATCTATGAAAGAGGGTTAGTATCCCATACTGTCTGCGGGGCGATACTGTGGTGTCACTTACCCTCGGACTTTGATCAGCTCCTTGGTTCGGCCTACAATGTAGTACTGGCCCTGCTTTGAGTAGGCGATGTCGCCCGTGCGGAACCATCCATGAGGCTCCAGGGCATCTGTACGGCCCTTGTATCCCATAAGCAGGCTGGGGCCGCGCACATAGAGTTCGCCTGGCTGACCATCACCTTGCACGAGCTTGCCCTCTTGTTCCACTAACCGGATTTCGTACCCTGGGAGACAGGTGCCGATACTGCCTGGGTCCCCAGACTGGCCGTACCGAGTCTGGAAGGTGACGCCGACTTCGGTCATCCCCCAAATCTGACAAGCATACGCCATAGGATTGAGGTGGTTGCGGAATTGCTGCATGGAGGCTGCATCAATAGGTGCGCCTGCAATACCAATATAGCGGATGGATGAGAGGTAGTCTGCGACCTTCAAAGGGGATTGGTTAAGGGAGTGGATGATAGCAGGGACCAGGTACGTCTCGGAGATTTGATAGCGACGCACGGTGGTCAGGAACTCTTGTACCTCAAAGCGTGGTAGCACAAAGAGTGGGTGGCCATAGCGAACAGGGAAGAGGTGCGTCCACAGGGCACCAAACAGGTGGAACATGGGCAGCGACATCAAGCGGCTGACGGGATGTGGCACGTCGTAGTAGATAGACCGATGCTGTGAGACGATCGCATGGTGGGACAGGATGGCAGCTTTGGGAAGTCCACCGGTGCCACTTGTCGAGAACATGGCTGCAGGCGTGGTTCGTGCAACCACGGGGTCATTAAACGTGAGCCAGTCACATTCCCCATAGAAGAGTAGATTGGCGAAATTGGAATGACGGGCATCTGCACCGTTCAATGAGAAGTACTGGGAATACCCCAGTTCCTGCCACAGGAACAGCTGTGCACAGTGATCAATGGCAAACTCATCAACCAAACATATCTGGGCCGGGTGGATTCCCCGGCCAGCTGAGACCTCGAGCATGGAGGGGAGGGCATCGCGAGTTGTGAGGACCAACTTGGGTTCGGCGAGGGTGAGGATATGGTCGAGTTCCTGGGGTTGGCTGCGAGGGTTCGAGCCCATGTAGACACCGCCTGCGCCGATAATGCCGAAGAATAAGGCGGGATATAAAATCTATAACCAGCCCGAGTCAGCTTATTTCTCCGGCTACTTGATACGTCTACTTACACTGTTGCCAAGATGCAGCAGCACACAATCTCCTGGCTGCACATTATGCGCTTTCAAACCAGCGATCAGAGTCCGGACCAGTTGTCGAAATTGGGCCGCCGTAAATGACCGCGAGGGATCCTCTGCATCGATGAACAATGGTTGGTTTGTGTTGTAAGGCTTGGGACCTCCGAAGGTGAAGGTCAACAAGTCGGTGTAAACATCAGAGCCCATATCGGAAGTAGAGACAGCCATTGTTTGCTTAAACTTAAGAAGAAGGGCAAGGATATCTAAGACCTAAGACTACGGGGCCCCATGATTATTATATGTAACTTCCACCTTGATTTGAGATCTCATAGCTGATTTGGAATACATTGATTAGGTAAGGTTGCGCTAGTATGAGGATTTCCACTTGCGTCAGTATCATCTCGCATGTTTTTGCCCTTGAGAATCCTTCAAAGGCTAATTAATTGTAAACTCACTAAAAAAAAGAATAGGCAAAAATGCCGAGAGAAAATATTCTCAATTTCCGTGAACAGGATGACTATGTCATGAACAAGGATCCACCGAACAGGTAACTAAATTAGTGTGGTTCACCGTGGGCCGTCAATATTCCAAATTCAATAATTGCCATTTCAGCCCCTACTGAGCCACACACTCGGTTCACCTCCCTTGATACCTTGCGTTAGATATCGAGATCGTGACATGCATAGCTTATTTTCATTATGTCTTTTCTTTTTTCTTTTTATTTTTCTTTGATTTTTTTGATTTTTTGATTTTTACAATAAATGATTCAGATGACTATTCCCCCTCCCACGAGCGCTTCCCTTGCGGAACAGGGGATGTTATACCCGTAAGCCAGTCTACGGCAGGAACCGGCCCTACGGCCCATGTACCATAAACCCACAGTACTTTGCACAGTACCTTACACACACATCACTCCTGTAATCTCAGCCTAACGTCGAAGGGGGTGTGGGTGTCCTCTCCCACGGTAAGATAGAATGGGCTCAGATCGATGCCCAACCTGCATCAAGGCGATCCCTTTCCCGCGGAGCCGGCATTCCCAGGTCCAGATCGACTAACGAAACCGGGCGCCAATCCCACTCGGATATGCAGCACCCGTGCATCCATTTGCCCTAGGCGCTGGGTGGGGTTCCGTGCATCACAGTGGAACAAGAGGGGCAAAAAGAATTGGAGATGCCGTCACATTCAGCTGAATGATCGACTGTCAAAAAAAAAAGAAACGAATGGTCGATCGAATATTCCCATCTCGCCTGTTCGGCTTGGTGCATACTTCCTCATGCGATGCCGCCACCATCCATAAACCCACATTGGCATTGTTTAGAGGCGTTGTAGATGCCCTCCTAGTGGAAGAGGACCTGGCTTGGTCATCGGTTATCGTCATCCCTAGAGCAGGATCGTCGGTTTTATTGAAGCCTTGATGGTTGTCGGTCTAGCTGGGGTCATGTGTCAGCCGATCTTCTCCGACTAGCTTGCCACCTTTGTTGAAGCTAGGAAGCCGGTCCTGGTGTGCCGGGTGCAGTTGGCTCGTGATAGGTGATAGTGAACTGTGTCGTATCTCGCTCGGGCTAACCCCGAATATTCGTGAGGTGATATACTCCCTGATTGGGTTACATCATGTTCCCAATGAACGCAAACTTTTTTTCAAATCGCCCTTTCCGAACTATCCCGTCTCCGATTCCCCGGTAGGGAGTGTCCACTATTAGACACTATCATGGATATTCGACAGGTTCTGTCGTGGCACCATTGGAGCCATCCCTCGGCTTGCCCGAGCCGTAAGGGAGTGGGAGAGTGGGATGGCGTTGAGAGCTCATTGGCAAGGACCAGCTCACTAGTCTCAAGTCTGGACCAGTGTGATAGAGTCATACACCGAGAGAGGAATCAATAATGCATTCTGCAACCCTGGAAAGGAAATGAAAAAGTAAAAAACAAGGAATCAAGGGAAGAGTTAGGGCTTCGCCGTTCGCAGACCTTCCCGAAAGGGAAATGGTAAGGTTCAATTGGGAATGAGAAGGGAGGGGAAGGGCGCATGAGGGGGAGGAGAAGATGCGAGCTGAGTTCTGGAGCGTTAGCATCATCACTTCAAAAATGGAGGATCTGCCTTGGTTGGGTTGTCAACTCAGTTTTCACATTCTTCTTCCCTTGTAACCTTGACTTGGTTCAATATCCTAGTCATCTTTCCAACTCTTATATGCCAGCCCAGCAAAGCCGATAATCATGTCAGAGAAACGTCCTATATCCATTACCATGCCTCCACCGGCTATGGTGACAGGCTCGGCGGCCTCCTCGGCCTCCTCGGCCTCCTCGAGCGAGGTCACTCTCACTGAAGAGAAGACCATCGAAAAGTACCAATCTCGAGAGATAGGTTCAAGCGAGACCACTAGGCCAGATGACATGGACCTCGAGGCGCAGACTGCGCAACCCAAGCCCAAATTGTTTGCCTCGACACGCTATGCCATTCTCACCATATACCGACGTCTGTTCACGCTAGTATTCCTAGCCAACGTCGCCGTCTTTGTGGCCGTCATGACCACAGAACAGAAGCTCTTAGCCCTGGTCAATGCCACCGCCGCCAACCTGCTCGCTTGTGGTCTGGCCCGGCAACCACTAGTCGTCAACGCCATCTTCCTAGTTGTGTGCTCGATGCCGAGGTCAGCACCACTGCCCCTGCGCAAGATAGCAGCCAAAGTCTACCACTATGGTGGCGTTCACAGCGGCTGTGGAGTGGCCTCACTCGTCTGGTACGGGGGGTTCGTTGGCGTCCTGTCCCACCAGTACTGGGCAACAACCCCAGCCTCGGCCATGATCCGCCTTTCCGCCGCGCCAGTCACGCTAGCGTATATCATCCTGGTCCTGCTGTTAGCGATAATCGTGGTGGCACACCCCACGTTCCGCATGAAACGGCACGACTATTTCGAACTCACCCACCGTTTCTCGGGGTGGCTGATCGTAGCCTTGTTCCTCGCCTTGCTGATGGTCTTCGCCCACGAAGCCAGCCAATCCATGCACAAACCCCTCGGCAACTTCCTCGTCACCCTCCCAGCCTTCTGGTTCCTCGTTCTCACCGTCATCTCCATCATTCAGCCTTGGCTCTTCCTCCGCAAGGTCGCGGTGCGGGCCGAGCCTCTCTCCACCCACGCCACCCGCCTCCACTTCGACCACACGACAACAACCTTCGCAAAGGGCATCCAACTTGCCAAGCACCCCCTCCGCGACTGGCACAGCTTCGCCACCTTCCCAGACACGCCAGCGGGAACGGACGGCCCATCCAGCTTCTCATGCCTAGTCTCCAAAGCCGGCGACTGGACAACCAACACGATTCAGCAACCGCCAACCCACCTCTGGAAGCGAGGTGTGTTGACACACGGCTTTGCATACGCGATGCGTGTTTTCAGCCGTGTAATCGTCGTCACAACAGGCTCAGGCATCGGGCCCTGCTTGTCCTTCCTGGGCGACAAGAACCGGCCTGCGCTGCGCGTGCTCTGGCAGACTCGCGCGCCTCTCAAGACATACGGTGAGGGCGTGATGGAGATGGTGCATCGGATGGATTGTGCTCCCATCATTATGGACACGAACAAGTGTGGCCGCATCGACATGGTCCCCATTATCCTGCAGCAGATTAAGTACTTTGATGCCGAGGCGGTGTGCGTGATCAGTAACCCTGTGCTGACGGGGCGAATTGTGTATGAGCTTGAAGCGCGAGGAATTCCGGCGTTTGGCCCAATTTTCGATTCCTGATTGTCCTTCTGGGATGCAATACCTTTGCCCTGGTGGTTCGGTTTTGTCGGGGTTCAGTTTTCATTTTTTATTTTCCTTTCTCGTTGCAATTCTAGCAACTCATCATATATCCCTGGATCTGGGCGTTTATGGGCGTTTATCTGAAACTGTCATTGTCATTGTCGAATATTTAGAGGGGGAAGAACAGCTCAGGGGCGGGTTGTACATAGGTCTAAGGGGATTTGGAATTTCGCGCGCTAGGACCATGTCAGGCAACCCATGCCATATGCAACCCGTTAACTTCGTGTATAATTCCAAATCCTCAACTCCACCGGGGATTTGACGGCCAATTAGAGCGGCGGTAACCTGTAATATGCATGAAACAGCCTTGTCAACTTGAAACTTTGTGTCTCGTGTCTCCTATCGAAGTGCATGCATTGTTAGAGTGGACTTGCATTGCATATACCCCGGTGCTGTCTGTGTGGACGAGGTCTGGGTGCTGTAAGCAGTGGCCGATCACGAAAGATTGTGGAGTCACACAGCATTTACGCCCTAAGCGTGTATTCTGTCTTGTTTTGCCGCTGCTTTTAGTTCTCTGCTTTAATATATTCTTACCTCATTTTTCCAGTAAAAGAATAATGCGGGATATTCGCACAGTCCGACTAGATTCCAAATGTTTGAAGGCTCCACCATACTAAATTAGTGCCGTTTAGTCAGTCTAATCCTGGAACCCAGTTTTGGCCTGAGGCTCGCAACTGTGGCTGAGTATCACTCCGACCTCCGCGGACGCACTTACCCAATGCAGTAATCTACCGCGGACCTGATGGGCTGCGAAGTATACGTCAGCTATACAAGCTGCAACCCATATATAAAATAGGACAAACTATTCCCAGAACCAACAACCTAATGATCCAAAAATTCAAGAATCAAACCAACAAATCAAACTATGCCCGGAATTCGCAAGGTAAGCAAAGCAAACCATCCCATCCGCATGCATATGCATACATATATGACACATCACACATGCATATGTTCACGTCGCAAACAAACAAACCCCAATCCCAGCCTCTGACAAAACAAATCCCAGGCAATAATAATAGGCGGCGGCCCAGCCGGCCTCGCAACGGCGCTGCGTCTGCACAGGCACAACAACATCACCTGCGTGATCTACGAGCTACGCGCGGAACCAACCACGCTCGGCGGGGCGATTGCAATTCTATCCAACGGCCTGCGGCTTTTTAACCGATTGGGCGTTTATGATGACCTCTTGCGCTGTGGGTATGCAGGCTCGAAGCTTACGCTGCATTCGATGCGTGGCGGTGTGGTTGGGATGCAGGATTCTGTGGATTGGGCGAGAGAGCAGACCGGGTTTGGGTATTTAAGGATTAAGAGGGTTGATATTGTGCGTGTCTTGTTGGAGGCTGTGAAGAAGGAGGGGATTGAGGTTCGGTTTGGGGTTAGGATGAAGGGGATTGAGGATGTTAATGGGGGAGTTAGGGTTTTGTTTGAGGATGGGTCGAGTGATACTGCCGATTTGCTGCTTGGGTGTGATGGTATTCACTCGCAGGTACGCAGGAAATATGTTGATCCGCTGCAGGAGCCGGAGTATTCTGGGGTTGCGGGTTCATTTTCGCTTATTCCGGCTGCGGAGTTGCCTGCTGGGTCTGTTGATTGTATGACTGGGTTGCATGCTATGATGACTGAGGAGGGGATGTTTTTGGTTAATCCTTGTACCCCTGACAAGGATGAGATTATGTGGAATTTTTCCCGAGAGTTTGCTCTTCCTGACTCTGGGGACAGTCGTGATGGGTGGGAGGAACATCGCAAGGCTGAGGTTGAGGGGTTCAAGGATAATCTTTTGCGGATTCTTGCGGGGTCTCGTGGAGAATGGAGTGAGATTGTGAAGAGTCTTGTGATGAAGACTACTGTCATCAAGTTTCACCCGATCTACAGGCTACCAGTTGGTGGTCAGTGGTATAAGGGTCGGTGTCTTTTGCTTGGCGATGCGGCTCATGCTATGTCACCACATGCTGGACAGGGTGTTTCCATGGCCCTTGAAGATACCTTCCTGCTTTCGCGACTGCTGGAGGATTCGGATCGCTCGTTGTCTGATGTGCTTGCAAAGTTCGATGATATTCGTCGCCCTCGCGTGAATGAGATCTACGCTCAAGCTGCGAAGAATGCTAGTACACGAAGAAAGACAGGCCCATTGGGCTTGTGGATGAAGGAGAGCGCATGGGGGATAATTTCAAACCTTTCCTGGGCATTGGGATTGGATAAATTGGGACTTGGGCAAAAGCATTTGGCTTATGATATTGATGAAGCGGAGCTGTGATGTGTTTGTATCTTACTATGGCTGTTGGTAGTTGACGATCTGTATAAATTTAATTTCAGTTAGCATGTTTCTAAGCGTACGTTTTATTCTGGTGTGGTACCTTATTTAATTCGAGTATATCTGCCCTCAAATTGACATCATACTGATTTGTAAATTGTGTTATAACATGGATATATAGATATTGTATGCAATGTTATTCCGCAAATTACGGATCTGTGGATATCAGGTTGGTATCCAAGCCCACAATCTACGGGTGTGATTTTCGGATATAAAATGCCCAACAGGTTTGTAGATGTAAATGACGTGCTCTATAAGAGCACTGGGAAGCAACCGGACCAAATGGTCAACTCTACCATGGGGTGCAGAATAATGTACAATGAGATGAATGACTATACCCCTTTGACATAGACACCGAATGGCAAACTTTTTGAGATGCTGCTATCCTGCACCGTGCAAGCTCAGTCCTCAATATTTAGACCACAGCCCTTTGCCTGGGATGATCTTGATAATGAGAAACCATGAGACTATCCACCACTGTCACCATTCCACTAACCACAGACGCCCGTCAGAATCCGCCATACTGGCACACCGCTGATTGGGGTGCCAATCAAGGGCCCGAAAGCAACACAAAACATGCCCATCCCAATGTAAGTCCTAATATTGTGGGGATTACGAGGGACCTGCGAAAAGCAAGCTGACAGCATGGAGACAACAGCCCGGAGGAAAATCCATATATGATCGAGAACCCAGTTATACCAGCGGTAGGAACGGCGTCGGTCCAACAGAAACACATCACACCAGCAGCCAGGGCAGATATTCCAAGCAAGCCTGAATCTGCGTATATTTCAGCGCTAGCATGAACATCAATATAAAAGTTAAAAAGAAAAGGAAGGCAAGACCCAACACCAAACGCATAATGCATGGAAGAAAAGAACGAAAAAAACAAAGCTAGTGGCACAAGAAAGATGCAAGACGTGCAACCTGGCGTTGAGCCTCGCGCTGTGCCTCGCAATGAGCCTCATCAAACCAAGCCAGCTAGACGCTATAACAAAACCAAGTAAGGAGCACTTAGGAAGAAATCCCCATAAGCCCACTAAGCTTCTTCAAAGAAAGCGGCTTAACCAAATAATCATCGACACCAGCAGTAACAGCTGCCTGCTGCATATTATCGGATGCAACGCCCGTAACAGCGAAGATGCAGGATGGGTTGAGGCCGTTTTCTTTTTCGTGGTGGCGGATTTTGCTGGTCGAGACTAGACCGTCCATTACTGGCATTGATAGATCTGGAGGAACGGGTAACATTGTTAGTGTTCATTTGTCTTTGCTTTGGTGTCACTGTGTGTGCCACTCACCCATTAAGATAAAATCGTATCTCCGGGTTGAAGACTCGACCTTTTCGAATGCGATTAGGCCATTTGAAGCTGTATCGTAGCTGCAGCCGAGTTTGCGCATGAATGTTGCTAGGATCTGATTTATTTATGTTTGTTAGATTGAGGGAATAATAAGGGGTGTAGAGTGTTGTATAAGGGAGAACTCACCTTCAGATTTATCTCATTATCATCGACAATGAGGACGTTCACATCCAGGATTGGTTTCTTTGGATGCAGTGGTGGAGAGATAGGGAGCTCGGTCTGTGCTACTAAGGGAGCGGATGGTTGTCGTGGGATGGAGTTTAGCCCATCGGGTAAGTGGGCCGTGGGTTGCTCTGGTATGGATGGAGGGGGAACCTCTTCGGTATTGGCGGAATTTTCGATTTGCAATTGTTCGTCGTAAAGCTTCATGATTCTTTCGGCTGCTTTGCATATTTTCTGCGGACCGAATCTGCGAAACAGGTTAGCCTGAGTTTCAAATAAGACAGGGTGTACGGAGACGTACGGCTGCGAGACTAGAATGGCATTAGAGGGGATCTGGTTGCTTAACAAGGATGCAATGCTGCCCAAGACAATGAAGAATCTGAATGGATGCTTGGGTAAAGAAGTGGGCGACGAGTACCCCTGAGACAAAGCTCTAAACGCCGCCTCCTCGATGACAGCAACATCACCATCACCTTTCTCAAGAGACTCAGCCAGTGAAATCCGCCATCCCAACTGTGCCATCAGCACACCAGCAATGCTACTCTGGATAGCAAGTTTTCGTTTAGCATCGGAGCTCAAGATACCAGTAGGCGTCTCTGTCAAATCTGGATAAGCATTGAATCCAACGAGACAAGCCTTGAGCGAATCCTTCGGACTCGCTGTTGTTTCCCGTGAAAAGCTATCAACCATATTGGCAGGAACGGGATCAACCAAATGCTGAACAGGGATATAAACGTCAACCTGAGTCCCAACGCCCAGTTCACTTTTCATATTGATATAACCACCCAATGACTTCACCAGTTGGTGCACAACACTGAGACCAAGACCCACACCCTCGGAGAGAGCATCTTCCTGTGTAAATGGTGAGAAGGCGGAATGTCTGAGGAATTCCGGGGCAATGCCACGGCCTGTATCTGCAACGCGGAGATGGGCAAGCGAAGAGGCCGAATTTGTTTGGTCTGTGGCTGTTGATAGCGATATCTCAATCAATCCAGCCGACGTCCATTTCATTGCGTTGCCGAGAAGGTTCATCACGATTCTTCTCCAGGCACCGGCGACTGAGCGGATGATCCATTTGTTTTGGTGCTCGATCCGGACTACCATAGATAGTTCGTCTTCGGTTTTGCGGTGCTGATAGGTAGACTGAGAGGAGCCAGCGGGTGCCTCCTCATCTGCCATAAATGAAAGAGTTCCGGGTGCTTGTCGGCCGGTGTGTAGTATGACAGCGACGTCTTCGACTAAATTTCCGAGACTGAATTCGGAAACTAGGGTAGTTCTCTCGTCTTTGACACGCCTGTTTTTGGTCCTTTTGTTCCTTTTGGTCCTTTTGGTGGTCTTTGACGTTGATTTCAGGTTGTTGATTTTACAGAAATCGAGCCTGTGATGTAATGTGTTAACAAAAAAATTACCATGTACTAACCGCTAATATAAACTCACAAATGATTCATGGTATCCAGCAAAGTTCGCCCAGAAGTAGAAATCATCTTCACGATATCTCGATGTGCAGGCTCAAGCGAAATATCCTGCAGCAGCTCAGCGCTAGCCAGGATTCCATGAAGGGGAGAGCGAAGCTCATGACTGACAGAAGAAAGGAAGTCAAATTTTGAGTTCTCGCTGGCGGTCCAGTGGATGCGAGAAACTTCAGAAATCAAAGAATCACCAAACGCTTGGAAGTAGTGTAGGTCTTCCATGCCCAAAGGGCGCAGGTTGCTATTAGCCCACACTAACGCGCCGGCCAGCCACCGCGACTTGTTCCAGTCCCAGAGCGGGTAGAAAAGGACAGATCTAGCTTCTGGGAGGCGACGGGCCAGGCGATGAGAGATATGTCGTAGTATATTTGAATGATGGGGCGAGGCATCGGAAATGTCACCTGCGGAGGGCTCGGAATCATCATCACTTGTGACGCTGTCCATGGTGAATACATGACCCTGGGGGAAGTGCGTAATTAACAGATGCAGCAGCTCTTCCGATACTGCAGCTTGGAGTCTTGGGTCGTTATTGCCATTTGATGAGCTGAGAGCGTGGCCCAAGAAGCCACAGAATCTCTCTCTATCTCTTGGTAAGATTCCATCAGATACACCAAGGTGTGTAGGGCGTGGAGTAATAGGAGTCTCTCCGTCAGAACTTAAACTTGGCAAATCAGCCCACCCATCGGTCTGCGCAGGCATTTCACTAAAGAACAGTTAGAAGACTCAATCACAAGGGAAGTATCACCAACAATTGAGGGTCATTCCGATAAGCATCGAGGAAAACAACGCCATCCAAATCCAACGAATCCTTCAACAGCCCACTAGCCCTGGTGAAAATAGCAGCAATCCGCTCAGAGATGGGCAAGTTCTCCACAGAAGACGAGTCCGTCGGCCCCTCCAACCCAGCAGAAACCTGCTCGGACAACTCCGACGAACTGCGCGAAATAGAAGACGGCATCGTAGAAGCAGAACCAGCAGCCATCGAGAAAATCGACGAATCCTTCCTGGTAAACCCATTCGAAGAAGTCTCCCCAAGAGTCGAAGAAACAACATCCTGCCCCATATTCAAAGAAACACTCGTCTCACCCATATCACCACTACCTCCTCCATGGACAGCCTTCCTCGACTCCCCCAACTCAAGCCTCCCCGCCTTCCCCTCCAACATCCCCTGCGTAGAACTAACAGTAGGATCAAACTTCGAATGGCACTTCACAAATCCCGTCAACCCCCTAACAAGTTTCTCAGAACGGCGATGATACTGCACGATCCGAGCATTCTCAAGATGCGCCCCAATCGCATCCGCAATCTCCCTTAGCACCTCAACATCCTCATCCCCAAATCCACTGCGCGGTTTATCATCCACAACACAATACGATCCAAGCACATACCCCGACGGGCTGTAAAGCGGGACTTCAGCATAGAAACGGAAATACGGCCAGCCGGTTACATAAGGACGATCCTTGTAGAAGGGTTCCTTAGTGAAATCGCGGATGATATTGCGGGTCGGATTCGCAGTGACATTTTCTGTGCCTTGGATGGTTGATATATCCTTTCCTGTGAAGAGGGCTATGGCGTGCGGGCAGACGCCCCATTGGAGATCAAGAGTTTGGACGCCGAGGAAGATTCCATCATCTGGTGCGTGTTTTGTGACATGTTTTAGGGAGGAGGAGGACGTTGCTTCGGATATTAGGTGTTGGCTTTCACCGTCGATGATTGAGACGAAGGATCTGTTGCAGGCGAAGCGGTAGACCCCTAATTGGGTTAGGGCTGTGAGGGTTGTGTCTGTTGAAAGGCGGAGGGGCGGGGGTTGCTCGTGGTCGTGGCCTTGCTGGTATTGGTGATCGTGATCGGACGATCCATCTCGATTGAAGACACAGTAATATCTGTCCGATTTGGTCTGGTTAGTGTTGATCACCTGGGGAGATGACGAAAGTGAGGGATCGGACCTTGACAATTCGCGGATGCGTTCTTGTTCTACATGTTTGTCGGGCTGACCCATTTTGGGCCAGCTGGTGTCTTTTCCTGGTCGCTTTCACTTGAGAGCATTACTAGATAGTGGATTGATGCGAAGACGTTTGGACGTTGGCAAACCTGTTTTGGGGAATTGACATGGTTTTAGTTGGGCGCTAGTGCCTCGGCAAACGGTTTAGCTGCTCCATACCCCATTACAGTCTAGATCCACGCCACTTTTATGTTTATATTGCTTTTATAGGAAACATGAGAGATCAGGTTGTTGGGATTTGATTTCATTTTATTAGAATTGAGTAGAGAAGTTCGCTCGAATCTCGAGAACATAAAAGAACATGCCTCCGGAAAAGCCCAAAAATAAATGCGTAAAGTTGCATTGAAAAAAAACTATGTAACGAAAGTTGAATGGGTATCATGCGAAGGCAGAAACAAGACCCGAAATGCGTGGAAGCCCGTTGGCCCGTTTCCTTTCCGTTGGTATCATTAGGCCCTCGTTGAGATGGGTCCGAAAAAAAAAAAAGAGAATTATCGTAAATGTAAAGTGTGGAAAGCTGGGTAATTTTTTGGGTTTCGTAAAAATCATGAAGTCGTGATGGAACGATAATCGGAAGACCTGACTTGTTGAAGTCTTTTTTCTTTTTTATTGACGGGGGGAATCAACGGAAGGGGCTCGAGATGGTGTGCGAGAGGGGAGAGGGGAGGCAGCGGGCGATTCTCCAGTGACGAGGTCGTCAACTGTGAATCGCATTCGGCGTGTTGAGCTGCGGGTCGATTGGTTGGATGAATGGGTTGAGTCACTGTCCAGTCGCAATGATTCCATGCGCTCAAGGTCCTCATACTCGGGAAGAGGGAGTGGGGACCCGTGGTAATCCTCGATGAAGCTGTGTGTGTCATCGGGCTTGGTGTAGCCGGGAGGGCTGGCGGGGACATCCTCGTAGACAGGAGGCATCTCCTCGTCCCAGCTGATACCGAGACCACTGCGCTCGGTCACGTGAAGGTTGAACTGCATGCGCAGCACACGGGCAGCGCCAGTGGGGGTGATGAGACGGGTGTTGCGGTTGGGGCAGAACTCCTCGGCGACGATCAGCTCGATGACAAGGTTGTGCTTCACTTCCAGGCCGCCGGGGGCCTCCATATCGCAGACAGGGTTGGTGGTGGGGTTAATGCTGGCTTCGAATTGCATGCCAATCTCGCCACCGGCAGTGTCGAAGTCAGTCTTCCAGCCATTCTTCTCCTCGTTGTGGCCGATGATACGAGTCTCTTGGTGCATGACACCCTTGCCCTCACCGCCGACCTTGTGTAGGTGCTTGGCGCATGCGGTCGAGACAATCTTCTGGTGCTCTTCAATGCGCCACATCATCTTGCGGAGTCGCCAGCGGGTCTGGGTTTCGTCACCCTTGTCGACGACACCACTGAGGGTCATCTCAACGGGAAACTTGCCGATGGGGTGCACGACGGAAGGGAGGACGATACGGCCGGTAAGGTTGGTAGGAGGGAAGATGCGGATGGAGGACTTGTCGTTGCCCGGAAGCAGAGCACGACGCACATTGAGAGGCAGCTTGAGGCTGTATTCCTCTCCGGTGATGCTCTTGGCGTGTGCCATGAGGAAGTATTCAATCTGGCCCAGCGAGCCATTGCAGGTGGCGGGACGGTGTCCGGGGAAGAGGTAGCTGAACGGGAAGTCGTGGTCTCCGCCAGCGAGGTGAAGATCCTCAGTGATAAAGTTCCAGCTGTTGAGCTCCTCCGTCTTGGATGTGCAGTTGGCACAGTGTCCAGACACAGGTTTCTTGGTGATAGTGTTGCAAACAAGGCGGACATCGAATTGGCTGAGGGTCACTCCGGCGGTCATCTTTGGGACTGCAATGCGCAAGCGGCCAGAGAACAATGCGCCGGTTGAGTTCGTAGGAGGACCATAGCAGACCAGTGGCGGCGACTCAATAAGGACATCAAGCTTTGCTGCCGGCGGGGTCTGCTCATGACTGGAGCGCTCCTTGGATCGTCCGGCGCGTCCCAGGCTGCGGCGCTTTTCCTTGCTCGAGTCTCGGTGGGGGTGAATCAGGTGGTCCATGGAGAAGGAGAGACGGCGTTCGGGAGATCGTGCGCGGTCTGAGTGCGGCTTCTTGACATGTGGGATCTCATTGACAGAGGCGGTAGAGGAGGAATTGGAATGGATAGGTGTAGAAGATACCGAGGAGTGTAGACTCCCGGCAGTCCGGATCAAGTTATCGATCAGTCGGCCCGGCATGGTGAAGATGAAGTCTGAGAGAAGTAACCATATACAAAATGAAGAAAGGAAAGGGCGCACCCTCTGCTTTTGAATCGTCTAAATCCGTGGAAAACTAGAAAAATTCAATTTTCTAATTTTTTCCAATGTTTCCACTCAGGTACGCAAAAAAAGAAAAAGAAAAAAATGGAAGACGTGGGGCATTTCATCGTCATAGTGGGGTCTGACAATACCAATACCGAAACCTCACACTTGGATTCCTTAGAACCTCATGTTTGACCCCTCCAAGGTCCTTACACTATACACACATTTCCACTGAAATTTAATTGAGATCATCTTATTTCACAAACACGCAATATAATTCCTCATCCCTAACTCAGGAATTACACCATCCATGGATATCCGATCCAATGCCGAGACAGCCACCATACACGTACAAGACCTTTGATCGCCTGACTATACCCCACATAGTGTCGGCATCATATTGCGATCACAAAAGGAACCATTTAAGCCAGACTAGACCACAACAGGGCACTCGATGGGAGCACATGATATGGTATGGTGAAGGTCCTTTGGCTCGGGTGCCCCGTGCACCCAGTGACTCACGGGCTTTGTGCCGGCGTCCGGGGTGGTTTGCGATGCTAACTCGGCGCCGTAGTGAAGGTTTACCTGGCCCCCGAGGACATTCTGCTTCGTAGCATGTGGTCTGTTCGGGCCTGTGCCGCGGGGTAGCTACGTGGTTTGCTGTTCTTTCACTATACAGCGGTTGACGCCGCCCTTGAAGATTTCGGTCAGATACTACCCCGGCTTTTGATCGTCTTGGACACGGCTTGTTTACCCGATCAGGTGTTGGACGTATTGCCACAGTGAATATACAGTACCTAGTATAGGTATTTGTAGATTATCTAAGAATAGAACGAAACATGTGTTATTAAGACACTCGAAGACATCACCATCACGTGGCGTGATGGCGTGGACAAGATGTCCAGACCGGCGAAAATGACAAACATTACCAATACACCAACGTGACCGAGGATCATCGATGCCACCTTTCCGCATTGGGACAATCAAACGCAGGACCCTTCCGGACTGGTTTTGTTCTTTTTTTTTTCTTTTTTAAACTTTTCTTTTCTCCGGACACACCGCCTTGGCTATATACTTCACAGTGATGTTGTGAGCAATGCATAGGGGGGTACCCCGCACTGCAGGCTTTGCAGTTTGCGGGGCATCTACAGCAATTGCAGCAAATACACTCACCTACTCTGTAAGTATATAGAATATACAGAATAGACAAAGCAGTAAACAATAGAGATGAATATCAAACGTTCTAGCCCTGCCGCTGTCAAGAAATGCACCGTGCCCCAAACAACGAATCACCTCCGCTCCATCCACACTAATTACCTAACAACAACTAAACCCTCCAACAGCTTCACCTATAACATCCCGCACAGGGCCAGGTACACAGCTGCATCTCCAATACGTTTCGTGCAGGCAATAGCTCGAGCAGAAATGCGGGTTTGGGCTCCCGTACCCGGCCCGTGGCCTAGCTGTCTGGTATGATGTGCTCCGATGTTCACAGCATGGAAGGTATTTCCACCCGGAGCTGACTCCTTGCGGTGAGACCCTTGGATCTTTGATCACGCCATGCCTGTAATAGGGCGTGCTTTGGGGCATGTGGTGATGCCATCCGGCTTTCTTCTTGCTGTCCCGGTCAGTGCGTATGATGTGCGTCGGGATTTACGAGGGTCGGCCGATCTTTGCTTGTACACAGATCATGTATCTGATGGTTAACTTTTGCTTTACTTTTATTGTATGTATAGGTGTATTGTAGGATATTGACTCGATCTAGGTATTGAGCTGTAGGGCTATAGATTAGTTCACTTAGTTATAGAGTATGTCCACGCTAGCAATACAGCACAATATATTCCTTCTCCGCGGACCTGCTAGAAGAGGTATACCACTGTCGAAGCTAAGCTTAGATTAATACCAGAAGCCACGATCGAGAATCACTGGCTCTCATGGCTCGGATGGACTAGCCAATTGGCGATGCCGGCTCTCAGGCGAACTTCCTGTTTCGGGGCGATCTCGGCTTACCCCTCCGATCCCTTTCAGCCGGTCTATCCTTCTGATTCTGACTCAATTTTGATGTATGGGGGATTTCCCCGTAAATTGGAATTTCTAGGAAAACGCCATTTTGTCATGGTACACGTATACATGTACTTCCAAGACTTCCAAGTCTCCCAAGGTACTTTATTTTCTCCATGGTGCTCTATCGCCATCACAGCACCTTGGCGGACACATGCTACATTAGGAGTATTCTAGACGACACATCCATTACTCAATTGCGCCATTTTCAAAACCCCCATTACTGCACTAACCCAAAACTAAAACCAAACGAGGCGTAAATCTACACGGAAAACAAGCGGAAAACCGAGTAGTCTCCGCTAAGCAGAAATTTTCTGTCGGCACCCACTCGGAACTTTATACTCGGCCCGTCGCAACGTGATCTGAAAATCACCACTCACGGCCCGTTCGACTGAGTCTCGTCCCTGGTTCTGTTTTTCCCCTGGATCCATTCCTTCCTTTAAGGTGTTAGAGTGGAATTCTGGTGGAATCCTGATGGGAATGTAGAGGGGTGTGCCCGTGTGATAGGACGGGAGCCGTGGTTAAGCGCGTAAGAGGCGCTGTCGGAGGCCGCCGTGAGTCCCTTGGGGCAATTGCTCCTGATGATTGTGGCTTGGCGATGTTGCTTTGGGAACGTCTACCCGGTCTGTTAGCCGGTCTGTCTTGCGGTGTATTGGAGGTTTGGGGTAGATTGATCTGCAGTGTCAGAATTTTTGTTCAAGGTTTTTAGATCAAGATTTTCAGAATTCTCAGGAGGCAAGATACATGCATGTATATTGGGCAGATCTTATAGTCGGGCGTTATAGTCAGGCATGTAATGTGAATATTCGATTTGGCATCTATCAGCCTTACAATATACAGCTAGATTAAGTTCAAGCCTTCAGGCTTTTTGTTGCCCAGTCTTATCAGATCTTGGCCAGTGGAGACCAATGGCGGTACGTGTACAGTATGATAGAGAAAGACTGAAAAAATCCACAGTACCTGACGCTATTGCAATGCATTCAACTCTGATGATCTGGAATTTGGGGGCTCAGCTAACCGCAAACGGATATCTTCCAGAAGCATCAACATTGCCACAAGCTTAAGACGCAACAGTCAACTTGTACTTACAACTATATATCTTGAATGAAATCATAATGTTAACTTGAGTTATCCAAATTGTTGCTGACAACCTGAGAATGTTCGATATGATCACCCCTGACACGTGACCACACTCCGGGGGATCGTCAAAAGAATCACTCGAGCTTCCCCTTTTCCGGACAGCTTAAGCCACCGTGTTCTTTTTTTATTGGTGTGGTTCCTAGCCCCGGCATCACTATCATGGGTTTGAGCTTTTTGCTTCCTTCCCAGAAGTAACTGACCTGTCTCCTGAAGCTCCCAACCAAACAACCAAGTGGGATGCTGGATGCGCATTCCCCACCATGCCCAGAGCTTGAGCTTTACCTACGATAAACTCCGATAACAATTCCTACCACAACTTCATAGCCGGCGAACTGCATTGTCCCAATCCCAGAATTTCCCCGGACTCAACTGCGACCTCGGACAACAATTCCATCACCGCACCGAGGAAAAAAGCACAGCTCTCAGCTAAACAACAAACCAACACCAACACCACCACCCCCCGAAAATGTCCACCTCATTCAACTGGACCGCCCTGGCAGTAGCCATAGCAGCAGTCTTCCTCTTCTGGACCCTCAGCTCTACAACCCCGACATCCCCCTTCACACGCTCCTTCCCGCGTCTCTCCAACAAAAGAATCTGCCTCCTAATCGCCCACCCCGACGACGAAGCAATGTTCTTCGCCCCAACAGTCCTAGCCCTCACCAAACCAGAGCTAGGCAACCACCTCAAAATCCTCTGTCTAAGCACCGGCGACGCAGACGGGCTCGGCGAAACGCGCAAAAAGGAACTCCAGAAATCAGCCCTGGAACTCGGTCTCCGCTCCGAATCCGATGTCTTCATCGTGGACGATTTAGCACGGTTCCCCGATGGCATGGATAAGAATTGGGATGTGGGGGATGTTGCTTCGTTGCTTGCTTCGGCGTTTGCGCCGGATATGGCTGCTAGCCAGAAAGCTAAGGCGAGTGGGAAGAAGAGTGCTGGGAGTGAAAAAGCGCCTACGGCGACTATCGATGTCCTCCTCACTTTCGATCAACATGGCATAAGCAACCACCCCAACCACCGCTCTCTCTACCACGGCGCAGTGAATTTCCTGCGTACGCTCATGAAAGATAAAGCCGGTTTCACGTGTCCCGTGACATTATACACGTTGACGACCACGAGTATCTTCCGCAAATATGTGGGGATTCTCGATGCGCCATTGTCCATGTTTCTGGGCGTGTGGAGTAATCTGCTGGCTAGTATGTCCGGGTCGAAGGCGAAGGATGCGGCTGCATCGGGGGTTGGGCCTGTGCGGTTGTTGTTTGTTAGTTCAATTAGTGATTGGATTGTTGCGCAATCTGCTATGGTGAAGTGTCATCAGAGTCAGATGGTTTGGTTTCGCTGGGGGTGGATTACTATTGGGCGGTATATGACTGTTAATGATCTTAAGCGGGAGAGGGTTTAGGAAAAAGGGGATTTGGGTTCTCATTTTGGCCCTTTTTCCTTTTTTTTTGTTTGTTTGTGTATTATTAGGGTTTAGTGACAGGTGGTTGGCGTTGATGTTTCACGCTTCATGTGTATATGGTATTATAAGCCTATGTGGCTTCTTGTATATTTGTTTCGATTTTCTACTTTGCTCTATATACGGACGGGCTAAGAGGCGGCGTATATTCTTTCATCACTACGTACAAATAATGAGTAAAGTACATAGAACGCTCATGGAATTGTAGAATTGTGACAATGGATATCTTCAACACATAGCATAACATGAAAAAAACAAAACGCATCTATTATGAAAACAGCCCCTACTGAAGCCAATGATTGCTATCCCGCCAAAAGGCAGTCCTTTGGAGATTCATTCCGAGCCCGTGCGCTTGAAGACGAGCATAAAACCCACCTGTAGGGTTATTCCCTTTAGACACCGGGTGATCCGGGTGGATTTCGACCCGAACAGCCATCTTTCTCAGCTTAGCTTTCAGCTCCTGGCTCAACGGCACCTGGAAAGAATACAGACGATCAATCGGCGACACAGACGGATCCAGCTGAGGCCACTGTTCAAGCAGATTGTCCCACATGGTGTTATCATCGAGAATCTTTTCTTCAGCCGGGGTGAAGAGCTCCGCACGATCTGGTAGGCGGCGTGCATGGATGAGGCCATGCATGTCCATGTTTCGGCCTTTGGTGCGGGTCTCAGCTTCGAAATAAAAGATGCTGGTCTCGCCATATTTGCATTTTGCATTCTCCGGGAGAAAGTCTCTCCATTCTTCTTGGAATTTGGGACGTTCCTTTCGTTCCCAAATATCGATTGAGAAGTCGTCCCATTTTTCCGCGATTGATATTGTGTTCACCATACGTTTGAGCTGGTCGATTTGCTGGTAGACCTCGAGTCTGAGAATATCGTAGACGTGAATTGCTTCGGCAAGAAGAGGGGACTGGAATAACGATGGATCGGGCTGGGTATCGCAATACTCCTTTCCTGCCTTTTGTCTCATGTCATCCAGGATTGGCTGTAGGCATTGCAGGACCATGTCTCTGGCCTCTTTTCGTTTTGCGCGGGTCTTGCTGAAGACATCATATGCCTGCCGGAGTTGGAATTGGCACTTCTCAAAATTGCCCAGGATTTGGCTCGTTGAGGTCAACATTCGGTATGCCTTAACAGTCGGTGGGACGTTGTAGGGCTCTGCTGTCATTGTTTCGAACACTTGGTACACCATCTCTTTGGGCACCCTTCCCCACAGCTCCACCTCTGCCTGTTTCCCCTTGTGGGTCTTGGAAAGGATAAATGTTCTCTCTAGCAATTCGTACCAGACTTCATGGGATATGGGAATGTCGTACGATGACGATAAGAAGTCAATTGTCCGTATTGCAGCGTGAATGTCGGAAGTCGTTCCAAAGGCATGGGCCACAGCGAAAAGAAGACGGTCTGTTGGGTATAATCCGGACCAAGTATCGTATTGAGCGACCGGTGGTAACTTTGAATTATCCTTCTCAAGCATGATGGCCTCGACATCCACGTTCCACACAGTTTGAAGGACGTTACAGACGGCATCTCTGTCGCCAACTCGGGCCGCGGCGATGATGATGTTGATGTAGGTCTGCTCGTCGCCATTGAGCCCCATCTGAGTCATGTCACTGAATATGTTCATGATAACTTTTCTAACACTATGCTCTGCCGTGCCATATCCACGCCAGGCAGCATTCGGCTGGTTCATGCGCCTCTTCCTGTAGCTGTCGGGAGTCGTCTGAAGATTGTATGCCTCCTTTCCCAGATAGCAGTGGTCCCAGATTGTTGCGCCCATGTAATGATTGAAGCACGCCGTATCTGGGATGACTTGGTGGTCGTACATCGCGTCCCATATTTCATCAGCCAGGGGAGCATTTCCCATGACTCGTGCGCAGTCCAGCAGGTGTGTGTATTCCGCTAGTTGAGGTGGATACCCACCCGCAACTCTATAATGTATGATCTTGATCAAGTCTTTCACAAAATCATCGAAGATCCCTTCGATAGATTTCAGTCCTTGCTTCAGCACCCCCCACCAGTGTAGTGGATGGTGAAGATCCCGGTACGGTTTCACGAAGTGGTCGGGAGAGAGTAATTGTAAGGTTGCGAGGAACGTGGTCTGCGGCATCGACCCAACCAGCCTCACCGACCGTGGGTCAGTCATCGCCTTGAGTATTTGGTTCGGTTGCCGATTTTCGATGATTTGGTGGAAGTTGGCTGTATATTCTGATTCTTCCGTTGCAGAGTTCCATATTGGTAGAGTTATTGGGGGCTCTTCTTCCGGGCGTGGTACGGCGAGTTCGCTGCTCCAAAGCTGAGATGTTGTAGTCAATTCTCTGATCAGGTTGTGTTTGTCCCCTTGCTTTCGCCGTGAATGAATAATTGATGGTCTGGTTCTTGGGGCTGTTGCGACACAGGATAATCGCCTGGTTTGACCGATTGGACTGTGTGCGAGAAATTGTCTGAGTTTGATCCCCCCGTCTCCAGTTCTAGGCCGAGACGAGACGCCCCAGTGAGAAGAGAACCTCTCACCAGAAAGGAAAATTCTCCGCATCTGTACGACAATCCCAATGAAGGGCCCGAGTCTGATGGCAGTCTTCAAGATGTAATAAAGAGAGAAATTAGGAGTGGCCAGATGAGGGGAAGGCGCTACGACCCCGGATCTTTGGGGGGGCCGTGGTACTTTCTGCAGGTCGTGCTTCAGCCTAATCAAACCCCTGTCCATTTGTTAGAGAGCATATTCAAACCCTAGTCTGACTACTCTTTACATCAATTTAAGACTGTACAGTGCCCGAATGGCTGATCTACACAACCTTCCATACATTCATACCAAACTGACAGTTCAGTGGATCCGTGCGGGTACATCCCGAAAACCCGGGGTAAATGCTGACTAACTCAGTGACTCAGCATCTGGCTTGGCACTATTCACGCTAAACCCGATCAGGTATCAGCCAAAGCTCGTCGATTCTGCGTGTGTGTGGACCTGCTCCTACCCCAATTCCATATCCCTTCAATTCGTCATGGCCGACACCGAAGATGCTGGCGCATCCGTTCCGGAGCCCTTGGATCTTGTTCGCCTTTCCCTTGATGAGGTCGTTTTTGTGAAGCTGCGCGGTGACCGTGAACTCAAGGGCCGCCTCCACGTAAGCTCTCCCCCCCCCCCAAAAAAACGGTCTCCTCGGGATGACGCTAACCATGATGTGTGTGTCTAGGCCTACGACAGCCACTGCAACTTGGTCCTCGGAGATGTGGAAGAGACAATCTACGTGGTGGAAGAGGACGATAACGAGGAGGAGACTGTGCGGGTAGGGACATGTAGTTCCAGGCATTCATCCAGAGATGACGGGCTAATCTGGTATTCCCGACACAGACTATTAAGAAGCAAGAAGAGATGTTGTTCGTGCGAGGTGAGTTGGAATACTGGACTGGTGAGTGTGAATCGGTTGCTGATCCCTGTCTAGGAGACTCCGTCGTCTTGATCTCCCCCCAGGCATGAGCGACTCTTGAATTGATAGAACGGGCGTCTGGCGACTGGGCATGCTAGGAGGAAGAACCTGAGATACCACAAAAGGCTTAGATAACGATACCATGGAAATTGGTTTATGATCATCGACTCCCCGGCGTAGACGAGAGATGTACAGGCTGTGCTCTGTAGCCTTGAGCCTGGGCCACGAGATTGAGTCTTAAACAGCCCGTAATTTTAGTAAAGGTATTCCATATGATTCACTGTTCTTCCTAGACCTATCAGAGCTATAGTCTGTGGCGCAGTGCGGCTCTTGGGGATGACTCAAATCAGTGACTCGACTTATCGATAAAGCTCTCCCAGTTCCCATGTCTGGACTCTTACTTTTTTAACATTCTCAATCTCTCTACACCTACATCTTCTGTTCACAGAAGATAATAATGATTACTCGAATACAAGCTTCAACCCAACATTAACTAACTGAGATTGAGTCCACCGACCAATAACGTCACCACCCCGAAGGAGCGGAACATAGTCAACACATTTACCCTTATCAACACCCCACCTGCCTACGATGGCGCCCAAATTAAACCACGAGGAGCGAAGGCGAGGCGAGGTCGTATGTATACAATCAGTCTAACGCATTTACCCCTATCTGACTTGGCCATCCCTCCAGGCGCTCAGTGAATTCGCCGAGTATGCCGAAAAGCAACAGGCTCACCGCTCTGTCGTGCCACCCAGCGATAGCGGATATTCCACAGCGAGCGTGTCGCACGATCTCGAAGACCACGCGGAACTCGACATTCTCGACCAGCTCGAGCTGTCCGATGCCCCCCGCACAGCGAAACTAAAGGAGCTACTCCTGGGAACAGGCGATGCTATCGAAGACAACCTGCAGGTGCTAGCTGGCACAATACAATCCCGAATCGATGAAGGCCATGGAGAGACCATCTTCGACCTCGGCCTGGAGGATGGAGGTGACTCTATGGGCTTCGACCTAGCCCAATGGCAGACGGCGCTGCAGCGCCTGCGCGAGGCGGCCGAGACTATCCCCGCTCACTGTCGGGTATTACTTACCCACAATGTCGGCGGCCCGGAGGAGTCGCCCGTGAATACTTCCCGAATACAAGGTGCCTGGGGTAAGGTTCTAGTGCGCCACCATCCCGATACCATTGAGGAGATGGCGGAGCTCCGGGTCGCCGTGGTGGGGAATGTAGATGCGGGGAAGAGTACGATGCTAGGAGTCCTGGTGAAGGGTGGCCTTGATGATGGCCGCGGTCGTGCGCGAGTGAATCTTTTCCGTCATAAGCATGAAATTGAGAGTGGCCGGACCAGCTCTGTGGGCATGGAGATCATGGGCTTCGACAGCCATGGAGACATTGTCAGTAACTCGCAAGGCCGAAAGCTCTCTTGGGAGGATATCGGGAAGCGATCTGCCAAAGTCATCTCCTTCTCTGACCTGGCAGGCCACGAACGGTACCTTCGAACGACCGTCTTCGGCATGCTGAGCAGCAGCCCCAACTACTGTCTGCTCATGGTCGCAGCCAATAATGGTCTGATCGGAATGAGCAAAGAGCATCTGGGTATCGCATTGGCTTTGAATGTACCTGTCATGGTTATTGTCACCAAAATCGATATTTGCCCGCCCCATATTCTGCAGGAGACCTTGTCCCAGCTGGAAAAAATTCTCAAATCCCCTGGCGCGCACAAAATCCCCATTTTCGTGAAGAACATGGAGGAGAGCATCAACACGGCCACTCAATTCGTCAGCCAGCGCATTTGTCCCATCTTCCAGGTTTCCAATGTCACGGGAGAGAACCTTGACCTAGTCCGAACTTTCCTGAATATCCTGCCTCACCGCGGTCAGTATGACTCTGAGGGGGCCTTCGAGTTCGTCATCAACGACATCTTCTCTGTGCCCTACGCTGGTACAGTAGTCTCGGGCGTTGTCAAGTCTGGTGTCATCCATGTCGGCGATACCGTCATTGTGGGACCTGACTCTCTTGGCCAGTTCACCACTACCACTATCAAGTCCATTGAGCGCAAGCGTATCCAGGTGAATGCTTGTTTCGCCGGTCAGTCCGGATCTTTCGCCCTGAAGCGTGTCCGCCGAAAGGAAGTGCGCAAGGGCATGGTGGTGCTGAAGAAGCTGGAGAATCCTCCGAAGGTCTACCGCGAATTCGTTGCAGAGGGTAAGTTGCATGGAAAGCGCATTGAAGAGGATGTGTACTAACAAGTGTTCAGTTCTGATTCTTTCCCACGCAACCACTATCAAACCAAAGTACCAGGCCATGCTGCACGTCGGAGCAGTCAGCCAAACCTGTTCGGTCATCGACATTGACCGCCCTTTCATTCGGACAGGCGACCGTGCCAGGGTTGCCTTCCGATTCATCCAACGGCCGGAATTCTTAGTCCCCGGAGATCGTGTCCTCTTCCGCGAGGGTAAGACGAAGGGTCTAGGAATCGTTAAGAGCATTGGATATGACCCAGCGCATCCATTAAATCCCAATGCTGTCAAGAAGGAGGGAGCTACCACTCCTACCCCCCAGACTCCCACGATACCCTCATGATTTACATTTGCTTAGGGAGCTCTTTGTTTTATTCTGCTTTGCTTTATCATTCGTTATTTTTATTCCGTATCTTGCATTAGACGGGACGGGATGTCTTGCCTTCTATTGTTTATTGTTTCATAGGTTTTGATACAAGGATGTATCTAAGTGTCTTTAGCAAGTTTTTATGACCTATTGTACGACGTATTCCAATATCCCAAGGCGTGTTCCATTTAATGACTATTCGCCGATGCTTTACTAAATCATTCTTTCAATACTTCACCAATCCTCCAATATGCATCGCTCCCTGGCGTCCTCTCCATACGCGCTCTCCAACTATGTACGCCACTAGATACGCCAAGCATGACGAGATAATATCTCTTTAAGTCTTCATAGCCAAAATAGAACAGATATAGCCATCGTAGGTGGATGACTACTATATCTGTTTGGCACACCCAATCAGAAGTCTCAATGGTCTATAGATGATAGGCAGTCCATGACGTCACCCCATGACATAGGCCCAGACGATCACTTCCAGCGACTTCATTTCGCCAGTCCAACCTCATTCGCAATTGTGGTGGAATTAATGCCTAAGCAGGTGTTCATGTGTAAGCCACCGCCCACTGACGTAGCCCCCACGGGGGTCTAAGTCATCCTGTTCTTAAAGCTTGCCTGCCCAGTTGACTTTACACGTTACACTCTACACTTTACACTCAATCCATTCAACTTTCATCAATCGCTCCATTAATACGTGAATCTCTCTGCCTAGGGCTTTAACCCTCCTCTTCCATTATACCTACTTCAGCTCCGTATCAACTTCCATTATCACGCCTCACGTCTATTCCGTGCACACTCCACACCACATCACTTACCCATCGATATCTGAATTAAACCAAGACAATTTATCATGGATACCGTCAACAAATACGTCAACGCTGCTTCGACCGCCATCTGGGGTGAGAGCGGCTCCTCAAGCACCCAGCAAAATCTCCAACATGGCGAGGAACCCATCTCTGGTGTCCAGGGCAAAGGAGCTGCCACAGACCCCTATGACGCCGGTAACCGCGAGGGTAAGTAATATAAACCTCCGCCTTACCTACCCAGAACCAGCTCAGGAATCCCACGGGAGGAAACTATATTCGCATCCCCACTCTCTAGTCTATACAACGCCACACCTCGATCTATACAACGGCCATTGAACTAACGAAAACCAGAACAACCTGGCGCAGTAAATGCCGACGGCAACACAGCCCCCCAAGAACCAAATCTAGGCGGCAAACAACAGACGTTCGAAGAAGCAGCCCTAACATCAGTCCCAACCCCCGCCAAATCCACCCTCGACAATAACAACACAACCGGTGTCATCGACCCAAATGCCAGCATTGCCGAACCAATTACCGGCAACAACACGAACACAACTTCGAGCACAGGCACAGGCGTCATCGACCCTAACGCCAGTATCGCCAAGCCAATTACTGGTAACAACACATCCACCGCTGCCACCAGCGCCGAAGCTACACAACCCCTCCCAGGCCTAGGAGCAGGCAGTTCCTCTGAGCCCAGCAACAGAACCGACAATACCACACCTACCAAGGAACAGCGCAGTACCCCTGAAACTCAGCAGGGTGATAGCAGTAACAGTACCGGCAATGCTGCTGCCTCGGAATCTGCGCCCAAGGGTAACTCCCACTCTCACGCGAGCGAGGAAGCTCTCAAGGGCCCGCAGGGTCCGGCACCTAAGTCCGCTGAGGAGTTCATGAAAGAAAAGAGGAAGGGGTCCGTAGTTAAGGAGATGGACAATGCGAAGAAGAGTATGTATCCTCTTCTATATTCCCCGCCCACACCCTACCTAGCAGGATTTAACCTATATTGAATATTTACTAATGCTGAGGCCTGAATAGGAACTTCAAGTGACTCCAAGCATAGCAACAAGTCCGAACCTTCTTCCCAGGATAGCGGGAAGAGTAACGGGAAGAACGGTGCCATGTCGAAGATGAAGGAGGAGATTAAGAAGCATCTCCACCATTCAAGCAAATAGGTGTATCGCTGTTGTTTTTGGTATTATCGAAAAGCAGTTGTGCCTTTGTTCTTGATTTTGGGGGGATACATATGTTCACCCTAGGTAGGATAATTTTCTTTGGGAATTTTAGTTGGACTTTTTAGGCTGTTGATATCACTTGCGGGTTTGTCGCTTTGGTTTGTTTTATCATTATCCAATCACGTTTTCTTCTGTACTCGTCTACTTCGTATATATAATTTGGATATTGCTAATGGGGGAACCGGGCTTTTGGTATCCATACAATGCGGTAGTCTCAAGCACCTTCAGCTGAATAGTCGGAGTAAATGGTGGCTATATTGCAAGTATATGTGGTTCTTCTGGTAGTTCAATGGCAGATCTTACGATCAGCTAGAAATGGTCCAGCATTTCACTCTAGGAGTCAAATATAGAGGTCGGTTAAGGCTGATGGTCTTTGCACTCTTAACCGAGAGCAATTGTTCGGATATGAGTGTAATTAAGGTAATGTGGTTCATTCGGTACTGGAACCTTGGAAAAGCTTGCTCCTTGCACGGCCTATACTGAGTGGGCTCCGTATATAACCGTAGCCTACCGAGCGCGAACGTCTTCGGCCATAATAAGTTTCACCGACCGGTGATCAGCCGAATGTAAATAAGGTCCGCATTTATGCCGGATCAACAACTTCATCTGCAGCTTTTTGGAAAAGTATTACTATATCGTAATAATTCCTTAAATGCGCTGTGATCGCCCCGTGCCTACCCGCTTGCTCCATCGGACTACATCATTCCCCCAAAGACAGATACCTAGATTTTTGGTATACCACGGAGGATATCATAGCTGGTTGTGTGTACCTGCAGTGGCCACTATGTGGACATGGAAACGAAAGTCAGTTCTTACGGTACCTGGACAGCCAGGTAAACGTTTAGCATGGGAGGTTATTTCCCCGATTTCCCCGAAAAATGAGGTTTGTTCGAATTGAACCCACTCTTCCCAAATCGTCATAGGAGACTTCTGTAACAAAATTCTGCTTTCTTCGGTCAATTTCGGAGGCTTTGTCCGTCATCAAGTGGATATATAGCAGCCTGGACACTTTTCTCTTGTTGCCCAACGAGCAAATCGCGCACAAACCATTACTCATCTTCTCTTCGTCTTCAATCCCCCCGACTACAAGCAATTGGGACACTCTCTCCAGCGTGGTTGTTACATCATGGGCACCCAACCCTCGGATATCCCCAATGGCAAGATCACCGACAATTCAACCGATCCTGGTGGTGATATAATGGGCGAAATGAGCGACAGAGAGCGGAATCTCTACGATGAAGGAATGAAAAAGTTCTCGCGTCTGGGCTGGAAGCGATTGACAGTGGTCCTGATTGTGGAAGCCATTGCACTAGGCACACTGTCTATTCCCTCCTCCTTCGCCACACTAGGGATGGTTGCTGGCATCATATGCACCGTTGGAATTGGCCTTGTTGCCATTTATACAAGCTACGTGATCGGTCAGGTCAAACTTGCATATCCGGAGATTACCAACTACGCTGACGCCGGCCGTCTGATGGGAGGCCGGGTTGGTTATGAAATAGTGAGCGTGATGCTCGGTCTCCAACTCACCTTTCTTACGGCTTCGCATTGCTTGACTGGCACAATTGCCCTGCAAGTGGTCACCCAGAGTACGATTTGCGCTGTCGTGTTTGGGGTGGTATGCGCTGTTATTTTACTCGCATTAGCTGTCCCACCTAGCTTCACCGAGATGGCGATATTAGGCTATATCGACTTTGGCTCCATCATTATAGCGATCGGAATCACTATTATCGCTGCCGGTATCGAGAACAACAACGCCGCCACCGCCGTACAAAGCGCGGCTTGGTCAGCGTGGCCACCAGAGGGTACGAGTTTCACAGACGCATTTATCGCCGTTTCGAATATCATCTTCGCCTACAGCTTTGCAATTTGCCAATTCTCGTTTATGGACGAGATGCACACTCCGAAGGACTATGTCAAATCGATCTGGGCTTTGGGTATCACGGAGATCTTGATTTATACCGTGAGCAGTGCGTTGATTTACTCCTTCATCGGTGCGGAAGTCAAAGGTCCTGCTATGCTTTCTATCAATGAAACCGTAAGCCGGATTGCATTTGGAGTGGCACTGCCTGTCATCTTCATCAGCGGCTCTATCAATACCGTTGTTGCTGGGCGGTTGTTACATGGTAGAATCTTTAAGAACTCTACTATACGCTTCATTAACAGCGCCGCCGGGTGGGCAACCTGGTTAGGAATCATCACAGTAATCACGATTATTGCTTTTGTGATTGCTGAGGTAATTCCCTTCTTCGAAGATCTACTTTCCTTGATCTCCGCCCTTTTTATTTCTGGCTTCACATTCTACATCCCAGCATTGATGTGGCTTATCTTGATCCGGAAGGGGAGCTGGACTTCACCCCGTAACTTGGCACTGGGAGCTCTCAACCTAGCAGTCCTGGTGATAGGCTTGGTAATCTTGGCGGGTGGAACGTATGCCAGTATTCAAGATATTGTATGTTGCTATTGATACCTCCTTGGTCCGAGTTTTGTCTTCCATGCTGACGTTTTCTTACTAGCTTGACAATTATAAAAAGGGGACAGTCGGAAGCGCCTTTTCCTGTGGAAAACAATATTAAGTGGCTGAATATACTGCAATGCTGTCAGAAACGGCCAGTGATACCATTTTACTGTTTCCGGTGATTTTACTTCTTACTGTCAATTTGGTGTGGTTCTTTTACATATCTTGCTGGATGGCCTGGACTATGCCATGTACGAATCTGTACTCAGGAAATTAAACCACTTTTCGTCGTGTACCCTAACGCATTCTCAAATATCTATGGATGTCCTCATCTAGTTGTCCGCCAATGACAGATCAACAGCAGCGTGGACATCAGCAATGCTGGTATCAATGGACGGAACTTCACTATCTTCCTGGCTAACCAGCATTCCTAATTTTGTACAGCCAAGAATGACCGCTTCAGCTCCTGATGTGGAGGCTTGAGGGCGTAACCCAAAATCAAGAGACAGACGAGGTGGATGTTCCCACACCAGCCGGTAAGTGTATCGTTCGTTGCCTTGGATAAGAGTATTGGACTGACTGGGTTCAAAAATCCGATGCGAATGCCGCCTTCGACCTTGATCTCCTCGACGATCCTGAAGTTGAGCCTTCGGAATCCTTCTTCAATAGCACCGCTGATGACGTCCTTTTGGTCGATGATTCTCTCTTTGATATGTTCGATGGGTGAATAAAAAGAAACTTATGAAGGAAATCGCTCTTCTCGGTAGGTAGTGCTGGACCTTCATTTATCTGCATTTTAAGGGACCTACCTGCCTATATAGGACTTCGACCTCGGAGCCCACGATCCCTAAGGTCCAAGGCCCCGGGACCGGGGGTGTCCGCTGACAATGATTCATCCCCGCAGTGCCGAGTCAGGGGCTTCTAGAGGACCCCCACGGCTTCAGGCTCGGCGGTCTTGCTACCTTGCCGAGCACTCGGTCATCGAAGTCCGCAAGGACCTTTTTTCTTTTTTTAAGATGGATCAACTTTTCCCTAGCAAAAAAGAAGTGTAACCCCTTCTCTCTGTATCTCACCTCCTGTTGGTACAGGGCCTCATGGTAAACCCATCGTTATTCACTCAGGGCATGGAACGTCAGCTCGAAAAAGGACCACAGTCTCTGCCGACAAACCAAGAAGTCCAGCATATTGACATTGCTCGTGACTGGAGCGGACCAGATGATCCAGAAAATCCTCGGAATTTCTCGTTGTGCATGCGTCTCTTCGGCACGGTTACTGTGACTTCGCTGGCCTTCGTGGTGGCCTTCGCAGGGGGAATATACGCTCCAGCTCAAAATGAGTTGATTAAATCATGGGGCTGCAGCTATGAGATTGGCGTATTGCCTCTTTCTCTCTACAACCTGGGACTTTCGTTAGGTCCCATTATAGGAGCTCCGCTCTCTGAAAAATACGGCCGAAAGGCTGTCTACATCGTCAATACTCCTATCTTCATTCTCTTCATGGCCGGAGCTGGTTTCTCGAATAGCATTAGCAGTTTGATCATTTGTCGCTTTTGTGCTGGTGTTTTTGGGTCGCCAAACATCAACAATGCTTCTGCCACTATCTTAGACTACACGCCCGACCTCCATCGCGGCGTCGTTCTTGGAATGTATTATTCCATTCCGACCGTCGGTGCCACTTTGGGGCCTCTTGTTGGTGGCTTTCTTATTGAGGAACGAGGGTGGAGGTGGACACAGTGGGTTCCTATCATCGTTGCCAGTGCACTCTATATCCAGGTCCTATTCACGAAGGAAACCTACAAAGCCGTGATTTTACAACGTCGAGCAATCAGACTGGGACTTATGGACGCCTCGTCCCAGAGGATCAGCGTGCTCAAATCTTTTCGGCACTTCTTTGTTACCCTCATTCAACGCCCAATCCACATGCTTTGCACGGAGCCGATTGTAACGTTCGTCAGCTTGTACAATGGCCTCATCTACGGACTTATATACGCATTTGTGATTTCCGTGCCCTGGATCTCAACGACATATTACAATTTCGATAAAACTGGGGAAGCCCTTTCCTACCTCGGTGTTTCACTTGGAAGTCTAATTGCCTGCCTTCCATTTGCAACTGTGGACATCATGTTCTACCAAAAACACCTTCTTTTGTGGAAACAAACTCACCCGCCAAGTGAGAAGATGCCACCGGAACATCGTCTTCTTTCTGCCTTGATAGGCAGTTTCTTACTTCCAGCTTCCTTGCTTATCGCTGGCTGGACAGCCGAGAATCGCATCCATTGGATTGTCCCAATTTTCTTCCAAGGAATGGCCACGCTTGCCTGTCTATTGGTCTACGCTGGCGCTAATCTCTTCATGTTGGATTCTTACGGGCCCCTCTACGGCGCCTCAGCCTCTGGTGCCATGATGTTCAGTAGGTACCTGTTGGGCTTTGCCTTTCCAATGTTCACACTTCAAATGTTTGAAAAACTGGGCGCAGGATGGGCAACGTCCATTTTAGCCTTGTTGACGTTCGCCATGGCCCCCATACCCTGGTGCTTTCTTGTGTATGGACCACGACTGAGGGCGGCGAGCAAATATGAAACAAGTGCTTGATGTATCCTAAACTCCCCTGGAAGCGCCAGGAAAATCACGAGTTCAATCAACTTGATAAACGAGTGGCTTTGTGGCTTGTATAATTTCTTGTTGGAATTCGGATTGTACCATCTTCCCACGTATATATTCGGTCGGTATCTACATGAAGTAAGCGTCCTCGTCCCACATACACGACCAGTGATATATATGTGAGGGATAAGTATCTTTAATCGACCGAGGAACGACCATTTGGTGTCTTTTAGCTATGGTAATTGAAATTCTGGTGTAATTTTGAGCCGAGAAATGCTGGTATCATCATAATGCGGCTTTCAGTATGTCTCAGCGTAGCATCCAAAGAACTAAAAACGGATCCCTCCATGCCCTTGCACGTATCCAAATAGAATGCCATGCCCCCTTGTCTAATCAACCAGCAAAGTGTGCGCCGCATTTCTTCCATTTGCTAAAGTGGCAATGACCACAACAAGCAAATAATCCTTAGGAACTCTCGTTAACGTCGGAAAACGCTCGTGTATCTTGGGTCGACACAACAGAGTTTCCCATTTCCATTCACCCTCCGCAAGCGAGACAGCGGCAGATTTCTCACCATTGACAAAAACTTGAACGGATGACACGGGAACATCAGAGTCACTCGAATGTACGGTTCCGCTCACTGAGACCTGACGATAGATCTCCTCTTCGAGATTCTCCGGGGTTACCCACGTGGCTGATCGAATATCGAGAATCGGTTTGGCCTTGATCGAGCCTTTGGTGGAGGGAGAGAGCAGCGGTATATGGTCCGATGGTATCGACGGAGTCAACCTTGGGGGTGTGCGAGCTCGAGATGCTGTCTCATACGCGTAGGCATATCGCAACATATCATTATCTTTCCAAGCTTTGCATACGAATGTCAAACCCACAGGCATTTCCTTTTCTTCAATGATGCCCATTGGAACTGTAATGCAAGGGATCCCAACATGCTTGAGAGCCCGACCGCCATTGGCGTACTTGATGCCATCTTGTAAAGCATGAAGCATCGATTGGAGGTTTTCGTCAGCATCTGCAAGAGGAACATCGCCATTGGTAGGGAACACCATCAAGTCAAAGTCATTGCTATCCATCCAATCTTCGAAATCTCGCTTTCGCATTGCCTCTAGGGCTTTCAGGGCTGTCTCGACCTCGGGGAAGGTATAAAGTGTGTGCTGCCTGTTTCTGACAGAGTCAATCATCTCCGGGTAGCGGACCTGGTTCTGCGCCTCGGTGTGCTTAGACGGGTCATCCATAGGGGCGATGTGAGGATGGATCTTATTTGGGTCACATTCTGTCAGATTTGGGCACGTTTTATCCCCATTCATTCTCAAGAAGTCATCCCACCCCGTGGCAATCATTTGACACCGCTCAGTACTAGTCCATTCCTGCGACATTCCTGGCACATTGCAGCTTTGGCCTGGAAAATCCTGCTTCATATAATTCTCAAGCAGCGGAAAATCCGTTTCGACAACTGTAGCTCCGAATGACTCCAGCGTGGCTCTGGCTTTCTCCCATAGCTGTTGAACGGCTTCGATGCACACATGGTGTGGCTTGGCATATGGCACACCAATAAAGCATCGTGGAACAGCGATTCTTTTTCCAACAAGTGCATTTGGGTCCTTCAAATCCTGGTAGTTGGCTGGCCGCACTTCTGAAGCTTTTGGAATGGGAACAAACTTTTGATTCCGCCAGAAGTCAACGCCGCGAGCAGCTTCCAAATCATCGGCCACGATAACATCAAGAACAGAAAGCAAATCCTCCATTGATCTTGTGTGAGGAACAATAACGTCACATGTTGGATAAAGGGGCCATTGTCCCCTATTCGGTATCACACCGCGTGAAGGCGAATACCCAACCAGAGCATTACTCGATGCAGGTGAACGACCTGAAGAGACAGTTTCTCCGGCGAACCCAAAGGCTGCAAAGCTGGCCGCAGTAGAGGTACCACAGCCACTTGAGGAGCCAGACGCATATGCTGTAGTGGAATAGAGAAGGTTGTAGGGACTTTCGGCTCTGCCGTAGAGACCGCGCTGGGCGCCTCCATCCGCCATTGGTGGCATGTTTGTTTTTCCAAGTATCACTGCTCCGGCTTGTCGTAGAAGCGAGACAATAGCTGCATCCTCGGAGGAGATCAAGTTGGTAAAGGCTGGTGAACCGGCCGCGACGGTCATACCTTTGACCATGAAGCTGTCTTTGACCGTGAACGGAATCCCTTCCAGGGCCCTTGGGGTTTGGCCACTTGCTCTGTAATCATCTGATTGTTGGGCTTCCTCGAACGCCCTTGGATTGAGGACACAGACCGAGTTCAGGGACGGTCCTCGGTAATCGTAGACACCAATCCGGTGAAGATAGAGCGAGACGAGCTGAACGCTTGTGATGGCACGAATTTCCAAAGCATGGAGAAGATCTTTTATACTGGCTTCGGCAAGGTTCAGAGTCCCGCGTGGTTGTGAGACGTCGGGGCTTGGCATCATGTCTAGTTTCGGGTTTAAGAATGAAGATGAGAGAGGAAGGGTGAAGCGAATGAGAAGATGACGCCGAATGCACAGAATAGCAGTCGTTGACAGTCTTTAAATATCCAAGGTGACTGTTTTATCTCTATTCCACTGCAATCCTTAATTCTATACTCTGTATACTCTGTACTGCGGACTATAGTCCGCTGTGTGGAGTCAGAGGTGGCTTTTGATTGGTCACATCGCTTGATCGCCCTCGACTTGTTACGGCGAGTTTGACAATCCAATCGCACGTCGCAATAAGGCTGATGTTAAACTCGCCTTATTGGATTGATGGAGCTGATGGAGCTCAGGGCAACTCGAGCCGGAAATATAAAGTCGAGGCGAACCTTGTTGTGTTTGGTTCATATCAATTCGGGAGTATAAACAAGCTATAGCTTAAATTGGTCAATTTAGCAATCGACCAAAGAAATTCCAACAAGTCATTTATATCATATTGCAATATTTAAATGTAATTAAAGGTTCCTGTCTTAAACATCTTGTTTCTAGCATCTTACTGTTGGAACGTGTTAGCCCTTAACAGCACATCCAGGATTTCACCCGCCGAGGTAAAATGAGATATGCACGGATGCCAATCAAGATTGAATCGCCAGAGGAGTATAGCTACAATCTTTCCGAAAGGTCTGTCGCTGATCAGTCGCTTGGCTCCCTCGGGCTGAACATCCCGAGCCTCACCATTTTGTACAATGAGCACCAGGATGACTCCCAACTTTGAAAAGTCATAGTACCCGGTGCCGGCTCGAACAAGGATAATGTTCTCATAACCGGTGACGCGGCTGGAGCTCTGTTCATCACTGAGACTTCGCAATTGACACCGGACGATCACATCGCGGTCGTGCGACCAAACTATGCAACCGACCACGAGACTCCACGGGCGATTGGGTGTCACATCAGCTTTGTTGACTTCTAATTCGAATCTGGCTTCTACCCGGATGTGGCCTTCATTGAATCCTGCATCACCCCTAAGACCAAGATGGTCTCTATCACCTGTCCACCCAACCCCACTGGTACCCTCATTTCTAGAGAGATTTTAGACGAGCTCGTCGCCATTACGAAGAAGAACTGCTTTCTGCTGGTGGATAAAACATTACCGGGACGTGCACTATGGCGTACAGCTTCCCGGTGCAGCATCTCTTGGTGACCACGTCCTAAGTGTTAGCTCTCTGTCCAAATCGTTTAGCATGCCAAGTATTCGACTGGGACGGTTTATAAACGCAGAACAAAAACCTCAGGAGTATTTCCTAAGGAGCAGATCAGCATCAGTGGAAGCGTCATCAAATGGAGTGCTACCCAGCTTTTGCCGGACAGACAGACTATTTTGGGTCTGGCGAACAAAGTGATGGAGACTAGGATTGATACGATTAGATCCTGGATTGAGAAGGAAGATCTTCTGGGGTGGATCGAACCTGCTAGTGGAGTGGTGTGCTTCCCTCGGATGAGGAAAGAACCAGCTGGCGGCACAGCTCCTTTCTATGAAAGACTGTTGAAGTATCAAACATATGTCGGACTGGGTCACTGGTTTGAGATGCCTGATACCCTTTTCGCCCTTGGTTTCGGCTGGCCAACTAGGGAGTAACTTATTGGTGGTATGGAGGCTTTTTCCAGAGCTTTGAGGGACAATGATTGAGATATGCCTGACGGGGACAATGCTCTTGATTTCTTTAATTATCGATGGTATTCATCCTGCATGCTGCATCTCTTGCCAATTATACGCTTCTCCTTTCTCTTCGTTTCTAGAATTTTGTTAGGAGCGGCAACCAGGTGCGACAATATAGCTAGCTGAATTAGGGTCAGGTAATTGCCTCAGGGGCCGGGAGCTTCAGATACAGTGAACATTTTCCTGGCTTTCAATAGAATCCATCATAACTGACAGTACCAGCCTATAGCAGACTATGCCGAGTCACTGAATTAGTGCTATGGGTGGCTCTGCGACCACCAAAGAAGAGACGGTGACACAGAGTGCTAGAGGAAGAAAGCCAAAGTAAGCTGTTGTTGAGATCCATGTGAATATGTATACATTGGGCCATAAGCATTCAGTACCCGGTACATGTATGCTCACGCTGCGCCCGATTCCCGAGGGAATGTAAGCATGGTATCAATACTATTTGCTGCTAGCCACCTCGGAAATGGCAGAGTGGTTGCAAAAGTAGATATTCGTGGGATTATTGGGATTGAACATTGGTAACGTGTAGTCCAGGTGCAAGTATAACTATTGCTTCGGGAAGCGATGGGCTCCAGGGGGTATAGGCTGGGTTAGAGCTTTAGTTTATTCGTCTTACCTTCTGTGGCTGTTAGAAAAGGGCAGATATACGGCAACGGTGAGAGTTCAGAAATTGTTGTAGCCTAGCTGGCGCACTGAGGTTACATCAATCATGCGATCTATTCCAAAAAGAGTACAAAAATATCAAGCGAAGAAAGGAGGGGAAAGTTCCAGTACATGTGACTAAAGCCTCGTCTATATGTGTCTCAGATTTATTTCAAATCTCGCTGGGGCAAGCTGTTTGGGATAAGCCCTGATTCACGTTTCTGTGAGCCAAAGTCGGAGAGTATGTCCTTCATAGTTAGATAAATCGGGTGCCTCTACTCCCTGAAGGATATGGACGCACAAGTACAGACTGTCTGATGAAACGTTTTAAGTACTGGATAGATTTCTGCGGTAGCCATCCATCATCCAACCGGCTAATATCGCTGAGATTAGGGACAGGCTAAGAGCATATGAAACTACAGATTGAGGTTGCACCAAGAGAAAATGGATATAGACCCCTGACCTCTTCCGCTTCTCTAATTCGATCATATTGATTACTTCTATCAAACCAGCACCCTAGGGCTGATGTTCGGCTTCGGATGCTTAGCCCCCAAACTTACTTAAAGATCTCCGTGGATGACCCATACCATATGCCTTGTTTTGAGACTTTACCTATCTGCGTCTCCCTGTATTTAGTAAGTCACATTAGGGAAGTACTCTGTCGTTATAGCATTAGGTCATCCTACTATGCATGACAAGTGGTGTTATGGGAAGAAGCATGTTACGTGAGATAAGCTAGCATCCATGCAAAGAATTAGTACCTTGTCAGAGGGCTGGATGTAATTGGATTGCAGGAATTGACTCAGTTGACAGACCCTGAAGGGTGTGATGGCCTGACTTGCTCAAAGTGAGATATAAATACCGTAGGTACTGCCAAAGTCATGTTTAGAAGTTGTTCCTCATATCAATCATCACAAATGAAACATCTTGAAATCACTCAACCCTAGATCAAAGCAAGTACAAACTGTATCACTGTATCACATGACAACGCGTCAACAAACCACAAATGTTGTCCCAAACTCTCCTCCGTACACTCTTCATCACCATGTCTGTCGCAGCTTGTGTACTGGCTCTCTCCCCTCGGTCCGCCATCCACGAGGATGAACTTGACCGCTACGACGCTTTCCTGTCCAGCCTTCAAGATTCCCACTTTATGGACATGTACCTCGAAAACAGCCGAGTCAAGATCGATGTCTATGAGCACCCGTCCAACGAGCTCGCGCTTTCCGAACACTTCACTCCAAGCGACACTGCAAACCAGTACTTTGACCAAGAGGGACAGCGTGCTCAAGAGGTATTGCAGCCAGCAACGGCTTCGGATGACACGGTACACAACTCGACGTTGGAAAAGCGATCGGACAACAGCTGCCCACGTACTAACAGTCTGCTCAACAGGGACGCATCGGTTCTTGAGAAACGCGTCTCCAGGTGCTACCAGTTCTGTGGAACGATTGCCAACTGCCGTGGAAACAATGGGTGTCCTCACTGCTATGCTGTTCGACAAGGGTGTTTGTGGCAGAAATGGTGCCGTTAGGTTTAAGGGCTGCCGTGCTGGGTTGATGGCTCGCGAGGGATGATAACATATTTTTGTTACAAAACTTTCTACGACTGAAAACTTGTCTGGTGGATTGCATTCAACATGCAATACATGCAGTTTATCATCCGTTCCTACTATGACTACTGGTGTTAACGTGTTGTATTCAACATGCAACAGTTTGCATTGATCCATCATTACAATCAACAAAACTTTTCCTCTCCTTCTGACGTGCACATGGATCAAATGTAGAAGTCAAAATCATTCTGCCTGCGTGTACGACACGTACGCGGAATTGATTCTCAATGGCCACGAGGCTCTTCTCTAGCGTTGTGGTATTAATCACACTTCACTACCAGACAAATATCAGATGCGATGTATCTTCTAGGCTTCACCTCATCCCCAACACGCCAGAAACCGGGTATCCTCAAATGAAAACGGAACCAGCAACCCATATAGAAAAAGACACAAACAAATCACTCGAATAACATCTTCAACTCCTCAATCTTATCCTTCTTCTTATCTTCGTCACCATCGTCACCACCAACCCTCAGCCCGAGTGACCCTGCAATGTTCATCTTACGTTCCTGGACGCGCAACATGCGGCCCTCAATGGAGTCTTTGACTATGAACCGTGTGACGGAGACATCCCGAGTTTGACCCATTCGGTGGACGCGATCGATGGCTTGGGCTTCGATTGCGAAACTCCACCATGGATCCATGACGAAGACGTGGCTAGCCGCTGTAAGGTTGAGGCCGACACCACCGGCACGGAGGGAGATGAGGAGGACTGAAGGTGCTGGGATTTTGGCACGACCCTCTCCCCCTGGAGTATCATCTTCTGGATCGATGATATCGTCATCGGTGTAGCTTTCTTCTTTTGTGAATTCGGCTAAGACTGCAGCACGGGCCTTTTGTGGCATTGTGCCGTCGAGTCGGAGATGGGAGATTCCAACTTTGGAGAGCTGGGGGCCGATGAGGTCTAGGAATGAGGTAAATTGGGAGAAGACGACGGATTTTGTGTTAGGGGGAATGCGGGAGAGATGGTTGATGAGAGCGTGGATCTTGGCGGAGGTATGGGCGGATGGAGACAGAGGATAGATGCGACGGAGAGAGATGCGAGGGGCCGGCTGGGAGCTGGTTGGTGGTATGCTGCTCACGATATCGTCGTCGAGAGGGACCGAGTGCGAGGACGGATGCCGAACTACCTCGAAGATGTTCTTTGCGTCGACTGGGGCACGACAGTTGAAGCATCTTGCCTGGACGTTCTTGTTCATCTGGTGTTGCATGAAGTCTTCGAGACATTTTTTGCAAGCACTATGCCAACATGCGGTCACCGCAGGGTCGATCATAGGCTCTTCACAGCAGATAGGGCATTCTCCGCTGGACTCAGTTTGGATTTGACGGAGAGCATGTGTTGTAAATTTAACTGTTGCCCCTGAGCATTCTTGGGATTCGGCATTCTCATTTTCAGCATTGAACTGGTCGATCAGCTCTTGAAGATCCATGTCATCTTTCAGCTCATTCGTGGCATCGGCGGCCACTGCTCTATCCTCTTCATCTGCAACAATTGATTTGTTACGTGTCAGCACAGGATGGCAGCAGGTCTGACGAAGTCGAAGGATTTGAGCAAAGATAGTGGTATACGATTTCAAAAGTGTGCCAGCCTCGACATTATCGTTGTAGGTTCGTTTGGCACGTGTGAATATACAGTCATAAATCTCTCGTTCTTGGGTTGGAAGTTCTACTTCCTCGATGGTAATGGTCTTCCGCGGTAAGGGAACCAATGGCTCGCCTTCGGGGGTCTTCATCGACTTGGTTCGTCGAAGCACAAGTGGCTCTAGCACGCTTTGAACCACGTTCAGGGCACGCACGTACTCTTTCGATTCAAATGGCACGGTGATGAAAGTCTTCCAGAAAGAAAAATTACTCCATGGTTCGACTTTGAGGAAACGCACTAGACTAAATAGGTCTTCGAGTCGATTGACAATCGGTGTACCGGTCAGAGCCCATCGATGGGCTGCCATCAGCTCACAGCATGCTTGTGCTGATTTGGAGCGACGGTTCTTGATGACATGGGCTTCGTCAAGGATTATTCGGAAGAAGTTGACAGAGAACAGACCCCCAGTTGCGCTGGGTCCCAGCGCAGACTGGAGAGCGAGTTGGCGGAACTCCGATAGTACCACACCATAGCTGGTGACAATCACTTGAGGTGCCGTTGCATGTTTGGATTCACAGCATATCTCCCTCAAGTTCATAGCCTTGTCTGCTCCATAATATACGAGAACTCTCAATGTTCCGGCTTTCAATGCCTCGCTTTCCCATTGAGAGATCAACGAAGTTGGGGCAACCACTAATGTGGTATATGGCGCAGGAACCACTCCAGTGGAGGCTGGCATCCTTGCTAGATCATTCACTGAGGCAATACCATTCGCGACTTGCGGATCTGGCTCAATTCTGTGAGAATGAACCAAACTGAGCATCTCGATCGTTTTACCAAGTCCCATCTCGTCGGCCAGGATTCCACCCTGGCAGCGTTGTTCCTGTGCAGGAAAGTCGACGCTTAGATCGCCCGAATATGGATTGACGTAGAAGTGATCAATCTCTGGAACCTGAGGTAGATCATTGTCATCCACATCCTTCGTGGGCCACGTGTACTCCTCCCATAAGGGATGCATCGACTTCTCTCGGGCTTGATTTGAGTCTTGCTCTTTGGAGAGCATCCAATGGAGAGCCTGACGTTGATATTTCCTTAAATCAAGCGAGAAGCTGGGCGCGGGATCGGCCCCGGGCATGTTAAAATCGAATGACTGGGCCTTGCGGTAGAGAGCATCCAGTTGGTCTTCCTCCAGTTCTTCGGTTTGATCTTCCTCGGAGGAGTCGTTGGGATCTTTAGTCGACTTTGACTTATCTTTCTTGGCGCTATCATACTGGTCCGCAATTTCGGCTGCACGCAGAAGACCATCTCTTTTATGTTTTTCTGTAGTCGGGTTGGTCGAGGTGGGATGAAGATTGATCTCATGGAACAATTTCACAAGAGCCACTTGGCGCAGTCGCAAATTCTTTTCTTCGGTGCTCTCCTTCTCCTCGAACAAGCCAGTCGACCTATTGTCATCCTTGTGCAGCGCAGCAAAAGCCCCGCGTTGAAATGCCTCTCGGCGCATGAAGACTCGCAATTGCAAGTAAATTGTATCATTGACGCGGACCCTGTCGGGTACGAACACGCAGACGCCTTCGAAACGACAGATCTTCTGGTCAATCAGGGTAGACACCCACTCAGCTATCTCGTGGGGAAGTCGTCCGATTTCTTGACCAGACGTGTTGGTGAAGCGGGTGAGAACATCGCTCTTATGGTTCATGAATGATTTGCCCCCACGACCGCGTTTTAATGTCGGCTGAGATCGAGCTCGCTCGATGTTCACGATTTCCCCATGCTTAAGACACGCTGGCCCACTCCTCGTTGCCCATCCACCGACCCCAAATGCCCCAACATATCGGGAAAGAGGTTGCTTTGGAACGAGGGATTCAATTGTCATTAAACCACTCTTTGACTGCTGAGTGATGGATTCCCGCGACCTCCCAGTTCCAGGTTCAGCTTTCATTTGAAGTCCATTTTGTTGACCTCGGCTGGCGGAGATGGAGTTGATCCCCCGGGGCTTCTTCCATGATCCATCGAAGTATATGTTCACAGCTCGTTCAATATTGTATGAGGCGGCTTTTCGGATAGTTGCGATGGACTCGGATGGCAGTGTTTCTCCAATGATGCTAGTAAATAGCTTAACATCGAATTCACTCTCTGCTTTATCTTCTGCAGGTAATCGGTCGAGGCTTCCTTCGGCGTGACTGAGGAACGACGCGTTGGTGTCTCGGGTTTGGATCGGTAAAGGCGAGGGTGGAATGTCGGAAAAGAAACGCTGCCTCTTTAACGGCGGTTGCTCTCCATCATGGCTCATATTGGATGGAGCATGCGGCTAAATCATGGAAGAAGGTGAAGAGTCGATTCCGGAGACGCGCCAGAGAAACGCGAAGTCAGGTGGATCGACGTCAGCAAAAAGTTGCAATTAAAAGCCCATGCACTGCAGGAAATATAAGTAGAACTACATCATTCTATTCAGTACATCTCACTCTATATAGTCAAATACAACATTTATCTCCTTTCAGTGCAACTCTGAGCATCCAAGTCTCGCTGACAAAGACGATCCACGAGCCAATACTTTTTGCCCGATTACATCTTCTCTCTTTTTTTGAGGTCGCGAGTCGCAACTCAAGCCTCAACTTTGACATGTCTTTTCTCGCTCGGCCATGCCGAAGAGCGAGTAGAATAAGTCTGCAAAGCTTCCAATCAAGGCGAAACTTCAGCCGGACACAAGCTGTCGCCGCACCTATCACCGCTGAAGAAGTCCAAGGCGCTCACAAATATTGCGTCGCTCTGCTCTCGTATGCTTCACCAAGTCATGGACTCCTCAAACCAGTCCAAGTAACTAATCAAGACCTCCCCGAACAGCAAATATGACCGCCCCTCCTACACATTGAGCACCTTCGTCCCGCGCCATGCGCAATCCTTCTACATCGCGCTGCGCGCATTGAACGTTTCCCTCTCCATGATCCCAGACACAACCTCATCCCCAACAATCGGCCTAATGCGCCTCCAATTCTGGCGCGATGCCGTAACAAAAATCCTAGCGGGCACGCCGCCAAAAGAACCCGTCGCCATCTTGCTCGCCTCCGCCATCTCCGATCTCCACGAGCGCACGCAGGGCCGGGCGCGGATCAGCAAGGGCTGGTTGACTCGCATAATCAACTCGCGAGAACAGACGTTAACAAATGATCCATATACGAATATTGCCGCGCTAGAGTCCTATGCTGAGAATACCTACTCGACACTTATGTATTTGACGCTTTCTGCCCTTCCCATGGCATCTGTAACGGCCGACCATGTTGCGTCGCATATTGGAAAGGCTGTTGGGATTGCAGCTGTATTGCGTGGACTGCCTTTTGTTGCGTTTCCCACACAGCCTGCTCAGTCGCCTTCTGGTGGTGCTGCGAATAGCCTAATGGGTGGTGGTGCGAAGCAAGGTGCTGTGATGTTGCCTTTGGATGTTATGGCGCAGGCGGGTGTTAAGGAAGAAGAGGTTCTTCGACGGGGAGCTGAGGCTGAGGGTCTTCGGGATGCAGTCTTCACGGTTGCGACGCGGGCGAGTGATCATCTGATTACCGTGCAGCAGATGCTGAACAATCTCCGTGCCGGAGAAGATGTGGGCCACGACTTCGAGCATGAGGGTGAAGAGGGTCATGAGTATAGTGTCTCTGATGCTCGAAGTGGTGAGTCGCCTCTAGATGAGATCAACCGGGCCTTTGGTGTCTTCATGCCGGCCGTGGGCACGAGATTGTGGCTCGATCGCCTTGAGAAGCATGACTTTGATGTTTTTAGTCCGGAGCTGCTTCGATCTGACTGGAGACTTCCGTGGAAGGCTTATATGGCGTTCCGACGGAAGTCTTTTGATTAGGGCTTGTTATTTTAGCCTTGTACAACATGTATCTATATGCTTCAATAGACCTGTCCCCTCTAGTACATTAGGAAGATATCAAAACAACATTACGATGCAAAATAAATAAATCAAAATTCCTAACAGAAAAAGAAAGACACAAAGACACCCAAGTTTGGCAGGAACTCACTTCGAACTCAGAATCTGATATATAATACAACACTAGAATCAGTTTGTTCAGCTAACTTATATAGACAAAAAGATGTACAAATAATACAGAGATATCAAGACATTCCCACGCAGCGTGAGACAAAGTAACACCAAAAAGATCGCACGCAAGAAGGCAGCAATGGTCTATTCCTTCTTCCTCTCCCGTCTCTGTTTCCGGGAGCTGACAATCAAACGTCTCTGAGCGAGCATAACAGCGTAACGCTGGATTTTATCACGCCTAAAAATAACAATTAGCCTTGGTTTGCTTCAACGACGCAATAATGGAAACTCACATCAGGAATAAAGTCGTTGCGCAAACGAATGGGACCGCAATTTTCCAGAAGTAACTGTCCAGGCGCGTTAGCAGAAGATGTTGTGGCAAGAGTTGTTGAGCTTACGCGTCACTGTGTTGTATTCCAGCGAAATCTGTGAAGTTCATACCGAAATATCCCTGGATTTGGTTGGTAATAGTTTAAAATGGAGAATAGGCCACACATACTGTCAAGAATGTCATGGGAAGGTATAAGCAAGTAACAAGAGTCAACTGCTTCATACTCTCGTTTTGATAGGCACCTGTGCAGAGAATTAGTTCGGTTTATTTGATGAGAGACAGTAAACATACCAATAGTGTTGAAAATAAGGTCGATCATGTTATCAGCAGCGCGCCGCATCTGGTCATATCCTTCTACAATGGTAATGCAATGATCTAGCGCATCGCCCAGGTATGTATGGCACATGGAGCTGATGGTGACACTTGTGCCACCGAGGCTCTTCAAGTTTGGGGTGATAATACCAACATGAGGACGAGGGTCAACTGGCTCGGCGGGTGTAGTAGCCGGGCTTAGAGGATTTTGCAAGACGCCAAAGCCAGGTGTACCGACTGGCTCAGAGCGGTGATCACGGAGTGCGTTCATCACGGCCACGATTGGTTGCATAGAGTTTCGCAGAACCGCAATCTCAGACGTTAAGATGTACAAAGACTTTGACTGATCGATGTCGGGATCAGTTAAGACCTCTAGTTCGAGGTCGCCAATGGCGTCTTGGTAGGCCATTGTGACTGGGATTGCCAAATCAATCACCGCGTCGATGATGGCTTGCAATAGCATGCTGGCATCGCATGACTGTCGAAGGATAGTCTCGGGCGAGCTGAGACGTCGGACAATTGGCGCCTCGATATCGTCCGCACTCGTTTCGAAGAACGATGTCACCGTGTTATCTGCATGTAGGAAGATTGAGACTTGCTCCAAGGTGACAGACAAACCCTTTCCGGCAAGTACGGCGTGGCGTTCCATGAACTCGATCCGGTCTTCATTGGGACCACCGCGATACCGCTGGAGAGTCCTAGCTGTAGTCTGTGTCGCGGTTCCAACATTTCCAAAATGAGAAGTGTGTTTCGAAGACCGTCGTCCAAGGCCAGGCCGAACGCTGGAGCCAACCGTTGGCTTCTCCTTCTCTTCTTTGCTAGTGGATTTTCTGAACCGGAAAATGTCCTTCAGTGCTTCCAGAACAAGACTCGTTTTCGTGGGCCTCTTTAGAGAGATCGAGCTTCTGTCACTCATCACAGAGTTTTTCCGGTCCTTCGACCTCCGTCGACTAGCCGGAAGCTCCTCGTCGTCCTCTGAGTCACTTTCCTCCTCATAGATCTTCATCAACTTCTGCAACGTCAACACGACAAAGGCATGGTCTGAATACCAATCTGCCTTCGTACGATTGGTGGTATGAACCACATCCTCAATCGCAAGCCGATGCAATCCTTTATGATTTCCAAGAATCTTGATAACATCCCAACTGAGTCCATTGACGTTAATCCACCGACATTGCACCCAAGGCTCCCTCTCCCGCTTGAGGAATTGCTCCAATGTATCATTATCCAACTCGTACTGCCGCATCTCGTGCTGGGAGAAGTCCACAATGGTAATTTCGCAGCGTCGGTGTAGATCCGCGGGTATATTCGACGACCATTCTGATGTATATGCGGGGAGTGGTTGGGTCGGGTCGATACCAGGTTCAGTTCCCGGCTGCCAGTTGGTGTCCTGGGCAAATCCTTCGGGGTGGTATGAGCGTGCGGTGTTAGAGCGTCGGGCTCGGCGTTTGGTCGTCTCGCTGGAATTGACTCGTGCTGCGGCGGTGCTGAAGACCGGGAATGAACTTCCCTCTCGCCCATCCCTCCCTGTTGGGGAGACCTGGGAACTGATCGACCCGCGTCCTGCCTCCACGTCAACATGGTGCAGAGACTCGGATCGCATCGCACCGGGCTGCGCGTAGTCTAGTTCGTGTATACTCATCCTGATCAAGGATCAAGGCTCAAGCGAATGCGCTTGTGTAATTGTGTCGTTGGTATGCCAGGTTTTCATCGGCTGCGCAACGAGATCCTGCCCCCTTGAACCGTGTATAATTGAGTCTTTGCTCACGGGAAGATTATGAGCAGCGAAATTCGTGCGCCGAAATAAAGAAAAGGGGGATAAAAGCGAAGGCGCGTCTCATGAAGACACCACTGCTCCGAGAGAAATCATGGTGGCCCGGCGGGGAAATGACGTCTGAGGAATTGGGGGTCGATCTGCCGCGTCTGCAACTAATAAATGCAAAACAGGATAATCTGCAAAGAACGTAAAAGTTAAGAATTGGAAGAAAACAGGAGACGGGCAGTCTCCAGATTAACATGCCAGGTGCAAGGGGTGGAGAACTGGACCCTTCGTTACTTTATTTGGCGGGTACATCCGCCAGACTTGGCAAGATCTTGATATGATAGAATCGTACGGTTGACTTAACGTTATAGAATAGGTACATAGGTCCGTTGACTTCTGAATCACATATGCATACAGCAACGCCGTCCCAATGCTTACCTCCAATCACTCCAGATATCACAAAATGCAGTTGAACAAAGACAATTAGTACAGTAGAAAAGGTAAGTCAAAAGGACAAGGAGAAATGAGAAGAAAAGAAGGTACTATGCCCGAGCTGCTGGCCGAGGTTTCCAGGGAGAACGTTGGAAACCCATCTGAGGCTGTTTGCTACCACCAGGGCTCGAACGAGGGGGACTGCGGAAGTCTGGGTAGATGCCTGACTCCATGTCCATGAGAACCGCCCGCTGTGGCTCTGCGGAAGTCCAATTGGTAGATTTGCCCTTTGATTTAGAGGGAGTGCGGGCACTAGAAGTGCCGGGGCGGGCGCCTGCCTGGGTCTTCTGCTTGATGATCTCACGGAGTTCCTTGTCATCTTTTGTGACCTGAGCTTTGATGAAGTCGATGTCATTGGAGGCCTGCAGAGCAGACATGACTGACTCACGCGGGGTGTATGAGTATTTCTCGGGGGCGGGAGCTGAGTGAGGTGTGATGGAAGGATCCAAGAAAGCTTGCTGCTCCTTGTCGAGAAGCTGTTCGATGTCCAGGGTTTCACCATGTGGGATCTTATGAGGATGCGACGGAGTCACGCAATCCATGTCGACCTCCTTTCGGAGTACGTGGTCAACGTCGACAGCCGAGAAATAGGCACACGACTGGGGAAGATCATCAATGCCGACTTGCTGCGAGAACATGGCGCGGGTCCAAACATTTGCAATCTGCAATGCCATCGCAGCGCGGTACCTGTCTTCATCTTTGACAAGATAGCGAATTTCATCGTGGACAGTGATAGCCAAGCGGGCCTGAATATTGAATCGTCGGATAAGATAATCCATGCCGATGATCAGGAGATGGAGATAGTCAACGCCTGAGGATTGAATGGCCCAATTGATTCGAGATGTCATGAAGCTGCCTTTATTGATGAAGCGTCGCATTAGTGCTTCGGTGATACCGGCACCTAAAGCAGGAGTCCGGGGGCGTTCCTGATCCGCAAACTCCTCCAGTTTGTTGAAGACAAAGGACTCAGTGCCACCTCGCCAGAAGGGAGTATCACTAAGCATACGACGTGAAGTGCGTGTTCCCTTTGTCTCTTTGTATAGGTTCTGGGCGGTCTCTTGTGTTTGCCTTTCAGTCAAAGACGGGTTGAACTGACGAAGCAAGGTAGAGGCGAACTTGACGCCAGCGCCATAAATTCGACCATAGTTGAAGACCTTGGCATCATTACGCGAAATGCCCAGAATTTGCGCACTTCGCGAATGTAAGTCAGTTCCTGCATTCTTGGAACCTTCAAGGGTCATGAACCCAATTGCATTTCCTCCATGGATCTGGAACGTGGCGTCGCCCACAAGACTTGCAATCCAGAGCTCTTGGGAGTCAACATCAGCTCCAACAAACGAGTGGCCTGGAGGGGCTTTGATCATTGCCTTCAACTCTGACCCGACACGATTTGCCTTGGCATTGCTCGCAGTCAACCAAGTATTTTCCACTGCACGGCGAGTAATAGTTCCCATTGGGATGACTTGAGGCAAAATGAATCCAACTCGATTGTCATTTGCGGCTTGCTTCTTGCCATCCTTGGATACTTGATCCTCGTAGACCACAATCTGACTCTTGATGCGATCTCTGGCACTGATCCAGTAGGAGCAAGAAGCGTTCATGTCGAGTGCTTCTTTGGCAAGTTCATACTGAGAGGACAGGATTCCACGCTCAAAATACCCCATATAACCTTTACCCAGTGGGTTGGTACATCTGGCCTGTGGGCCATCTTTGTGAGGAATCTTGAAGTATGTGTTTTTCCTGTCGTCTCGTAACTGAGGGTCTGTTTCTTCGGCCATATCACACAGGACGACTGGCTGGTTTTCGTATTGCTTAAGCTGGTCACGAGGAACCCGGAAAGTCCATCCATATTTATCAGACCAGACGAGAGGATAGTTATCCCATGACAACTTGAGAAGAATTGGTGCGATGCGAGTTCGCACAGTGAGGTTGATTTCTGCGGCATTCGTCGCAAAAAGATCCTTGTACCACTTGGGCATTCCCGGCTTCTTTTGCCTTGCCGCGGGGCGAGGTGGATCGGTCTTCTTCTTCCCTTTCACCATTTTGATCTCTTGACCTGACCAGTCCAGCTGGCGCAACCAAGGATCATTCATGTAAACATCTGGTTGCTCTTTGCATTTCAATGCCTCATCACATAATTCAAGAAGTTTACGTTGAACCTCATTAAGTCGCGTATGGTATGTTTCCTCGGCGCTGGTAAGATACTCCTCCCAGGATTGGTTCACCGGTAAAATAACAGAGGATAAGTGTCGAAGAGCACCGAAACTAACAGGATGCGGACAAGTCTCGAGAAAGTTGGGAAAGACTTTCCGGTACACACGGTGGGTGATGGAAACATCAGCGGCACAATAGTCGAGAAGTTCCTCTAGTCTGTGTACAATAGAGTCACGATCGAGTTCACCGAAAAGATCTCTTTGCGCTTTGTCGATGGTGACATCACAATGGAACTTGGCCACATCTCGCAGCGAGTTCACCGAGCTCCGCCCAACCCACAACTCTTCCTCCTCTTCTCTCAGCATGTTGCTTTCGAGAAGTGCTGCAAGCTCCACGGAGTTGTGCTCGTTTGCGATCTTATCTCTCAGGTCCTTATTTTTTTTATGCCGCATCCAAGTTGGTCTCTGCTGTGAACACATGCCATTTACTGCAACGTGAAGAGACATTGTATCGAGGAAGAAGTTTTGAGACTGCTTCATATCGTATTCCTCTAGAACCCGTGCCCGATCATAGCCGATATTGTGACCAACGACGATACGGGGCTGGGTAGGGTCACCCAGAGGTACCAGCTGAATCTCATTCTTCGACTCGCCGAGGAGCCAGGGCGAGATCCAGGCATACCATGCAGTGGGACTCACCGCGCAAGCCATGACAGCAAATGAATTTTCTTTATACATGACTTCGGTGTCGAATGTGAGCATAGACTCATTAGGAGCATCGACGGGTTCGGAAGTGCCATCGGAATTGTATTTCGTCCATCCACTGCGTCTTTCCCATTTTCGCGGTTTAGGCGGACAATTGACCTTCGCATAAGATTTGGCAAATGTTAAATAAGGCTCGGAGGAGTCCATTCCAAGTTTGTAAAAATGTTCATCCAAAGTTTGGCCTTGAAGAGCAGGGAGATCGAATGCGACAGGGTTTGCGCCACTTTGTGATTTGCCGAGGAGGTCATGGCGGGCAAGATGATCTTTTGATACTGCGACTAGATCTGGATTCGGAATTCGACCTTTGATGGGGAAGACTTGAGGATGGACGTAATCGCTTAATTGTTGGACACCGATATCGTTGAATCTGGATGAAGCCGGAACTGCACAGGATCAGTATTGCAGATTACTCATTAACATTGCGCAGGAAAGCACCAACCAGAGAGGGATCGTTTGGAGATAGTATCATTATCTGCACCTGTAGAGGAATGTCTGATTTGACCTCCTTGCGAAATCCATGGTTGCGCTCGAACCAGGAGTTGCAAGTGAAATCGCGAGAAAGACCTCACGGCACCCCTGGAACAAGGAGCGCAGGAAGACTTCCAAGATAACATCATCTAGTTAAGTGTACCAGTATTAGGTCATGGTAGGAAGGTGTCACAGCCGTGAGGCTGTACTTCAAAACAAAAGAAATGACTTAAGACGCGAACAGTTCCATATCTTTTTGCCTATCGCGGTATCTGTCAGGGCGTCATGCCGGCCCCGGAATAACATCCCATCCGTCGGTGGTCACCGCCTTCAGTTTGTAAGGCTTATCGTCACGTGTATCGTGATAAGTCTATCATCTTGCCGCCACATTCCCCTCGGTCTCTTTGATTCTATTCATTGTTACTGCAGGTTTTTCTGTTACTGTTACTGGCAAGGGTTTCAACCCGACCTTGGGTCTGTGAGCGTTTGACCTTCTTGTCACTGGTAGTAACTCTTCTCAAAGACCTCAAAGATCCCAAAGAACAGTACCAGAGTGGTAGATCTGACAGCCTTGGCTTAATACTCCGGCGAACGTTTCAACTTTCACTTTGGGACTTCTTGAAACACTCAGCATTGCTACAGGGTCCTAAAAAGCGATTCTGGTATTTTTTTAGCCATGGCAAGCCACAGAACCAACAGCACAACCTCAACAACCGAACCCGAACCCACGAACTCCATCCGTTTAACTTCGCCCATAATGCAAGCCAGCTCGCATCGCATCAGCTCGAACCATGCATCCTCTTCCAGAGCGCGGTCTCGTCCACTCCCACCCCCGCCTTCAAAGCGTCGGCGCGACACAGATGATTCCACCACTTCATCTTCACCTGTCTTCAAAGCCCCTCGAACCACTGAACGCAACGGCGAGATGGGCCGGACGGTGAACTCTGGTATCGACTTGACCGACGAATCACATGTCGATTTGACCAGGGAGGCGCCAGTCCCGCAGATCGACTTGACAGGACACTCAGGCTCAGCTCATATGTCACAAGCGCTAGAATTGCAGCGCAGAGCGGCACAGCAAGCAAAAGATGCCGCCATGAAAGCGGACGAGAGACTTCTCAAGAATCGCAAGATCCTAACTGAAGAAAAACGAACGACCCTGACCGCCTACAAGTGCCCAGTGTGCATGGATACCCCGGAAAACGCGACGAGCACTCTATGTGGTAGGTCGATTATAATCTCGCAGCGTACTGGTTCTTTTACTTACTCTTTACTAGGACATCTCTTCTGCCATAAATGCATACTTGAATGCATAAAGATGAGCCAGCAAGTAAGACTGGATGGCACGAAACCCAAGCCTGCTTGTCCGGTGTGTCGGAAATCGCTTATGACAAGGGGGGATAAGGATGGCAAGTCGAGCTTGACTCTGCTGAACCTCAAGTTGCTATGCACAAGAAAGGATGGATCCCCAGCTGTAGCTGCGGAATAGCCTTTCCCTTCTCTTTCATTTCAAGCATTGCAAATCGGCGCATTGGGAATGGACAACGAACACATCATATGGCATTTGGCGCAACGGAAGCGCATTTTCGCTTGGGAAACGGAGTTTACGGGTATGGCATTCGGGGGCTGCGGGTTGGATATTGTGGTGTTGCTTTTCTGGCATCTCATTTGTCTGTACAAAGGTTCTCAATTACCCTACTATTTTACATTATCAAGCATGGTATTTATCTTCAACCTGGGTGATCCGTGGATGATTAGACTCATTGTATATTATTGTATAGTCTAAGGACCTCCGGTATATCATTAGATGTGACGTTCTAACGGTCTCTTCTCGCATGGTCCAAAGTATTCCTTCTACCCAGCCCACCGTCTAACCCACCTCGAACCATCGCATCTCCCTTCTTCCCTAAGACGACCTCAATCGCCTGAATAAGTGCATTGGGATCGTACTTCATCCCAACAATAGTCTCCCTGTCACCATCCTTAACTGTGATCTTCCGCCCATACAGACGGAGCGTCTCGATACCCATGTTTGCAAGACGCTCACGGTCCACATGTGGTGTACCAGGTCCCTCCAGGTGCAAGACATGAGTCACATACGCAGTATACGGAAGGGATCTGTAATGCTGAGTGGTAGGTTTAGATGAGTCTGACGCAGCATCATGGGCTTGACGCTTGAAGATATCAATTGGACCACGCCCACGACTTTCCTCTCCAGCGCTGACGATTGCCTCAACGAAATCGGATGCGATAAACGGTGCAGATGGAGGCCCTGTCTCTCGATCTAATGAACCATTGAGAATTAGGATCTTGTGTCGGGCTGGGCTGGAGGCTATGCTTTTGCCAACGCCTCGAAGGACGATAGCTGGGATGATTGATGTGTAGAGGGAGCCGATGCTGTAGATGATGGCTTGCGAGTCATTTATTGCCTCCAACACACGTGGATTGGCGGGTGGTCGGATTTCCTGGCCATAGGGGTTGATATACCAGATTCGAGTAATTCGAGAGCTGAGATCTTCATTTTCGGTTTTGCTGAATTTGATGTTTTTATTGCGAAGAGTTGCCAGTGATCCAGGAAGATGGTCTTCTTCGTAGGTCATCGCGTCCGAGACTTCCGAATCCGTGTACTCTACATCGTCCCCATCGGCCAGGAGCAGACTTGGTCTCCTAGAGCCGGGAGTGTGGTGTAGAGCTGTCGTCTCGCCAGGATGGGATATGCTATTCTGACCGACGATGACAGTCCCATCTGCAAGAGATGCAGAAATATGGTGGGAAAAGTTGGAGTTGATAGCCGGGATCACACGCACAAGATCTGAGGGCACACCGCAGATACTTCCCAGCAAGTAGATGGCGCTTTCAAAACTGCCACTGAATAGCCGGGCTGCGGTCAGGAATAGGTTTCCCACGCTTGCCGAGGTAAAGTCGAATGTCGAAGATGGAGGCCGTGCGCGTTTCAAAATCTCCAGATTTAATACATTGAAAAAGGAACGGATCAACTCCTTTTTGGCGGGAGTGATGGCTGTCCACAGATCGGATGTTCCGTCAACGATGGACTGCCATTCTTGAGCTGCAGCCACTGGCTCGGCAGGCAGACGGTGATTAAATAGGGCCTTAACGGCTGATCTCTCCGGGTTTGCTGGTGAATCAGGAATCAACCGCACCAATCTACCTTTCGGGGAAGTTAGCAAGTATGCCACCGGGATGCGATCCAGATTGTTAAGACTTACTTCGAACATCGCCGATTCCAGGACCTCCAAATATTCGAATGAGCTCGGAGGAAGATCCTCCATTGTCGCTGATGGGAATTATATAGCTCAGTTGGCAGTTCTTGCTCTCGCGGACCGCACTGAACACATCGACGAGGTTGTTCGCCGCGCTGCCCCCGGAAATAACAACAATGCCCCTATTGGTTGTGGTCACCATGATCAAAGTTGTGCCCAGCCTTTGATTCTACAGAGTCGATGAATCTCAGAGGCGAAGAAGTGTACAGGGAATATTGAGCCGGAGACGTTGGATTTGAGACATTGGCATGTTTGGCAGGCCCGAACACCCGCGCAACCACAGAAAAAGGCCACGAAGGTCGACTGCGCCCCAGGCAACTTTTTATATCAAAAAGACACATGGCTTCAACTATGACATTTTTATATTAGAATTTTAAGATAAAGTCAGAATAGGCAATTGACCCGTACTAAATATAGATTCAGCTGCAGCTGTCACTTCTTCATACTCCACAACCCTCCGCAAATACCTGCAACGACCTTGATACCATGCAGATGCACATCAGAGTCGAGACAATGGAGGCCAAACACGTCCAGTCCCCGTCGAGCTCGTCAAGCCACCATCAATCACCAAGTAGCAGCACTAATCGGAACAGTCCGACACGAAAGCCAGCTGATAGCCCTCCGGTTACTACTTAGTGTTCGAAGCTGGATTCAGTGTCAGTTCTCCAAAGCCATATGTAACCCAGACACTAATCTCCCCAAAGCCAGCAGTAATCTTCCTAATCTCAGCCTGGTACCGAAAAAGCGAACAGTACATCTATCTACATTCCAACCCCAAACGAAATCCAAGCCAACAAACTAACTCTACCCAAAATAAACCAGATCAAAACGCTTCATAATCTTCCTATCAGCAGAAATCCTCCCAGGAGCCTTCGCCAGCATAGTCTCGTGAGCAATAAGTGTTGTGGCGCTGGCGCAGTTGTATGGGAGTGCTTTGTTTCCTGCTGGGGATTCGCCTGAGTATGTGGTTGGGTTTTCGGTTTTTGCGGCTACTTTTGCGCTGGGGGCGGCTCTTTATGGGGTTGCTGATGTTTTGTTTAGGAGGTTGCCTTATAAGGTGTTATGCAATGCTGTTGCTTGGGTTTGGGCTGAGTAGCGGTGCTTTATGTGAAACTATGGGTTTCCCGTTTCGAGGATACTGCATGTTGATCTAAGATTCATGCTGATTAAATGTATATGGTGGGACTGCGTGAATGTTTGACAGCGAGTGATACGACTGCCGATACGGAGTAGAAATCCGCCGTTTTTGATATCTTGTGTTGAGTGGCGCGGGTTCAGCAGTCTTTCAGCCACATATAGGTAGGCACTGTACTGATCCAAGTTGTCAATTTCGTTGAACCGTTTATTATAAACTATAACCCCTATTAACCCCCAACAATCATCTATGTCCCTTAACTTTACATGCATATGCTGTCCTGTCCAGACAAGACAAGACATGAGCTTTATCAAAATTTAACATAAGCATCGAATAGAACATCCGAGCTTGAATTCATGAAACAATAAGAGCCTCCGCGGAACGTTCTCCACAAGGGCCAAATTCCCGTTGATTGCTTCAGCTGCTGCGTTCAGCTTTAGTTGGTCACCTGAGCGGAAGGACTACCACTGTACAGAACGAGCAGGATGATAGCGCAAGCACCACCAATGGCAATACCCTTGGTGGCGGCGGGGTTGCTGCGGTTGTACTCGCCAACCTGGAGGCGCACATCGGTGGCAAGGGTCTGAATCTTCTCAGCACCGAGCTTGTAGTACACCAGACCAGCCAGGGCAATGGAGTAACCGAAAAACTGCTGGGCAGTGACGGGGTCGCGGAAGATGAACATGGAGGCGCAGACGAGGAGGATATCCTTGAGGATACCGGCCATGGTAAGGACGACGGCGGAGGTCTTGCCGATCAGCAGGACAACGGAGGCGTTGAGAAGGAATGCAACCAGTGCGTTGGCAATAAGAGTGCCGATTCCGAGACCGTAGATGTCGCCCATGGTCAGACGGGGAAGCTCAGCAAAGAGGGTGACAACACCGTTGGTCACGGCGCAAGCGGGGGCGTAGTAGTACAGGGAGACGAGAGGGTCCATCTTGAACTCGGCGGAGCTGAGAAGACGCTGGACCATAACGAGACGGAGGGCCTCGAAGATGATACCACCGACCTGGACTGCGGGATTGTTAAGGACTGAATTTAAGACTCGGAGGAAATGACGTACTCAGGAAACCGAACATGTCGAACTTGATTTCGCCGAAAGAGGCAATCACAACACCAACAACAATGAGGGAAACATTGCCGAGGGTCTTCAAGTTGGTAGGGGCAATACCGAAAGCCCAGGTGGCCAGGAGAGTCGCGACAGCGTTGGTGGCCTGTGCATGATGTTAGTCGGGCCTGGAATTCGAGGTGGGGTTCGGAATTGTGAGACAAGTCCTCGGTTTGTACGCACCTTGAGCATCTGGATGAAGGACACACTCAGGTAGAGGTAGGCCAAGTTACCGCAGATCAAACTCAAACTGAACATGATACCAATGGGCACAATGGCTCTCCTATAGACGCAACCGCATATTAGCCATCGATTCGAGGTCGAGTCGCAAGTCTTGTGCAATGCGCCCTTGTATCCGCGGGATTGCTCACGTGTAGGTAGCAGGGTTCATGGGAACCTTGTGGCGCGAGTCCAGGACAGTGGTGAACCGGGCGAGAATCTGGGTCATCGCCGTGGCGAACACCATGTGCCATGTTGTCAAGAACAGGGCTGTTGTTTAGGTCAATAACCGATTCATTCGGGTGCCAGGATTCGGTTTCAGAGTTACTCACGGAAGTCTAAAGACAAGATCTGTTAGCTGCAATTCAACACGAATTACGGGATATGGAAACATACTGAACTTGGCGCTGGCAAGAACCCACTTGTTGAACAAGATGACGCTGGAGCTCAGGGCAATCCACAGGCTAAAGTCGAGTATCAGCAAATTGTTCCCAACGGCTAGGGAGATACGCACGCGATGTAGAAAGCCGGGTGGAGGCCCTTATCCTGGGGAGCGGTGTTTCCGCTCTCGAGCTTGCGCTCATCTGTACGACTGGCTGCCATGATGAAAATCGAAAAAACAGTATAAAAGAATGACTGTGGTGAGAAGAGTTGAAGAAGAGAAAAATAAGGGGAAAGTCAGGATTTATGGATCGGCAGTTAACACACGCCCCCCCAAGCCCCCATCACTTCCAATCACAACGCAATTCCAACGGGTGTGGCCCCCCTAAGATTACACGTAACCCAAGTTTCAGGGTACAGATCTTGTCAGAGATTTTACTGGCATTTCTATCCCTGTCGATCAACACAGCCCCCACTAAGTGCTTAGCGTACTCGATCACGTCTTTGAACCTAGGGGTACTCCGGGTCTATCTCGGTCAAGCCAAGACTGAGATAATCTAGAGTCGAGTCAGATAGAGTCAAATGTTCCAAGATATGCGGTCACGTGACCTTTAGATATCATTCTCGTACTGGCCGGGTAACCCTTCCAGCGTCCCATTCCTGACTTTAGCAGACCTTCAGTTCTCCCTGTGGACTCTCTCAATAGCGAGACACAATGACAGACCCAGCCACACCCCAGCCGACTCCAATATTAACCATGCAGCCTCCTTGAAGTACTGGAACAGCGTACCTGCCACGCCAGGGAGCATGCTGGGCGAATTCCCCTCAGTCTCACGCATTGACCTACAAGGATCAAAAGGCTTCCTAGCGAAAGTCCGCCGCGTAGTCCCAGGAATCCCATCCGAGGGCAAATTCGCACAGGCCGTGACCGCGTGACAGAGGGATTCCTAAGCCATGTCTGCGAAAAGGTCGATGCGGTAGAGCCCATTGCCAAATTCACCAAGGTTCTGCAGGACAGTGCGGTGGCCAAGACCGGCGCTGTGGGAACCGTCTACACCAAGGGTCTCGAAGACTGGTATCCCGAGAAGAAATACGATCTCATCTGGACTCAGTGGTGTGGGCCATCTCACGGACTCGCAGCTCATTGATTACACCGTGCGGTGTCGCAATGCCTTAACTGAGAATGGTCTCATGGTTGTTAAGGAGGATTTGTCTACCCACAACCTTGGGCACGACATGTACGACGATGAGGATAACAGTGTCACCAGGACGGATGCCGAGTTTAGGCAGATTTTCCAGGCTGCTGGAATGACCGTTATCAAGTAGGAGTTGCAAAAAGGTTCCCCCAAGAGTTTCAATCTCCTCCCTATGCAGTCTTATGCTCTGCGACCAACCAGTACGGATTAGCCAACTGGCTTTCTTTTCTAGCACTCGCCCGCCTTCTGGTATCCAGACAATGTACTGGTGGGACGGAACGTCGCCAAGAATTGAACTGCCTTGACTACGTGGATGGATCTGCAATGGCTGGTCCGCTAACGAAGTGTTTGAACCTTTGAAATGACCATGCCCAATTTGCATGCATGGCTTTATCTAGCGTTATGTACATAGAACCCCCCATCTCCTATCTCCATTCGAGAGGCATCATCAAATGAAACCCAATTCATAAAAACCGATACAAATCCTCCGTCTCCGAGCTGTAAAACTGTGAAATCTTCAACCGCCCACTAGAAACCACATCCCTATTCACCCTCTCCGGAGGAGTCCACACAACCTCCGCAGCATTCGTCCTTGGCCGAACAAGCCCGCATCCAGTATCATCCCGACAACAAACCAACAAAAGATCCGGTCTCGACCCCTCCCGTATACAAAGCCCAGAACCAGAACCAGAACCAGAACCAGAACCAGACAACCCAATAGCAGCCCTTGCCCTCGTTGAAACACACTCAAATAACAACTCCGCATCATCCTGACTGCCAGCCTGATAAACCCCAACCCCCAAACAAGCCAATGCCAACGGATCAGGCGCTCCCCACGGCGTAAACGAATTCCCGACATTATTCACTGCTATCACAGCATCCAGGCCATATTTCCGGATCATCTCTAAGATTTGTAGCGTTCCCCTTGGTCGAGATTGAAGTGCAGTCTCGCTACCGTTAACACCAGCCGACGACGCCATGTAAATATCACTCGTTGGTAACCCGACAAAACTAACAGGTAGATCGTTCTCATGGATATCGCGCGCAATTCTGATCCACTCGTTCTCCGAGAGGAGTGTTAGTCTCGTGCAATGGCCGAGCATGACACGTTTGGTTGTTAAACCGGTTGTCCAGCCTCGTTGTTTGAGGGTGTGGAGAACATGCCAGACGAGCGGTTCTTTGGTCGTGTCGAGGTTATAATCGAGATGGAAATCGAGATGTTTGTCCAATGCGAGGGCGCGATCAATCGCCCAGTCGATATTAGCCTTTGCAGCATCGATACTAGTCTCGACGTAGGGTGTTGTACCGAGAACTTCGATCTGGGGATATTTATCCAGAGCCTCGGATACGAGGCGCATATTCTGATCCCCGTGTTCAGTAGAGAAGATAGGATCCTGGGCGAAACAGACGATCTGGATTTCGCAGGCTTGTTTCCATTTTTCTTTGAGTTCTGCTGCGGCTTTGAGGCAGATGTGTTGGACTGTATGGTCTACCTCGACGAACGTTCTCATTGCTGTTACGCCGGAAGCGAGGGACTCGGCGAGGAGCCATTCGCCTCTTTTAATTAGATCGGCGTGGTTGAATTGTTGTTTTGCTTTTGTTGTTGAGGAGAGTGCTTCCTGGAATGTGCCTGTTGAGGGAAGGAATTGGGCATATTCGGGCGTGCTGTGTATGAATGCTTTGTCGAGGTGGATGTGTGGATGGGTCAATGCTGGTAGCGCTAAGGGCGACTCGGTGATGTGTGTGCCTTCATCTTCATGCGGGGTCACGGATGTGATTGTACCGCTGTCCGTGGGATATTCGATTTGGATGTCCCAGGTGGATGGCTGTCCGGCTAGTCGGACGCCGTTTATGCGCTGGATTCGACTTGTAAGTTTTGGAGGCATTTGGATTGAGGGATATGTATTGGATAAGTACAAAGTGGCTATTTTTGAAGCTTTTCCCGACACGAGCCCTCGGGGATGTCCGCAACGGTCACTTCCGAGCTTACTGATAACAACATTGAGTATGAGAGTTGGGGAAATATTCAGTTGACTTGAGGTATTCGCTTCACAATTCGAGGGTATCATGTCATTTCGCTAGGAATGGAAATGCACAGCGCCAGAATGTATTTATGATAGATTCGAAAAAAAAATGTTGTATACTAAGTTCTGGAGACGGAAAGTCGTATTTTTTGGCGGATTGTCTTGATGATACTCAAAATTGCATCTGCTGTCTCGGAGTGTTGTGCCCATAGCCCAATAGATTGTATGGCTTCCTTCATCAACTGATCAAAATCAAAGTCTGAGACGATCGCTTCTAGAGACGGGGTGCTTTTTGCCGTTGCCAAGGTGAAAATGGCAGCCAAGAGTCTGAGCAGAGGCGTCAGTTTGAAAATAGCATTATAGGGATGTTGTAAAAGAAAAGGTCTTACGCTTGCATTCGCAACCAATTGGAATGGGTCCTCTTCTCGAGAAGAAGCGAAGCTGCTTCGACGAATTTGCGACAACTGGCAATACATTGTTTGCAGTTCCCGAAGACATAGTCAGGCAACACGTTATTGTCTTTGTTCTGAGCGGCATAAACAAGACTCGGCCGATAAATGATGTGTTTCGTGGCGTAATATCGCGCGCGAATGTAACTGTCGTATGCATCTTGATGAGACATTGGCTTTTTCAGGTCTGGTCGGATCTGCGGTGGCAAGGATTGGAACCATTCCTCGAGCTGACGATTCAGCTCAACACAAATCCTTTCCAGGGAAGCAATTGAATGCTTCTGGGGACGTGGGGTGGCAGAGTGAGACTTTTGTTGCGATGGAGAGGCGGCAGCGTAGTTGTCCAGGAAGGTCGGGTCATATATCCAGGTGTGTACTCTGTTCAGCAGCTTACGAATTGAGCACATTGCTAGGAATACTAGATTGCTTCTTTGAGTGGGCTCGGAAAGTCGGGGGAAATGCATTCCTCCTTCGACTGATGGAGGGCCTTCGACGAGAAACTCGATTCCACTGCGAGGGAAGTTGAATTCTGCCAAATCGTCACTTGAGAAGTGGTTATTAGTTGGAAGAAAACCAATTCGAGAAGACCACCAACCATTCAAGAATGTAGCAGGCCCAGGTAGTCCGAAAAAGAGTGTCATGTTCCCGCATCATGGGCTTGACACTCAATCTATATCCAGTCAGAATTTCGCAGGTATAAGCGAAAGAGGAAGGCGCACAGAGAGTGAAGCGACTTGACCGCGGTAGATGCATCCGTTATCATATTAGACGCCTGGAACGGGCGTCCGATGTAGCGGAAATACAACGAGGCGTAGACAAATGCCAACGGCACAAAGGGGCTACGGTTCATAGGCAGGAATGCCGACCACCGGTTCTTCAGCTCATGATATGCCGGAGCAAAATATTCAATTCCATTCCGATCATCGGCCGCTTCGATATCAAAAATGTGTCCGGGATTCGAAGAGACTTTGCCCAACGCAATAATAACCAGGCAAAGTATTGTTTGGATACTATTGCCTCTTGGTACTAAAGTGAAGTTTTCGTAGACTGTGCGCAACGCTAGAGGTTCCATCAGAGGGAAAAAGGCATGCACGTTTGTCAAGAACTCGTTGAAATACGGCTCTGTAATGCGTGTTTGGAAAAGGCTAGGATCGATCTGGTCGAAGCTTTTATTCACGCTTTTGTCCTCAAACTTGGGTAGGCGGGTTGATTCCAGCTGCATGAAGAAATCTTGAGGGTATTCGCCAATTAGGTTCTTGATTCGGTCTAGAAAGAACAATCTTTCTGTTGGTGTTGAGTGCCCCAGAGGAATTGGCAAGGGCTCTTCATGGTTTTGTTGCGGAGGAAGGCTGATTGAAGACCTGTCGTGGTATGTATTGGCAGGCGACGGGTACCAGTTGTATCGCGGCTGTGCCAAATGCGCCGACACATTGGGCAAAGAAATCAACGGATCGGCTTGAGGAGAGGAAACTTGCGATGTAACTCGCGTCGAGAGCTCGGCGATTGCTTCTTTTTGTTGCTGAAGAAGGGTCTCCATATGACTTAAGCGAAGCAAGATTTCCGCCGGAATATCCTGCACCCTATTTATCGTTACTATCCATGACTCGCGAGAAGGCCGGTCATTTTCTACCTGTCACTTTCTTGGTATTCGCACTGGGCGCCAGCATCGGCGCAAAGCCCACACGTTGGCTTTTGGCCATCACACTTGCGCTTCCTAGTTGAACTCAATAAACATGTGATCAAAGTCAGAAATCACGACCTACCTATGGCGACAGAAGTTACACGCAATTGAAGCACGCTTTCGAGGGTATTCAACGGGAGCGCGACCCTCAAACGCCTTCATTTTGGGAAGATCGACGTGAAGAAGCCCAGTGCGGGGTTGAGATGTCAGCAAACAAAAAAAAAAAACTTCGTCCCTTAATAATCCACTGTGCTTTTGAAGGAATGTGATCGAGACACTCTGCAGAATCAGATGTTCTCAGTCAGAAGCCTCTTTGACTCCCCTTGGTCTGGGCGCTTAGGATGCATGAATGGCTCTTCGGATAGCGTCTCTCTGCGCTGGCGCTGCTCCACCCACGAATCCCAGTCAAATCTCCGGGCTCCGCCTCCAAACATCCCCATGTGAAAGGAACTGGGTATCAAAGGCTGTTTAGGAGACACAGCGCTTCCTCTGTCTATACAATGAGGGCCCGACGCATTGGCGATTGGTCCGCATGTGGCCAAGGCTTGGGGGCTGTTTTACCCTGTTTGTGTTCGAGCAAGTCATCTCTAGGTCTGGCGTCTCTTCGGTCACTTTTTGTTGGCGGTTGGCGGTCGGTGGTTGGCTTTCTCGATCGCAGTCTTGATAACCATGTAGTTGTGTGTGTGTCCAACACCCTGATGGGTCGACTAGCCTGGTATTGGTATTTAGTTTTCCAATGTGCCATGTCAGGAGACTCACTGGAGAACTCATGGTTAAATATTAGTGTAGTAGGGGGTAACAGCCATAGTCGCAGCATCAAGAACCCCAAGCTATGTCCAAGTTAGCCCCGCAAACCAAACTTTCCAGCATCTCTCCAAAAAAGAGGACAGGCAGATGTACTTATGCTGAGACCCCCGGACTCCATGGTGCTCTTTGACTGAGAAAATGCGATCAGACCTTTGGCTTATCTCGCACAGGGTCAGAGCAACTCTTGAAGGGGGGTTTCCCCTATTATATGCTCTTACCAAATAGACCTTTAGCTAGAGAGGACGCACCAAATCTTTCATGCTTCGGCGGATAGGCGGGTTACGGCCCTGCGGGCTTACTTCAAGTAGCCAATGAACAAGGCTTGCAGCGGGAAAAGCGCCTATACGGACCGCCAGCCCGAGATTAAGTTCTTGGGTGGCTTTGGGTCCTGCAGGGTATCTATCAGCTGACGCAATTGCTGCATGCTCGTGGTCGCACTATGTTGGTAACCACATTGAAATGATGCATCAGGCTCTGTATATACCGTTCCTTGGGCGTTGGTCTTTAAGTTGGTTGGGACACCAGAAAGTAGACTATAACTAGCTTCCTAGGATAATCAGATATAGTTCAGAGCAACCAAAGTCAATATTGATCTATCTCAAATTTGCACACTCACTACATATAGGGCCAAGTCTGCCTAGATATCCAATAACACTCTTTAAAAATGATTTAAACTGTCAGATGCTTCTAGCAAAGCTGTTCCTGTAATAATCTAGACTGAAACATGCAACAACCCACCCCCATCAAGAGTAACCTCATCTTCAACATGAAGATGCGTTATTACACAATACCCATGATACTTACCATACCCCTTCATCTTCGACATCACTATCCGCCAACAATTCCCTCAACTCCCTCAAAGCCTCATCCCGCTTCTCAAGATACGCATCAATGATCCTCGTTCGTAACCCGTTCAGGAAACAACTCCAGCGCACGATCTAGATCAATTCCATCAAAAATCTCTTTATATCCAGGACTATCCCGTCCGGACCGAAGAAATCAGAGTCAATGTTCTCGGCCCAAATAGCTTTATGCTGTTCTGCATGGTGGACCTGTACCCCACAGTCTGCCGTTTAGGGTTAGGATGGCTCGGATTTTCCGATATCAATGTGAACTCTTCATATAAAAAGCCTCCAATGATGGAAGAAAGGTATTAAGACTGTCAACTCCATAGCTGGAACTTCAAGTTACTCTCCTAGATGTACTGCCCATTGGATCATAGCAAACTCACACCGCAAGAACCCAAAATGCTCGATACGCCGCTTAGCCAAGGCTGCATCTAAAGCAATGAACTCCTCAGCCGCCATGGCATTGAAGCGTGGAGACAAGTGCTTTCAGTCAAGCGCGGTTTGGTTGCCTGGGTGTGATGCCAGAAGTGAATGAAGCTTCCCAGTGCAAACACATTTATTTGTCGTTCATCTGGGGATGAGCCTCTCTTCTTTTTCCACCCTTCAACTCTCATCCCCCTCCACCTGCTTCAACATCTTGCTGTCGTCTGTTACTCTCCTATCCTCTCTTTTTTCATCATGTCAGAGACCACTCCCTCCATTCAGCCTCTGACGGCTACTCAGCGTGCCCTCTCGCTCGCTGAGATCGTGGGCCTTATCATCAGCTGCATGCCTCGAAACGGACCCGGATGGGGACGCGACTTACTCTCATGTGCTCTAGTAAACAAGCTCTGGCTTGAGGATTCGCTAGCAATGATGTGGAGATCCATTCACAACGATCATCGCCCCCTGGATGATGGTTACGAGAACCCCGGGATCGACAACACATTCCTGGAGATCCGTTACGATCGCCGGCAATTCTATGCCAACTTCGTGTGTTGCGCAATGATCAATCTTCTTGATGATTCATGGGAGGGAGAAGACCCGTGGGCAGAAGGGGGAGAATTTGAGGGCCTCGTATTTCCAAAGATGACCGTTCTTCATGTCATGTTGACGGACATCGACGGAATGCTTGCTACCGGCTCAAACACGTGCGATGGGGAGGCAGTTCTTCCGTCTTTGAACTGTCCCAACCTTCACACGATGAGCTTCGAATTGAATGACACTAACCTGGTGTCATATGAAGTGGCTGCAGACACGTGGGAGAGCATTTTCTGGGATCTTCCTGTAAGTTCTATTTGTGTTATTGTGCTTATCGTCACTAACTCCCTTCAACAGACAAAGTTTCCCAGCCTCCAACATCTGGACATCACTGGCCACGCGCACATCTTTCCCAATGCATTACGACGACTGCAAAAGCGCCACCCCAACCTGCAGGGCCTTGAATACCTGGACATGCATGAGATCCGCCGTTTCTTGTCAGAGTCCGAGCTCGCTGAACTTGATCCGATTGGGGTGAACCATGATCCAATGGATAACGAAGACATGGACTTAGAAGATGATCCCGACTCGGGCGAAGAATTCACCGAAGATCTGTGGGAGGATGACGAAGTAGAGGATGGCAATGGAGATGACGAGGATTATGTGGAGTGAGGTAGTCTTGAAATCAAAGGGCATGCCCAGCAGAGGTCAAAGGAAACACACAGGTATCACATAGTATTATTCTAGCACGAAATTTGATGATATCACAAGCAAAGCTCTAGGCGCAACGGATCTTTCATCTTGTTGACCCATTTCTTGCCTTTTTTCACTTCTCTCTCTCTTACTATTTCTCTTTTCCTTCACCTTTTCCTTCATCTTTTCCTGTTAACATTCTTCCCATCTGTTGCTAGTCTATCATTTCCAGCTACCGACACATGTCTCAAGCACCCGCTTCCGACGATTTCGCTAAGGCGATGTCACCGACTACCACTACCATGACCGCTGCCCAGCGAGTCTTCTCATCATTTGTGGATAATGAAAAGCTATTCATTCTACTTTATCAGAGAAGCCCACATGTAATATATAGCGACAAAGAGAGTTTGGTTTCAGATGATACCTTTCTCCTTTAGGATGAGGCAAGAGGGAAACCAATAAAAGAGTATAGGATACAAAGGTACAGAAGACAGAAACAAGGGCGTAGGAATAAGGTTCATTTTCGGGGATGCTGGTTGGCGGACTAGGGTTGGGTGGGAATGAGCTAAAGCACTGAAATACCTCTAGGAAATACAAATGACCCACGAGAAATTACTTTTTGGCAACGAAAATGTTCACCAAATCCGACTTTTCGGCCCCTGAATTTTTTGAAAATGCCCTTTTCCAAATCCTAACCTACGAGAAAAAAGAAGACCAGAATGATTAATACCTATGAAATAAACTCCAATATCGAACTCTTTCCCTGAAATAAGGTTTTGAGGTCCAAATGTTGTCTGTCTTAGCTGGGCAAGCAACCTTCCAAGGTTGTGTGGCTGAACAAGCAGCAACATACCAACAAACACAGCATTATCAAACGTCCATTCGAAGCCTTACAACGCAACACATTTCGTCACCTAATTCATATATTTTGGCACTATATACTCCCGTCTTACAGACAAATCTACACGAGAATCTGTATTGAAAATAACAGAAGAGAAGAGAAGCAATATATTCAATGATATACAAAACAACACTCGAGTCTACCATATATAGAAAACCCTTGTATAAACTCTAAATGTCCAAAAAGACCAAACCATATATCCCGTAGGAAAAGCAAAACCAACACCTATACCAACACCAAAAGCAACCCCCAATGCCAATGCCAACTCCTCTTACAACGAATATTAGATGAGACGGGATATAAAAGCAATCTATGACAACAGATAGCATGATATCCACTTCAAATCTCAAATCTCAAATCTCCTGTGCGTCCAACGCCCACACCTCCCAATGCTGCAAAACCTCCCACCCAACACGGCGCATACGCCGTCTCCAAATAAAACCATCCTCGGCCATCGCATAATAACCTGGTCCGAAAGAAGGTGTATCATCACGGTCTTGGGGGAAACTAACTGTCTCTGGGCCACGGGACTGTTGTCGTGATGTTGGGGTGGGATCCTCAACGTCGTGGTCACGCGATCTTTTGCCCAGTGTTGAAGGTGGTTGGAGAGGTCTTGCTACTGGTGAGGCGCTTGCAGACCAAGAGTCCAGGCGTGGTGTTTGTATACCGGGCGATCTCTGTGTGGTGTAGCCTGGATGGGTTGAGGGACCACCGTTGACGTTGACGTTGACCTTGACCTTGACGTCTGGGCTTTCGGCGGGTGCGTATTCACCGTTTTGTGGGGATTGGTGTTCGGCGTTGTCGGGTTGTGGTTGTGGGATGGGGGCTTTGTAGCATTCGCGGATTTCCCAGGCTTTCCAGCCTAGGCCGATGACTTTGACGTTGCCGTAGATTGGTTCGTTTGCGAGGTCGCAGCTCATTAGCTCTGTTAGGACTTCGTCGTCCATGTCTACTAGTTCGGCGAGCGACTTTACGTTTGCGATGGTGTTCTGTAGTGACCTGCTGAGGCCGAGGGGGGATTCGCCTTGTGCGGGTTTTGAGATTCTGAGGGTGCCTGGTGGGACGTTTTTAGGTTGGCCGGATGACGGGGGGATGAGAAGTCGGAGGGCCTTTAGTTTTCGGAGAAAGGGTATTAGTAGGCCCAGTGAGTCCATGCTGGTGAATTCTGTGGCGAGAGCCAGCTGCTCCAGGTTCGGGCAGCTGTGAACGAGACGCCCGACCATGCCTGTTGAGAGAGGCCATTTTGAGGGTAGGAGGAGGTGGCGCAATGTTGCACCGTGGTTTACACTGATATGTGAAAGATAGATATCGCGAACGCTGAATGTCGCAGTCAGTTGGCTTGCCGGGGAAACCGAAGTGATAGGTGAATTAGATGTAGTCCCGTTCGCCCCGCCATGCGGTTGACTGTCATAGATCGGCGGCGTGAGTGCCGATGAAGAATTCCCTCCCTGTCGGGGAGAATTGAGATAATCACTCGAGCCGGAGGTGACGTTGACAAAGTACAACCGTTCGAGGCCCTGGAAGTTGCCAATAAACTCCGCATTCCGCTTCGACACAGTATCCATTCTGACAGATTTCATTCGGAGCTTGGCATGCGGTGGGACAGTAGGCCAGCTGTTCTCCATGAACGTGTTGGCTAGACTAGACCCTTCAACTCCAGTGAGGAAAGTAACATCCTCAACGGTCGTCGGATCAAAAGCGAAAGTGAAATCCTCAGTATGGAAAGCATAAAGATTCTGAAAGGACATCTTCTTCACCGCCAACGGCTGCTTGTTCGCAATAAGCTTGCGGAAGTAATCATGAAGGGAAACACTCGGCTCCTGAGCATCGCGCATCCGTGGCGACCAATGCAACTTCAACTCGCGCAACTTACGACTCTTCCAAAGCATCGTCGCAATATCGTCCGGGTAACACAAAGGATCGATATCGGTAATCTTCAAACAGCGCAAATGCGGCATACCCGGAAGAACAAAGGTAGGCTGCGGATGACGGCTGGAGGGGAAGCGAATGGTCAAAGAGGTAAGCTTGGGCAGCTGCGTCAAGCCCGTAAACACCGTATCCAGCATCTTGGTATTCAACTCCCAGTGGAAGCTTTCCAGATTGGTCATGCGATCGATCGCGGCGCGGGCGGCGATATTCAGCAACATCGACGAGTCCGGCACGCGACCGACTTGCGCATGTTCTTCCAGCTCGTGGTCGTTCCATTCGCCGCGCAGTGTCATTGATCGCACTAACGACCCATACGGCCTTGTAATCACCGCGTTTAGGCCCATTGTGAAGGGACTGCCACTGCCAATTCCTTCTGGCTGGTCATCGCGATAACGGATTTTGTCGTAGGAGGTCAGCGTTAGGCTGCGGTAGAGTTGTGGTAAGGCCATGTAATTGAGGACGCGGCATGTTCGGCATAGGTGGGCGAGATCGCCTGTGTCTTCGACCTGACAGTTCTGTTAGAGAGAGCTCTTGCGGGGATGGTTGCGTCAGTGCTCACATGTGATACGATCTGGGCGATGAGGTTCAACGGAAGAACCATCAGCGAAGCACCGCCGGGCGGTTCTGCGCCTATGCTGGCTCCGAACATGTTCTGGTTGACGGTCGCCATGATGCGACGTCCATGACTGAAGTATGGGGAAGTTCGGAGCCTCGAGTTCCCGAGCGAAATTTCGGGTTCCACTCTCGTAAGCCAAGAAATGGCCGAGCCAAGCAGAACAACGGGAGAGTAATGGCACTACTGTACGGAGTATAGGCAGTGTATACTTGCAAGGCTCGATTATTGTTGGGTATCTTTCTAATAAATTTCCCTTATAACACCATCCAAAACATCCAAACTCCCCTAACCCAAAACTAGAACGCCAAAATGTCGGTCAGGGGTACTCAGCCACGGTATGCCAAGCATCCCGAAATCATTATCCCGGCCAAATTGTGATTCATGAGGTCTCAGTGCTCTTCACTAGGCCTGTGCTCCGCATCTGGTGGTGGTTGCGGTGTATGTGATTCAACGTGGGACTGCACAGTAGGTGCAGTCGGCACATCGTTCCTCTCGTCAGAATATGTCGTTTCGGTCCAGCTGCGCTGGTCGAAATTGGCAGTGTGGCTATCGTGAGCCAAGTGGCTGACATCCTCGTTGACCAAAGCCGCTGTTTCAGGATCGTAGTGTAGGACGTAGTCCCCGCCTCCTCGCTCCACATCAGCGTCAGTCCATGGAGCAGAGGCTTGTGGTTGCGAAGGGATGACCCGGACTGGTAGATCCGGTCGAGTTGATCGGCCAGGGGGAGGCTCGGGCCGACTGGTGGGCATTTCGCGGGGTGTAGAGGGCTCCAGCAGCCGGTTCTGGGGTGACCATGTATGTTGGCCACGACGGCGGGCAGGAATGACAGTCACGGGGAGGGAATTGTCAGCATTGAGCGAGCCGGATCCTGGTCCTTTGCGATATAGAGAGAAGAAATGATCGGCTCGGAACCGGGCAGCATGTGCCTCTGTCTCGGCTTCTTCGGCCAATAACGACACCGACGGTCTATGTTCAGAAGGCTCTTCCCCAGCTTGTGCAAAGGCGACTTCTTTTGGCAGCGATGCCCGTCGCCGCTTGAACGGGTTGAGGAGAGTGCGCCATCGAGGATCTGCTTGGACGATTTGCGGTGATTGCTCTCGGGTATCTTCGGCGGATAGACCATGCTCAGTCGTATCAAGGGCTTGTCTGCCTTCTTCGATATCCTTGGCTTCCTCTAGCTCCTCCGCCTCATCCATGTGTGGCATCGCGACGGGAGGTGTAGGACTGGCCACTGGATGATATCGCACATTATATACTGTGCTCGCCGCACTGGTAGTATCAGCCCGGCTAACCGGCGTGATGGCCGCCGGAGGTGGTGTAGGACGATTGTTTGGATGCCTCGGTGGTATACCAGCAGCGGGGTTGTTTGCTGGAGCTCCGGCGCCTCTGTTTCGGTTGACGCGAGGAAGTCCAGCTCGAGCTCGTAACGGCCGATGTGCTAGACCCATCATGCCGCCCCATCCCGAAGATGTACCGCCACCGCCGCCTCTGTCATGTCCTTGGTGCGAATATCGCGGCCAGTCGACTTCTTCAGACGGTGTAACCTCAAGCATCTCATCACCGTCGAACACTTCTCGTCCCAAGATTCCATCCTTCGCTTCATCTCGTTCCAACGCCTCAATTCGTTCCACCCACTCCCATACCACTACACTGGCCGCAGCAGATCCAACCCATCGAATATACGTACCCCACCCAGCAATCTCCGGTCGGGCAATATCCAGAACAAAGAATACCACAGGTATCAAAATAGCACATAGCGATAGGAGAGCCACCAAGCATATATTCCGCATCTTGGGATGAAAGAAGGCGTAACGATGCTTCGAAATCGAGTAGAAAATGACCCAAGCAGCATATAGCAGATTGAGCGACAACTCAAACAAATAACTCAAAGCAGGAATCGCATCATCGTATAATCGCGGCCGTGTCGATGAACTCCGAACCAAAAAGTTCTCCAATATACTGAAAGTCGTATCCAGCACGATCAACGCAAACCCAGCCCACTTGATCATGACTTTCTCCTTATGTCGCGGAAACAATCGAATCAACGTCTGGACCTGCGCAAGCCAAAGAAACGTGCTGGAAATCACTCGCACAATGCGAATTTCTAACCCGTCAATCACTTCGTCGGAAAGCGCTTCGGCATCGGAAAACCCATAATCGTACTGTCGCTCTGCCACTTTGAAGGAATCGACCGTGGCAATCGTTAATGATATCGCGACTAATATGGCAGCAACTTTTTGCAGCCATGGTCGTCCGCCGACTCCTACTACTGACGAGTTCCCGCTGTATGAACCGCTGATCATCCCATGTCGTCCGAGGAAATTGGCGCCACCGCCTGGTCCACCGACGTAGAATGTTCGCGGGGTAATGAGAAGGATAATAACGAGGAGATAGCTGACGACAGTCGCGCATCCGATAGCATACAGCTGTGGCGTAACAGAAGAGTAGAATGGATCACGGGTATCGAGAACGGCGGAGACGTGGACATCATCGCTAGGCAACCCTGTACAGAGAGGCTCAAACACGGCGTTTTCGGTGAGTGTCACAGCGTATGATTTGTTGTAATAGACGAGTCCTGTAGAAATTGTAACTCGTGGTTAGATACGGTTCTGGGTATGGCCGAAACCAGGGAGGCGGGCAACGTCCACCACCTCATCCACCAAGGATCAAGAGGGGTATAAAAAGGGACACAACCTACCATCGCTAGGCAATACAAATGGCGTACAGCCCGGGGAGTAAGTCTTCGTCGTACTCGTCGTCGGGTTCGCCCAGATCTGGCGGGGGAGTATCCGGGTCGCATGTTCCATGATCGGGCTCTAGGGAATCGTCTCTCGTTCGTTCCCTCGAACAGTTCATATACGCAATTTCACCGGCCCCTCCTGTGTCACACTCGTCGGGCTTTTTTTCAGGCTTCCATTCTTGACTGGTTTTGAGCCGCGCGTACGGTGCAGGTCCGAAGACTGGGGGAAGGTGGCGGGGAGGGGGTCGACTAAGGTTGAGAGGGAGTCGCAGAGATGACTGTGTGTGTCACGGGAGAGGATTATTGTCGTACGGTGAATAGAGTGAGGAAGTGAGGAAGTGAAGAAGTGAAGAAGTGAAGACTGGGGTAGTGTCAGGAGAGGTGGAAATCTTGGAGTCGAGGCCGATCCGCCCCAGACTCGGCATTGGCTCCACAGGTTTTTAGTGTCGAACTCCTTCTACTTCAACGTCTACTTGCTATGAACTACTTATGAGGCTCTACAGATACTCTCATTTTTCATAAATCTCACGGTTTTACAATGCACTTCTTTGCACAGACATATACAAGCTAAGCCAAATCAAGGTCAAGCCAGGGTCATATTCACAAGCTAGCACGCTAGCGCCAAACTCGAACTATATCGCGTCTCACATCACTCTCTGTACAACGTTCATCTTATATATAGCATGTCACATTCACAGCCTCAGATGCATGATTTATGCCTGAGCGGCAAAGCCGAGGCGGGGCCCCTGGGAGTCGAAAACGACGTACTGGCTCTTGAGGAAGATATCACCGAAGATGGAGAAGCCAATGCCAGAGTTGCTCTGGATACCACCGTAGCAGGTGGAGCTGCCAGTGGTAACCTGGGCGTAGTTGATCAGCTTACCGGGGACAACGGCATTGTAGCCATTGATGGTCACGGTGAAGTCGGGCAGGGTGGCGGAACAGGGGAAGACGTAGCCACCGTAGGTGTTGCTGTTCTGGGAGCCGGAGACCTTCTTGTAGTAGGCGGAGACAACGCTGGTAGGGAGCAGGAGGAGGGTGGTGCCGGTGTCTAGATTGGATGTTAGTTATGGATATGAAGGCAATTGGGATTAAATGGAACGATGACTTACCAGCAATACCGGTGATGGATCCGCCAGTGGTGGTGCCAATCTTGTAGCTGTCGGCAGTGAACGACCAGAAGCCCTGGGAGTCATCGACGTCGGCGTAGGCCAGGGTGCCGGTGTACTTGGACTTGTCAATGTAGCCAAAGTCGTAGCTGCCGGGAGCATTGTGCTTCAGGGTAACAGCAAACAGGGGCGAGTCGAGCTGCGACTTGACGGTGTCGAAGAAGGTGGTCTGAGCCTTCGGGCTAACAGTGTTGATGGAGCTGAAGGCGAGGCCGAGCAGACCGTCGTTGTTCACATCCTGCTGGAAGGAAGAGCTAATTTTGCTGGCAGCCTCGACAGCCTGGCCGGTAGCCTTGACACCGCCAACGGTGACAGTGTCTTTGTAGACATCACCGCTAGCAGAGCTGCCATCACCGTAAGAGATAGACCAGGTGCTGCCTGACAGCTTGGTGGCACTGCTGCTAGGCTTGTAGATGCTGTGGCCGCTCTGCTGGGAAGAGGTGAGCTCGGAAGAGAACACCCACCTAAGGGCTGTTAGCTCTCATTCTTGTCCATTTAGTGTGATCAACTTACAGATCAGCAGATCCGGTATCGAAGTCCAAGTTCAGGGTAGTGCCGCCAACGTTGACGGGAGTCAAGTACTCGACATCGCCGTCCTCGGGGGTAGTCACAGCAGAGCCACTGACAGCAGCAGCGTGGACATTGGAGGGCACAGTAGCACCATACTTGGACAGGGCTTGGGCATAAACAGCTGGCAAGTTGACAGTCTTGGACTTAGTAGCAGCACGAGTCTCCTGGTTAATAGTGAAGCCCTTGCGAGGAGCCACAACAGGAGAAGCAGAAGCAACAGCCGAGAGACCAGCGAGGACAGCAGTGACCTTGCTAAAGACAACCATGATGGGACGTATATATAAGAACGATTGAATCTAGTAGAGCGAAGCGAAGGCGATGCTGAGTAGAATGAATCCCCCAATCCAGCCGGCGACGGGGGGGGGAATATATAGTCATTGTCTCTGCTCCATCTGAAATATGAGATAGGAGAGATTAGAAGGCATCAACGGTGCCATCTATCGCAACAGAAGGAGATGTTTCTTTTCCTGGAAGTTCAACACGGCGATCCCCTCGATGCAGACAAGCCAGGAGCTAGACTTTCGAAATTATCACGGACACCATCGGCCATCCAGGATGGCACAACGGAGTCCGCCAAGCAGACCAAGGAGAAAACATCCCAATCGAGTATAGAACGGGGATTGTGTGAAGCCAAACGGGGTCGACAGGGATGTTTGATAGGGCTAGCGCAAATGCGCGGGGTTGCAACAAAGGCGACATGCCCAGGGAGCTTGGTCGTGACAAGCTAATCTTGGACGGAGATGTCCGGAATAGGCGCAGATTGCAGGTGTGTGCATGGCGTGCATGTGGCCATTCGCACGAGAGAAGGCCATTGCCAAGGAGTGATCTGAAGTGAAGCGATGAAGCAGTGTAGAGATGATCGAGCCCTGAAGATCATCGTTATCTACTTGACAGCCAATCAATTGTTGCAGAACACAAGTAGACTTCCCACCAATTTGAATAAGGTCACATCGCTTCATTCAGGGTCAAGTCTTGGCTGAGTTGATTGGGTGTTCTCCCCTGAGTCCTGGACAGGGGCTGAGTATAGTGAGAACGGAAAAATCACCAACCAGGTGCTTCAGCCCAATTCTCCGCATCTCAAACAATCTCCGACGGGCATCCGTCCCTGCATATTCTGCTGAATTTGAATCTGAGCTAGGGGGCGTCGGATGTGACCCTTGACGGAGTAATATGCAGTTGTTATCGCATGGAAGATGTTGACGGCCACTAGATCCTTCGATGCGGTGATCACTGACAATCACTCATAACTCGAGAGATCGTCGGATCGGCAGTATACACCTGCAGGCCTTGGATCAGCACTAGATATGCATGTTGTCAGGCGTGTACTCCGTTGGTGCCTTGCCCAGGTGGAGGTTTGTGAGCACGCAATGAATCCGATGGGCTGAGCTGGACAAAGTACCTAGGCAAATTCGACCGGAGTTATTCTCTACTTCTTTCAATTTCAACTATGGACTACGATTTTAGTGTGTCCAATACACATACACTGTCTACCTCATTGCATACAATGGCATACAATGGCATACAGCAACCAAGCAAGCAGGCTGCCAGCCACCCGAAAGCTTCACCCAGATCAAGCAACTGACGCTTCCAGAAGCACATGAAGCCAAGTCGAAATGGAACCCCGCGTCCGACGGAGACCGGTGGGAGAAAACAGTTACAACCTCCGAAAACACTATATCTACTATAGTAAACATACGGCTAATCTCCATTGCAATAAACAGAGTTTCAAACAAATTACAACACGGATAATCACAGCCCGAATACAGCCAAGAAGCGCCAAGGGTATAGAATTTTGATCGGATACGAATAAACGCTCCTTGCGATCTCTAAAAACCAAAATGGAAAGACCTCGTGGTAATCAGATAATCATGTCGTCATGAAATCATGAAGGTAGATACTGCGATGAAAGTCCACCCGATTCACCCTCGCCATTCGCATTCCCATCATAGCCCTCATTGAGAAGGACCTCGAGCATGTCAAACTCGCCAAGCATAGGCCCCGTCCCGCCAAGACCCTGGTCAACAACCCCAGTAGAGCTATTGAAGAATTGATCCAGAGGCAGGGCAAACCAATCCGGAAGTGCGCCGGAGCTCGCATGGCTGTCGCTCATGGGCTGTGAAGAGGGGACATGGTTCGGCGATGATCCGTCCAGGTCGTTGGCAGGAACTGCAGAGTTCGAGTCGTAGTAGTTGTAGTAGACGGACGGCGGAGGCGGCATGAAGGAGACATTATGGTTGGACGAGTTGATTGGCTGCGCGGGGATACTCGCCAGTGGGTCGTGGCCTGATCCCATCGGGTGCCCTGCGGCGCCGTTGTCTACATACCCTAGACCCGACCCGCCTGGCGTTGTATCTTGACCGGGGGTTGCGGACCAGCCTGTGTGCGGACCGTCGCGGCGAGATGCTGTGCTCTCACGCGGTGGGGAATGGGCTCGAGAGCCGGGAACTGAGGTGCGGTCGTGGCCGTCGCCTTCTGCGCCGCGGTCATGGGGTGCGAATCGGAGGAAGCGGGTGCGGATGCTGCTTGTGAGGAGCTCTAGCAGTCGCGCTACTGTGTTGCTCAGGTGCACGTCATCTACAACGTAATTGCGTAGTGCCTCCACCGTCCGGTCTTGCAGGTCCAAGGAGACTCGCACGTCATCTTCTCTGGCGCCTAGTGTGAAGGTCTAAGTCTGTGTTAGCGTTTGCTTTTCGCAATTGCTGTATGGGGGCCATACCTTCAAGATAAAGATCATGCCAGACAAGATTCGGAAGAAGGTTCGAATGGGTGCGTGTCTGAGCCGACCTTCTGGAACGAGGCCTTCCAACACTGTCGTCAAAATCTTGCGCGATGAATCAATAACTTCCTGGATGTAATGCTCATTGACACGGTAGAGCTCCATCAACGTCTGGAACCAGCCACTGCTATTGGATGGGCCCGAGCCTGCCCGTCCTTGGGATTGAGCAGACTCATTGGACATGGTAGTCCATCGATCAACGACAGCTTGCAGTGCAAGAGAATTAATGTAAAGACCTGTACATCATTGTTAGCTTTTTAATGTGTAGCTTCGTAGGAGTCGACTTACGAGTATATTCCACTTCAATCAGCAAGACACTCCGCATAGCCGGCGACACTGCCATCTGTTAGTTTTGCTGCAAGGCCAAGGCTCATCCAACTTACAGTTAACAACACTGTCAAGTTGCTGCCGGAACTCGCGTAGATATGGCTGGAACCTATCGATTTGATCACGGTACCGCCCAGTTCGAATCAACTCCATCGTTTGATCACTAGACGCAAACAACAAATGGTTGGCCTGGTAGACGATCTTCGAGACGCTAATCCAGCAGTCCTGCATCTGATCGATATTGGTATCTCCATCCTGTGCATCGGTGGGAATCGGCGTGATATCCTGCCCCCATTGAGGCAGGGGAAGCATAGACGGAATACCTAGACGGCCACTGCTGTGTGTGATGAAGACGAGAATCAATCGGCGCAGTCTGCGTTTGCGAATTTGCTCACTCGGAGACTCGCTGGCTATTTTGGGCTCTCCTTTAGGATCGAAAACACCGAGTTCAAAAGCAAGAGCTTGCGCTGTACTCAAAAGCATCCATGACATCCGATCTGACCGCCACGCTGGCTCCAGCCATTTTTGGAAAGCAACTCGTCCTTCTGCGCCTCGATTTCCGGTGTTTTCGCTGTCATGATCCAGGTTATCAGCTCGACTCTGGGTTTGAGCATCCGTATCTAAAAGCGAGTTCTCATCGTCACCGGGCGGGAAGTGAAGATTCCGTGGGTGCCATTCTGTAAGCAGCAGCATAGCCTCGACGGTTCCCAAAGATCGCAGCTGTCCTTTCGCGCCAGACTTTCCTCCTGATGCTGGGGCACCCGAGTCGAGAGACCGAGGCCGCCCAATGCCCACTGTCCCAGCATCGAATTTTTCTTGTCCCCAAAATAGGCGTTCAATCATACTGCGCAGATATGCCCAGAGACGGTCGTGGATATAAAACGCTCGTGTGTTAGCACCGTCGCCTTTCGGCTTCAAATGCCGCGAGGCGATAGTGAGGATTGTAACTGCCAACACCGGCTCATCGGTGAGCAATGTGCGATGGGTGGACGGGTGAGAGAAATCCGGAATCACCACCGGACTCATCGGCGCGAGGTTTTCATAGTAGTATGCGACATAGTCCATGCCCTCTTCCACAGTAAGCCACCCAGCGCGCACAAATCGCAACCGTGACCATGCCCGGATTGCATCGACATAATCTTGCTCCTGAGGTTTATTGACCGGGCTCTCTCTTTGAGGGCCCGGTTCCACTATCTGAGGATCTACAGGCCCTGAAGCTCCAGCCGGGTAGTAAGTAGAGCCTCCCATGGACATTCCTGACCGGGGAGTCCGCACAAAGGAACCACCTAAGCTTCGCGGTGAGCTACCTTGAGGCAACGGCGAAGGTCCCGAATTAAAAGAAGACACCGACTGCCGTGCAGCCAAGCGATTCTCGAGGCTCTGGCGGTTGAGGTCCTCAGTCCTCCCCGCAGCCTCGGAAAGCAGATGCAGAGCGTCATGCGTGTTGGTAATTGCGGGCGACAGCAGCTCCACCGCCGTGCGGTTCATCATTGGAGGTCCTCCATAGCTAGGAGCTGGGGCGCGCTCGAGGGGATACGTGGGAACACGAGAGGTTGGGGCGCTGGGTGTGTACCGCTGCGTTGCAGGTGCGGGGGTTGCCTCGGGCCATCTCTGCTGAGTGCGCACGACTTCGGGTTCAAATTGGGGTGGCTCGGATGGTGAGAATGAAGGGCCTTCACTGGTGCCTTCGACCTTGGCGACTTCCCCAATCATCATCCGCTTGTCGCGGTGAAGAATGGCTGGTGCCTCTTGTTCCTCGATGGCATCGGAGCCCTTGCGCTTGCGGCGAGTAGCTGAGAATTCGCATCGTTTGCTTTCGCGACGACATCGAACGCATGGTGGGGGACGTGGGTTATCAACGCCTGGGAATTTGTGATTAGTCCAATGCCATAGAATAGATCGGAGGGAGCGTACTTCCTAGGTCGCACTTGACCTTGCGTTTCCGGCATGGATCACAGGCCTGGTATCCGCGGCGATGGTGTGCATTAGGCGACGGTGACTTGCCGTACAGCCTATTGGTCTCGCTCATGGTGTTCGTGGATAACAAATGCTGGGGAAAGCCGATGCAAAGCGAAGATAAGCCTGGAGGCGGGTCTTTGCTTAGATGAGCAACTCCGAGGGCTCGGAGAAAATGTAACGCAACATAAGCTAGGAAGAATTCACGATATTTCAAGCTAATTATTTTCTAAGTTTGCACCGGTCCGGTTCTGTTTCGATTGTATAATGAGAACTCTGCGGGGTAACGCGTGCATGAATCTAGGGATATAAGCCTACATTCTTATGCTTGGATGTCTACTAGAACTACACATAAGCTCAATTCTGAGAGATAACAGTACTTCCGGTGCAAGCCGAGCAGAAAAAGCAAAGACCAAGATGCTAATTTTCAACCAAATGGTCAATTCATAAATATCGCTCCTCAAACACTTCTAAATGTGGACAGGGACTTTCTTGCCTCCATCGGAAGTGAGGCTCATGCTCGCCATGCTACCATTCATCTTGGATACTGACTCCCAAGCTTTGCGAGGTTGTACTATCTCACCAGAGGCAGCACTTTCCACACTGCCCCGCCGAGAGAGGTTGGGTGTCATTCGTCCAGCAAGGCCCCGAACACCGCCAGCTTTGCGTGCCGGAATCTCTGACGTGCCGGCTGTCAGAACATAAAGGAGATATTTGAGGTTGGCAAGGGTGTGGCGGATGTCCAGAATGCGCAACCCCTGCTTGTTGAGGATATATTCAATGTCCTTGTTAAGGAGAAACACACCGTACTCGAAGCGGTAATGAACGCTCACCGGGTAGAGGGGGTAGGTGCGTTGCGGAAGAGAGGCGGAAATGGGGTCTTGAATGAACGAAGTGGACCCGTTCGCATTGATCGGGTAGGGGAGAGCCACCGACAAATAGAAGGAAAGGAGATACACCAGATGAGCTGCATGGCCTAATGCCGCCGCGATTACCTCGCGGTCAGTGTCTTGAAAGGATGAGTTTGGGAGTGCTAAGCCAGCAATAGTGAAGGCCAATGGTTTGTCGGGGATGGGTTCGATGGGATATATTGAAAGAAGGTCCTCCGAAATACGCCGGATTTGTCCCTTGGTTTCCTCTGCTGTCTGGTTGAGCAGTTTTTCGCTAAAGACCAACTTCTCTTGGGCGGCAGGGAGGTGGCTGCGCGTCTTTTCCTGCGCGCGTCGTCCTTCTTCCATGGCTTCTTTTCGGGTATTTATACTTGCAATGAGCTCCTCTTTGCGCTTAATCGCAGCGCGCAAACGTTTGCGCTCCGCGGTAACGGCCTGCTTGGTTCGACAAAGCTTCTCCTGCGCCTCGGCGGCATCGCTCACGGTCTTGAGTGAAGGTTCATTCCCTCGCAGGATTGCACTTATTTGCGTCTCTAGCTTCTCCCTAGTAGCCAATGCGTCCTGCACGCACTCGTCCAGATTAGCCAATCGCATCAAGGCATCGTAAGACGAGGTTGGCAATATGGTGCCATCTGCAACAGCCTTCTGTGCTCCGCCTTGGGGCGGTGCTTCAACCGGTGGAAGGTCGGTCAAGTTGGTATACACTCCATCTGAGAAGTGAAAGAGAACCGAGTTCGCTGGAAGCGGCTGGTGGAAGCTCTCTAATGTCTTTCCTAGGAATTGCAAAGACCGTAGATGTACCTGTAGTTCAACCAGTAGAATAAATTCAGGCATATTCACGGTTTTGGTCCAAAGCTTTAGGGTCAATTCGTCCATCCGAGAGACAAAGGGGCCACATAGGTTCAAGTCGAAGGCCCGGAAGTTGGGATTGGTTGCACGGTCAACCACTTCACTAATGTAGACCGGCTCCTCAAGACCTTCGCAATGTAGAGAGAAGAAAGTGTCCGCCATGCGACTATGGTATATATCTTCTAGTTTGACCTGCCGAGTTCGAGGATTGGGGTCGTTCCAAAACAAGGTACTTCGCCGTCGCGAACGCACCTCGGACTGTTTCTTCGCAGGTTCATCTTGACTGGCGCGTGACTTGAGGTCGGTAAAAGACCGCGAGGAGTGTAGGGGGGATTTCGAGTCCTGTGATAGGATCTTGGAAGGTGATTTGAGGGTATTCGGGATATCGTCGTCATCAATCGTCTTGCCGCGAGCCCGAGTCGGGGGAGGAGTAATGACCAGGTTGCGGACCGAGATGCTTTGCAGGTGCCGAAGCTTTCGGTTCTAATCGCCAGTCAGTATTCAGTCGCAGCTTCTGTTTCACAGGTCATACCCATGGGAAGAGCCACGGCCGCTCTCTGCGGGCTGTCTCACGCCCCGTGTCCGTATCCATAACAGCGCGGGCCCCCAGGGGGTGCGGTGATCAAATATTGTATCGGAAATGCGCCGCAGTCATGATATACAGAGAAAACAGAACGAACAAGCAAATTACAGAGACAATTCAAGGAGACTGGTGAGATAAGAGATGCGGAGAGCAAGTAGTCGGCGCCAAGACCTCTTCCCCGTCAAAAAATCGACCTCCCGTTCTCTCTCAACTTCCGCAATTCAACGACAGTGCCCAATGCAATAAGTCCTCGTCCCTTATTTAAAGGAATTGTTCGAGAGCGACTACACGCCTCATTTCCGGCCGCAATGGCCTCCAACCCACAGTCTTTCAAGAAGGTCTTAGACTCGACAGCACTTGCAGCCACGAGATTCATCCGCCGGCCACCCATTGATCCCACGATTCCAATTCAAGGGAGGCCCCGCGAAACTAGCTCCAATGCATACAAGAACTACCAGGATAAGGAGGGAAGGCGGTTACAGAAGGCCTTGAACTCGCTCACCCACGGCAAGAACATCTTTGTGTACCAGAATGTCCGCACGAAACAGGTCGTGTACTCTCTGACCCGCTATCTCGAGGTGAGTCGATTTTCCTTTATTAGCGATGGCATGGAACCCTGCTCCGACCAGCAAGATAGCGCTTCCATCCATCATCCAACATTTCACGTGTCGCAATTTTCTAACCGTCGGGTCCCATTAGAAAAACAATCTCCTCAAGCAAATGGTCAACCATGGCAAGAAGACTATTCCCGCGACACTCCGCAAAGATCTGTGGGCTCCGTACTATTCCGTGCATTTCGTTGAACCGGAAGTCGGTCTGGACGTCTACAACCACCTCCGCCAATTCGCACTGCTCCGCCAGCTGTCACCACCGGAAGAAATGATCACCGTGACAAAAGAATTCCTCGATTCGCGGCGGCCGACGGATATCCGGGACCAGAAGGAATGGGATAAGCAGAACATGGGGAGGGTTGGCCAGATCATGAAGAAGAAAGAGCGCGCCCAAGCCTTGATGGACCAGAAGGCGACCTCAATTGCCGATGTTGCGTTTTTGCTGAGCAAGCACGCTGGTAGAATCCTGAACGGCACACCTGAGCGCGTACTGGCCGCATACAGGACTCAGAACCGTCGTCGCCGCCAAAAGATTGCTCGGGAGAAGCTAGCAGGGGCTGCTGAGGAACGCTCGGCCGAGGTTGCGTCGTTAGAGGAGCAGTTGGATGTTGAGATCGCTGGAGACATGAACACACCTCAGGATGGCCATGTCAAGATCTTGTGGCAGGATGTTTACACTCCGCAGTACGCCAAGCACTGGCCGGGCTTTGTCCAGCACGGTCAATTGCGTTGGACTCGCAATCATGTGATTGCTCAGGAGGAGGTTCCTGAGTCCGACGAAGTCATTGCCGATGGTTCCTTTGAAGAGGCTAAGGACAAGAACTAGAACTAGAGGATTGGTGCTGTTCCGGTCCCTCTGCTCCCAACCCGTTACCTCTCTTCGTTCTAGAGTAGGGCATGAGACATTCATGTGTTGATATCTACTTCCATCCCGTTCGGGACTTGGGCGAGGATGGTGCTATTTGTATTTTCTTTTTGTCTTCTGTCTAGCTTGTTCTAGCACTCCTCGCTGCATAAATTGTACTTTTAGATATATCAAATCATGTTGGTTACAAGTATACAAAAGGCTCTTTGCTCACGCATGCTGTAAATAGTGAGATGGTGTCAACTCTACATCAAGTATATCCAGGGTGCATGTTGGCCTTGAACCCAGTTGCGTACTCTACAGTCTGAAGTGTCGTAAGCATACAGATCAGCCAATAAACATTTAATGTTTAAACAGGTACATATTCGAAACAAAAGTAGCACAGCCTAGTCCAATACAATCCAAGTCCAGACAAGATCAAAATAACGAATAAAATCTCGTGCTAACAGAAGACAACCAGACAACCAGGTCTAGTATCCTATTGAACAGAAAGTTGAAAGAAGACAGCGGACAATCGCAATTCATAATTTGACGCCAATGTGTAATGTAAGAAGAGACATTCAGAGAAACTCCAGAGCGAAAAAAAATCCAGCTCCGGTACATTGCGCCCCGAAGCACAAGCAAAGGGTAAAACGTAAGCGTGACACGAAAGACAGAGATAGATACAATCTAATCAATCCGCATTCACAGCTTCAGCTGCAGCTTCAGCAATGACCGTTCCGGTTTCGGCTTTCGTGACATGTCATACATTCACTGAGTCTGGCCAGATGTGCCCTTGTTGGGACTCAGGATGTCCACAGAGGGAAGGTCTTTATTCTCGTTAACCTGCAACTCAGGCCCGGGCTCTTCTTGGGCGTTGCGGTTCGCCATCTTCTGGAGAGTCTCTTCAGCAGCCTTCTCTGCTGATGCTGGGTCGTCTGCCACGCCCGAGGTGGCGATGTTCTTCCTTGCACCCTCGACGATCGCGTCGGCTTCGCTAACGCCCTGCGATACTGTCGTATCCCCGTCTACTCCGATCGGGTCTGCGTTGTTGTTGACGACATCCTTGACACGGTTGGAATCGAGTCGGATTACCATGCAAGATAGGTTGTCTGTGCTGAACCGTGCGAGTGCGTGGTCAACAAGGATCTTGGAGGCGTGTTGGGCGTCTTGGACGTTCCGGATTAGATCCACGGCTTCTTGGTCACTGCAGACATCCCACAACTATAGAATATATTAGCTTCCTTGTATCATCAAGATTAGTTAGATTAAAACTTACACCATCGCAAGCCAAAATAATAAACTCATCGGCATCATGCTGGATAACTGTTTCTGTTGTGTAGGGATGCCCAGTAACAAGGTCCTTCAGGTATGCATCACCCAAGGCGCGGGTAACAGCCAAAACTCCGTTGACGCGGTTGTTCAGGATTAACCCGCCAGCGTTGGCAATCCTCTTGCCTTCGTTCTCGTCACTACCCTTGTGATCGTATGACAATCTGAGTGCTTTCCCGTTGCGACATAATACAATGCGGGCATCGCCAACGTTGGCTGTGTACAAAACTCGCTGTCGAACAGCCTTATCCTGCAACTTTGGCAGAACAGTAGACGGTGTATCTTGAGTAGGGGTCTCCGCATTCTCTGACCTCGTGTCACCCTTTGATGCAGCTGCAGCGGCCGGGGCGAGGGCGGCGGATCCGGTTGCTGATTGTGAGCTTGGTACACGATCTTCCCAGCGAAGCACTGCAGTGACGGCTGTACACCCAGAGTTCTTGACGGGTAGTTTCTCGAGTTGCTGGTCCACGCTGGTGAACGTCTGATCGAGCAATTCCGGAACAGGCGTATTGGGGCTTCTGCGCATGACTTCTTCGAGAATCAAATGCAATTTCTTGCCACACCACTCTGCAGCAAAGGTTCCAGCGTGTCCATCAAAGATTGCAAAGTATCCATTGTCTGTTTCAAGGGCACGCGGTGTATCCTCCGCCGCCTGCGACTCATTCGCCCCGGGGCCCTCGTTCCCATTTATGTCCGGAGCAGTCGGAGCCGGGGTGCCCAGGAAATTGTAGAGATAGGCATGTGTATCTTCCATAGTTCGGCGACATTTTCGATTCCGGTCTTCTGTGACACCAACGCGGAAGGATGACCGAGCGGTTGGTACGGATTCTCCGGCAGAGTTATTGAATGACCCTTGAGGGACACTGAGTGCTGGGTCCATCTTGCCGAGCTTCTGTAGCGGGCTTTCGGCGATCGAGGGACTGGTGCTAAGCGAATTATCCCGGCCGTTCAAACTAAGGGAGTTTTTCGCGTTGCTGAAGAAGCTGGCCGCTTTAGTAACGGTACTACTTCTGCGCTTCTTCTCGGCTGCGGGACCCTGGTCGTCGCTTTGTCGGCGGGCGAAGAACCCAGCACCAGGAGGAGAGAATCTCTTGTCGCGCGGGCTGGAGCTGAGCGCGCTGGTGTCGGTTTGGAGGGTCAAGGAGTTGTCGATGCCGGTCTCCGGAAGTGAATCAACCTTATCTTTGGGTGGGCTCGAGGAGCCACTGAACATTCTGTTCAGCAACCCACCCTGCGAAGAAAAACTGCGGCGCTTATTACCTGCCAGCTTGATTGAATCCTTTCACAAAGGATGGAACACTCGGGGGTTGGGTACGGGCGGGGTGAAGATGGGGCGAGACTGACGTAGGGTCGGTCGAGGACGGAAGCGGAGGAATTAGGCTGCAAGGATTGAGAGAATCAGCAAAGAGCACTCGAAGATCAGACAGATGAGAGAAGAGAAGTAAAGATGGGGAGTGACGTGTGATCAATTGGGGGCGCATAGTCGATCACGAAACACGAGGGGAAGCGCGCTGCCTTTAGACAACCTCAACGCCCAATGTCAAGTGAACTATCGCGAGCTTCAAATGATCAATCGATTCCTGTGCAACACCCTCCATTATCCAGTACCTGGCATACGGAGTAGGTAGATGCGCATCCTAGTCCATCTCGGCTCAACCCCACCAGGAAGAATCGGGATAGTAGAGATATAGAGACACACTTACTGTAATATTGACAAGAAGAGGTCAAGATCAAGATCAAAGAGTTGTGAATGGTGAAGAAGGTAAGTAAGAGATGATGCGATCCGGAGGAAAACCAGCTCCTAATTTCCAGAGCTCCGCCCTCTACGGCTCAAGCGGCAGAGCGGAGTTAAGCCAAGACTGAGGGACTACAGGAACTATTTATTTCAGGGGGGAATTATTGCGATCTTACTCTTTTCCCCTGCAGTGTGCTTTAAATATACGAGTACGGGGTATGGGGTATCTCCTTAATCAGATCCGCATCTGGTCGATGACGCTTGTACTTCTCCTTATTGCCTATTGTATGCTTTTGTCTTGTGTCTTATGTCCTAAAATACTGTCTAGGTATTTCCCTAGTAGGCAGTGATACCACGTTCACATATCTAACTTACATTTAAGGCACACATCAATGGAGGCTACAGTAACTTACTGCACTTGCTTACGGTACATGTATAGATCTAGAGTGACGCAAGCTGGTTGAAAAGGGTCTCACTATTTAAAGTCATTAACCATGCTTAGTACAAGGTCAAAGAGTTAGAACATGTCTATAATCATGTACGACTTATCCCTTCTGCCTGCATATGCCCAGGTATATAGATCAAATGTTCTACCCTATGCATATATTCGCCACTTTAACTCCGAGATGAAATCCGGTTTCCATTTGATACGTTTGTTTCATTTCAAAGACATTATCTCATGTTCCATTCATTAAGCCTTTGATATGTGTCTAGAACAATGACGTGAGAAATAGTTCTGAAGAGTATAGAGTACGAATGTAGTGTACCTAAAAATACATAAGTCTGGAATCTTGTAAGATATATAAACTGACGCTTTTGGTACCTAACAGGCATCCATCTTTTACTCCGATTAAACCAATATCTAAGCGTCCGTTGATACCAATGGTCACCCAGGAAAACAAACTTGACATTGTACATATACGAGACCCCAAATCCAGATCAAATACCCGTCAGATGAGATCGAAGTAATACATGCATCAAGTTACCATGAACTAAAATCACCAAAGCCTCCTGATCCCTTAGCCTTCTTACGAGCAGGTTCAGGCACTGGCTCCTCGTCCACAAATTCAACAATTTCATCCTCCTCTTGCCCATCCCGGTCCGCCAACGCCGCCTTCAAGTACTTCCCAACGCCACCAGAGCCACCATCACCCGATTCAGCACCAGCACCGCGAACTCGCTTGCCAGTCCAAGTAACACGGTCATCGTCCACACGACGCGAAGCCTCTTCTTCTTCCTCGGGCTGGGCGGCTCCCGAGCTCCGCGCTTCTTCTGCGCGTTTCTGGGTTAGGAAGTCTTCGAATGGATCTACGAAGACTGTGATGTCCTTGATGCGGATGTCGGGGGTTGGTCGGTTTGTGGATGATTCGACGGGGTGGATCTCAATTGCGTTCAAGGTAGTAGATGAAGGGGTTGGGTCGTCGATTAGACGACCGAAAATGGTATGTTTGAGGTTGAGGTGAGGAAGGGCACGATAAGCAATGAAGCTGGTATTGCAGGTTAGCGAGGATTTGGCCAGGGGTGTTGAAGGGCACTTACAATTGACTGCTGTTCGTGTTCTTGCCCTTGTTGGCCATACTTAGTGTTCCTCGGGCATCGTGCTTCAGGGGACCCTCAAACTCATCGGCGAAGTATTTCCCCCATATACTCTCGCCACCTCGTCCGGTTCCAGTTGGATCACCACCCTGGAGCATGAAGCCCTTGATATTGCGGTGGAAGGGGACATCCTTATAGTAGCCCTTCTTAGCCAACTGAATAAAGTTCCATACAGCTTTTGGTGCATATTCAGGATACAGTTCCAGGTTCAAGTGTCCGGAGGTAGTCACAATCCGGGCATAAGCCTTGCCTTTCACCCGGCCCCGCTTCAGCATATATTCTTCCTCTGATAGCAGCGCAAGCTCGGCAGTTGTGTGTGGTGTTAGACCAGTACTGGTAAAGGAAGCAGCAGCCTTTCCGGTAGTAAATTTGGCAGCATTGTAGGGCGTCGGCTTTCCACCTTGCACCCCTCCGGCCTTGGTAACTGAACTTGCAGCTCCTGTCTTTGAAACTGCCTTAGAGCCAGCCGCAGCAGAGCCAGCCTGCTGAGCGCGTTCCGAGCGCGCCTTTGCAACCGCCTCTTTCGCTTTCAGGATCTTCGCTGAACTGCCAAGCGCATTGGTGTTGACACTGCCCGAGGCCTGTTGTTCCTCAATAAGTCCAGTCTCTCCATCCTTGATGTAATTGAACGAGCTGAGATTGCGAGACTCAATGTTCTGCGGATCCTGCAGCGTGATAATATCCTTGCGGCTGAACTCCTCATCCGTGACCAAGTCGCGCCACAGTTTGCCCTTGATGTTCAAACGCTCCACGGTATCCCAAGCAAAGACATTTCCGGTATTCCGTAGCGCAACGACATGTGTGTTATCAGTCAAGATCTTGAAGGTAACCGGGTCAACGTAGTCGCCGTCCTCGTTCTTCGCAATGGTCAACTTAATCAAGTCAGACCCCTTCAACGGTGACCCATCAACAGGGTTCGTCCCATGCTTCTTAATCCATGGCAGAATATTTGTAAGGTCGAATAGCGTGCCCGTGGGTGTGCAGACCGGATGTGAAAACGGTTGGAGGGAGAGGGAGCAGAAATTGAATGGCAGGCGTTTGAATGCAGCGTGCGGGCCACCCTTTTTGGCCTTGGAGACGCCTGCGCCTGCGCTAGCCGAGAAGGCATCTTCTGATGCCCACTCTGAGTGTGTGATCTGGAGAGATATAATTGTCAGCGAGGATTCGACATGCGATTGCGTGCGCAGAGCTTTGGGAGACAGGGGAGGCGTTGCGTACGTAGAGCTTATCCGTTCCTGTATGGATCATTAGTTTCAATTTGGCAGATCAAGGCGATCATAACCGCGAGGACATACCTTTTCCCATGGTTGGCGATTAAGCTTGTTTCAGCGCAATCTTTCGTAGGCTTCGGAGATTGTATGACGATGGAAGGACGCTTACCGCTTTGGGACTAGTGGAGTTTGAGCCTAAGTATATGTTGATGGACTTCTAACAATAACAACAACAACAGGGCTCAAAAAATTAGTTGGAATGTCTGTAGCCCTCTATACGCTGGCTATCTATTCGACGTACGTCCGTCCCTCAAATGCTTCAGATGTGAGGTTTGCAATTGGCACGTACTCAAGGTTATCTTCATGTTTGCCGACCTTCAAATGTATGCAAGAATTTACTCGAACGTTGCTTGTCACTTACATCTCACTCAGAGGGTGGTCCCAAGCCTCAGTTTACGATGACTACACCGTTGAACGAAAGATAAAATGTAATTTCCATCATTTTGACGGAGTAATCATACAGAGAGACCAGTCCACTAGGTAATCATACATGTACAAGTGGTAGCCTCGCCTCCAGGAGGCCCGCACAGAACGCCCGAGAAAGGAGCCATCAGCTCCTCCCGCTTAAATGACCCAGCCCGAGAATTGAAAAACGCCTTTTATGACATGTGGATCATGATGGTTCATATGACTGGAGGTTTGGTATTGTTTAGGGAAGCGGGGATTGGAACTTCAAGGGAACCACCCACTTGTTCCCAAAATCGATTCCATGTCGACGGCGGGTGCCATACTTCCTCCAGACAATCTGTGGGATGCCGATGTCGGCAACTGAAACGTTCCAGGACAGTCTTTCGCCCGAAAGAAGAGCATTCAGGACACCGGTCTTGGGGGCGCCGAGGCATACCACTGAGGTGGCATTGACGCAAAGTCGGCCACCTTCGGCCAGGGTCATCTCGCCTGCGGGTTTAATCGTGTGAGCCGTGTTGTTGCGAGGTATGGGCTGCAAAGCACACTTACCAGTTGAGGCGTTGAGTCCGGACGGAACATCCACAGAAAGGACGTGGATGTTGCTTCGATTCATCCAGGAAATCATTTCGAAGGCCACACCTTGGTCGTCGGTGCGGAGGTCGTCGAAGGACAGATGCATACCGAACAAGGCATCAATGACGAGGTCGGGGCCCAGGTCTGCGGTAGCCAGTCGAGCGGAGAGTTCTTCCCATTTGAGCACCCGTCCTCCAATCTTGCGGAAGATATCGAGCTGCTTGCGGCAATTTTCCAGTAATTCAGCCTCGTGCTCTAGGCCGAGCAAGCACATAGTCACACGATGGCCACGGTTGCGGAGGTGGCGAGCGGCGGCAATGGCCCGGGCTCCAGTGCGGTGGTTACCGGTGATGATCAAAATAGTGGGCGCAGCAGCATCGTTAGAAAGAAGGGACACAGCAGCCTCCGCAATACCCCGGCCTGCATTTTCAGTGATGATTTCATCGGCGATGCCGAATTCGGCCACAGAAATTTGTTCGATTTCTAGAGTCTGCAAAGGACTCACAGTCGGGCAGCTGCGGTTCGTCGTTGTCAGTCTGAGCGAGCCAACGCCTGAAACATTAGGAGCAATCATGGGCGATGCTGAGGACCGGCTTGGGCGAGGGCTCGTGGTGCGAGAAATATTAACATGGAGTTGGCTGCGGCCAAGGGCACTAAGCTGTGGCACCATTGGCTGGGCCTGAACCGCGCCGTCCTTGCGAGAAGGATGAATGTGCGAGGATCCTCTCGACCGCTCGCGTCCAGATAGGTTATCATTGCTCAACTTTATTTCACTTATTCCTTCAATGTCATCGTCCGAGTCACTATTCTGGGGACTATCAAGCACGTTCTCTGTCCAGTGTAGGTTTTTTCCGCCATTTGTACCTGGTTTGATTTTGCGGTTGAAGCTAACCAGACGTGCTTCGTCTGCAGTGGTGTCATCATTCCGAATCTGTTCAAACACTGTCCGCTTATCGAATTTGGAGAGGTTGCTTTGGAAGTCAAATTCGCCAAGCTCCTGGATGTCAGTCGCATCCTCAGTAGCCCAGTCACTAGGATCCTCAGCATAGCGGCGAGACCTCTTCTTCCGGAGTTTCGCTCCAGGCCGGGTAACCATCTCAGGAGAATCCTGGAATGCAGGGCCTGCTGGCTCCACAAATGCAGTCTGACGCCATCCCTTGCTTTTCGGGTTGGTACTTGCTGCGGCGCCATGTTTGCTGACATAAACTCGATCTTCCCGTTCGTTTCCTTGGTTGGCACGGCGATTGCGCTTTGGGGTCTGCTTTAAAGGTGACAATTCTTGGGGACTTTGAAGCAGTTGCTTCTGGACAGGCTTTTGGAGTCCAGCGTTGCCACCCTCCGTGTTCAATTCCAAGCTACTAAATGGTTCAGTCAAGGAAGCCGAGACCACGTCAGGAACTGTTTGGTGCCCCAGGTTAGGCGGGTTATTCTCGGCGTTTTGGTTGGCATTCATACGAGGGGCCTTGGAGAAACTCAGAATGGCCGGGTCCATGAATTGTTGCTGGGCAATGGGTGCTTGGGTAGGAGTTATTGGAATTGTTGCATGATGCTGAACTTGAGGGGGAGGCACATGGTGGTGCTGCGAAGGGGCCGAAGTATTCCCTTCCAGATTGAGGTCGATGATGGCAGAGGCGTCAATGGTGTAGTGGGGCAGGCGTTGGCCATTCCAGAGCGTGACTATATGTATGTTAGTTATCTAAGTTAGCAGTGACATATAGTCTTGACCTCACCATTTTGAAGTAGCAGCTGCTGTCCGATCACGTTGGCAACTTGGCCAAGCAGCTTTCCGCCAGGGGGATCTCTCAAGGTCAGAGACACATTGTAGCCAATAAACTCGGAAGCCATGATAGTATTGAGCTTCAATTCTCCGGTGCAATCATCAACCGAGTAGAGGGGAGAAGTATGACAGGCTTAGGACGATCAGGTCGAGATGGGATGAGAAGCTGTCGGGCAGCTCAATCGGTAAATCACGTGTGATTGCTTATCGATTCTTATCGGTTTATCGATAAGGAGTGGGGTGAAGTTAGGGCTATGAGCCTATGCGGGTGAGCGGCCGAGAATACTCAAATTGATTATTGCTCATTACTTACGGGTTAATCCTTATTCATATGCTTACAAAGGGGCCAGGACCGCGGACCTAAGCGCCTTGTATGAGCATCTATGAACACACATGTACATGTACTTTGTGGGGGATGTTTGCTGTGATTAAGAACAGGTTGACAAGAAATCTTCCAGATAGCATTGGATATCAATAGTCGCTTATCATGCCATAAATATTCTATACAACATGCCCTCCAGAAAAAAAACGCCATCCATGGACACCTAGTTCAACCTTATAGATGATCAAAACTCGTCATCGTCGAAGTCTTCAGGGTTAAAGGCACTTGCTGGCTTGGCTTTAGATTTGATGACTTGTGTGATCGAGACCAAGTTGTTGTAGAACTCCACTACTCTGGGATGTACCATGACTTTGCGGGGTTCGAAACGAGTAACCTGTAGTCCTTCTTGTGATGTTGCTCGACTCAGAGCTACATACGCCTGACCCTTTTCAAAGACTCGGCCAAGGTCGACCTTCACACGCTGAAGGGTCTGACCCTGGGCCTTGTGGATAGACAAAGCCCACGCCAAGATGAGTGGGACTTGTTGGCGTTGAGCTTGCACCTCTCCATTGGGAAGTTCGATCTTCCAGGTCTCTGGTTGACATAGCAGGTGGCGCTCTGATCCATCGGGTTGCATGAAGCATACCAGTGGCCATTTTCGAGTCGCAGAAGCAGGGCCTTCCTTGTAACCCATGGGCTTCAGCTTCTTTTTGGCACGCATAGCCCGCTCTTCATCGCTTACAGACGCATCTTCAGCAAAATCCTTGTCATTTTCCCGGTATGAGTCAAAATATTCTTCACTCATGAAGGCCACCACACGTCCAATGGAGCCGTTCACAAGGGATTCCTCCATGTTCTTGATAAGCATCACTTGAGCACCCTTCTTCAATTGGATGAGAGGAGGGGCCATGCAGTTCGACAGTAGCTTCTCACGGTGCTGAGGATCCTGTATGGTTCCGGAATCCACTGCATTGAACGTCATCATCTCGCCAGAAAGTCTGCCCATTCGTGCGGAGTTGGCCCCTTCCACTTCAGCGCGAGTCGGGAACCTATCGATTGTCAGTTTTGTAATTCAAACATCAACATGAAGAACATACAATTCTGTTGCTTCAAGCGAGTCATGGAAGTCTAGCGGCCGAGAAAGCTTTCGGAAAGCATCGATCGTGCGAGGGCTGATCTTTCCCAATCTCATTTCATTTAGCATCTCAGCAAACTCCGGGTCCTTCTGACGGAAAACGTTGGTCAAGAGAATGGTATGCTGGATACAAGTGGTCCAAGTAGCAGCTGCAAAGGCAAACTTGGCCTCGCGGTTACTTCCTTCAGGTACCGGTGGCAGTTGGAAGAAATCACCCGTAACGACAAGCTGAATTCCTCCAAATGGTCGACCATTATTGCGAATGCGCCTGGCGATCTCTTCCAGTTTGTCAAAAAGATCTCCATCGACCATGGACACTTCATCAACAACAAGAACTTTAGTACGCAGCCAGCGATTCCTAGCTTTCTGGTTCTTCTTGACCTGCGGGTTGTCAGCATCAATACTTTCTGTGCATGGCAAAAGAGCTCACCTTTTTGACTAGTTCAGGGACTGCCTCCTTGCCTAGACCAATACCTGCAAAACTATGGAGAGTTACACCTTCAATGTTACAGGCCGCAAGGCCCGTTGAAGCCGTAACTGCAATGCGATCTGGCTCCTTGCGATATTTAATGCGCAGTTTCTGGATAATCTCCCGCATAAGGACCGACTTTCCAGTTCCTGCAGAACCGGTGAAGAATATGCTTTTTCCGCCGTCGACAACTGCATCAAGGACCGCTCTCTGTTCATCACTCAGGAAGATAGATGCAACCTTCGTGCGGCCTTGCTTTGGGGGCTTGACCTCGGGCTTTTGGTTCTTCCTGTATTCCTTGCGCAGCTCTTTCTGCTCCTCCTTGATGGCGCTCGCAGACTTGTTCCAAAAATCGGTGGGCTTTGCGCGCTTTGGGGTGATATGGCTATTTTTCGTGCAGGGGGTTTCTTCCTTCTCTTCCTGCAACCATGGAAGAGTTCGAGGTTTGGGTGGGGGTTGGAAGTGGGAAGGAGGTGATGATGACCACGGGTATTGCAAGCTACTTGGGGGTGCCGGATCATCTTGGGAGACAGGTGGGAGATCTGGGTAGTTGATATCCGATGGGTTGGCGGACTTGCTATCAAGACTTGGATATGTGACTGGCTTCGAATTGTTGTTGGAGCTAGCACCACTTGGTGTGATCAATGGCTGCGGCTCATCAATGTCAAGGTCAAGATCATCATCAAAGTCATTTTCATCGAAGTAAACCGCGCTATGGAGAGATCCTAGCGCGGAGTTTCCATTATGGGCCACCTCGATTTTTCGTTTGACTCCGACAGACTGTGGTGGGGCTGTTTTCGCAGGAGCATGTGTGTTATTCCGCAGTAGGTTTGATTGAAGCGGTTTCGAGGTCCCCCCAGTGGGAGCATCTTTGACAGCCTTTTTGAACATTGTCACTTCCTCTGGAGCGGGTCGAGGCGAGGATGAATACGGAGATGTGAGTCTCTTTGGGCGCATCAAAGAGAATGATTGTATCCTGTATGTGCCCCGCGCCCTGGATATCGCAACATGCATATAATTGAAAGCGAGAAGCAAACAGCGATGAGGGTCGCGGTAGATTCGGAGATGATTTTCTGCCAACGCGTGAGGACGCGACTATCGCACGTGACTGATAAGGATTAGCTCTACTGAATCTGGGGTATTGACAAGCAACATTGGGTGTTTGGATTATATTTGCTCTATTATAAATTAGATAGATAGTTTAAAGCATTTGTACTATTTCATTGTGTATGTCTGGCATTCTTTGGAGGTGCTATCCCCATTTGCACTCGAAATGATAATATTGACGTACCGTTCCTGATGAGCCAAAATATATAGTTCAGGCCATGGTCCAAACATAACACATTTCTCGACACCACAATAAAATTCACATTATTCGACGTAAAAATACAATTAGATACGATATTTAACCCACTAGAAGCAATTAATTGAAGTGCATAGCATATTCACGCTTGACCCAGGCATATGCGAGAAAACGCGACATCACGTGATCACATATCACCGCAAAACGCGCGGGACGAGAATGCAAAAGCCAACGATACCAACAACCAACCGGGGGAGCATCTCGAGAAAGACGCCATTTCTGAAGTAGACTGACCTCTGCGATCATGAAGAATGGCAGACATGGCAGCTCTGAGTTCGTGGAGTACCTGCACCCCAAAATCAGACTTGCGTTGCTAATGGACCATACAGACAAAGACTACCCTTTGACGGGTGTCGTCATTTGCTTTACATCAGTCCAAATTGAGCAGCGGGTATGTCAAACAAGACCCAATTACCTCAGAAAACCACAAGAACAGGCTAACCCGCATGTTCGTTGCGCAGACTCAACTAACCCAAATAGCGGAACAAATGGGCGCGATGCACAGTGTCCACCTTACGTCGGACGTAACCCATTTACTTGTGGGTGATACAAACAGCGACAAGTACCGATTCGTTGCGCGGGAACGAAATGATGTGGTGGCCATGAAACCAGACTGGATCGAGGCCGTTCGAGAATCGTGGACAAAAGGCGAGGATATAGACATCCAGGCGCTGGAGATACAATATAAATTGGCCACTTTGCATGGACTCAAGATTTGCATTACTGGATTCTCAGACCGTGAGTTAGCCAATTGTTATGATTGCGCCTGGGGCAATGCTAACCAGTTGCCGCAGTTCCCTTCCGTTCCTACATGCAGAAGACTACAGAGGAGAATGGGGCTGAATACCGGAAAGACCTGACAAAGTCAGTGACCCATCTTATTGCGCGCAATTCGGACGGCGAGAAATACAAATTCGCAACACAATGGAACATCAAAGTCGTTTCGGTCAAATGGTTCACCGACAGCATCGAGCGAGGAATGATCCTCGGCGAAGAGAGATACCACCCGCTAGTCCCACCGGCAGAACAAGGTCTCGGTGCCTGGAATCGAACTTCGCCAGTGGAGAGGGAGCCCTCTAAAAAGGACAACCCTGCCACAAAAGAGAATCCCATGAACCCGCGACCTAGAAAACTACGCAGGATCGCAAGTACCAAGCTGGTGGACCAGAACGAAAGCATCTGGGGTGATATTGTCGGAACTGGGTTCGAGAACATCCAGGCAAATAAGCCAAAAACAGCACCCCAAGGACGAGGACCCGAGGCCCCCAAGCCTGTCATCCAGGCATATCAGTCATTCGCCAGCGAAACTACCTTTTCCGAGAACATGGAGACTAGCCAGAAGCCAGCTAAACCGTCAAAAGACAATGGGTTCCTACACGAGACTTATTTCTTCATTAAAGGATTCTCTTCCAAACAGGTTTGTACCTGTAGGCTTTATCTCTCGTTACTTTGACTAATTTTCTCTAGACGGGCGTTCTGCGCGATCATCTCACCTATAACGGAGCTCAGCTAGTGAACTCGCTGACTGAGTTTTCTAGCCCTAGTATCCCAAAGACAGGACACGGGTTGTACATCATGGTGCCATACCAGACCCCCAGATCGGAGACTCCTTCAACAGATGATATGGCATTCGAATGTGAGGTTGTCACCGAAATGTGGCTGGAAAGGTGCATCGGTGCCAAAGCTTTTGTCCCACCAGAGTCTCATGTCGCAAGCACACCTTTCCCGAAGTTTCCTATACCAGGTAAGAAGGATATCAGAGGAGTCAGTATTGAATATTGCTCTAACAGTCCTAGGATTTTCGGAAATGCGGATATGCTCTACCGGCTTTGGAGGCATCGATCTTCTGCATGTACGCAAACTGGTCGTGTTGATGGGTGCCACCTATGGTGACTACCTCACAGAAAAAGCATCAATTCTCATCTGCAACGATCCTCAAACAGCGAGCTTGGACAAGTTACGGCACACGGCCGAGTGGGGAGTTCCAGCAGTGTCTGCCGACTGGCTTTGGATATCTATACAAACTGGCCAAAGAAAACCATTTGAGCCATACATTGTTCGGCGCGGAATATCTCAAAACTCCAGCAGTGCAGAGAAATTCACCGCTGCATCTGCAAAGCGAAAGCAATCCCATAACGACGGTGAACGACGAGAAAGTATCCCATCAAACATCTCCACCAAATCAACGAAGCACAGCACTGAGAAGCGGGGCCTGAAGAGGACTGATTCAAAGCGAGCAGCGCCAGTCATTGGCGATGGCTTCGAAGATGACGCCCCTAAACCCTCAGTTCCAGAATCCCGCACTCCATCCCCAGACAGAGCACCAGAAAAGCCAACCACTGAGGAGCAAAACCCAAAGCAACCAACGCTAAGTGCAGACCCAGCACCAGCAACGGGACCATCCGCCCTCGACACAGCCCTGAGTGGACTCCTCCAACAAGCCCGAGCAGCCAAGTCACGACAGCAATCAGACAACACAACAACAAACGAAGACGGCAGCTACCCACAACGACGAAAGCGCAAACCCCTGCTCGGCCGCGCCCCATCACACTCCTCAAACCGAATGCTAGATGGCCCACGGGCCGTCTCACGCGCCAGCTCAATCGATACACTAAACGACGACGGTCTGGGCAGCGCAATCGAAAGCGCCAACCCGACACGAGACAATTCGATTTCCCGCAGTAACAGCCGCATCGAACAAAGCCTATCATCTATGCTCAGCGGCGGAAAATTCGATTTCCTTCATGATCGACTCCCCCGTACGGAGGACGAAGATGAGGAAAATCAGGAACCGCAGATGACGCAGCTGGATTATGAGGATCCCGATGCTGCGGCTATGAGGGCTGAGTTCCTTAAAAACGCTGGGAAAGTGTCTAGTAAGAAGAGTGACAGGGCTGATGTGCTTGTTGGAGAAGTACGGGAGTTGGAGGATATCGGATGGGCGTCTGGACGGAGGACTAGGAAGCAACCTGTTAAACTTGATGATGATGGGTGAGTAATGCTCGATGGTTATGTGGGATATAGGCCTCTCTACTTTTTTTTTGCCTGCATTTTTCTTATCGGCGAAAGCATGGCCTGGCATTGCATTGCGAATGGCGCGTCTATCTATGGGTTTGGGCGAGCGATATCTAGAATTTGACGGTGATAATGCAATTTAATTCAGCATTGAAACATACGCACAACTTATTAATGATAAGTACAAGTACCCTATCATGGGACAGGCTGATGACAAGAGGAGTGAATGGACAAGTAAACCGCATTCTCGGACTCTACGTGTATAGCGTAGGCCTCTAACAGGCGCTGGATATTTTGGGTGGAAAATGGAAGGGAAAAGGGGTTTGTAGGAAAACAACGCAAACAACGCGGTTTCAATTCAGGTGGGAATCTTGGATAAAAACTGCACACTTCCCCTGACGCACGCCGCCACGCCGCGACATACAAGAAACGTCGACGAGGAAAGGTAACACCAAGACAGGAACGGCTGTAGGAGCTGCGTAGAGGAACACTGCAGAAGCAAAAGCGAATTGAAGGAAATTAAGAAGTAAGAGATGCAAATCGTACAGTTTATGGCAAAGGAAGGGGAGAAAAGAAAGTTCGTAGGAATCATCAGTGGTTGTACAAACGCGAGTCAAGGGTTCATTCCACTGCCGCAGCCATTCCGCCAGGCAGAGGAGCATCAAGATCCAGATTCTCGACGGATCGACGATTGTCACTGCTCTCCCGGAACAGGTTGGAAAAGTACTTGGTGGCAACGTCGCTTTCCTGCTTGATCTTGGTGACTTCTTGCTTGCGTCTGCCGAGATCCTCGATGTCCTGAGAAAGACAGGTCTGCAGGTTGCCTGCAGGCATGCGCAGCATGCGGCGAACCTCGGTCGAGATTCGGTTGGCATTTGAGTGGACATAGTCCATCTCATTGAGAGTGGCGGCTATCTTTCGTGACAGACGTGGCGGCAGAGTGGATGGGATGGAGTTGAGCACATAAGCAGCGGTTAGGACGGCTAGTACAGGGTTTAGTAAATCATTATTTGTTAGGGAAATGAATGGAAACTCACCAGCAGCAAGAATACTAGGAAGAAACAGTCGGCGCACGTTGTTCGGACCAATGACCTTGACAGCACTCAGGGCACTGTCCACCCAGCTGAATCCACCCAATGCCCTGCCACCAAGAACAGTGACCGCAGTCATTGCAACACCGGTTCCTGCGATCTTCTCCTGGCGCTCCCAGAGACCAGCAATATCAAAGAAATCCCACAGCTCAACTTGGGTGTCGACTTGTCGGCCGAAGGTGTGGCGACGACCACGACGGAACATCGCGTCCGCGCGGAAATTGAGTGGAGTGAACTTGTCTTCACCAATATGCAAGAGGCCAATATTTTGGATGAAACCGACTCCTTGAACCGTCTTCTCTCGGGCATAGTCCTCGCAGGTAGTGACGGAGGAAGCAATCTGATCGAGCATTGCCAACTTCAAGTCTTCTGCGTATTGGAATGCCGAAAAGAGACCAGGGTATTCAACACCGAGGTCTGCATCAGAGACGCGCGTGATCGTGTCTGTCAAAGTGGAACGAGTGTGGCTGTAGACATCATCGCATGATTCATCAATGGCCCTGTTGACACCCTCTGCAAGCTCTCCCTTTCTCTTCTTGCCATTTTCATAGGCCGGTTCAAGCTCTGCCAATTCATCAGTCACTCGCTTGAGCTCCGATTGGGCAACATCACGGTTGACAGTGGCAAGAGAGCAGAGGTCAGCCAAGAGATTAAGAAGATAAGTCCTGGCAGGCGCAAGTTTGGAGCGAGAGCGCTTTTCGAGGACAAAGCGTCGTAGAGCTCCTTCGAGGTTCTCAAAGTCTTGGAGCTTCTCTTTCTCCTTGCCCTTGCCCTTAGGATCCTTCCTATCATCGTCATCATCGTGAGGATCAAAGCCACCGCCGTCACCACCTCCGGAGCCAGACTGCGAGGAAACAGGCGGCGCAACAGGAATAGCATTACTCGAAACGAAATGAACGAGTTCAGCAGCTTCCTTGTGTGTGCGAGGACTGAGCTTGCCGATCTGATCCAAGATCATGCGCTCACAGCGTTGCTTATCGCGAATCTGGTCAAACCCATTGACCACCATGAAGATGTAAGCTTTCTCATGCGCAGCATTCAAGATAAACTCTTTGGCAGAAAGAGTGAAGTGGTTTGCGGCGGAAACAACAAAGACAACAACGTCGATCTCCTCCTGTCGGGCAAAGACAGCTGTGGTCTTCAAGGAATCCGAGTTCAAACCGGGTGCATCAATCAAGGCAATATCGACAACACCATTGTTGAGAAGAGACTCGTCAATGGTTCGTACATCCTTTACGTAAACCTTGCACTGCATGTACTTCGTGTTTTCAATGACAATGTTTTCAAGTTCACTGAGAGGAAAGACATCGAAGCTGCTTTCATCATTGCGGTTGTATGGCGTATCTTTGTGCACAGCGTGGACCTCTTCAATACCGGAGTTTTCACGAGCATCAAGCACCTCGCAGAAGATGCTAGTGCAAGGCTGCTGGTCCTCCGGTAACACCTTGCGACGCAGGAGAGCATTGCAAAACGTTGACTTGCCTGCATTCAAGTCTCCTGTAATCAGAACCTTACTTGAAGTATCCTCGATTCTGTCGCGCAATGATAGGAGATGCTTCATGCTTTGACTGATCTTGCCGTCCAGCAGCGAAGCAATTGAAGCCTTTTCCAAGGAATGCACCAGCTCGGCCTGCGAGAGAGCACCAAGCTTTAGATCGAGTTTCAAGATAGAAAACTCCTGCGCAATTTGTGGCGTCATCAATCGGGGCTCGGTGGGTACGCGACGCTGAGCCGAGGCACTGGATTCTCCTAGATTTTCACTACCCATAGTGGCTGCGCGCCTCAGATCCGGTCGAGGCGGGGTGTTGGGTCTGCTGTCATCGTTTCCGAACTCCGAGTGAGTCTGCTGCAGCTGGGGTCGGCCTCCGGGGGAAGAGGGTGTGCTCTGTACGGAAGGATAGTGGGCGGGCCATTGGCGGTTCATGTCCTGAAGTTCCCTCAATGTCTCGATGGTCCGGGAGATTGCGCGACCAAGCTTGGTTCGGTTTGAGTTGCTGTAAAAGATAGTGAGCCTCGTCATCTCACAAATTTGTTTGCGAAGGTTTCAACGTACTATAGAAGTTGAGAGACATGACTAGCAACCACTTGCTTCTCATGTTCAGCTGTAGCCAAGAGACGCGTTAGTCCAACTTGCTTCTCGATGAATGATACTTATGCCTCTCCTCGAGTCACTTACCCGCAGGATTCCATTCTCCAGGACGTGTTGGTGTATGTATCGGGGTCGGCCTGTCCTCCATCAATCCTGCACGCCAAACGGCGTTCGGATCTTCCTCCATGCTCTCGCCAGCAATGCTGCCTCCATATCCCGAATCTTGGTTCAAAGAAGTCATCAAGGCTGTGGCGCTATCCGAGGTTGAACCGTTGCCCACAGTCATGTAAGTCGGCGGGGGGAAGAAAGGATTCCTTTCAGGGATCTCCTCTTCTCCTGGGAACCTGGACGAGCTAGCTCGTGAAGAGCCCTCACCGGGGTAATATTCCTGACTCATGGCTTGATACCGAGTGGAAGAAATCCATCCAAGAGAGAAAGATGTTTTGATTTTGCTTATGCGATGATTTCCAAGGTTTCATGACGTCGATCCAAAAGAGGACTAGCGGTCATGTGACCCAGTAATCCGGTGACAGAACGGTAATATTACAATCCCGCTTGATGTCACTGCCTCCGTCTGTTTGTATACCTGCGATCACTTACCAACTCGACCTAACTACCATTTTGCCTGCTATCATGAATGTAAGCTACTCAAACTCTGTAATGGTGACCATGGTACTCAAACAGATCTTCTCAGATCGTCGAATGGGCTTTCGGAAAGCGCATGACGCCCGCGGAGCGTCTGCGCAAACACCAGCGTGCCTTGGACCGAACACAGCGTGAGCTTGACCGAGAGCGCGTGAAGCTGGAGAACCAAGAGAAGAAGTTGGTGCAAGATATCAAGAAGAGCGCCAAAAATGGACAGGTCGGAGCCTGCAAGATCCAGGCCAAGGACTTGGTCCGGACACGGAGGTCGCTTCTCCAGAGCTGTTTATTGATCGCAACCGTCATGGCTAATTGGACAATAACAACAGATATATCCAAAAGTTCTATCAAATGCGCACGCAATTACAGGCCATCTCTCTCCGCATTCAGGTACGAGCGCGGCCTTATCTGTTACCCCTCCATCTCATGCGCTGACTGTTGCTACCTCACAGACCGTTCGAAGCAATGAACAGATGATGCAATCCATGAAGGGAGCCACGATGCTTCTGGGTAGTATGAACAGACAGATGAATCTCCCGGCGCTGCAACGGATTGCGATGGAATTCGAACGAGAGAATGACGTTATGGACCAACGGCAAGAGATGATGGATGATGCGATCGATGAAGCTACCGGAATGGAAGGCGAAGAAGAGGAAGGGGAAGATATTGTGAAGGAAGTTCTGGACGAAATTGGTGTCGATTTGAACCAATCGGTTTGTCTCCCCTAAGCATCGACAGGTGACACTTAGCTAACATACTCCAAGTTGGGTGAAACACCAGCGGATATACAAAAGGCCCCCGTAAACGAGACGCGGGTTGCGCAGGCTATTGGGGGCGGTGGGGGTGGAGGCAATACGAGTGACGACGACCTCCAAGCAAGGCTGGACAGTCTTCGACGATGATTACTTTACGACTTTTTCATTCTACGCCATTGATGACAGGCGTCGGTGGAATATTACTTTTTGAGCCAAGCCTCACTTGAATTTAGTTGCCTTGCTGTTCTTAGCATGCCGTTGTAAACATTTCCTGTTGCCTATCCATTACATCTCTTATTCTGTTTCCTCAGGTATCCTCAAAATCATAGGTGGATTGCCCCATGTTCTAAATATAGCGTGACTTGTAGGTTGCCAACGATGCAGTTGTTCGACTTAACCTCGAATCAGAAAAGAAGGACATTTGGAGCCTCCAGCATTTAGCGTCACACTCTCAATAATTTGGATAATTTGGGACACTGGTCCTTTCTGCAAGCTTCTCTATTCATTTTGCTTTTTAAAACGATTTGCAGTTGTACTTCTACTTTGCTCTCAATTTACTAAATGATGGTTGGCAATCCAGTCTCAGAGTATATAATAGACTTATACAATCTTTTCAGTATTCCTCATATCAGGTGACCCAGTAGCCTAAAAATCATATCATGAAGTAGAAAGACCCTGCAGGCCCGATGATCATGTTGTTCTGTGCGGCTCAGCAGGTAACACACCCATGCGGTAAGGAGATTCTCCAATAAGTTGTAAAATTCCTCGGTGTCGATCCAGCGCTGTCTGCGCTTAATAGCTGCCTGCTATCTAATCGTGTCATGATAAGATCACCAGACTTGGTGGGGTGGTCAAGCCTTGGGGCCGTATAGAGAACTATGCATAAAAGATCCTGGCACAGCACCAACATCTAACCGCAAAAGGCCGAAAGCAGAAAGCCACAACGAATCGAATTGACGTAAGAGTCGCAAGATAATAAAATAATAAACACGAATGCCAAGCAAAACCCGGGCAACTTACGGTTTGAGACAATGGGGTCAATAGTTGGCTCGCCCCCATGATGAGGCTGAGAGCTGATAACCCGGGTAAAGCTTTCAAGCTGACCCGCAGCTTGGAAAAAGCCTTAGGTCTAGAGCAACTGCAGATAAATAGTTGCCAGATTTCTGTTGCTATTGAAATATACTAAGACTTTTCTTTCCTTCTCTTCCTGGCCTTAAACCTACATACGATACCTAGAGACGATGACTATCCCTAACTGCGATACTGTCAACAGTCCTTCAAATCATCCTCAAAACAATATTGGTAGTCCATGTCGACAAAAACAGCTCAACAGCCGCTCTCAAACCTTTCCTCAAAGCTCTGCAGGAAAGATTGAACCAAATCTTCCGGCCTACGAGGGTTACACTTACTCCCAAGCGGACCCCGTTCCTGGGCAAAGCGCAACGTGGACCCGTGTGGAACGAACCGACATGAACATAAGCCAACATGAACTCTTTGAACTGGTACAGAAACGGGGAAGTAAGAAGTCGGCGGCACAACAATACCAAAATTTATCATCGATCACCAGACGAGCGCATATCAACCAACTGATCGACGAACAACGTCGCAGGAATCCACTCGTTGAGTGGAGTTGTGTGTATGCCAAAGAATATTCACGGCCTTCCGAGGCCCCCAATGCTCGTTATGGAGACTACGAGACAGTCTCCATGAATGTCATTCTTCTGAAAATGCCAAAGACTCAGATGTATACCAGAACACAAGCCGGGGATTCAGGGACTAAACACTCGGATCCTAGCTTGGAGACGAGTTACCGGGCACCAAAGCGAGACCGCTTCATTACATCAAATCAGTCAAGCGCAGCCATCGATAATGTACCGGAGAGTCCAGCGCCTAGCCCTGCCAACAGCAGTGAGACGAGCTTCGAGCATAGTTCGGGCTGGTCATCCGATGGCAGCAGTGATGCAAACGCCAAATCGATGCTATTTGAGAAATTTGACGAGACCTCCGAGACTGACGACTCAGAATCCACGTGCAACGGGCATCAAGAGGTACGGTTGATGCGACCTTATCTCAGACAACAGGCTGAGATTCCTCAGCCTGGCAGCCCTCGTGGCCGCGAACCCAGCCACACCCGTGGAAAGCCAAATAGTCGCAGCCTTGATCGCAGACAAGAGAGAAATATTCCTCTTCGTAGTCAATTTGAGCTACCTGCGGCAAAGACCATCGGTCCGAAGCGATTTGATAGGGGTAGATCACGCGGATCCATGCCTGGGGGGCGATACAGAATGCAGCTGATGAACGACAATGAGACACGGGGCCAAATGCTTGATAACCGTAAGGCAAGCATTGGACATCGAGAAAAGAGACTCAAAAGAACTTATTATGAAGCCCTCGAGCTAGAGCAGCGTCAATCGGTAAAGGATATTTCCCCGGTTTGTCGCTGCACTTGTCGTTGTGCTATCAAGGAGAAGAGAGAAGTTGATTGATTAAGTTGATCTGTCCCTTTTTTTGCCCTTGTGGCTTCTTCTATCTAGTCTTCTTGTCAGCAGAACTACGTTTTGGGTGCAGTTGTTTCGACTTACTCGGGTCCACCTGGATTCGAGCCGTCCCGCGTCACTGAACTAGGAAATTGGAGGAGATTCTTCGACACGGGAGCTGTGTTCTCCGTCAAATTGTTACTTCTTCGGGATCACATGAATGGGATTTTGAATGATCGTGTCAACATTCAAGTCAATTTTTGCGAGGCAGACGCTTGGTATAACGATCTATACGATCTATACCGACTGCGTACGTAGCCGTTTATAGATACCATGTATAAGTTTAAGGTAAATAGACTCAATGCCATAATTTGGGACATTTATTCCACATTTTCCCGACGTGCATGTACATGTATGCATACTTTGACCCTTAGATCGGCGGTTATGTCATAGAATTCGAGAGTGTTGCCCGATAATTCAGGCAACAAAAGATGTGCCCCTCCATTTAATTTACTTCCCTCCCACCTCTACTCTCCTCTCCTCTCCCGTATCAACTTCTTTCAAACCTTCTTCTACATCTTTTCAATCCTCTACATACATACATCATCATGCCTCGCCAATTCTTCGTCGGTGGTAACTTCAAGATGTACGTCAGATCGAGCTTCACTGCCCCGCGTCGATACCTTTCCATCATCACTGCATCCGCGAAAGAACGCGCAATTGACCCTATACAGGAACGGTGTCTCTGAGAGCATCGCCAGCATCGTGAAGAACCTCAACGCCGCTAAGCTCGACTCCACCACCGAGGTCGTCATCTCTCCTCCCGCCATCTACCTCGCTCTGACCCGTGAGCTCGCCAACCCCAACATCGGCGTTGCTGCCCAGAACGTCTACGACAAGCCCAACGGTGCTTTCACCGGTGAGATCAGCGTTGAGCAACTCCGCGATGCCAAGATCAACTGGGCTGTCATCGGCCACAGCGAGCGCCGTGTCATCCTTAAGGAGAGCGACGAGGTATGCATCTCCGCAGTTCTCCCAAACCTCAACTATCCACATCTCTCCCAACGTGAAAACACCCCAACTAACCTCTACTGAACAGTTCATTGCCCGCAAGACCAAGGCTGCCGTTGAGGGCGGTGTTTCCGTCATCCTCTGCATTGGTGAGACCCTTGAGGTACGTCATTTCTACCCAGTTTTCTCATTTTCGTCCCGATGTGGGTCATCGGGACAATGCCGGCTATTACTTTTGTAAATGCATCCCGCTAACACCCGACTCTTATGCAGGAGCGTGAGGCCAATAAGACCATCGAGGTCGTCACCCGCCAGCTCAACGCTGTCGCCAAGGAGCTCAGCAAGGAGCAATGGGAAAAGGTCGTCATTGCCTACGAGCCCGTCTGGTATGAACTTACCTCATGCCCTTTTGTATGCATGCATTTGAACATACCTAACGTTTCATATTAGGGCTATCGGTACCGGCAAGGTCGCTACCACTGAGCAGGCTCAGGAGGTCCACGCCGCTATCCGCAAGTGGCTCAGTGAGACCATCTCGGCTGAGGCTGCTGACAACGTTCGCATCATCTACGGTGGCTCCGTCAGCGAGAAGAACTGCCGTGAGCTCGCTACCCAGCCCGATGTTGACGGTTTCCTTGTTGGCGGTGCCAGCTTGAAGCCTGCGTGTAAGTTGATATTTATATCCAAAGGTGGAATGACAGTTCATACTAATAACCGGTATAGTCGTCGACATCATCAACGCCCGCATCTAAGGGTATTTCAGAATAAATTAATACCCCATAGTACCCTGACATCAGAGCAGTTAGCTCTGGGATGCAGGAGCCAGGTAGAGATTAAAAGCTTGGAATGTCAAATATATTGCCATGAAACTTATGTACAATGATGGAAGTATATCTTGATAACACATAGTCGTCGCTTCGACAGCGGTTAAATCATCCCAGCCTCAGTAGTCAAACAAAAACGCGCAAAAAGCGCGCATCCTATGACGAGTACAACACAGACACGCCAACCCCGCGCCAGAACGACATCCCAGCACCCCCGCCTGCACTCTGGGCCGACCCGCTCGCCGAAGCCGAAAGAGAAGGCGACGGAGAAAACGAACCCGGGCCTAACCCGACACCGGCGCTCACAAGCAACTCCTTAACCCTACCCTCCCAGAGCAGCCTCACATTCCAAGACTGATCAACACGCAGTTTAATGACAGAGTCACTAACCTCCGCCTCACCATTCTTCTCAGAGACGAGGGACTCGGGACGAGCCGGGTCGTCCAGGAGCGGGGAGGCCGGTGAACCGGGCAGGGAAGCGCCGATATCATGCAAGCGCATTTTGCGGCGGGCCCATTCGAGGCCGTCATCATCGTCGGACTTTGATTTCTTGGTTTGGCGCCATAGCTCACAGCCAGCTACCATCTCGCTTTCCCAGCTGTAGACGTTGAAGCCGAAGCGGGAGCTGAAGGCGAGGTTGGGCGAGGCGCGAAGGGAGTATGTTGTTGATAGAGAGCCCGTTACTGGGGTTAGGGTTAGAGTTAGTGTGTAGGGGAATGTTGAGATTGGTGTTGGGGTAGGTGAGAATTTTGATGTTGATGATAATAATGAGGAGCGCGAGGATGAGGGGACTTCGGTGGCTGCGGGTAATGTGCTGAAGCGGAGACCCGTTGACATGCCGACTAGTGAGGATACTGGGGAGTAGTAGGCTTCTGCGCCTGCGGATAGGAGGGATAGTGGTGGTGGCGCATCGTCGCGTGTGTATCGAGGGTCTGGGCCGAAATTCCATAGTCCGCGCCAGCCGAATAAGGCGTTGTCTGTGCTGAATAGATACTCGTTACTGTACTTCCCTGTGTCGTGGGATAGTTGTGTGAGCATTGAGGCCTGTGGTGCCGAATTGGACAGCGGTGGTCCTTGTGTTGAGCAGACTGCTAATGATAGTTGCATGGTGGTCGAGATCCTGCGCAGGAAGAGCGCATATAGAGTTGTTGGTGGCGGGAGGTGCAGAGAAGCATAGAGGAGAGTTGCTTTACGCTTGGCTTCTTCTTCTGGATTACTCTCTCCATCTTTGCGGTTCCCTTCCTTGAGCCCGGGGATGCTCACGCCGTCTAATAGGGAGTCCCATCCCCAGGTTTGTGCCGGGGCTGTGGGAGCCTGCACTTGTCGGTAGCCTGGGGAGATCTTGCGAAGTGGGATCAATGCGCTGCTACTTGGGAGGTTGTTGAAAGGGACTGTGCTGAAGAGATATGATACTGATCCATCGAGTAATCCAACGGTGCCGAGGGTATAACTGGTCGCGAAATGAGGTGTGGATAGCGAGGAAAGATGAACGCGTAACCGCTCCGGAGTTGAGAAATCAAGAATCGCTGCGCCAAATATGTTAGTTGACAGTTGAAGCACGCCACAGACCCTTGGAGGATCGACTGCCAGTCACATACATTGAGCGGTAGTAGTTAGAGAGGAATACGAATTGTCGCGATTCCAGTTGGTCGCCTCGGCGAAGGAGAGCTGGATGTAGTCCATGAAATCCAGCATTGTACAGACTGAGTCCCTGTAGGCGACAATGTGAACATTCGCAATCGAGACCAAAGAACAGCGAGCACTGGAGGATGGAGAGTTGAAATTGAAGTTGAATTGCCCTGAGGATCACAGCTGATTTCCCATTTGGGTTAGTGTTGGATAAGCCCGGGCCCATGTTAATCCGGTTATCAGCGAAGAAAAAATGTCTGTGGGGGAAACATTCAACCTCTCGTCCGAATTCATTGATTCTTCAATTCTCCCATAATTCATCATGCCTCGTTCAAAGCGTGCGCGCGTCGTTCACGAGTCCAAGACTGCCAAGAAAGATCACAAGGAGCAGACCCGCCGTCTGTACGCCAATATCCGGGAATGCATCGAAGAATATGATCATCTTTTCGTCTTTGCGGTCGATAACATGCGGAATACCTATCTGAAGGATGTGCGCACTGAGTTCGGTGACAGCCGGTAAGCGGAACCTCCCCAGACAGTCTTTGCATGAAATATCGTATCAGAAAAAGCGCCAGGACACCAGCGTTCGGATCTGATATCGAATATTGATATGCATGTCTACCACCCAAGAAAAAGAATCTAACATACATTTCTCATTGCAGTGTCTTCTTCGGCAAGACCAAGGTTATGGCCAAGGCCCTCGGCCAGAGCGCCGAGAGCGAAGCCGCTCCCAACGTGCACAAGCTCACTCCTTACCTCACCGGCGCCGTCGGACTTCTGTTCACCTCGCGCACCCCGGAATCAGTGATCGGCTACTTTGAAAGCTTCCGCCCCCAGGACTTCGCCCGCGCTGGAACCGAAGCCACCCGCTCTTTCACCATTCCCAACGGCCTGGTCACCGCACGTGCCGGCGAGATTCCAGCCGAGGATGACGAGCCCATCAGCCACACTATTGAGCCCGCACTCCGCAAGCTTGGTGTCCCCACCCGCCTTGTCAAGGGCAAGGTTATGCTTGAGTTGACTGAGGGCCAAGAGGGTTACCCCGTTTGCCGCAAGGGCGAGACATTGGACTCACGGCAGACGACACTGATGAAGATGTTCGGTGTTACTTCTTCCGAGTTCAAAGTTGACCTCAAGGCTTACTGGACCCGAAGCAGCGAGGAGGTTAAGATCCTGGAGAGCCAGGGTGACATGGAGGTTGATGCATAGATGGGATTTTTTTCTTGATTTTTCCGTTTTTCTTCTTTCCCTTTCCCATTCGGCTTCCGTGTGGTTGAAAAAAAGAACTCTGCTGGGCATCTTATGGAGTTTGGTGAGGGCGCTTCCTTTGCAAATATCTTGAAGACTTGCGTTATATTCCTCTATTTCTCTCGTCTTTATCCGGAGGGCCTTCTTCTGGATCATGAGCCTATGATAAGATTTGGATACCAGGTCGAAAAAAAAGTACACAAGTCACTTATTTATCTTTTATGAATCTTCGGAAATTGTAGTGCAGAATCGCTAGTCGTATTACATAGGTTTGCATCTAACTAGCAAGTTACCTGCTTTCTGTCATTGCCATGGTCCTTACCTGGTCTTACCTGAGCGTCACTTGATTCCATATTTCATGTTTCGCGCAGAAGACCGACTAAAATACAAATACTTACCCTCGGAGAGAGTAAATGAAACTCCATCAGGACCAGGAAGAAAAGTAGAAAAAAAGAAAAATTGAAACACAAGTGAAGAAGAGGAACACCGGGCAAAACAAAGATAGAGAAAACGGGGAATACAAGCAGTTCATGAATGTTCACCTGATCTGTTCACTGGTATGCATGTGAACTAACAAGGGAGACGGAGAATGGATACTTCAGAGCCAAGCATGAAGCAGAAATTGCAGCGTGAGTTGGAAACATTGGATGTTTTGTGATCGTCATGATGTAGATCCGATACGTGATGGGCCAACGTCTTGATGTGCCCCCTTACCCTTGCGCGAGAACACTTATAGAACTGGGCAGATCAGTGATACCCACTAGTCAATCAGGACTGAAGAGAATAAAGGGAAGATCCGGGAAAAAAGTGAAGACCTAATATCTTCTCCTGGAGCGAGGGTCATCGTATCCGGCATCATCCTCACGGTGTCGCTTGCGGCCATAGTCTTCCCGGCCGCCACTGGTGCTACCACCATACCTGTCGCCGCTGCCGCGCTCACGATCACGGTCCCGGTAACGGTCTCCACCACCTCGGTCTCCAGTTCGGTCTCCCATACGGTCATCGCGGCGATCTCTGTAACGATCATCGCGGTCATCACGGCGTTCACGATCACCATAGCCGTCTCCTCGGGGTCGGACGGGCTCTGAGTTGCTTCCAGTAACACCACGGTCAAATCTGCCACCACCACGGTCACCACCGCCGAAACCTCCTCGGAAGCCTCCACTGCGTCCACCACCGGGTCCAGAGGGAGCGTTAGGGGGTGCTTGTCCACCTCCACCGAAGCCGTTGCGTCCACCTTGATATCCAATACCACCACGAGGGCCACCGAAGCGGTCACCACCACCGCGGAAGCCACCACCACCACCACCACCACCACGGAAACCACCACCTCTGCCACCAAAGCCGCCGCGGAAACCGCCTCCAAAACCACCGGGTCCAGATGGTGCGTTGAATCCAGGGCCACCGGGTCGAACTGGCATGGCCTTGGTGTAGCCACGTCCTCCGAGACCACCGCCAAAGCGACGAGGCTTCCATCCCCTGGTCGTACGTCCACGCTCGACATCTACCAAAACCCGTCGGTCCTTGATCCGGATTCCATCTGTTTCTTTGTAGGCCGCTGGTAGTGGGCAAATAACTGGTGTCAGCAACATATCTTACCGCAAAACGGAACACATGGGTGATTTTGGTGCCAGAGGGAATGGCGTGACTGTGATACCTTTCATGTCCTTCTCGCGCTCGTAGACGATAAATGCATAGCCTTGGTGGGGCTTCTTCTTCTTCTTGTCTGATACTGTGTCCTTGACAAGGGTGATCTGAAGTCGAGATGTTAGCCTTTGTAATTGCCAAAGAAGAAAACTGCACACCAAAACGTACTCTTTCAATGGGGCCAAAGCGGCCGAACTCTCGCTCCAGGTCGGATTCTTTGACATCATAGCTGAGGCGCGCAACAAAGAGAACCTTGTAGGGGTCGCCACGAGCATGCGGATCATTTTGGGGATCGACTGTGAGCGAAAAACATTGTGTTAGTATCGTGGCATAGGAATCAATGAGCAAGAAAGAGAAAACATACAATTTTGCATCCCTTCTGTTAGTTGCTTTTCCTGGTTCTCTTTCTTCTCTGCGTCCTGGCGCGCCTTGCGCTGCAGCCAGCTTTCAGTCGCATTGTATGGGACCTCTTCAGCGTAGGACTTGGCCTCAGCAAGATACTGGGCGACACCAGAGATGGTGCTCTTCTTGCAGTCCTCTGGGGCGGGATCGGTTGGAGCCAGATAACGAAGGGGGGGACGGGGTTGGAATAGCGCCAACAATGGCGGGGGGAGCTTGTCAGTCATTCTCACGATAGACCTGGTGAGAACCAGATCAGGTGTGGGGTGAAGCTGAAGTATGAAGAGTAAAGCCTCAGATCAGGAGTGAGAGCTTCGCGCTGGTCTTAGCGTGTAAGCTGGCGCTGTAGCCGCCATTGGCGCCCGCGCTCACCGCCCTGTGCAATCACGTGCACTAGAAAATGCCCCGAGAACCGCCCGCGAATCGATCAACCACGAACAAGTGACGACGATAACAATGCCTGTGCGTGGAATCCGGACAGCGACGACGGCCCAGGTATGTGGACTTTGACTTTCCCATGCAACCTATTGAAGAACCCCGCTAACCCACTTAGAACGGCGCCGGCGCCTTCATCTTACAATGCAAACGCCTTGATTTCCATTTCTGCAATTCGGGAGGTAGCTCAAGGGGCATGGTGTAAGTTTTGTTTGAACGTCACGAATTATCATCTTCGGGTTATTGGGAACTCACACAATGGACTTCACAGTGCCTTCCTGCAGAACAATCTCAAGTCTTTCGCCCGCCAAAACCCTCAGATCGAGATCCGGGTCTCTCCCCGACCACAAAAGCACCCCCTCATCAAGGGCCTCTACATCAACGGCCGCGAGAAGCCTGTCTGTGTACGGAACATGGAGCCCAGCGAGATCCTGAAGAAGGCAAATCTTCTCAAGGAGGCCAGTGGAGAGAAGTTGAAGCGGACCAAGAAGCCTGTCACAAGTTTGAACGAGAGTGTGCGTGGTATCTGGTCTCCGTACCACGGCGATCTGCGTGGTGTATAGATCAAATCGTTTTCTGTTTATGGTGTTCGTTGCCTTTCAGCGGTGGTGACTATCAGGTATCCCCACTGCAACATACTGTACTATTGACCTGGGTTCTCTTATATTTTCTTCATTCTTGTCTATTTGCTCGAAGCTTATGGTGTTCTGACCCTATCTATTATGCATATCAAACTCAAGCCTGCATCAATCTGAGGACTACTAGTCTGTTTGAATGATCACCTTATACAATGGTTCGTGGTGTAGTGACGATGAAATATACCAAGTGTTGTTTCTATATAACATTTTAAGAGGCAACTCAAGTATCTATACATAATACTGAAGTTTACATGCAAGACAGTAAGTTTGCTAGGTAGAATTGCTAAATAGACAAAGAAATATTTGATAGAAACCAAGTTCATGCGTGGCTGATAGAGATCAAAGTCCCATCTGAAAAAATATAGTCCCGTATAAGTTGAAGGAAAAAACGCACGCCAGTTCCATGCAAATTGGGTATCGACGAAATAAGAGTTGGCCCTAACACCATGCAAATGTGTGATCGCAGTAAACGAAAAAAGCAAGAAGGGAGGGAAAAAACCAGTGAGTATCAGAGGAAAAGATGGAATAAAGCAGTTGGACTGCTCAAAGATACCTCGCAGCCTGCAATCTGGCACTTGGAGAATGGCTTGGTCTGTGAGTTTGACTTTTTGGCCCTTGATTTCGACCGATTCTCAGCGCATTCGCCACAGTAAACCTGAAAGATGGTTAGTTTTTCAATGCTCGGTTGTAACCTGAGATGGGTGATACGAACATGTCCGCATTTTCTGGAAACGTATATTTGCCCTTTGGATCCTTCTCCAACACCCAACTCCTCATGGCAGTTAGGGCAAATGGCCACATCATAATCCGATATCGTTCGAGTGAAGCCCTTCGGGGCCGGATCTGGTGATTTGTATGACTCTTCTCGGGACGATGATCGTGTGGACTCATCCTGAGGGTGCTGAGTGTCGAGTGAAGGATTTATTGGAAAGCCAGTGAGCCCATAGTCAAGCCCCACCGGTAGGAAGTCCCCGATAGACATGGGCCGGAACTCTTCCCCTTCAGCCCACCGACTTCTGTTGTACCAGTTTCTTGTTGGTCGCCTTTCAGCTGCCTCGGATCTCCCCGAGACCCGACTCATGTGAGACCAGATGTCGTTGTAAGGTCTGGGTTCTAGCGGCCTGGGTCTGGTGGTAGCCCCAACAAACTGGACATCAGGGCTACTTGACGAGGCATCTGCGGCGTCGTTGGTAGGCTCGGCGTCCACATCGATCACATCATGCGCATTCGTCTGAGGAATATGAAGTATATCCTGAGGAAACCGCAAGCTCGTCCGGGATTGGGTTGGCGAGGGTAAAGTGAGGTCCACTGATCGACTTTGCGGAGGAATTTCAGATTCACGTGTCAAGTCAACTATCTCTGGGTCGTTTGAGGATCTGACCGGACGCCGGTAATCGAATCCATCTCCGTGAAAGCGTGGCAAGCTGATGGATTGATTCTGAGGACGATCTCGAGGGGGATGAAAGTGTTGATCCCAGACGGCACGGGTAGTGCCATCGGATTCTTCGGACATTTCGTGATACGTTCGCTGGAAGAAAGATCGTGTTAGCAGAGCTTCTTGTCTGATCAGTTGCCCCGCCCGTTTCACGACTGATGAAAGCGTACCTTGGGGCCGTTAGGCAAAAATGGGAGGTTTGGACTGCCACTCATGCCAAATCCTATGCTATGGGGCAAGGTTATGGGACGAGGAGCATATAGTATCCCCGGACGAGGTGGTGGAGGCATCTGAATGGCATCCATCTTTGTTTCGATGCTCGAGTCTCCGGGCGGTCTCATTCTGCCGGCTAAATAGGGCGGTGGGGAAATCAGTGGCGGTTGCGAGGAAGATCGTCAGATCTGCTGGCGAGTTGGCATTTATAGATCGCGGTCCTGGGTGTGGGACCTATATATTAGCAATAAAGTTATGAGTTACCAGGCGAAAGGAGTGTTCATCTCATTCAGTATCGATCCGATTGAGTGATCGTATGTCACTCTGTTTCGGCAACGGCCTCATGTTTCACGGGTGCCAGCACAAGCTTGTCTGGAAGTTACCTGACTTTTCTTCTTCTTTTTGTAATAAAGACTGCAGGAAATTGGAAACAAAACACCATTTGAGGATTCAAAGATAACCAGCTTTAAATTACACACTATTTTCCCGATCATGACTGTGCCGCCAACACTGTGACTGCGCCCGCCTCATTCAATGCTACAATGCTCTGAGCAGCTGATCCCCATGCCACAGAAGTAGCAGGAACAGCGCTCCGCAAGGGCTCTGACCACGTCTTGGAGGCCTTGGTAAACTGCTGGACGGTGACTCCGCTGGGTCCACCGGTCAAGAGATATTGACCAGTGTAATCCCAGAAGATAGAGCTGATCTGGCTGCCAGTCTCCAACACCTTGGTTTCCTTGGAGCTGCGCAGATCCCAGATCGAGACCGTAGTAGATTTGTCGGCCACCGCGGCCAGGAAAGTACCATTCTCAGAGAAGAACAAACACTTGACTGGGCCTGACATCGCGTAGTCTGCGGCTGCGGCACCGGTCTTAACGTCGAAGATCTTGACTTGTCCATCTGCACCACCAGCGGCGATCAAATGGCCATCTGGGTGGAAGTTGACAGACAACAAAGCTAAACCAAACCGTTAGCATTATATTTCGATATAAAGGTTTGCAGAACATATGCTTACCTGCGTCAGTGAAGATTTGGGAAGCCACGGTGTTGGTAGCCAGGTCGTAGAGGACATAGCTCTTGTCAACACCGACAGAGGCAACAATATCACCAGTAGCATGCACAGCCACACCTGTAACCTCGCCAGCGTGAGAGTTGAAGCTAGCGACTTCAGCCCCGTTCTCAAAGACCTTCACAGACCCGGTAGACGATCCAACAACAGCCTTGTCGCCGGCCCAAGTCGCATCGGTGACCGGACCATCTGTCTTCAAGGTCTGCACCACACTCTTCTGAGAAAGGGAGTAGACACCAACCACACCATCAACACCACCAATAAGAGCCAAATCGCCGGTCGAGTTGACAGACAGAGCGCGGCCACCGGGGTAAAGGGGGTCGGAGGACTCAGTTGGCTTGAATGTGGAGATAGCGTCAGCTGAGGCCCAGCCCTCGGGGACTGCACGCTTGCGCCGAGTCTTAGAAAGCCTGTAGATATGTTAGCTGAAATTAACATAGGATGGAACCATTGAGTCCACGTACGCTGCTTGTGTGTTCTCAACCCGTTCCAGCACCGCCTGGGGCAAGCCTGCAGAGTCGACCTGCATAGCATCACCAGCGCCCGCGGACCTAGTAGCGCCGACGGAAATGTTCGAAAGTGCCTCGCGGGCATCGTCTCTCTCCTTTGTCAACCGCGCGATCACTCGCACTGCGGCATCATGCTGATAGAGCGCGGAGCTAAGCTCGCGCCTCGTCTGTGCCAGGTTTTGCTGTAGGGTATATGTTTCAAGAGCGAGGGCGTCCCATTCCTCCTGGAAGACACTGAGAAGAGACGGGATGGAGGTAAGGGTGGGAGGTCGGGGCCGGACAACGCGCTGCGACTTGACATCGACCAGGTCATCGGTGCTGAGTTCTTCGCCGTTCACGGGATCTTTGCCATGTTCGGCAATGTATGCCTCGATAAGACGCTTTTCAAAAACGCTGCCTGTTTAATTATCAGATATGGTGTGCGCGCAAGGCGATTCGAAGAACTTACCGCTCTTGGAAGAGACGACGGGAATTTGAGGTGCCTCTCCAGAGACTGCGATGAATTTCAATTAGCGAATTGGTCCAGTTATGACGACATAAGCGCAATGGATCATAGACCACTCACTAGCACAAAGCATGGTTAATTGGGGTGGGTTCAACGAGGTGGTTGGTGAGGACTTGACGCGGAGCAGGCTCCTTGGGACTTTTCGATGGTGTCCCATTTGGGTTTAGCGCCTGGAGCTGTTCACGGTGCTCGTCTCGCAACTTGGACTCTTCTCTTCTTTGTGAGATCTATATATTCTATATATTCTTGTCGGAATGTATATTTGCTAATGATTTACTGAATTGGCTGAGGAGAGCAGAAAGCTTCAGAAAAAGGCTACAGATTAACAGCTGCAAACGTTTGACTACATCCCACCATGTCTAAGAACCCCAAGTTTGAATATGGTACGTCGCTCAAATGTCCTAGCAGGCCTTTCTAATATATGATCTAGATGCGAAGGAGCCCGCATTCCTCCAAAAGCTTCGGGGCCAATATGGCAGCAACACCGGTCGCTTAGAACGGCCGGCCGTACGAGCGACCAGACTCAAGGTCAACAAGGATGACGATGACGATGAGCCCACCTATGTCGACGAAGAAAGCAACGAAGTGATCTCCAAGGAGGAATACAAGACCCTGGTGCGCGAGACCGGCCAAACAGAAGAGGACAAGAATACTCCGAAGGACAAACCCGCAGGGGACGAAGACGGAGCGGAATCTACCAGCAAACAGAGCAATCTGACTGAGATTGGAGGTCAGAGGAAACGAAAGCAGGCCAGAGTCGTGGGCGAAGAAAAGACAGAGAGCGAAGACAAGAAGATCGAGACTGAAGAAGCTCAACCCAAGGCGGCCACCAAGAAGGCAAAGAAGCCCAAGAAAATAAAGCTCTCCTTCGATGAGGAGTGAATCCCAACGGAAAATATATACAAGGTCTTTGACTTAGCAGATTGAAGGCCGCCGACGCATGGTGGACTCAGCGCATGCCTTCGAAGACTCATAGTGAGTCAACGCAACATCGGTTGTATAGCGTCATAGGTCGCCAAACAGCTTATTAGGCCGACCACATAGAGTAATAGCGAGAATATTCGAGCTGATGTAAATATAGACTTACTTTTATCTAATACTGTCGCCTTGTAAATTAAATAATTGTGGCAGACCTGGTCCATCACATACTGTCTCCATTTATCAGCAACTTTTTTTTCTTCGGATCCAGTCGCCTTCCCGGCTCTTCCTCTCCAAACATTCAGCTCTTGGACAGACTCAGTCAAGATGCCTGTGGTTAATGTCGACCAGCTAGTCCGCCTGCAACGGAAGCCCGAAGACATAAGAAATGTGCGTGCCCCTCCATCCCACTCTGATGTCAGGCTTTATACTAACTCCAACCAGATTTGCATTTTGGCTCACGTCGTAAGTAAAGGCACCCAAATAACAAAATCGTGTCCGAACATGTTCTGGAATACTCACAATCGTCTTTTTGTCGTTTAGGATCATGGAAAGACATCGTTGACAGATAGTCTTATAGCCACCAATGGCATCATTTCACCTAAGCTAGCAGGAAAGATCCGCTACCTGGACTCTCGCCCAGATGAGCAGCTGCGAGGCATCACAATGGAATCTTCAGCCATTTCATTGTTCTTCTCAATGCTCCGTCGCCCAGCGCCAGACGCAGCACCGGTGCCCAAAGAGTATCTGATCAATCTGATCGATTCACCGGGACATATTGATTTCAGCAGTGAGGTCTCAACGGCATCGCGTCTTTGTGATGGTGCTGTTGTTCTCGTTGATGCAGTCGAGGGCGTGTGCAGTCAGACTGTGACTGTGCTGCGCCAAACCTGGGTTGAGCAGCTGAAGCCAATCCTGGTTATCAACAAGATGGATCGTCTGATCACGGAATTGATGATGAGCCCCGCCGAGGCATTCTCCCACCTTAGTCGACTGCTTGAACAAGTTAATGCCGTTATTGGTAGCTTCTACCAAGGTGAGCGCATGGAAGACGATTTACAGTGGCGTGAGCGTATGGAAGATCGCATCAATACTTCTGCCACTCGAGATCAAGACCGCAAAAAGCAATCGGCAGATGAAGATGCCGCTCAAAGCATTACGGAGGCGACAGAATTTGAGGAGCGCGACGATGAGGATCTCTACTTTGCCCCCGAGAAGAATAACGTCATCTTCTGCAGTGCCGTTGATGGCTGGGCTTTCACCATTAGGCAATTCGCTGCCATCTACGAGAAGAAGCTCGGAATCAAACGAACTGTCTTGGAGAAGGTCCTCTGGGGTGATTATTACCTGGACCCCAAAACCAAACGTGTTTTGGGTCAAAAGCACCTGAAGGGCAGAGCATTAAAGCCGATGTTCGTTCAATTAGTGCTTGATAGCATCTGGGCAGCATATGAAGCCACCACAGGCGGCGGAAAGGGCAAAGGGTAAGTTGATAGCCTCGTATTCTTCTTATTGTATCAATACTCACTGTGAACAGAGACCCAGTCCTGCTAGAAAAGATCACCAAATCTTTGAATATCAGCATCCCAGCATATGTTTTGCGCTCTCGTGACCCCAAGAACATAATGACTACGTTGTTCTCTCAATGGTTGCCTCTATCCACTGCTGTGCTTGTGTCTGTCATTGAATACCTCCCAAGTCCACCGGCTGCACAGGCTGCCCGACTGCCAGAAATGATCAAAGCATCACCTGGGTCAGAATTCATCAGCAATGATATCAAGAACGCCATGGTCGATTTCAAGACAGGCCCCGAGGAGCCCGTCGTAGCATACGTCAGCAAAATGGTCGCAATCCCCGAAAGCGAGCTTATGTCAAGCAAGAAGCGAAGCGGCGGTGCCATGACTGCAGATGAAGCCCTTGAAATCGCTCGTCGCAAGCGCGAGGAGATTGCGAAGATGCAGGCGGAGGCCAAGGAGAAACAAACCGATGAGTTCGAGCGCATGACTACATTTTTCCAAAATACCTCGTTGATCACCGAGACAACTGACGAGCCGGAGGAACCAGAGGAGAAGGAGGACCCAGACCATCTTATTGGCTTTGCCCGCCTTTACTCAGGAACCATCTCTGTTGGAGACGAAATCTACGTACTGCCGCCCAAGTTCTCACCAGCCAACCCGCATGCAAGCCCCGAGCCGAAAAAGGTGACTGTCACAGACTTGTACCTGCTCATGGGTCGAGCTCTCGAGCCCCTCCAGTCTGTGCCAGCCGGTGTTGTCTTCGGTATTGGTGGCCTTGCCGGCTACGTGCTCAAGACTGGCACGCTCTGCAGCCGACTGGATGGAAGTATCAACTTGGCCGGAGTGTCGCTCAACACTCCACCCATCGTTCGTGTTGCGCTGGAGCCTGTCAACCCAGCCGATCTCGGTAAGATGGTTACTGGCCTGCGCCTGCTTGAACAAAGTGATCCTTGTGCCCAGTACGAGCAGCTTCCCAGTGGTGAACACGTTATTCTCACCGCAGGCGAGCTGCATCTGGAGCGTTGCGTGACAGATCTCCGAGAGCGGTTCGCCCGGTGCGAGATCCAAACTGGTGAGGCTATCGTCCCTTACCGGGAGACCATCGTCTACGGTCCTGAGATGGCCGCACCTAAGAACCCCGAGCTTGGCCGTGGAGGTGTATTGTCGGTTTCCGCTTCCAAGCAGATGACGCTTCGACTGCGCGTGGTACCTATGCCTGAAGCCGTCACAGAATACTTGACCAAGAATGTCGGAACTATCAAGCAACTTCAGCTGGAGAAGCGCTCTGAAGCTGAGGGCAAGGCTGATACCGAGGCTGCAGTCGAAGCGCAAGAGTCAGCCGCTGTCGATGGTACCGGCGAGTCACACGAGGGCACTATTCTCTCCAAGCAAAAGTTCCGCGAGGGACTAGAGAAGGTATTCAACGAAGCTAAAGAAGACAAGGAGCTATGGAAGAACGTCGTCGACCGGATCACAGCATTCGGACCTCGCAGAGTCGGCCCTAACATTCTAGTCGACGCAACAGCAGTCAACACCTGTGAGAAATTGTAAGTGCACCAAGAAGCAAACCCGCCATGTCTACCATTGACCTAAATCTAACAAACCCTCTTCCCAGCCTTGTCGACGACCCCAAGCAACAAATCGCCGGTGACAACCAGCAAGCCCTCCTAGTCCGCGACTTCAATGACAAGATCGCCTACGCCTTCCAACTGGCAACAGGTCAAGGTCCCCTATGCCAGGAACCAATGCAAGGCGCCGCCGTCTTCCTAGAAGACCTATCTGTCCAAGCCAACAGCAACGACGAGCTAGATATGGGCCGTCTAACGGGCGAAGCAATCCGACTCGTCCGCGAAGGGATCTCTGCTGGATTCCTAGACTGGAGTCCTCGGATCATGCTCGCAATGTACAGCTGCGAGATCCAAGCAACCAGTAAGCCTTCCCCATTCCCAATCCGTAACCCACACACTTAACCCCAGAACTAACACTCAACCCCACCAAAAGCCGAAGTCCTCGGGCGCGTCTATGGCGTAATAACCCGCCGCCGAGGCCGAATCCTCTCAGAAGTAATGAAAGAAGGAACACCCTTCTTCACAATCCTGGCCCTGCTGCCAGTAGCAGAATCCTTCGGATTTGCCGAAGAAATCCGCAAACGTACATCCGGCGTCGCGCAGCCGCAACTTATCTTTGCAGGCTTTGAGGCGCTTGATGAGGATCCGTTCTGGGTTCCTGCTACTGAGGAGGAACTTGAGGATCTCGGTGAGCTTGCTGATCGGGAGAACGTTGCTAAGCGGTATATGGATGCTGTGAGGTCTCGGAAGGGTCTTGTTGTTCAGGGGAGGAAGTTGATTGATGCTGAGAAGCAGAAGACTTTGAAGAAGTAGATTGTTGATGTTGATTTGGGTAGATGGGTATAAAATGGATATTTATTGCATTGTACTGTATATTGTTTTTCATTCTCATTTTATGGTATTTGAATTGTGCGTATGATGTTGGTAGTTGACATGGTTGATATTGGTATTTGATATCTAGTTTCCATCTAGCAGTATCGCAAGAGATGGATGTCACTCCGACAAACCCTCTGTCGGGTCTCAGCGGGTAGATCTAGACACGACAGACAAGAAACTAGGAGGATCACAGATGATGAGAGCCATCTGCGTATTCTTCGAATGATGAACTTCAATCTTCCTCTTTTGACAAACACAGCCCAACATGGATCAGGTCTCGGCTGTGTATACTAAGGAGGATAGTAAGATCTACTACTTGGCAAAGGAAGCAGGGTTGCCATGATGTTAGTTACTTTGGTGAAGGGGTGAGGAGAAGAAATTGGCGGAAACGGTTTGCATTGTATTCTGAAATCATGAGTCCGCGGGGTATCTTCATTTTGAAATCGTTATTGATATCGATATCCTGTACAAGTGGGTGTGTCCGAGTCAGCTCAAGGAACAGGTGGCCTTGAGCTCCTAGACATTGTTGGGGTTTGATTAGATGCCATGCTTGAGAGCATAGAACAAGCATGGGAGCTTGAACAACGTTGCTCGCAGAGGCGTCTTTCGAAGTGTAGTCTCGTCGATATCCATTGGTTCTGTAGCATGCGAGGAGCGCATGCTCTCATGGGTAAATCAGACTGCCCAGGGTATCTAGACAGACCAGGACGAAGCCTGCTCGGGTGTTGCAGGCAGTAGTCATTTCTCATCAGCGAACAGCAGACAGAAAGGGTAGCTCAAGCCAAAGCCGCCGCAATCGAAGTTTAAGTTCGAATTCCAAACCCAATGCCCTCAAAAAGGCCTAGCAACCTTCCTCAACTCCCCAGTCCCACTAACCGGATCCCTCATCTCCTTCCAACTAACGGGGAACATCATATTGCCGGCCTCACTGCGCGCCATAACAACACCAAGATCATTGCGCGCAGTAGTAAGATAGAAGAAAGTCTGATCGCCGAGCGAGATCACCGAGCCACGAACAATATCACCAACACGGAACATCTCATCCATAACAACGCGATCCTTCTCGACAGCGCGCACGTCCTCCTTCCGGATTAACGCTTGGAACCGCAGTTCGTCGGTGTTGCTGTGGTTTTCTGGGTTGGCGGCGTGGGTGAGGATAGCAGCGACATTGTCGTTGTCGGAGGGTGTGCGGTTTGGATCTTGCGTCGTGTCTTCTGTCACGACTAGGATTGAGACTGTTGCTTGGCGCTTTTGCACGCGGGTTACTCGTGCCAGGACGATTGAATCGACTGCTGGGAGGGTATTGTAGCGGGGTTTGGTGGTTGGCGCTCCTGCTGCGGCGGGTGTGTTCTTCGTAGGTAGGGTTCGGGAGACTCTGAGAGTTGGTTTTGTGTGGGTCTTTCGTTGAGCTGTCTCTGAGACTACCGGTCCGGCGATGGAGGCGTAGATGAAGGATTGTTGGATGTGTGTGCCTGGTCCGGCTGAGTATGCGGAAACGGGACCGAGGCGTTGCCCGGGGATGGCGATGGGTGGGAGAGAAGCCATTGTTAAGGTGTAGTTGATGTTGAGGGGTGGTCTGGAGTTGGAGAGAGGATCGGTGATTTTTTTGGTGAGCTCCCACTCGGCTCGGGAGTAGGTTTGTCCGCAGCTATATACCCACGACGTAACTACGATACTTGGATTATGAATTGAAACCAATTCCGTCTTCCAGGCAATTAATTTATAGAGCCCATATCTAGCACGAATACACGGTGTATGCTGAACAGGAAGGACAGCGGAACCGGCCCAGAAATACGATGGACATGTAAGAAACAAAAAAAGAGTCCACAATCCAAATGCCCGCTGAGAAGGAGTAACCCGAGTCAAATGAATTCGATGCCCATAAAACACCCAGTGGCGGGGAAAGAAAGTAGGCCAAGTGAAGATTGGCTGAACAGAAAGGACCGGAGAAAATGGCGCGCAGAGGGGAGAATAGACAAAGGACAAATAGACAAAATAGAGAGGTTAAGCTTCCACCAGGGTCTGCTTAGGACCTGCTCCTAGCAGCTCGAGGCAGCGACGGGCGAGGGTGATCACTTCGCCTTCGCCGTCATCCACTTCCTCCTCGTCGGACTCGATGTTCTTGTCCGAAATCGACTTGACCATCTGTACGATGTCTTCAGATCGTGAAATGTATCCGATGAGTTTCTTATCTTCAGACTCGAGGAGTTGGAGAAGGGTCCAGATGGCAATGTGTTGGAATGTTGGATCACCACTGGCAAGGAAACGGTAAAGGTAGCCGTGGATTCCACCATTGGAATCTGCCCAATCGCGAACGAACATGGAATAATCGCCGACTATATTTCATTAGCACCTTCATGGGGGAATTCAGGTGTGAGGGGAAACATACCCTTGGATGAAAGGTTGCCCAGAGCAGCAGCACTGTTGCCTTGGACCTCAATGCTATCAGAATTGGTCAGAGGAATGAGGACGTCGAAGACCCCGAGGTTGAGAAGGTGTGGCTTCAGCTCCTCGCTGAGGGCCAGCACAGCGATCGCAGCGGTCATCTCGGACTGTACAGTGAGAGGAACCCGAAGGACCAAGTCCTTGCATTTCTGGACAGCTCCCGCCTGCAAGACGAGTTCTTTGTTGCGATCGGAGCTTGCAGCAAGGTTACGGAGCGTAGAGATAGCGTGACATTGAATCTCTTCGTTGTCAGTTGAACCAAGCAGATCCACCAGTGGCTTCAAGAAGCCTGCTTCAATGATTGGTGATTCGTTGAGAGGATGAATGGATATATTGCGAATACAAGCGACGGCGGATAGGATGAGAGGAAGGTAGGAAGATTGAAGGAGTCGCAACAGTGGGGAGAGACCCTTTGCGCGGACAATCTCAAGCTGGTATTTCTCGTCGGAGGCGAGGTTGCGGAGAGCGAGCGCAGCCTGACATTGCACTTTCGGGGTCGAGGAATCCATGAGATGAACCAATGATTGTACCAAGCGCGACTCAGTCTGAGCTAGGCGTTTGCGGTTGGTCGAATCAACGGCAATGTTGCTGAGAGCTGTTGTGCAATAGTACTGAACGTCGACATCGGGGGAAGATAGCAGATGGACGAGCACGGGAATAGCGCCGGCATTTACGAGTTGTTGGCGGTTGTCATCTGGTCATGTTAGAGAGTAGGTCCGTATTGGGGGAAACCGCAGTCACCTACCGGAATGGGTCATATTCAGTAATGCGCCCGTCGCATTGCGCTGTACACGCATATCTTTGGATTTGGCCAGACGGATCAGAGGACCGAGAGCGCCGGAGCGAGCAATCTTGGCCTTGTTCTCTTCATGTGTCGCAAGATTCGTGATACATCCGACGGCATTGCATTGCACCTCGACGTTGGGCGACATCATCTGTCGAATCAGGGGAGCCAGCCCCCCGAGGGCGACAATCAAGACTTTGTTTTCCGCTGTACCTAGTCAGCAATCGGAGGCGAGATTGAAAAGGGGGGTAGGGAACCAACCATTGACAGCGAGGTTACCCAGCGCTGCACTGGCGGCTCGTTGTACTTCGATATCGGAGCTCTGAAGGAGGAATAGTATCGGCTCGAGAGTATCGCTGTCGACCTCGCGGACATCTGGAGAATGTCAGGTATTGCATCATCGCCATTCGCCCCATGATACGTACCTCGTTCAGTAATCTCGGCAAAGGTCAGACTGGCGCTTCGTTGCAAGTCGACATTCTCGGAGTAAACCAGCGTACTCAATGCCCGTAGAGGCTCGCCGTCGAAGAAGTCGGTCTCTGCGCGCTGTAGGTCAAAGTCAGTGATGTGCATGTGGCAAGGGCAAGGGCGCGGTCGCCATCACAGGCAAACCCGACTCGAGGCGAGTCCAGAGAGAGGTCGCACGTACGTTCTCCAAATAGCCGAGCAGGTCTGAGACAGCTTCTCGCTCATTATCGGCCAAGGTCGTCTCGTAAATCCCATCTCGCGACCGACCACCGATCGGACCGAGACAGGCTGTGATATGGCACCATCGGTCCACCGCCGACAGGCACGATAGACAGGCGGTTGCGATTCCACTCATGCCTAACAGGCCCGCATCAGGGCCGAAACGAGTCTCGAGGGCAAGAGTGGGGGGGAAGGTGAGAATAGACGGTGAGTTGTGTAAAGCCGAAGCTTTTATTAGGGAGCACAAGGGCGGCGCGTGATAAAAGGAAAATGGCGAAGAGAGTTGGAGGTGTCGAGGTAGAAAGATAGGGAGGGGAGGTTTAGCTCCGCCGAGAGATGGCTGGTAACAAGTTGGATGGTTCTTCTTTCCTGCAATGCAATTCTTAAGTTCTCAAGTTCAAGTTCAAGTTAAGTCAAGTTAAGTCAAGTCAGATCAAGTCAAGTCAAGTCAAGTTCAGCAACCTTCATGTGTTATGTGAGCTTAAGCTCCGATCGAAGCTGTCCACGCTGACCAATGGTCCGTTTACGTCAACACCTGCACCTCCAGGGCTGCACCTCTCTACTCCCTATCTCTCTCTACTCTATACCTACACTCTCCATGTCTAACATTACTATACTTTCTCTATTCTTCCTCTCCCCCTATATACTAAATTCCATCCCAGGGTCCGTGCACACTTCTTGTGATGAAGTTCAAGTGACGCAGAAGATCACCAGACTGGCGATCTCTCAAGGGGGTCAACTGCTCTTTCACATGAGAGATACATGGATATCTCTCTCAACTTGATATCTCACCAGAACTCAGCAGATACGCAGTCGATCCTCCAGAAGATGGCTCTTTCAATACTTTCACCTTCCTGTTTTCTTATAACTTTAGACCTAAGTTAACATATCAATATCATGTTTGTCCCGCTTCCATCGGCTAATCCTGCTGGCCATATCCCGTGGCGCAAAGAGGCAATCTGCGGCTACTTCCCCGCAAAAGAGAGGCAAATCAAAGTGATGAAAAGAAGTAAAAGTAGAAGTAGATATGCCGGTGTAGAGACGAAGAATGCGATCAGCCAACTCCACTTAGGACCCAGGACGGCTGGTAACATCATATAACCAACTGAACCAGACTTTTTCACGCTTTCTTCTTTTCTTTTTTAACTGCACTTTTGATTCTCTGATTCCTCTCCATTCTCCCCCATCATATGATGTCTTACCATTCTTGCTTTTAATCCTCGTGACGTTCGAGTTTCTTTGAATCCTGATCGTCTCTTGGCTTCGATTTAGACTATTCCCACACCCGATTCTGATTTCCTCCCACCATGTCAGTCACCGCCTTCACTTGCATCCCCGACCCTCGCCCCAGTCGCCTGAATCGTATCGGCCAACTGCGAAACTACACGCAAAATCGCAGTTTGAGCAGTCGATTCCCCTGGCGTTCGTCGACCTCTGGGCCCAACTCGCCGAACCCGGTGGAGAACTCGAACGCGAGCTCCACTCCGTGCCCAGATACCGATCACCCAGCCCTCTCACGGTACACATCGGCGCCCTCTGAAAGTTCGGGCTTTGGCGACCTTACCAGTCGCGTCTCCTCTGCCGATTCCGCGGTTTCGACTCAGTCCAACGAAGCCCCTCAGACAACAGCTCATGTCATGGCTCGGCTGAGGAGCGCTTCAGCCGCACAGCACCCGCCACCACGCACACAAGATCGACAAAACTCTGAATCTAGTGCCTCCCCTGAGCCGAATTCCCTGCAAACCGATGGAATCGCGCCAACCAGCGTCCCCGAGGACTCGATTACCTCGCCGAAACCAGACAAGAAGGCGACCATTCGTTTCTTCCCATATCAGGATTCCCACGCGAGTACCAGCACGAGACCGTCACTACCCTTTGTTCCTGTCGCCCGCACCCTGCCGTCTGAAAGCTGTGTGATTCGAGTGGGCCGATACTCGGAACGCGATGGCATTCCCGTCCCTAACCCCACCGAACCCTCGGATGCCCCTGTGGGCTTCAAGTCCAAGGTAGTGAGCCGGAAACACTGCGAGTTCTTGTACGTCAATGGACAGTGGCATATCAAGGATGTGGGGAGCTCGTCGGGCACGTTTTTGAACCATATGCGCCTAAGCCAGCCCAATATGGTCTCCCGTCTGTATTCGATCAAAGACGGAGATATTGTCCAACTGGGTATTGATTTCCGCGGTGGAGAAGAGATGATCTTCCGATGCGTTCGCATTCGCATCGAGTGTAACCGATCGTGGCAACAGCAGCCTAACGAGTTCAAGTAAGATGACTGCCCGGCTGTAGTGTACATGATGCTAACGCAAACTCCAGCAAAAATACAGAAAGCCTGATCAAAAACTTGGGCAAAGGCGAGACAGCCGATTACTCGGGATGTCGGGAATGTTCTATCTGCCTGGGATCTGTTCTGGTTTGTTTTATTTCCTTTTCTCCATCTATTTCGCCACTAACCTTTTCATAGCGCCCCTACCAATGTTTGTTCATGGCAGCCTGCGCACACGTTTGGCATTACAAATGTATCAGCCGACTGCTCCACTCGCCTGACTATCCTATGTTCCAATGCCCCAATTGTCGTGCATTCACCGATCTCAGCGCAGAGGTAGACGACTCCAATGACCTCGAAGACAAGCGTGAGAAGGAACCAGCAGCAGCACACGAGCAACAAGAAGAAGAACCACAACATGGTCCCACCGAGCAGATACCAGAGGCATCGTCGGAAAGCCAAAACATCCCATCAACAAACGACGTGGATCAGCCTGAAGACCAACTGGGAGATGTCACCGAAGAAGAAAACCTACCGAATGACACTGAAGAAGCTAGCCTATCAAATGGCGCCCAAGAAGCTAGCCTATCAAATGGTGCGGGTGGCTTGCTCATCCATCACGACCAACTGGGAAGTTTCATCGAAGAAGATAGCCTAGCCAATGGCCTGGAGCACCTGCTCATTCAAGACTACCTGCGAACTGATACCCGCTCGGACGACGCACAAAGCACCGGCTCACCAGCTCCCGATTCCAGCAACACCGACCTCGCACGCAGCGCCACAATCAGCATACCCGGCTGGCAACCCAGCCAACCCCTCAGCATACCGCCAGGCAGACAAGCTCAGTTGCGGTCAGACACCCCAGGGCGCTCAGAGACATCAGACGATAACCCGCTGACACCGCGCAACGACTCCGGCCCCCTCGCCTTCGACGGAAGAGCGGGAATGCCTTAGTGTCACCTGTCATACATTCACTTCTACTTCTACACCGCACTGTTCTGGAACATGTGGTCTGCTCAGCATCAGTATATACCTATATATTTTGGCATTCTGTGGTTTTTTTGCGTCCATTTATGTTATGCATTTGATGATTTTCTTTTTCCTTTACTTTCTGTTCGTGGTGCTGCTTGGTTCGGCTCCATACATCTACATCCCCCTCACTATTTTGCATTTTTCCTTCCATTTCTCTTCTACGTCCCCCTCTTCTTCCTTTTTCATCAATTGGTATGACCAGCTGGTGCTCTCTTGTCCGTCGACATATGGTTAATAGTTTCCTTGTCTGTCTATACCCATGCAGCAGTTTGGACTGTTGTTTCTGGAGCGTAGGAATTTGATGATTTCATTTTTGGATATTCCATTTACACGTAGGTCGTTCCGAAATGGTAAAGAGAAAGAGACACCATGCATCTAGTTCTTAGTGTGATTTGATGCTCAAAGGCTCACAATAGAGAGCGTAATATTTTGCAACGTTTGTCTTAATCGGGATCACACAAAAGGACGATGTTCCCCTCGAGTTACATGACAGACCAACTTCTATCTAGACACTTTATCCCTGCCCTCGAATATTATAGCATTCTTCTCTGTATTTCCCTCATTGGAATGAGGCTTGAACTCTGGTCGAAGTGATTTTCATTGATGTCAATTCAAAAAATAAAATAAGCATCCGCGCTCAACCCTGGAACCAGACTGAGCTAGTTGAGACTGCAAGAATAAACAAGCACTTTAATTTTGAATTTAGACTAATGTATCCCACGAACAAGTTTCATAAATGCAAAGATGTCCTCTATACAAGCTACCGATATATATTGCACCATGCTACACCACACAAATTTCAGATTCCCGCCTAGCCCTATAATCCAACAATCGTCCAGAAACACTAACCCCGTTCCACAACTCCCTATCTTCTTTACAACTCATCACCGGCATTCCTACCTGCTCCAACGCAAACGATGCAGCAACAGACCCGTAAGAAGCTGCCTCGACTATATCACCCCCGGTATGAATCCATCCAACGGAAAATGCTCCCAGAAAAGCATTCCCAGCCCCAGTCGGATCAACAACGTTAGAAGCCTGCCCTTCTTCCATTCCCGTCTCATAAAACGGAGGAATCCACTTCCGAGCAAGGCCGCGCGATTGAACGAGACAGCCATTTTCACCAGCTCGAATAACCACTACGCCGTTTCCTTCGGGACCGACTCCACTGTCTAAGATTTTCAAAGCCAATCTCTCGATGTCGAATTTATCAGGGGGAATGGGAGAATCCTGGAAAAGGTGCGCCAACTCTATGTGGTTTGGACTGAACACATCCACTAACGCTGCAGCCTCTAGACACGTTTGGAGAGTGTCTGCCTTGCATGCCAGTGGTGCAGGCTCCCAGATTAGTAAAGGTCGTTCTTGGATACCGATTTGTGTTCGAAGAGCGAGGATGTTTGATATGCGTGTTTTCATTTCTTCCGGGGTGGCGAGATAGTGGTATACTTTTGAAGACAGCAGCGCAGTGCTTTGATATTCTTGCATTGTGAGAACTGGTGTGGTATATTTGAATTTCTTGGCTGGAAAATTAGTTAGCTCATTCCATATGTTATGCAGAGGGCTGAAGGAAAAGGGGTTCCTTTCGTACGTCCGAATGTGGTATCTTGATACTCCAGTAACCCTCGAGTCGAGAGTTGATCTAATGCTTGTTTAACAACCAACTGTGTATTCCAGCTCTGCAACAGTTTTGTAATGGGTTCTGGGAAGTCATTTCCAATATTGATCGGCCAGACTATTGAGCGGCTCTGCGGAGAAGGGAGAAATAATCGAGCACCCAGAGTCGCTAGGGAAATGTTAGCAATTTGGCTGTCCTCGAGAAGGTATTGATAGGTAAGTAGGTAAAACAAACCGTAAGCTCCGGACCCTCCTAGTACATTTGTTAAAGGTTTCCGATTAGGAAACCGAATCTCGTCAAGGACCACCAAGCCAAAGCTTGCGAAAGAGATATCGTCATTCATGGGAGAATGTTATCCTTTGGAAGACTACCTATGTCACATAGGATCAAGTTCGTTAAAGTCATATAGTTATCAAGTTGAGTGGTACTCCGTACATGTAAAGAGAAAGAGGCGGGGGAAACGGCGTATTTACCTCAGTGGCTCGGGTCCGCTGGGCGAATCAAATCGCTTAGATGGCATGCGCTTCAATAAGCTTCATTTGGAATTTAACAATGCTTATAAGCTTGGTGCTAGTTCGACAGATCTGAAACAGCGTGGCAGCTTCACTGTTCAGACTAAGGCTTAAAGGTGAAGTTGGGTGGCTTTATTTTCATGTTTAGTTATAGCTTTGTTGACTGTTAAACGTTTATAAATAACAAGGCAACGTTGCAGTAGAACAAAACTTGAATTAGAAAGTAGCTTTAGTAGTAAGAGAAATGTCTATCTCTATGTGTATCTCTATAATCAGACCACTTCATACGCATATTAACATGCAATGTCTCGTCATGGCGCAAGCTGCAGCAGACCGCCAGGGCGCCCAGACCGGCAAGATCGCCGATATCCCCACTCTTCAAAAGATTCAACTTTCTCTGTTCATGTCAACCAGCTCTGAATCATCTGAATCATGTTTATCTCAGTGCTCTGATCAACTTTCACGACAAGAAAGGGGCTGACACGAGATAGGGGCTTGAAGCGCCACATCAACAAATAGGGTCATCCCTCTTATCAAAGGCTGCACCCTCAGATCAGCCTGGTTTCAATCGAAATATCCATACAAGATGAGGCTGAATTTCAGCGAGCCACCAACTCCGACCTTGAGTCGTCAAAACACCACCGTTTTCGGCCATCATCAACGGCGCGGCACCCATCCTCACCGACTGTCCTCGCGCGCAAAGCCAAGACGGTGCGATAACTGATCTTCATTATTCTACCGTTTAGTCGCGCTCCTAACATTTAGCAGATGGCCACTAGTATTCAGATTCATCAAAGGAGCAATCCACGGGGCAATCCTACTCCCCGTCTTCTTACATGCAGTATTCACTGCCTTGATCGTGTATCTAGACACCTATGTCTTCGACACAGTTGGTCTACCGAGCACGATCGTAAGTCCAACCCAAAAGCCAAATCCATTCAAACAGAAATCACTAAAACAAACCTCCAGATTCCCTCCCTGTCAATAGTAGTAGGCCTAATGCTCGTCTTCCGCAACCAAACATCCTACAACCGCTTCTGGGACGGACGCAACGGAATGAACGCACTAAACACCTGTGTCCGCAATCTAGTCCGTACAATCGCAACAAATAGCTACAACTCCAAGCGCGGGCCCCCAACCGCACCAGAGCGCGAAGACATCGAGCGTACAATCCGCATCCTCATGGCCATCCCCTACGCCGTGAAAAACCACCTCCGCGCGGAATGGGGAGCCGCGTGGGTGTTTGGTAGTTCCATTGCCGATGATTTGAACCATCGTGGTGGGACCTTGTATAACCCCGAATACGCGAACCTGTTACCGGCTGGGTTGGAAGGCCATGAGGATGAGGGCTTGGGTCTTCCGTTTCAGTTGACTTTCTTCATTGACGGTTTTATTAAGCGTGGCGAGGAGCGTGGCTGGTTTCCAGCTCCTGGGGCTAGTCAGATGCAGGCGCAGTTGAATACTTTGACTGATGCTTATGGACGCATGGAGACTATTAAGTTGACTCCAATGCCGGTGGCTCATCTGTGGGTGTCACTTTTTGTAGATTTTTGGCTGAGTGGGATGTGCTAATGTGTTGACTTTTTATTCAGGATTCATCAGAAGCAAGTGCTTGCGCTATTTGGTTGTGTTTTGCCATTTGCTATGGTTGACGAGATGGGATGGTGGGCAATTCCCATTGTCAGTCTGGTTATTTTCACGCTTTATGGCATCGAGGGGATTGGTTCTCAGTTGGAGGATCCCTTTGGCTATGACCGGAACGATATCAAGATGGACGCCCTTGCTGGTGACTCTAAGACTGAAATTGATGTTGTTTTGTCCGAGTGGCGGACTCATTCGAAAGCTATGGATGCTTTGAGACATCAGCCTGCTGGTGCTTATCATGGTGATCTGTGTTTGACGCCTAATCGAAATGATGGTACCAATGGGGATGGAGATGACAAGTATATGCCACCAGACTTGTTTTTGAGGTTGAGGCCTAGTACTGGAAGGTGACGCTTATGCTTTTGGTTGAGGAAGAGGAAGATGTGCTTTTGTTTCAAGACATGCTCTCATAAATAGAAACATAGTATTTTCCTATCTGTATCGAAACATATCTATGATCGGAGAACATTATCATTATAAGCAAGCGTTTCCCCAGTACTTGCCAGTCATACAGTAATGACTATGTATATCCGAACTTCTGTTCATGCAGGGCGATGTTGGAACATTGCGGATATACGGACCCAGCTGTTAAGTGGTCTACCGGGATTGCGCCATCCACCAGATGTATACTTCCGACGCATGCCATTTCACTTACATCTTTGAACTCTATAAGTGAGATAAATAAGGGAAGCATGCGCAATTGAGCTCCCGAGACATCACCATGGCATCCGCGCACGAAACCCCATAAATCATCACAGTCATCGGAGCAACTGGAAACCAAGGCGGTGGTGTCGTCCAGGCACTTCTCAAGATAACCACCCCATCATTTAAAGTCCGCGCTATAACTAGAGATGTGACGTCTAATAGTGCCGAGCAACTCAAAGCAAAATTCCCAAACAACCACCGCTTGAAACTCGTGGAAGCCAATATCTACGACAGAGAATCCTTGCTCAAAGCATTCAATAATTCTTATGGCGTGTTCGCCGCAGTGAATGATCGACTTCCCGGACAGAAGATCGAGACTGAGCAAGATATGGACCACGAACTTGAGGCTGGTCGTAATATTCTGGATGCTGCTAAGGTATGCATAACCCCCACCTAGAACAGGTTAACAAGATCAATCTGACTTTCACTTCAAGGCTTGCAATGTGCAACATTTTGTGATGAGTAGCTTGCCCAATCTGACAGAGGCTAGTAAGGGTCAGTTCAGCAAGGTCTTTCACTTTGACAATAAGTCGAAGATTGAGGATTGGGCGAGACGCGAGCTTCCGGCTGTGACTTCGTTGCATCCTGGTATGTGATAGAAAAGGCTAAAAACGCTGGAGCGAAGTATGGCTTACTAGTGCCCATTCAGGACTGTTTTATACCAATATGCAATGGCCGCAATATTGTCGACAGGAAGGTAAGAGCCACGATCCACGTACGGAAACCAAACATCATCGAGTCTGACTACAACACAGAAAATGGAATTGTGCGGTTCTTTGCCCCCGTAGAAGGACACAAACTCGCCGATTGGGTTGACCCAAGATATGACATTGGGGTATATGCCGCAAGTAAGACCAACCGAACACAACAAAGCGACATGGATATAAGCTAACAAACTAGAAATCTTTTCCCTCGGCCCGGAGAAGACACTATCAAAGACATACCCGGTCGTCGGTCCAAAGCTGACATTTGCAGAGTTTGCAAAGATCTTCACAGAAAGGACTGGACGGGAGGCTGTCTTTGATCCTATTACACTTGACCAGTGGGGTGCGACTGTGGCTTCTACCGTGGGCAAAGGGTATGAGGAGGATATTAGACAGATGATGCAGTGGATTTCTGTTGCTCCAGACGAGAAGGTTTGTTATGGGACTATGAATTTTAGGGATGATAAGTCCTGGGAAGATCTTGGGGTTAGGGCTAGTACGTGCGGAGTGGATGGAGCGGGCTTCGTGGACTGGGCCTTGACCTGTAATCATTCTGGAACGATAGCTTGCTTTGTGACAGAATTTGAACGAGTTGTATTGGGTATCCATTGCAAAATTAAGGTAGCGGGGTTCCAATCCTCATAGCGGTGGCTCCAGAGCCAGAACACCATCTAGGATTGTATCCGGTGTAACATCAGCGAGAACTTGGGACACTGCATGTATATTACTTCCGTACTGTAGACTGCGGTCTTCGCCTGGGGCTGTGACGATGATGCGATGGCGGAAGACCTTCCTTGCAGCCAAGGCCACGATTGAAGGGGTTAGATAATCGATTCCATGTAGAGGTGCTAGAAGTCTGGGTTAAAGAGTCAACAGGGGGAGATTCTTCGGTTGGAAGGATGCGTTGAGTGACCACACTCACTGTGCAAATCGGGAAAATTGGATGTTGGCTTTGGCAGATACACCACCGGCAACAGCGCGACTGAGCCGCAAGAAGACAACTATGTCTTGGATGTATCGAACAACTTCAGCACTTGTAGATACTGTCGTGCTTGCTTCTTGGAGTTGTTCTATCACCTGCATTTGATGTGTCCATGGTCAGTTGATGGCATTTTCTTCTTGGAACAAGAAGCGAGAATGGCTTACCCTTTGGGTGATAGCTGGTCCCTTTTTCTGGTGACGCTTTGAATTATGAATAACAGATGAGGCAGAGAGTTGCCCATCGGAAAGCCAATCGTTTTCTTCGAGATAAGTGTAGCCGGATTCCGGGCTATGAAAGTGGGAGATGAAGAGGTTGTCGTTCTATCGTGACATCAGCCAGAGGATAATGAAGATATACTGTTTTAGGCATTCCACTCACCAGGTGAAACTTCAAAGGTGGTTGAAGTTGATCAGAGTCTCGAGATACAAGAGGGATAAACAGGAATGTGTCGGGTACATTAAGGGTGCCATTCTCGACGACCAATTCCCTTGATCGCATCAACTATACCACTTGTTAGTATGCATATAGTGAGACAGAGTCCAAGTTCCCTACCTGTAGGAGATGTGCTTGAATATCATCGTTGACGAAGTTGAAGTTTTTGGCGATCACAATATTTACGACATTACTACTAGCAAGGTGAGCAATAGGGACTGGTCCCTTCTTGGGGTCATCAAAGCTCTTATATGATGAACGTTTGCTTGACTGATTTTGTCAGTGCTGGATACAAACATCTTGACAGATGTCAGGTCGACATACTGGTTCAGTGCTCAGCCATGGACGCGGTGGGCGGTGATGTGTTCGCGCATCAGGAGTGAGAACATCATTGGCAACGTCGTCAATAGACGTCGCCGAGGAGCAGTCGATAATGCAATATGAATAATTGAAGGTGGTTGTGGCAATCTAAATGTACTTAGCTAGAGCCTATTACACTGTAGACATTCACTACCTACCAAGGCAAGTTCTTTGGCGAGGTCGTGAATACAAAGACTGGTGGTCTCGATCAGGCAGTGTTCACGGGCAACAAGACACAGAAGGAGTGCCACTTCCAAATCGGATAACTGACGAGCAATTTCATCAAGACCCAGATCATCCATGCTTCAACAGGATAAATGAAGACGAAAGAGCCTTGGAAACGACGGGTAGGCATTTGCGGGATATCAGCGCCTGACAAACAAGGCGGAGTGCCTTCCCGAATTGGGTTAGCGCCTGATAGCTTCCCCGAATGCCCGCCCGCTCGAGCATCAACAGCTCAACACCGGGGATAGAGAGGTATCAAGCTTGTCATCTGTGGCGAATCCTTCAATATGGCGCCTTCCAATCCTCTCGCAAACTGGGAGAAGATTGGAGACAGCTTCTATCGCAAGATCGCCGTCTATGACGCTATCTTTGAGGAAGACGTGGAATTGGAGAACTACATCGCCGCAGGCGCCCCTTACGGCGGAGCTATTGGTAAGAGTGCAATATTTGAATTCGGAGTTCGAGCTAACTCAGGGTCTGTTAGCGATCTATCGTGATGAAAGCAAGCCATTTAGGCTGCGCGATTCTCAGTCTTCGCGATCAACGATCGATATTTATTCCTCCTCTGGACAGCAGATCAGTCGCATTAATGTTTGTTAATATTCCTTTGATCTTTACGCGCTTGAGCTAATTCACCTGTAGTGGGAGCAAGCTACTATCCGCGGATTAGGCTGGTCCGACAAGGAAGAGCTCCTGGTTGTCTCCGAGGATGGCACCGTACGCCGTTACTTTGGCCTGGACGGAGAATTTACCTCCTTCTCGCTTGGAAATGTGAGTTTAGAATGTTAGCATTCAAGCATGGAAAAACTAACCATGCGAAGGGCACCGAAGAATATGGCGTGAGAGCCTGCCAGTTTTGGGCATCTGGCCTCGTGGCATTACTGTCCAACAACCAGCTGATCGCTGTGTCCAAATATGAAGAACCACGTCCGCGGCTCTTGGCACCTTGCCCAGAAGGCGAGGTATCATCTTGGGCCTTGATTCCACCCGCACAAACTCTATCTCGTTCCGTCGAGGTCCTCCTGGCTGTCGACAAGACGGTCTACTCTGTTGACTCAACAGAAGCAGAAGACAAGATCCTGCAAGACGGTCCTTTCAAACACATCAGCGTGTCTCCCACTGGACGATTCGTCGCACTCTTCACTGCTGAAGGGAAGTTATGGGTAGTTAGCAATGACTTCCAAAATAAGTTCAGCGAATATGACTCGAAGTCTCGCGTACCTCCAAGCACGGTGAACTGGTGTGGTGATGACGCAGTGATTCTTGCCTGGGAAGATGAAATCCATCTGGTCGGGCCAAACGGGGCCGCATCGAAGTGAGTATTTCGTTTAGCTCGATACTGCTGCATAATCTAATTATATCAGATACTACTATGACGGTCGTGTCCATGTTATACCGGAGTTTGATGGAGTTCGTCTTATCACGAATGATACATGCGAGTTCCTTCACAAGGTTGCTGGTAAGTCACCAATGCCGGAAGCAATCAGACTCCCGCTGACAATTTCCAGGTGTCACCGAAGAGATATTCCGCCTGGGTTCATCTTCACCTGCTTCAGTACTGCTGGATTCGGTAGATCAGCTGGAGAAGAAATCACCCAAAGCCGACGAGAACATTCAAAGAATCCGATCAAGTCTACCATCTGCGGTGGATACCTGTATCAAAGCAGCGGGTCATGAATTCGACTCTTACTGGCAGAAGCGCCTACTCAAAGCTGCCTCATTTGGCAAATCGGTGCTCGAACTCTACAACAGCGACGAGTTCGTAGAAATGACGGAAAAGCTACGAGTATTGAAAGCACTGAGAGATTACAAGATTGGGTTACCTTTGTCTTACGAGCAATACCTGCGTCTTTCACCAGAGGGCCTCATAGAACGACTAATCAACCGACACGAGTACTTGCTTGCAATTCGGATCTCTGAATACCTGCAGATCCCAGCTGACAAGATTTATGTCCATTGGGCAAGTCAAAAAGTTAAGGTCTCGACAGTTGATGATGAGGCTGTCTGCAAGCTCATTGTCCAAAGGCTCGACAGTAAGCCAGGAATCTCTTTCGAGGCTATCGCCCAGGCTGCTTACGACGAGGGTCGATCGCACCTAGCCACCCAGTTGTTGAACCATGAACCACGGGGCGGCAAGCAAGTTCCATTGCTTCTTAACATGGAAGAAGATGAACTAGCTCTTGATAAGGCTATTGAGAGTGGCGATGATGACCTAGTCAACTTCGTGCTTCTGCATCTCAAGAGCAAGCTTCCTCTGGCGAGCTTCTTCCGCATGATTAACACCCGCCCTATGGCCTCCGCACTGGTAGAGACAGCTGCACGAGGTGAAGATGTGGAGTTACTCAAAGATCTTTTCTACCAAGATGACCGACCCATTGACGGTGCTAATGTCCTATTGACGGAAGCCTTGCGGGATACAAATTTGACGCATCAGACCGAGAAGCTTCACCTGGCATCTCGCCTTCTATCGGATTCCAAGGAGCCAACTGTAGTACTACACCAGAAATTGGTCTCTGAAGCCTCCCAGCTTCTGAAAACCCAGGACGCACTGGATAAAGACCTGGCAGATCACAGTGAGTTCCTTGGTCTTAGTCTCAACGAGACAGTCTACAGACTCGTTCGAGGTGGTTACGGTAAAAGAGCACAGAAGATCCAGAGTGAATTCAAAATGCCCGAAAAAACATTTTGGTGGTTAAGATTGAGGGCTTTGGTAGCCAAACGTGACTGGGGTGAACTGGAAGAAATCGCTAAGATCAAGAAGTCCCCAATTGGGTGGGAGGTAAGAAAATCGAAATCCCACTACCTAGACAAATGCTTACAAGACAGCCCTTCTATAACGAGATTCTGGGTGCCGGAAACACAAAACTTGCTTCGGTCTTCGTCCCGAAGTGCAGCCACCTACCGTCCGCTGAGCGAATCGAGATGTGGATGAAATGCGGAATGATTGTGAAGGCCGGCGAAGAGGCCCAAAAGAGCAAGGACCTCAATACCTTGGAACTCCTTCGAACGAAAGCCTCTGGTCCTGCAGCCACCGAGATCGAGCGCATGATCAACCAACTTAGACCGAGGAAATGAGCGCAGAGAATCTCCAACTTGCTTTTGGTACCGCCCAGGCCTCTGACAATGTTCAGGTGATCTCGTCAAAGTCGTCTGTGGCGGGTCCGGAGGCTTCATCTGACATCTGGAAGACATTTGTGCTTGCGACAGCCTTCGCAGGCGGTTCGGTATCTTCGGCCATAGCTTCGTCGCCATCTTCAGCCTCGTCTTCGTCTTCGTTCTCCTGTTGTTGGAGAGCGGTGAACAACGTGGAATTGCGGTTGGTATCCTCCCAATCAGCCTAACGAGGTATTGTGAGCAACAGTAGGCAAGAACGAGACAATGTAATACATACCCTTCTATTATTGACGATCTTACCACGTGCCAGACTCTTAGCCTTCTTAATCTCCATTTGGTCCAGAACTGCCTCTGCACGGTCCATGCCCTTTTGTTGCCTTAACCGCTGAGCCCTCGAAAGCTTCTTGTCATTCTTGTTCTTCTTCTGAATGCCAGAATTGCGACGATCGGTCAGAACAGAGGGCCGCTGAGCGGCAGGGGATTCCGCACGAGGCAGCGAGGTCACAGACTTATCCAAGTCGAGACTTGGCGAAGCTGCACGGCGTGCGGCACGCGAACGTGTTGACTGTTCTGTAAAAAGGTGTTAGACAACTTTAAATCCAATAAATCGACTCAACAACTTACGTCTGCTCTTCGCCATGGTTGTTTTGGAAAATTATCTGTTGCGTGGGGAGCCCGCTATCGATAAAAAAAAGTTTACGGCAGACCATAACGACCAGCCGCGCAGTTTGGTATACCATGTTGCTTTTCACGCACGCGATGTCCGTTCTGAGTATCTCCCACTCATGCTCACCCAGCTTTTTACTGGCGGTGGCAGAACATCTTGTTTAAACAACAATGCACCCTCGCCACGAGCATTCTACTATCTTTCCAAACCGCCCCGTTCATTACGCAAGCCAAATCAGCCACTATGAGACCGCTCTCGCAGCGCTGCAAAACACCCAAGCGCTAGGAACCGGTCTGATCGCTCTGGCTTCTTTTTATTTACTTCTCGATTACTTCGGATTCGCTCCCATATCAGTTCTCCATCTTGCCTGGAAGGGCCTGGTTTACCTCACTCCGTCCCGGCTCGTTGTCGCATTGGACCCTCGCATGTCCGACCCTGAATCGCCGACTCCCACGGGCTCTCCCCCATCGCCATTTGAGCAGAAGGACGCCGCAATGCAACGAATATTTGGCATAGATACCTCCCATCTCGCCTTCTCTTTTCGCCGCCGCTCCCTCTCCGGCCTCGGAAACGCCTTGCTCGGAAATACAAAGGAAGCCAAGCCCCCGGGTCTTGGGAACTGGGACAACTCATGCTATCAGAACAGTATAATCCAGGGTTTGGCCTCGCTGGAGTCCCTTGCGGCGTTTCTCGCGCACAATGTCAACCACCACTCGGACAAGACTTATCTTTCGAAGCATGAAGCGCTGAGTGATATCATCGCATGTCTGAACAATCCTTCGAACAATGGAACGAAGCTGTGGATCCCGGCTGATCTCAAGTCCATGAGCAGTTGGCAACAACAGGATGCACAAGAGTACTTTTCCAAGCTGGTGGACCAAATCGACCTTGAGATTCGGCTCGCTTCACATGGAGAGACATCGAATATGGGATTGAAAATGGCAGGCCGGGAGGAAAATATCGTGCGTGACAACGTTTCCGACATGTCTACTTCTGAGGGATGCGACTCTTCAACCCGGACCAGTGGTAAGGCGTCAAGTCGCAATCCTCTCGAAGGACTACTCGCTCAACGGGTTGGGTGCATGGAATGTGGATGGACGGAAGGGCTTTCTTTAATTCCGTTCAATTGCCTCACAGTCCCTCTTGGGGCAAAGTTTGAATATGACCTAGTGGACTGTCTGGACCAATACATGACGCTTGAGCCCATCGATGGTGTGGAATGCGCCAAGTGCACATTACTGCAGTACCATCAGAAACTTTCCGAAATGTTTGCTGGGATTGAACGGGACGAGAGACAATTGCCTGGCGCAGAGAAGTCTCAATTTACCGATGCATTAAAAGCCGATACACTGTCGCGCCTTCAAGCCGTCAAAGCAGCGTTGGAGGGCAACGATATCAGCGATATCACATTGAAGGATTGCCGCATCCCTGCGAAGAACCGTGTTTCAACTACCAAATCACGACAGGCGGTCATTGCCCGATCCCCTCAATGCCTTGCTGTCCACATCAACCGCAGTCTCTTCGATGAAACGAATGGGATGTTGACAAAGAACCACGCTGCAGTCAGATTTCCACAAATGATCGACTTGAATGGCTGGTGTCTTGGCACCCAAGCTCCTAGCCAGTCTGATGAGGCCCCCGAGCAATGGGAGACCAACCCTTCCAAGTCGATGCTTCCACAACACGGCGAGGCTGTTCAAGTTCCCAGCCGACGGTACACACTCCGAGCTATTGTCACACACCACGGCCGTCATGAAAACGGCCACTACATCTGTTACCGGAAGTATTCGACGTTAGATTTCCCAGCTCCCGTTCCAGACCACGTTCTTCAAGCCGAAGGCGATGAGGAAAAGTCCGAGCGTTGGTACCAGCTCAGCGACGGTGACGTGACGATGGTTAGTGAAGGCCATGTTATGTCCCAAGGCGGTGCCTTCATGCTATTCTACGAAGCCATGGATGATTCTCTCCAAGTCCAACCTTCTCAGACTCCCACCACAGAAAATGTCCAGTGCGAGACCGCTGAATCCGTTCAATTCGAGAATGCTGAATCAATCTCAAACTACACCATGTCCGAAGATCATTCCGCCCCATCCACCGTCACCGACTTTGGATCCTGCACTTCTCGCGCTACGAGCGTCTCACTTCCAACGGAGGATTTGACGTCTGTTGACCTGCCCCTAAAGCCTTCAGGCGATCATAGCCCGACAGAAGAACTTGATTCACCTTCGATGATCACTGCATGATGCCTCTGTCCTGTTGTATTCCAATCTCTTGTTTTTCTGCTTTACCAGCATAGTCGTGCCATATAGCCGACCACTGCATCATGATACCCGATAGCAATTTCCATTTGCGGCGTTGATCTTCACACTCCACTGTGTTTGGGAGTATTTTGTATGAGTGTATGTACTTTTATGGGTCCTCCGTCTTTCGAGAAGGGAATTGATTTGACCATTTTGTTTCTACTTATCTCATCCATACTAAATTTGCGTACTGCTAGAGTCATGGCCTTCAGATCAATGGTTCCTTAGAGACACATTTTCGTATTTACTCGTACCTGCTTGAATATCATTGGAAGTCGCATTTTTGACGTTCCGGATGGGCATCGTCATGCTGTCACTAACATCAAGCTGCGAGGCGACTTACTCTGCGACATAAGACACACTCCAATTTCTGGCATTTGGAGATCATTTCCCCCCGCATATAGACATGGTACCTTGTTGAAACTGACCCAGGCGCATCATGGCCGGAAAGCACCTAACCAAGTACCTTGTGGCCAGCCACCGTAGCATAAGACTGCTCGGAGGTACTCTTTCTCAAAGGTTGAATTAAATGCTTTGTTCACCTTTCAGAGTTCTTGTCTGATCAATTCTTCTACAAAATCTGTGTCATTATCTGTTTAGTTGTGCTTTTTTTTCATCTGGCTGTGCTACACACGAGTCTATATAGATCTACTCAAGGTCCAGCCCCAGGGTCCTCACCTACTATCTGATCAACATATAGTATGACCCCATCACCACAAGATTTAAAACGATTGGACTTCCTGTTCTAATCCTAGAAGCAGTTGATTTTTCATACTCTGTATCATATCCGACGATGTCTATCACTAGTCCTTCACGACACCAACCTCACGACATCTTCTTCATCAATGAACTCCTAGAAACCATTCTTCTACATACAGACATGCGAACACTTCTAACATCCGGCCAACGCGTATGTCGGACATGGAAGAACATGATTGATACATCAGTTAGAGTCCAAGAGAATCTCTTCTTCAAACCGTCCTCCAAAGCCACAGGAAGCACCCAACGCCAACGGAATCCTCTCCTAGAAGAAATCCTCTGGGCCCAATTCTTCCTCAAGCAACAAGAAAACTCAGAATTAAAGGCAGTCGAAGTAAGCAGATTTCCAATGCGCGGTAGCGATCGCCAGAAAGCAAAAGCGTACCTACGAAAAGACGCCAGCTGGAAACAAATGCTACTTCAACAACCGCCAACCTCATCAGTTGGAGTTCTGGAGATCATCAGACGATCAGACTCGGAATTCACCAAATTGAATATCAACCCTGACAACAACTTCCTCCGAATGGGTCATATTTTGGCTCTCCTCCAAGGACGCAGTACTCTAGTTCCAACGCGCAACAAATGGATACTATGGAGCGGACGGTCTCGAATCCGGATGCCTCTTAACTTCGAGATCTGGGCGCCGAAATGGGTCTATGAGCCTAGTACACTGCAACCAATCCAAGAATGGATCCCGGATAATATCGACTGGGACAGTCTCCGGTTGGAGGTTGCATCGATGTATTTGAATGACTTTGATTGTGATTTGGTGATTGTATCGGAGAGGAGACAGAAACTTTTCCAGGGGGAGGATCGAGTGCACAAGGAGAGCAAACTGGATCGTTGGCTTGAACGAGTATTTGGGGAGTGTACTATTGATATAGGAAGGAAGAGGGTTAATCACTCTTTTATTCCTATTCATGGTGTTGGAGTTGATCGGAGGTGGGTTCTTAGACCTTGTTCTGCTATGCCTCTTGTTCCGACGTGCAGTGCTTCTTGTTCGGATTCAGCCTCCTCGCGTTCGTCGTTTTCGTCGTCCTTTTAGGTACTGGATACAGTGGGCTTAATAATAGTGCGTCTCCTGCTTAATATGAGCGGGCTATCACATCTAGATTTATACGTATAGGTCGTACCCCACCGAAATTCGAATTGTTGATAGCACACTATTAAGCCGTCAGCCTAAAACACATTTAACAAAATAGCTATCCGGCATATACAAATGTAAACCATCGAATATCCTGCAGTGTACTTCACATACATCAAGTCCATCTGATACGGGGCTAGCCGCATCCGCCACTTCCCCACTTCAAAAAATAATCACCCTTCTGCCTCTCTCCTGTTCTCTACTTCCTACATTACATTGACAACATATTTCAAAATGGGCGTCGAGAGAAAGATCATCACCCGCGGCAACGGTTCCGATTCGCCTGCAGCAGGCGACAAGGTCTCAATCCACTACACGGGCTGGCTCTACGATGCTAAGAAGTCCAACAAGGGCTTCCAGGGCAAGCAGTAAGCTGACCATCACGCGCCACATCTACTGGAATTGCTGTATGCGTATTTGGTATACTAATCCATGTTTGCAGGTTTGATAGCTCCCGATCCCCTGGTCGTGGCGCTTTGAATGTTCAGATTGGTGTTGGACAGGTCATTAAGGGTATTTTTTCCCTTTCTTTCTTACTTTTTTTTTGTTCCGACAAGATTATATTTGGAATCGCTTCTGGGCTTGCTACCCTTGTATTCAGAATTGGATTGCTGATTTGTAAATCTGCAGGCTGGGATGAGGGTGTTATGCAAATGACTCTGGGCGAGAAATCCACTCTGACTATTTCCCCGTGAGTGCAGGCTTTATTGAATGGCAAACTGGGCAATTACTGACATTCTTCTCAGTGACTACGGCTACGGTGACAAGTATGTGAACGCATGATATCCGGCGATTAGTTCTATCTGCCGAGATATCCGTCCAGTGAAGTGCTAACATTCTTTTTGCTACGCAGGGCGGCTGGGAAGATTCCTGCTGGCTCTACTCTGATCTTGTAGGTTTGATTACTTGCATCATTCGCTTCCAAGGTGCTAACTATATTACAGCGAAGTTGAGCTCCTCAAGATCAACAACAAGAGCGCCTAAATGCGCTTTGGATTCATTAGAAAAAGGAATTATTTTCATTTACCACACTTACTGCTGCCTCAATTTCTTCCAAGTTGGTTGTACACAATTGTCATTTAGGCTAATGATCGTTTTACAGTAGGGGGTATCTTGAATACTTCGACCAATAGAAAGAGTACTGCCAGCAGATATCCTCCCTCCAATTGACACTCGAAACTGAACCAAAACAGGCCAAAGGGAGATCCTTACTCTAGCTCCAAGTGCCATTCGCAGGTCCAAAGTATCCCACCTCCGGCATAGCCATGTAAGCCACGCCCTCGCCGTCAGCAGTATTGAGATACACCGTATTTCCCCACCACGATGGGAATGTAGCACCAGGGTATGAAATGCAGAAGAAGATGACTATACCGCTCAGAGCAAGGCCGGTGTCAAGAGCCGCGGCCAAGACATAGTTATACTTCGTCCACCAGGCAAAGTATCGACGACGGAAGACATGGTTGAACACGAAGTTGACAAGCGCCCAACTGGAGTAGTTAATGCCGGTTGCTAAAGCAAAGATTTAAGTTAGCAGTGATGCAAAAGACAAGAACCAAAGTCACATACCCGGAGGAACATTCCAAGTGCCCACAAAGATCAACGGCCAATTAATCCACTTCCAAAACTCGCGACGCGTATACTTATACAACGCCCAAGTGACAATCGGCGCAATAGCGCCAATCCAAAAGAAATGCAACAAAGAAGAATAAATCCTCCCAGCAGAATACAACCTCCGAGGGCCAACAAGACCCCAAATAACGGACGAAGAATAAACAGTGCGACCATTAGGACACGAAAACCCATCCGACTGCCCAGACTCACAAATATCCGCAATATTAGAAAGCATCCAAAGCGTAACCCCAGTCTGAGTAAGAGCCCCGAGAATAGTAGCAACACCCTGCGCAACAAAACAAGTCCTAGGCGGGACTTTCATATAATGCGCCAACTTCATATCCATAGCAAAATAAACACCCTGACCAACGACGTCCGTCGAAAGAATCTTGAAAATCATATTCGCGAGCGGACGGCCTTCGAATAGGTATCCACCAATGAACTCGGATAAGACGTTCAACTGGTTTGCGTCGACGTTCGTTATGCCTTGCACGATGCCGCAGGGGACCATGTACACTGCCGGGATTATGAGTGCGAGGAATACGCCGTAGACGGGGAGTTTGGTATGGTAGACTTCAACGATGGCGATGGCAATGGCTGTTATCACTACTATGATACCCGCATACCAATACCACGGTGTTTGTCGGTATGAGGCTCGGACTAGACGCGCGTGGACGTCTAATCTGTTCCGGCCTTTCAATGCAGCCCAGAGGTCTTTCGCATGCCAGAAACCAATGTGCGTGAGAACCGATGTAATTGCGGCGAAAGATAGACCGTACACGAAGGCAAAGGTTGCGCCTAGGAATGGAGGGGAGTATCTGCGGTATGCATCGACATTGAGGGTATTATCGGCTGCAATTACTCGCGCCGTGTCGTATACTGCGCCCGTATTGTCGTATACATCACTCGTCATGAGCGGGAGGTATGCCGTGAACCAGACATTCGTGTAGTAAAGCGCCGGCACGACAATCCAGTAGAAGAAAGCGAATCCGAAAAAGACGTTCAACGCCGCCCATGATGGTGACAGAAGTGGGTTTGTATTGTAAGCGATTTGACTCCAGTCGAAGGTAATCGGACTCAATCCGAGACCGGTTTGCATACCGAAGAGCTGGTTGACTATCACGTTCTTGGGTGCGATCCAGCATACCCAGGTGAAGTAGCTGAGGGCTGTGAACATTAATCCTGGGAAGAAATACCAGACGAAGCCGCCGGCTGTGACATATAGGAAGAAGCGGAGTCGGGTGATTCGCCATCCATCTGCTATATGATTTGCGCGCGAGTGCAGAGTCTCTAGCATTGCGCAGTTGGATAGCACGCCGGGCCAGATTATGCTTGCTGGCTCTACAAGCCATGGTGCTGCGAGACCTGCAACACCAAAGCCGAGGAGTTGAGCGCAGAGGACGATCAAGACGTCGAAGCCGGCTTTCAACCCGAAGTTGTAGAATGATTTGCTTGAGGCTTGGATGATGTTTGTTGCGTCTGCGCTGCCGTATCCGAAGGAGACATTGCTCATGATCACGATCACTGTGTGTTCTTTGATGTTGAATGAGCGATCCGGGTTTAGAGTAAATGCGCCTAATGGGCCGAGTTTTATTGGGGTTGTTGGGAGGGTCTTTGCTAGAAAGACGCCGCATGGATAGGCTAACAGCTCCGCCACTAGGGATACGATGTGCACGCTGGGATAGCGCAGTGAGAAAAATTGGTTGATTCCAGAGCCAAGGATTGTGAAGATTATTCCCAGCAGCCACATCCGGACTGTGTTGACTGGTAGACCTGGGTCGTCTGTTTCGGGGACAACAGCCCTGACTTTGGGTTTGTTAGTAGGGCTGAGATATATAGATCGATAGTCTTAGAGTTTCAAGACCTACCCTCGGGGAATGGCGATCGATTTGATTCATAGTCAAACTCGACATTCTCATTCTCATTCTCATCCTCCTCCTCGCTCTTGGTAGTATCAATTTCAGCCTTGACAATTTGGCCTTTATCTATTTCTTCCTCATCAATGATCGCGGGTTTGATCTCGGGGGCCGGGGATTTGGAGGCCATGCTTTTTCTTCGCGCGCAATCCGTGAGAATATTCTAAAATGGATTCTAGCAGAATACATGGGTCTTTATTGCTACTCAGTGTTTCTTCTAGCGCGGGGAAACTGATAAGGCGACGCGTTAGTGCTCGGAAACGAAGAGCTATTGAGCTTAGTTCAAGATAAGCGTCTTATACCCCGCTCCTGTCTCTTCACACTGTTGTCGCATTTATGAACATGTTTACTGTAAGGAATATATCATGAAGAGGTGTCCTGCAAGCTGCTTCCACATTAAGGTTGCAACTTTAGAGGTTGTAGGGCTGCTGAGTGGCGGTCACGGAGACCAAATATACATCGCACCACAAACAAAAAACAACTGTTATCAGCACGAAGAAACTTGCTACACACTAATGGCTTTTCCGACAGAAAGATAGCGGCAAAGATAGAAAGACTGATCTAGACCAGGGACAAACTTGATAATGGACACCGACAGTTAAGCCATCTCATATCGCAAACATCCAAGCGCAAGCCAATCCTGCTTTAGACGAAATACGAAGGAATCACAATTCACCGCCAGTTGCCATTTATCCGACCGCATATCGGGGATGCAAATCAATCACTCCGCTTGCACCCATGTCACTAGCTAGCAGGGTTATCGCATGACTATTATAACTGTTCGGACATTTTTCTCCAGTCAGATATAAGATTTTCCCTGCCAATGCATCCAGGATGTTGCTTTTTAAGTAGAACATGACAGTTTTAACAAGGTAGACGCGCAGAGCGCGGATGTTTCGAATGCGACCGAAGGGTCCTAAGGCCGGTGTTTAGATGTATAACTTAGACTACGGAAGCGTATATGTACACACTCTATTCACCAACTAAAGAGAACAAATATATCACCAGCTAGGCTCAACTAGGCAACCCAAAAAATCACCGCGAAGACGCATCGTCCGCTTCATTGCCAACGGGGACCGGCCTACTACATCCACATGCCGGGTTCACACATGTAGAGACGGTGAAGAAGCATTCTCGAACAAGTTGTAAAGATTGTGATTGTTATTTGGCATTTGCGATGGGACCCTACATGTAGCTTACTCGACAGCGTCGAAAGTTCATTCACTGTACAGTAGCACCCATCCAAACATAACTGCATATTTCCCGATCGCAAATATGGTAAACGCAAATACCCTCGGAAGTAAGCTCCCACCAAACAACAGAACCACCAGAGTCAGCAGAGGTAATGAATACAACCCAACACAACCCAATAAGCAACCCCGATCGAGCCCTTCACAAGACATGAGTCAAGCGGCTTACGACAGTGTCATCCGCGCGCCGTGTTAGTGAGCCACATATGGTCTTCGCAATGAATCAGGGGGTAGTATACGCTTGAAAGAATGGACACATCAATCAGCCATTCAAGCCTCTTAGACACATCTTCGGGTGCACTGAACGTGAACTCTCCCGCCACGGTCATCACATCCTTGTCGATCGATGCAGCCGAGACCGCGGATTGACCTCCGGGGGCCCGGGGGTGTTTGGGTTACTCACACTGCAACTGCAGCTTTCATACTTTGCCGTGCAGATATGAGTTCATCGATCATGTTATTGTTAATGTATGCTGCTAGGTTTGACTCACATTCTTCAGCTTTGATCTTCAATGGGTCGGATTATCCATTCCTCCTCCCCATGGGGAGAGTATACATGTAGGTATGTTTCGCTCGAATGGAACTTACATGTACAGTGTACAATCGAGCTGAATGCATCTGATCGAGACCAGTGATTGTGGCAATCAAGTGGAAGTGGCGAGTCGGTTTGTATTTGATCACATCCATGCTATAGGTCCATCGAACATTGCCATCTAGGTCTACATCTGCTAGGCCTCCGTTGGTAACTATCGAATATCAAATATGAACTATGCCGTATCCAGCATCTATTGAATATTGAACATCCACCCCCGCTCAGATCATGCAGACCCGACCGTCTGTGTCCTTGCGATTTTAGTTCAGAGATCTTGCATGAGAGCTGCAGCTATATCTGCAGGAAAACCCTGAATGGCTGGAAAGCGAGGATCCGAGCTCCCGCTGCACCAAAGACCAAAGACCAGTTGCAGCAGATCAAAAACAAGGATCAAACCAAGCCAGCACTCTTCACTAGTGTATTTGCTACAGTAACTTACCGCTTGTAAATTCTACAGTGTGCAGTTTGCATCTGATCCCAATCCCGCAAACAAAAACAACCTCGGAAAATCAACATACCCCTCGCTCCCAAGGATAACAACATGACCCTTTGTGCCCAATCTATATACAACCGGAAATTGACCTTCCTCTTCCGGTGCAAAAGTCCCCACAAAACCCGCCGCCGCGGAACGATGATAATATTCCGCTCCCCACCGACCCAGGGGGCGGGATACTCCAAGGGAAGAGCACGCGTTGGAAATTGAAACACCGAGTACCTGGGACCGGAAAGGGGTCGAGGATTCCGCGCGAGTTACGTATACGCGTTCGATCGATCGTGGACGGCCCGATCCCTATCCAACTTTTGACTTGACAACCTACAAAAGTGACAGTATACCTGTCACCTAAGCTATTGCATAGAGAAATTGGGTAGTGGGATACATGTACTAGCTCCAGGGTACAGAAGTACAAAAGAGCTGTAAAGTCAAGCTGAATGAAAGGTGAGAGATAGACTACTGTAGATGCTCACCTCCATCTCCACAACAACAGCCCCCTTTCCTGGTTCCCCGACGGGCCGGGACGCGGATGCATCAACAGTGGAGTAGGCGGCGTACGGAATCACGAGTATTTCACATTCCTGTGGGAATTGGGTATATACATGATCAAAGTGTCTGAAATGGAGGTGATTGGGTAGCCATCCTCATCCCTTTTATGATGCATATGGGCGTCGATCTTGAGCTTTAAAAGGGGGAAGGCCCAGGGTGGCGGGTTTTGGTCCACTTAGGGCGTCGGGGGAAGTGCTTTGCAGGCCGGAAGCAAGTCATATGCAAAAGATGAAAGAAATCGATATACATTTACAGAGTGTAGGAACTAAGAAATGAGATGGGGAATGTCTTTGTTTTGAGTCTAGACCTGGCTGATCTGGACCCATAGTCCACAGTCTATAGCCTGGAAAGTGGACATCGCTGATTTGTGCGAAAATAGACGGTCGTTTTTTTTGGGAGGATTTTCCGGTAATCTTCCTTTGACTGGGATTCAAGAATCTCTCTAGAACGATCGATCGTTGCCGGCATATAGACTCGGTTTGGGTTGGGGGACTGTATTTACCCGACAACTCCCGTGGAGACGGGGGAACGGGGGAAACGGGGAAACTTCCGAGGCGGCGGAAACCGTTAGTTTGCCGTTTTCTTTCATGAGGGATGGGGATTCGAGTTGGAAGACCGAGTCCCCGGTGGAGTAACAAACTCCTGGTCTCCTAGGGCCTCGAAAGTGGCAGCCCGTTAATTTCATTTCTTTGCCCAAAATCCCTAGTCAAAACAATAGTCTAACAATCACAAAGAAACGGTGTTGACGTGTTGGACGTGTTGGTAAACCCAACTTGACCGCCAGACGCCGTTTAGGCGTAATCAAGGGGAAAATTCAAGTTTGGCCCGGCTTCAATATGCATGTATACTTCTTCACTTAGGAAGCGGTGAATGTAGGGCTCGACTAGGAGATCGCCATCTGAACTGGCTATTTCCCTTACACCGCAAAACAATCTAATTTGGTCCCCGAGACCTTGAGCTGCCCTTTTCGGGGTACCTCCGTAAGGGGGAGAAACATATCAAAGGTTCTCCAGATTCTCCAGAGTCTCGGGTATAAGGTATAATCAAAGTGTTTTGCTTCAGGTGTGATCTGTGTCAGAATAAAAGAGAAACAGCCATCCGATGTTCCCCGCGATGTATTTGGCACGAAGCTGATACGTCGCATGAGAATTGTTCTTTATTATTGTCGATCTGATTGATCGGCCTTTGGGCTCCGGAAGCCCGCTTCCGCCTCAATTTTATTTATTTTATTTCCTTTTTTTAATATTTCAATTTATCCCTTTTGGGATTTATTATTGATTATTTTGTCTCAAAGGTCTAGAAGTCTTCCCCGGCTTTGATACTTGAACACGCTCCACCCTCGACTTTCTCTCACTTCTTCTTCAACTTAATATCAACTATACTGTGGTTTCGTACCTCGGGCCCTCTGGTCCAACTCTCACCTCACTCTCCACACTCAACTCTCCACTCAACTCACAATGATTCCCATTCAAACTCGCCTTCGCGACATGTCGCTCCCAAAGGCCGCGGCACCTGTTGCCAGCACGGATCCCGCACAGGTCACCTTCAACTGGAGTGGCAGCTCCTTCGAATCATCTCCCATGTCAAATCCATTCGCTCCTCCACCAACACCATGCGACTCTCTCCTCGACATTCACCCTCGCAAATCGTCGTTCTCCAGTGAAATGGGAGCCGCCTATGCCTTCCCATCCTGGCCCAACAGACCCTCTCTCTCCAGCAACGACTCCACAGACTCTAATGCAAGTGCCTATCTCACCGACGATGACCTGCTCTGGATGCCCGAGAACGCCGCCGCCGAGAAAGCTGTGGAAGAGGCAACCAATATCGATGCCGAGCTCGCCCACTCTATCACCTTGGAGCAACAGCTCCAGCGTATCCGCGCTGTGGCTGCTGAGGAAGAGGCTCGCGCTAACTTCCTTGCTCGCGTCGATGCCCATGCCCGCGCAACACATGCTTTGCGCATGGCTAAGATGAATGTGACTGCGACTGTAAATGCCAACGAGCGCGACAACTCAAAGCGCAAGAAGCGTCGAGCTGTTCCAAGCCCTAAGCGACGCGCTCACTCGGCTTCCAAGGTGTTGTCTCAATGAGAAACGCTGGGCCGGTGCAGCGCTGGCGCTGCTTGACGTCTTCTCTTCACTATCTTGTCATTATCACCAATATTTTAATGTCTCCACATCAACCTCGGCCACCCATCACCCACCACCAAAGCGCCATTCCCTCCCGATCAGCACATCGCATATCTCCCCGAAACCTGCTGAGCGCAGATCTGCGCCATTGACGCAGGCCTCGGGCCTGCGTTATCGGACCCCGAAGCCCCCGCGCTTACCTAATAAGTCGCTGTGCGCGCTTCTTCACATTGGCCTCTTCACCACCTCACACCGCTGCTTCACTCTGACTCACTTCTCATGCTTTCCTTCTGTCATTTGATCATACCCTGTCCTTGCATCTCCCGGTGTTTCCCTTAGCCTTTTGCTTTCCTCCTGTTATTCCGAGCGCCTCGTTCAGATACCCCCGTCTTGTAACTTTCCTATCCATTTTCGTGCCGACTTTCGCCATATTATGGCTACGTTTCCTTTTGCTTTATCTCATGGTTGTTTTTCCACTATTCCCGCTGAAAGCGCCTCTATCGGACGATCGAGTCCGCCACCATCATATCTTCATCTTGCGGTGCTGCCTGTTGGGCAGTCAAGCTTCTTTTTTGGTACTTTAGTAGCCTCCAAACTAAGCCACTATTATTGATCCCATAAACTTGATTATCCAGATCCTGAACTTGTAAATCTGTAATTTTAGTAAAAAAGTAACCACCGCGACAAAGGAAATATTATAATTCCAAATCCTACTCTTCTGTACAACCACATGTCCAATAACCCCAGTCCAGAAACCCGCGTGGCCTCATCAGCCTCTACATAGCCCTCTCTTGTATCTATGGTACCAAGTACATAGACATACCCCGGTCCAACACCAGTCCCCGCCACGTTGCCAAAAACCAAAGTTGAAAAATAGATCTAACTTGAAACCCGTACCAGACTACCGAAAATAGCAAAATCAAATCCCATAGCCGGCCGATCATCGTCAGCCTTGTCTGTCTCGTGTTGAAGTCCCTCTCCCACCCCCGCCCCTACACCCGTAACCGCGCCTCGCGTCATGTACCATTCACCCTTTCAGCCTAGAAGGCTGAAGGGCCAGTAGAAGTGGAATATGGAAATGAGGCTGTTATTTTATTCTATTTTATTGGATCTTCTGCTTCTTTGTGCTTTGGATTACTTTGATCTTCGTCCTACGACGGGTCGCCTTGCAGCGGGGGCGTGTAGTGTTGGATGTAACAGTGAGATCGGGTTGGGGTCTGGGTTGCGGGTGGATAATCGGTGAGCATTTGAATTTGGATTATCATTTTAAATCTGCTGTGGGACTTTGTGTGTTGTGTTAGTGGCGAACTGATATTAATCGGCATCCGCGGGTGTTGGATATAGTTGGTTGGTTGGTTTGTAGTGTAGTTATCCATCGCCGTCTCTATCTGTAGTATTTCCTCGGAACCGGAGCCTCGGATAATATAAAGGAGTTAAGTTAGATGATTCGCGCCGTTGGAATTCTACTTTGGGTTTGGGATTGTGGTTGCTTTGTTTCTATCACGTTTTTGCTTTTTCGTATACTCCGTACAAACTATGCTGTCGATCAAATTAACCGGAGGTGGTTAAATTGGCCTAATCAAGTACCAAACCTTGGAACCCGAACCCCCGCGGGGGCGCGGAGGCAACAGACGGCGAAATAGCCCCCATTTCCACACCGCACTCCACTGAATGGGCAAATATGAACAATTTGCCGCATTGCCGGAAAGACCGATCAAAAGAAGAAGGTCTGCCGTCGGCCTCTACATTCCTACTCTAGATTTGTGGCTTCTAGAATATTATCATATGCACATCTGATGCAGGATGGAAATGCAGGGTTTAACTAGCCGTTATTGCTACCCGCTTTTTCTAGTGTTGTTTCGGCCGCTCTTTCCGGTTTTGTGTGATAGTTTTGTGTGATAGTTTTGTGTGATAGTTTTGTGGCACCACATGGGATGGTTGGTAATTACGGTTGAATGGTTGTATTTCCTTGCACGTGTTGAAATGGCACGTTGCCTCTAGTGAGATACTCCGGAGACCGGGTACTACCTCGCCTTAAGGGATGGAGAATCTCTTGATGTCCTGAAGCCGAAGCCGAGGTAGTAACAACAGTTCTGGGATCGGGCCAATGTTTACCGAGGGAGGCTAGCACACCTCCTGAACTGACTTTCTAGAACACTTTATTTATCTTTATTTGCGGTTTGGTCCAGACCAAACACTATGGGGATTATCCCCACATTCGACCGAGACATTATCGGTTTAATTTATGTGTACCCACTTCGGTATACCTCGGGGAAACTTTTGAGTTTGTGGGTCTTCTTCATGTGTTCGCGGCTGCTGGTAGATGTGCCATGTGCTCTTTTTTGCGCTCCCATTCGTTAAAGAAAGGTCTTGCTACCGCCAGTCTCACTAGGTAAATCCGGGGAATTGAGAGCACTAAGGTAATTTATCGGCGCCAATTCGGGCCTTTAAAAAGGTATCAAGGTTTCAAGTTCATTCCTCAATGTGAGCTATGCTGCTCATGTCCTGATTGTATCAGGTCTCAAAAACACGGGAGTCCGCCAGAAGAACCTCAATGATAGGATTGAACAAAGGAGAAGGTAAAGCAAGAGCATGTAGCTCGCTAATCTGTATAAGCTTGGGCTTGGAGCTTTCGACAATTCTTCTGATACGATCCTTCAAATCCATATTCATCTGAGCATTGCGCAAAAACTTGACAATTTGAGGTGCGGTCTCTTGCACATCAAGTACAGGATCCTTCTCCAATCGAACCGTAATCTTGACATTGCTGGCAAACGATCCTAGTTCGACCGCGAGAGAGCGTCCATTTCCTTCAGATTCAACGGTTCTACTTTCGTTAAGGCTCGTGACGATGGATACCTGTGCTTTCTCATGTCGCTGATATCCGATAAACTGCACATTCCACTCGCGCGTATGGGAAGTTTGATCTTCACCACTGGTGGGACCGATGATCAGCTCATTGCTTTCTTGGTGGAAGGAAATCGGAGTGCGGCGGAACTTGATTTGATCCACTGATTGTCCTTTGCCGTCATCTTCAAGGAGCTCGAATTTGCCGTCGGCACCAACAACCACCATGAGTTCCAACACAGTAGGGTTCTCGCAGCCATTTCGAAGGACCGGGGATGAGTCAAATGGAACGATGGCGCCCTCCCGTGCGAAGATTGGGTATTTTTTGACGGCACGACTAAGTCGAATTTGACGGTCTCCATCATACACCATGCCAGTGGAGAGGTCCACATATCGACCAGGAGGAAGCCAGGCGGAAACCTCCGATCTGTGGGAATTCGGGTCACTCGGAGTAGTAATGGGAGCAATAATGAGCTCGGAGCCAAACATATACTGATTGGGGACGTTGTAGGCTTCTTCACTATCGGGGTAACCCCAATACATTGGCCGGACTAGAGGGATTCCCTCAATGGCTGCCCGTGCATTCATTGTGTACAGATATGGGACCAGTCGATGGCGAAGTTGGAGATACTTTGTCATCACCTGTCGATATGGCATTGCAAGGTTCCACGGTTCCTTGATGCTGAAAATGTTGTTGGATGAATGCAGTCGCAAGATAGGCGAGAAAGTGCCAAGTTGGACCCAACGAATTAGCATTTCCTCGCTTCTTTCCCCGTGAAAGTGACCACCAATATCATGACTCCACCAGCCATAGCCAATGTTCGAGGCAGTGGCCGTGAACTCGGGCTGGAAGTTGAGAGAGTCCCAAGTCATGCAAGTGTCGCCACTGAATCCGATGGGTAAGCGATGGCTACCAGGCCCAGCGTATCGTGAAAATGTCAGCGGCCGCTTGTTGTCAAGTGCACTATCCAGGAAGTGGTAGTGGTTCAAGACCCAAAGAGGGTCGATACCTGGAATACGAGAGTGTGTCCCTTGTTGCCAATCGACCCACCATAAGTCAAGACCTTCTTTCTCAAACCTTCGGTGTAAGACATCGAAGAAAGCATCTAGGAAAGATTGGTTGGTAATGTCGAAGGGAATGGGGTCTCCCATGGATGTATCATGGTCCAGTGCGAGCGCCATCTCTTCGTAGGGGTCTTCATAGCTTTGGACTCCATCTGCAGGATGGTCGTTCAAAGCAACGCGTAGACCCTTATCGTGGAGCGCTGCCAAGAAGGCTTTTGGATCGGGGAAAAGTTTCTTGTTCCAGGTGTATCCAGTCCAACCTGTCACTCCGGCCTCTTTGACTCGAGCATCATCAACAATATGCCAATCCATGTCCAGGACTGCAACAGAAAGTGGGATTCCGTTCTCTTCGAACTTGCCCATCAGCTCAAGATAGTCCTCCGAGGTGTACGCATAGTATCGACTCCACCAGTTTCCCAGTGCCCATCGAGGGAGAAGGGGCTGAGGTCCAGAGAGAAGGTAGAATGCCTGAATGGCCTGTTGATAATCATGCCCATAGGCAAAGAGGTATCCATCTACCCGGTCTCCAGGCAACCGTGTAGTCACCCATTGGTTTTCATCAAAGAGCATGGATTTGGAGTCATCTAAAGTCGCGTAGCCCTGCCTGGAGATGACACCTTGCTCAAGGGCTGTGCGTCCATCGATTTCATCCAGGGTACGAGCTGTGCCTCCAAGATTTGAAGATGAAGCTCCATAGCGCCAGACGCTAGAATGAGCACTGTAGTGGCCTTTGACCACTGCACTGAGACTACTCGGAGAGAAGTTTTGTTTGTTGTAGGTGAGGTGGAATCGAGAGGTGATGATCTGGAGGGTTTTCTCGTTGTCCTTCACTCGAAACTCTGGAACAGGCAAGCATCGGTTGATAGCCAACACTGATGCTCGATCCTCAAACTGACTATCTTCAGCCCATTCGTAACGTAGGAGGCCGTCGGCCAGCAGTGTAAATCGGTATTTGCCAGTGCCGCCGACGACCGCATCGGGATTAGCGACGGGCTCATGGGGGAATGAGTAGCGATGCATAACTGAAATGAAGATGAAAATAGAGAAAAGGTGAGAAGGCAGGATGGAGAGACTATATTTTGGTTTCTCATATACGGATCTTCAAACTTGACAGTTGCGGTCTCATCCCGTCGAGTCACTTCTACAACAAGTTCGCCGTATTTTTCGCTGAGACCTGTCCTACATCGAAACACAAGCCACACAGCTACCTCGTGGCGCATCCGCATGCCACCCTCTCGCCTTTTCCTCCTTTCGCACTTAGCCTTTGGAGGCGTCACCCCGCGTCGACGCCAAAAGCATGCAGCAAACGCGGGGAAGAGGCGTTAAATGAGGTCGACGATTAAATTCTCGCTGCAATTCCTGGCATCGGAAAATAGTCCTGAGCTATGGATAGTCCCTGTGATAGTTGTTTTGTCCGGCGGGTGAAATGCGATCGATGTCAACCATGTCTAGCCTGCCTCACCAGAAGTCAAAAATGTACTTATGTGAGAGTCCGCAAGAAGCCAGGTCCAAAGGGAACTCGGTCGGCCACAAATCGCAAGATCGAGGAGATCCAGCGAGCCCCTGAGACAGCTGTCAAGATGGCAGCGGCGCTCCAAACCCCCAGGGCACTCTGCTCCCCGGATTCTCGCATTTCTATAACCAACTATTGCACTGTCCTTGATATTTTCCAACTCCATCTATATGATATATGGCCGATCGTTGACGCAGAAGATCTCAAATCACAACTGTGCGGTGACGGAAAGATCGATCCCAGTTCTCACGCACTGGCAGCAGCCTTATGTGCTGCAACGTTGGCACAAACGCGGCTCCAGCTTACACAAGATCCATGTCCCGAAGGTCTTGCGGTGACAGTCCACGAATTTGCAAAGGAATGTCTCCGAGTTCGATTAGAACACAGCTACAACCAAGCACCATCACTCCAAGCTCTTGTGACATCAATTTTTCTTCACATGTACTATGCCAACCAGGACCAGGTCACACCAGCTACCATATCGCTTCGTGAGGCAATCACCTATGCCGATCTGATGCACCTGTGTCGCCATGTACCGCCCGATGCAACACAATCGAAGCAATGGCAATTGGAACTACGGTGTTATTGGATCTTATTCATCACGGAGAGGTTAGTACTGAGATTTGGAAGGAACATTGTTCTAATTGACCTGGCTAGAACCTTCTGCATCCAGCATGATCTGCCGATTACCCTCTATAGGACACCCAACCTTCCCGAAGTTGAGCATAACAGTCCCAAGGGAGATCTGTATGCTGGCTTTTGCACACTCGTCCAGCTGTTCCATCACATCCAGCACCCTCTAGCTCTCCCAGCGACTACTAGCAAAGCTATCGAAGCACCGGAGATATACACCAAGAACAAAATATCAGATATTCAACGTCGCATTGGGGTCAAATTGCCTGGACTTGAGCTTAAATCCGAGATTCAATATGTGGATATTCTAACTACTTCGGCATGGATCCGCTCTCTACTATGGCAATACTCTGCCTCGCACTTCATGCTCTCGTCAGCGACATCGATTGAGCCCTTGTCGTTTGACTATCCACTCTCGATTGCTAGGGACTATTTGGCATCTATCTCCCATGTGTCAATTGAGTCAGTGCGTAGCCATGGATATGGAATGGTCAGTGCTCCCCTGAGAATAAATTAACAAGGGAATAACGAGTTCTGATTGCAAATGCCTTTATAGGAGATCAAGCTTCTACAGGTCGCAAATCCTATTTTGGACTTGTTGCTTTGTATGCCAAACCTCCTTACTTACAAGGCATGTCCCTTCGGTCCACTAGATGCTGTTATTGCCATCGAGCAACTGCTTTTGAAGGTTGGCGGATCAAAATCGGAAAGGTTAGGTCAGTTACATCAGCGGTTGAGACAAGTACCCTCTATGGTTAATATGCCATTGATGTTAGAGTCCCCTAAGCAAGAGGATGAGCTGGATGACACCCTTGCAGTATCGAAGTAAGGATGTATCATCTATCAGAGTACAATATGCTCCCTGGCACGATAATCTCAGTCAATATGACCTATAAGTTTCAATACAATTCATAATCGCTTCAAAGAACACTGTCAATCTATCATTATACCCTCAGTCTCCTTAGTGTCCTGTTTGAATCTCTTTCGCCTCCTTTTTGTTCTCTTTCTATCCTATCCAAAAACTATTCAAACTCTCATTCAGGATTAACGTCCAAGTAACAAAAGATGGGTCGCTTCAAAAACCGTGGTTTGCAATACTTAAACTACGGCAGAGCGTATAGAATTCAGAAGTTATTATTCCATTAATTTCCTCTGAACTGATTGTTATTAACAGTGCTTTCGCTCAGGATTCCTTCATCCCAAGAAGCCCACAATACCGTCCCGAGCGTGTCCTCAGCCTGGTGAGAACTGCAAATTCCGATCATGGCTCAGCACGATCCACCAAGTCCCACGCATTGGCAGCTAACCACATTCTGGTAGCTAGTACTTCTCAGTAAAAGCAGTTGTATCGGAAACAACCTCAAAGTTAGCAGACCGGAACGGCGTAACCTCGAACTTGGTGAACTTCCGAGCAGGAACCTTCTTCTCGAACAAAATATCAAGCTCAGCTGGAGTCCGCCCCTTAGGCTCAGGAAGACGGAAGAAAGACCAGATAAAGCAGATAAGACAAAGAGGAGCCCAGATAAAGCCACCCTTGCCCTTCAAATTCCAAGCCAACGGGTTGAGAATCGGAGGGTTCAGGAAATTAGCGACAATACTGGCTACATTGTAGCAGTCACGAGCAAGCACAGTACTCTTGATTCGAAGGCGAGTAGACGGGATCTCAGAAATGAGACAATAGGTCACAGGGCCAACGGTCAGGTCATAAGTGAAGACAAAAACCATCAACAGAGCAGCCGAGGCGTAGCTGATCCCCGCGTTCTTGCCACTCGGGATACCGAGGAATCCAACCAGCATCAAGATAGAGAATAGGATACCAAGACCGGTAACAAACAACCTGCGGCGGCCGACTCGCTGCATCACAAACCACGAGCAAACAGTACCACACCAGCCGACGGCGTTCAATCCGAGTCCAAAGTTGAAGGCTTGTTCGTTGCTGAAGTTGATTTGCTGGAGGAAGTAGACGATGTTGCCTCCATACCAGATGCCGCAGAAGACTTGACACATCCAGACGCAGCAAACGATCTCAGTGCGGCGAAGGTCGATTCCCTTGAAGCAATCCCAGTATGTGACACCTTCCCGAGAGAGTTTTTCGTTGGCATTTGTAAGGATCATCAGTGCAACGGCATCATCAGCATCGTATTCCGAGATACCAGGTCTAGACAGTCGATTGAGAGACCGTTTTGCATCCTCGGTTCTCCCATTTCGAACAAGCCACCAGGGAGACTCGGGCGCAAAGAGGACGCCAATGACGATAGGAACAGGCCACACCCATTGAATTGCATATGGAATGCGCCAGCCCCATTGATCAGTACGGCCCAACAACCCGCGCAGGATTCCCGCGGAGATGAACTGGCCGGTGACCCAGCAGAGGTTGACGTAGGTTGTCAGGTATGGTCGAAGGACGATGGGACTAACTTCGGCGGCATAGGTGGTTGTTAAAGTTTGAAAGGCTCCCCATGGGATACCGCAGAGCACTTCACCAACTAGCAACATGATGATATTCTGGGCAAAGAACATGAGGAAGATAAAGCAAATCAGGGCAACCAAGGCTCCGAGCATAGTCTTCTTGTAGCCCCAGCGGTCTGCAATGAGACCAGCAAAAATCAGGCCCAGGATCTGTCCCACGTTGGTTCCATTCTGCAAACCAGTTTGCCAGTTGGAGGTAACTTGGTAACCGTTTGCTTCGGTGTGGACTCCGAATTTCTCACGGAAGGTTGGGTAGGCGTAGAAGGAGCCGAGGAGGGAAGTGTCGTATCCCTCCATAATGATGGCAAGGGACAGGATAAACGAGAATCCGATGGCCTTAGGAAAGATCTTGAAGGCATCGCGGTTGGTCAGGTTATGCTCAAAGTTGGATGCGCGATGAGCCTTTTCGACGACGTTGGCGAAATTGGGGATCTGCTCGGACAACTGCAGGAGAGCTTCATCGTCGATTCCAATTGTATTCTCGCCCAGCGACTGAGTTGGTACCGCGAGCTTGTGCTCGACATGAGCTGTCGCCTTGGAATCCATGGCTAAGGATAGACTTGGCTACCAAGATGGAGCGGACAAGGTAGAGAAGTTGGAATCTGAGATGAGGTCTCCAAGATGGAGAAGAAATGGGGGAAGGAAGCCCAGCTCGTTTATATCAGTTTTTGCCCTACGCGATCTGACATTACTTGCGCTACTATTGTGGAACAAAGGCTTGCATATTCACCACATGGTCGCTCCAACTTTTGCTCTTTAACTTTCGCGGGGTTTTCTGGGGAAATACAGTTAAACGCCTTTTGAAAGCGCCTCTTGAAAACACCTCTTGAAAGCTTTCCGGGATGGTTAGTTGATTAGTAGTTTGAAAAAAAAGAGTTAGTACGTTTTGAGCAGCCCAAGCCCTCGCTGTGATTCTCGGTACGACTCAGCAACCGCGAGGGGCTTATGTTCGGCAGATCTGGTGAAACCTGGAGGTGGCGCAAACGTGACTTGAGGGTGCCATTAGCAAATTAAGGAGGATCTGCAAGTATCAAGTCTTTGAAGGGTCCGGTCGATACATACAAAAGTAAATGGTTGATCCCGTGGTCAACGCGCTAGAGTAAGTTCAGCCACGAAGCTCTTTGGCCGAGGTTGGGGATTTCAGCGAGGGCAGTCTGTGGCGTACATCTTGCAAGTATTGGTGTCAAGAAATCTCGTAAAGCAATACTCTATACGCATCAAAGCGCCGTTATAAATGTCGCTATGTTTTTCGGTGTTCGAAGTCCTGTTTTGGCCTATATCTATAGCCAAAAGGTCACACTGGTAGAGAGAAAGAGGTCATAGCATATGTCCCGTGTTCGCCAATTTATGTAACCTCCCATCTCCTAATTTTCTTGCCCTGGCATCTGACTCTTCAGATTAACTTTTATGTTCGAATCACTACCTTGGGATCTTCACACTCTGCTGCGATGGTTTGTTGTGGGAGGGGG